AACCGGAAGAAGCGATATACGCATATCGCGTCATTAATTTAGTCGCTTGTCAAGGCTATATTTATACTTATAGTAATTTGAAGGTTGTAATATTAAGGAAGATTTCCAGCTAGGAAACGTGGGATATAGACAATGAATTCAAAGTCATAAAATCTCTAGTAATCACGATATTCATGGAAACTATTAGGCTAGTAAGAATACTAAATTACTCAACATCGAAAACACTGTCGTAGGTTTATGAATCCACTCGAACGCGATACTAGGAAAATTGATAATTTTGTTAAATAATAGTTTGTTATTCAAGAAATAATTCCTGTATATATTTTGATAAGAGGTCATTTTCGACACATTGAATTACACTTTACGTAGGAAGACCATGAATATGTTGCCCTAATATGAACTATTAACACGTGAGCTGGCTTTAATTATTTTTCTATCTTAGGACACAAGCGGTCAATCTTGATTCGAAATCTAATCAAAATCTGAACATCGTTGACAGTAAAGATTCCAAATTTCAGTGATATTTCTAGTATATTAATATACTATTCGTCGATGAAAATCAATAATTGACTTATTGCATTATTTCTATTAATTAGCATCTTTGATGTTGTCCTCGGATTGACTGTAAAAACTGATTTTGATTTATTTGAACCTGTTCAAGCCACACATTTACCAAATATAACAGGGATGCCTAGAAAAGGTATTACCAAGGATGCCTATAGCGAAAATAAGGAACGGAAACTAAAGAAGTTCTGATATAAAATATGTCTCAATCAACATATTCTTACGCGCCCTCTGCACTAAAATACAATTTTTTTAATTTTTGTAGTAAATGCTTCTAGCTGCCCGGGTGTAGTTAAAACGGTACCCAATCTATCTTTTGAGGAGACACTTAATAATATATCCACATAGAAGAAAATTTTAGTAAAACTGCACAGCTGCTGGGAAGATAACAATACAGTTTACCCAAAGTTTTCTCGGATTCCCACGGTTGTGCAAATTTTACCTAAAAGTTTGGGAACCACTCGCTGTATCAGGGAATTCATTCGCATTTGGAAAATTCGACGTTTGAAAGATTTGGTTGTGGGGAGAAAAGATACATTTATTCTGAGGGGTTAAGACAATTCATAATAATTTTATGTAAGAGTTATGATACAAGACTATCAAATGTATATATTCGATTTTCAAACTTTTCGTAAACCTATTCTCGGGATCATTATTAAAATAGCTCGGAGTTTCGATTCCAGGAAAATTCACAAAAGCCCCGTCCCCAGAAACTATGGCACAGCTCATCAATTTATAAGCATATCGTCACGCTAATAACCGAATTGCGTCAGTCATTTTTGGCGATTTTGAGTTTTTTATAAAATAGGTATTTATGTAATGCTGCGCACCTGTCTGTTAACTCAGATTTTATTTTAAGAATTCCGAAACCCCTAAAAATTGAGATTTAGTATGACATGCACATTTGTCCAATTGTTTCGTCATAATGAATTATCATTTTTACCGCAGGACTGTTGTGACGTCACAAAGGCAAAATAACCTCGGCGAAGTATTTTCGAGTTTTTGCATCTCGGATTCTAGCTTAGCGCGTATTAATTTGAATTTATACTACCGTATAGGAAGGCGTGCACTTGTGATATTCACTGTCCGAGTCCAATTTTCCTTGGTTGGCTTTTATATTGGGTGCATTGCTGTTTTATTCTTTATATTTAATCTTAGTCTTATTTCTGTGGGTGTGCAGAACGTGTTATATTGATGAAATATATATTATTGAACATTAAAAATATTGTAATTGAAACGGATTAGCTATTTTTGGGAATTAGACATTGTAGATACTGATAATTGCATTCGTTTTGGAAATGTTTAGTTTTCAGGACTGGTGCATATAGTGAAGTTGCAAAATTGCGTATGTCCCCAAGCCATAGACACATTTCTGCCTAAGTCACAGTGCGCCTTTATGACGTCACTTAACTGCATCATACAAATTAACCTAAATCCGGCTACAATCAAAAAATTGAACCATGGCAAATTATTGACTCTCAATGGCATAACAATATCATTAGGAAGTTTTTTACGTTTTTCTCAAAACTGCTAAAAATGACTAACGCAATTCGGTTATTAGCGTGACGATATGTATTCATTGATCATTTTGTTTATTGTTATTCGCCACATTGACTAAACTTGTTCGTCAAGCTGGTGTTGCGCCCAGACTTGAGTTTAAAAAATATGGATTTGCGAAAAGACAAACCAACTCTAAAACCGAACAACAAACCTCCTGGAATCTTTCTGAAAATATTTCACAAGATACAATTAATCTTGCGCGTTTCATTAAATACGTGGTTTCGATACTGAAAACACAGTTCGAATTTATAATTTTTATTTCAGGTTTACGCTAAGCCTATTCGCAACTCTGATTATAAACGTCCTTTTTGCTCTTTTATACGCCAGAATGATAAAAACGGGATCGGCGTGATAGAAGGGTAAAGTAATCTTAAATTTGAAGAGATTGTGTGAAGATCCGACTTCAACACAAAAACATTATTATACATATTACAAAATCAAGGTTCTTGGTCCTCAACTAAATGTGAAAGCAATAATGATGAAAATGAGTTGCGAGCGACCTCTGACGTGCTTAAGGCTATATATGTTTATCATGGAGAAAATATATATGAAAATCCGTTCTCTGTGTTTTTGATGTGACTTTTATCATTGTGTTTGAATGTATTCATTTCTGAAATTGTACCTTTGTTTACGTATTTGCATTTTGTACATAATATAACTCTCGTTGTTTGTGTTTCCTTTCAGAACTCTTAAGTCGTGGAAGATTGCCAGTTCGTATATATATATATATAGTTGTGTTATTATCGTAGGTTGTTCACATTGACGGTTTTACTGTGATTTGATGGAATTAAATATCACCAATCCAACCCTGATCTATCCGTCAACCAGTTCTGCATTGAGATATAATCCGAACCTTGCATTTCCAATAAAAACTACGTGCCAGGTGGTCAACATTATACTATTAACGTGCACCATTTATGTAATCATTAGCTTGATCACATATGGGATAAAGAATCGGAAGTGGCAGAAAGTATCTGGGACATCCAACATGAATGGGAGAGTCATTTACACCACGTGTTTGATATCAGTCATCTTGTTTCTTCCGCGGCTTGTGGTGGACGGGGTGCTTATCAATCTTCTGCATATCCCAGGAGGTTTGCAAATGTGCGAAACGGTGTTTGACGTTAATAGCGGTACATATACCTTATCAATATATGCTATTTATTTCTTTTTGTGGCTACGGCAACTACTCATTTATGCTCATCCAAGAGTACGACAGTTAACAGGAAAATACGTTAATCCTATTGGATGGTGTATTATGGCGGTACTCATCGTTTTAAGTCTAGGACTATCCGTAATGATGATCCTACCCTCGACATTTACATCGCTTCCATACGGTTGTATTATAAACCCACGTTCCGATTCGACATACTTTGAAAAGTTTTTTGTAAGTTATGGTGTATTTATGATGGTGGGACTTTCAGTTTCAGCACAATTGATACTCTTGGGCTTATTCATTTATCCGATGGTACTTAGTAATTCTGTAATTCGCCAGGATATAAAGTTATCGGATGGTAATATAGAACCCGGAATATCAAACAACTTTCATAAGATAAAACACTTCTTCTCTGCAATATGGCGGGGGATGAAATGTGACCGAAGTGCAAATACAGTGTTACGGACTATACATCGATCAATGGTATGCTGCGCTATAGCAATAATATCGGATATTTTCACAATGGCAATGGTATCAAGTATTCCAGACAAAAACATGGATATTCCACGCGTGTTACCAACGACTTTATATGACATTAGTTTGATGATCAACGTTTTCTGTATTGTCGCAACTTTCCAAAAAACTAAGAACATTTTGAAACCGGTGTTTGCAGGACGTATTATAAATACAAACATACAAACTCGAGAAACTCAGAGTTCAGAGATCACCGCTCTTTGACAAAGTCTGATGTTTTTTGGCGAATGAGCACATCAAATTGACTACTGATTCATTGCCAGAATTGACGATAGGAAGGACTGTGTTGTCGAAGTTTCATTACTCATTTATTCAAGATTTATTCATACTTTTAGATTCTTGAAATTAAGAAAAACAAACAGATAATTGTGACGTATCGTTTCAATTTCTCAAGCTTGCGTGTCACGCCTTTGGTTTAATTGTAATTTGTAACTACAGTCGAGTGTAGAATCTACTCTTATCTATGAGAGTAACCCAATTATTTCACTTAAAAAACATTTGGTGATGTGATTCATAACCTGGCAAAGCTGAAAATTTGATAGAGATTTCTTTAAGTATTTCGCATCGATTGAACTAGCCCATTTGGAACGATTTGAGCAATCCGTAGTATTTTAACGATAATCGCACATAATTTCATTTCGTCAATTGCTGAAATCAAACAAGTTTAAACGCAGATCCGCTCATTATTGAAAATTGGGCTGATTATATATATCTCGAAATAATCTCAATAAATCATTTAGGAAATTATTATCGGATTCAGAAAATTGTCTCATGGACTTATATAAACGTGAAATATTGCATTTTGAATGCACTGAGATCGTTAGCCACTGTTCCAAAATGCCAACAATCTGTATATATCACGTGGGTGCTTTTATGCTTAATAGTAGTATTGAAATGAACTAGAGGCATAATCTTGACGACAACTTATATCATTTGTTTCTATCAGTTATTTATTTTGTACTTTGTTATCGTGTTTTTGACATACCGAACAGTCGTGTGTACAAAATTTTACTATTTATTTCATTATTTTAAATCATCTGCTATCCAATAGCATGCTGTATCGTATTATTTTACCTAAGTTGCTGATGCTTTTGAGAGTGATAAATGCCAATCATTGTTTTACTACTTAGTTAAAATTAAAATAATAAGGGCTGTTCTTCATATTGATGGTTAAAACTGATATATGATGAAGCTAACTAGCGACAACTCGACAGTGGCATATTTCACAATACCGGCTCTCCGGGAATACAATCCGAAATCAGTCTTTCACATTAAGACTATCTGTCGAGTGGTTAATGCTGTACTTTTGGCGTGCACTATGTACATTATAATCAGCTTGATAATATATGGTATAAAAAATCATAGATGGAAGAAATCAACAGGGATATCCAACGTAAATGGTGGAGTCATTTACACCGCATGCATTGTAGCTGTTATTCTATTTCTTCCCAGACTTGTAGCAGACGCCGTGCTTATAAACATTTCGCTCATACCTGGAGGTTTACAAATGTGCGAAGTGGTATTTGACATCACTAACGGTGCATACACCTTAGCAGCATTTGCGATCTATTCTTTTTTATGGTTTCGACAACTACTTATTTATGCACAGCCGACGGTACGACAAATGACAGGAAAATACGCCAATCCTCTTGGGTGGTTTGCAATGTCTCTTCTGATCATCATGAGCCTTGGACTAACTGTTATGTTTACTCTCCCTACATCATTTGAATCACTCCCTTACGGTTGTGTCATCAATTTACGTGCCAACCTGACAGATTTGGAATATTTTTTCAAAGGATCCGGTCCATATTTGATGGTAGGACTCCAAATATTGGCACAACTGATACTATTGGGCTTGTTCATTTATCCGTTGGCGCTCAGCAATTCTGCAGTCCACGAAAACAATAATATATCACGAGGGAACGATCCATCAGAAACCGGAATCAAATTTTACAAAATAAAACGCCTCTTTTCCGCAATTTGGCGAATGATAAAGGGCGACCCCGATGCAAATATAGTGTCACGAACTATACATCGATCTATGGTGTGCTGCTCTATTACAATTTCATCCGATATTTTCACGATGGCAATTGTATTAAGTATCCCAGAGGAAAATCTTGACATTCCACGAGTGTTGCCGACTACCCTTTATGATATTAGTATCATGATAAACGTGTTCTGTATTGTGGCAACATTTCAAAATACCAGAGGAATTTTAAAAACACTGTTCTCAGGCTGTGCTCAAAATATAGAAAGAACGCAGGAACCTCAAATCTCAGAGACAACAATCCTATGATATAGCAAGACTATATATGCATAGTTTCAGTGTTATCTTTCAAAGAGCTCGGTGTCGACTGAAAAATAGCGAGTCCAAAAAAATGACGCCTACTAATCCGGATCGCGAGATACTATAAGATTACAGCTCGAAAGATAATTTGAAATCTTAGCATTATTTGAACGTTATGTATATTTGCATCATCGTTATAATGCAATTACAATAACCATGTTATACGTAACCAAAATTGTATTTTTTCATTCTCAATTGTATATATTTTTTAATATTTTCAGTGACAGTTTAGTGACACAAAAGAGCCACAAACAAGGTGGCATTTGTAAGATGCTCATGGATTTTATTGTCACCATGAAAACTTATCAAACTACAGAAGCAGCCAACAATTCTTCAACAGATTTCAAAATACCCTTTTCAATACTGACGGGTTGCAAAGTGTTAAACGCATTCCTCATAACAGGGACTATTTATATATTTGCTTGTCTAGTGATTTACGGGGTAAAGAAACAAAAATGGAAGCAGAAACCAGGAGCATCCAACCTGAACCGCGGTGTCATATATACAACGTGCATATTAGCAGTTGTATTGCTTCTTCCAAGACTGATAGCCAATGCAATACTGATGAATCTTCCAATAATTCCAGGAGGTTTGGAGACATGTGAGCTCATTTTCGACATAACAAACGGGGCATTTTCGGTGTCTATTTACGCAGTATATTTCTTCTTATGGCTGCGCCAAAAGATTATATATAGCCAACCAAGTGTGAACGAAATGGCTGGAAAATTTGTGTCGCCTATTGGATGGATTGCAATGATTTTATTCACACCGATGAGCATCGGAATTAGTTGTGTGTACATGATTCCGTACTCGTATACCTCGTTGCCTTACGGATGTGTCATCAACTCGGAAGCAAACTTCACAGACATTGAAAATTTCTTTGGAAACACGGGATTCTATTTTCTCGGAGGTCTTCTGATTGTAGCTCAGTTGACCCTTCTGGGCCTATTTATTTATCCATTGATGCTCAATGACTCGACAACCCGTAGACATAAAAATATATGTAATTCAGGAAGCAAAGACTCAAATACAGCTACAAGGCTTGATAAGAGACTGAAAAACTCCATTTTGACTTGTTTTCAAGTTATAATGGGTAGGAAAAACACTACCACTGTGCTAAGAACTATACACAGATCTATGATATGCTGTGCTATAACTGTTCTCTCAGATATTTGCACTATGGCGATAGTTTCCGTCATTCCTGGAGAGAATATTTTCATACCACGAATTCTTCCCACTACATTGTATGATATTAGCCTAATGATTAACGTTTTTTGCATAATCGCAACATTCCAAAACACCGGGGATATTTTTAAAATTCCGTTCAAGGGGATGATTACAAGAATAAAAAAAAGGTCGATAACAACTTCTGATGACAGCAATAATACAATGTCGCAGCCGAGAAGTGAATCTGATAAATGATTCAGTGTCCGCTCAACTTAAATTCAGCAAAATTGTGTTTAATTCCCATTCGAAATTTATTTGCATTAATAATTTTCTTTATGTGACAACGTAACGCAAAGGTATGTGGTGTATATCAGAATTAAACAGAACGAGCATGCTTTTGCATAAATGTATATGATGGTGGACTTATGACTTGATGATATTATAATATTTTAATATATATATTTTTAACATTTTCATACGAGTGTATCATATAACTTCAAATTCACGAATTCTTGTTACTATGGTTTCTCACAAACAAAAAACAACTTGTAAACACTCTTGACACGCTTTTTATTAAAATTAGAACTGTTAAAATGTACCCGCGACTGGAAGTACTGCGAACCAGGAAAAGTTGGGAACCGTCTACTTTATACTCTTATGGGATCCTCCGGGTCTAGGATAACGGTGACCGTACATTTGAAACCACGTACATTTGAACCCATACATTTGCACCCGTATATCCGCGGGTTCAATCTATATGAGGGTGCTAAAATCCATGGGTTAGGGTTAGTATGGGTTCAAATATTCGTAAAATTCAAAATTTCCATAGGTGCAACTGGCGTGGGTTCAAATTCACGTGGATTCAAATGTAATGGACCCTAGGATAACATACGTTTTTCTATGTTTGTTATATTTATCCGATACCATTTAGTGAATTCAAACACAAAATATGACATGTTTTGTTTTCCTATACGTATCTTCATACACATTCACTTATACGTGTCTTTATGGGAAATGGGACGAGTCCCGTTCGGCATTTTCTAACTGGCAAATTTTTTGAAATATACCGTACAAGATTATCTTGTAGAGAAATATTCTGGCGATGACTATTGCTTGTGATTCCAGTTAAGTTTTATCCATCGAAAGACTGTCATTTACGCGTCGTGACTCGCGATACAGTCTTCGTGTTTACGTCGGTCATAAGCACATTGCACTATTGGCGTTCAGGCGTCACAATTGAACACTTTAATTTTTTTTTAATTACCGCCATTTTGTAGTCTATACTAGGTATTGCAAATTTTCGCCCATCTCGCCACAAAAACTTATTGAACAATATGTGCTCAATTAATTACTTACCCCGAAATTGTATTTTGTTGACTATCAAAGCAACACGTTTTGACTTTTTCTGTATTCAGCTTCGAGGAATTAATCGTATGTCACAAGTTTTTAGACATTCAGAATTGTAAGTTCATTTCAAATTTCAGGCGGACAGTTCCTGGGGAAGAAAAAAATAGTAACACTTGTTTTGAAAACACATCATACGATGCAGTTTTTTTCTCCGTGGTTATTTTTCACTACAGTTTCCAACCCTCTATTCTGAGATTTCGGCTAATTGTTTTGTATTTTTTCGACTGGGCGCGTGCAATCTGGGTGGCCAATTCAAAATCTATTTTGGCTGAAAAAACATTTAAACATATGCCATTAAAAACACACATGTTTTTAACACAGTTATCCCAGCTTTTTCGGAAACGTAATACGAAAATCTCACAAAAATTGGAATACTTCATCAAATTGAAAAATTGCACATGATTCCAATTGATTGGATAACAAATCCTGGCGAAATCGCTATTGTTGTTTCATAGAGAACTTTATGTTTTCCTATCTATTGTTTCGGGAGTGCGCAAGTAAGTCAATTTTCGTTGGAACATTCATATTATTCATTACGTTTTCGCAAATGTTGTATATGTCATATTTTTAAATAAATTATTACATGCTGTTAGGGTAGCACATGGGTCAGACAATCCCATCATAAAATGATATAGTGGGTATAGATATAGACCAGGGGTGACGAACCCATTTGCTATCGCGGGCCATTTTATCAGTCACCGCTGAGTGAGCGGGCCGCACAACTTTTTAGTCATACTGTACTATTATACCTAATAATTTTCATGGAAAAAACGAACAACTGCATCCATACGGCTGAAGTTATTTGATGATATATTGCAGCGTAAAATAAAAATAGAACATTCAATGCATGTTTATCTTAGTGATATTTTTTGATTTTTTTTTTGCTTTACTAAGCGCTTCATATCAGGACGAATTGACGATTTGGAAACTCTCAACTGTATACTCTCGTCATTTCACTCGGCCGCTCGGTTCGGGTGACCGAGATCCGAATTTCCGTTCGAATACAGCATCATTTTTGACTCGAATGTTTTGATCGACTATACCGAGATATCACTGTACAATAAATTTATATTGTACTACTACCGTGTTTTCTCGAAAATAAGATCTAGCATGAATTTAAAAATGATTTTTATACAAGCACTGAAATTTTTAAAGAGATTGGTCCAGTAATCAAAGAGAAAAGCGACCTTTTAAAAACGTGTCAATAAATAAGAACGAGAATATCGGTCGGAGTCTGAAGACTTATCGATCGAAACTGCGGTTTCGATTCATGACTCTATAGTGACGACGCGTGTCCCATCACTAATTAATTAATAACTCGCTAATTATACGACATAATTCATCCAAAATCAATAGGCTTCTGGTCCGAGATATGATGAATGCACATGCAATTTGGAGCAGATTCAACCTCGCCTTCGTGAGATATCGCGTGCATCTAACAGAAAGACAGACAAATACCTATCAGCACGATGAAGAACAGACAGAAGAAGAAGAGTACCAGCATAAATTCAAAACGATCGCTGTGTCCACTGACGTGTCCAATAAGCCCTCCCCTTAAAATAAGACCTAGTCAATAAAGTGGAATTTTTTTTGACCTAGTAGCAGAAAGCAGAAAATCTTCCCTACCCGTTTTGAATGATTGTAATCTATGTTTTGCATCTATTTTGAATAAAAACGTGTTATATAACAGTAAATGGATATTGGTTTTCATATTTTGTATATTTGAAAATTTCGTAATTCTCTATTTTGTAATTTTGTCTTTGATAAATGAAAATAGAAGACACCCCCGAAAATACGCCCTAGTGGTATTTTTCGGAAGAAAATTGAAATAATCCCCCAGTCTCATTTTCGGGGAAACACGGTAAATTGAAGTCTGATATTTTACGCAAATTCAAGGATTTTCCTAACGTTGTTATCTCAAAAATAATCTCGGGTGGTAGCGTTGTGACAAAGCGTAAAGAGTGTTGCAACAACCAGATCAAATTTGTATAATTAGTAACATCGCAAAAATACAAATTAAAAAACTAAATATAATCGGGCAGTTTGAAACACGTTTTATGGCCGTAGATTGCCGTGATAAGTCGAAGTAATACCGCAGGTTACATTAACACAAACAATTAAATTAATAAGGCAAGACATACCACCACTAATGGTCTGGGTCGGACGTGTTTTTGTTGCTCTGTTAGATGAAAGATCGATCAATGCTGTTGGACTGAGAATGCTACGCGCTGTGTGTTTCGGTATTTACTATTAGATTTGTATCTCGTGATATCAACATAATCAAGGCCCATCCACCGGAATTAAAGAAGTTTATGGATAAAAGATTGGATTTAAAGTTTGTGTTTGGCAGTCGTCGGGTGCGGTCGCATTTTTGAACGGCGCAGAAAGATTAGATTGACAACAATGAACCAGCACTTAAGGAATATCAACAAGTAAAGGCCGAAATATGAAATTGCATGGCAGCATAAAGGCAACATACGGACATCATAACAGAATCGAAAGATGAATACAACAGGGATTGATTCAGATATTTTATTTTGTGACAAAGAGTATGATATACTGCTATTTCTAGAAATTCCGCTTGAATACTGAGTATTCAACTATATATGTGTAAATAGTTTGCAGTGTAACTTACAGTGTAACATTTTTAAACATTCATTTAGTGGCATATTTTTGATTTGTTCTCTCTGTGTGTATACCGGTACTGTTTTAACAATGTTGGCCACGTCAATGTATCAATTAGGCTACAGACCTGCTCACGTGTGATTAGTGTTTTTCCTAATAATTGCTTTTATGAGTGTCCGCACACCGAATTTGCCGCCATGGTTTTGCGCTTGTTTGTATATTAAACCACTTATCACCTTTTCCGCAATGCCCAATCAAGCAATCAGTGTAGTTTTTCATGGCTTGGTTTTTCTTAAAGCTTTCATGGCTTCATGAGTATGACTATCGTCGCAAATTTATTACATTCCACTCCCCACATTATCTTTGCATGAGGTTGTAGGTATTGGTCATCATCAACGTAATTGTTGAAAGAGAGTACAACAGCCCGAAAGTTATTACTATCGTGTATTTTGTTTTTTAAGTTTGGCCCAAGCCTCATTTAATTGGGCTTGTGTTTTTGTGTGCGTGCTGGTGGGCAGGCACATGAGATACTTCATGTTTTAAACTTTTTTGTAGGTTTTGCTTGCCCTCCAGAATTCTCCATTTTTAATTTCGGTTTGTTATGGAGTTTTCGAAATAAACTATCTATCTATCTATCTATCTATCATTATAGACTCGGATTAGTCGACAATTGAATACTTTGCGCAACTGCAGAATCCATACCCGACAACATAACATAACAGAAAAACATTATTCGTCGAAAAAGGAACTTTTTACCAGGGACCTGTCTATTTACGGCAGTCAGTTTCATAGAAATTTCATCCTATTTCTCCTAGTTAATAATGCCTCAGATAAGGATTACGAGATCTGTTTTAGGGTGAGGGCTATGAATGCAGATTGAGCTGAAAATTCAAATTCGCAAATCATTCCTAGCCCGATCCGCACCGCAACTTGATTATTACTAATTTGTTATTTCAGAACGTGATGTTTTTCTCAAATTTCACATTCTTGCATTAGTGGTGAGGGCTTTGTACAAAAGATCGCTAGCCTCCGGATACAGAAATTATAAACGAATCCATCCTGTGGTAATTAACCGATTTTTGAAATGTAGGCATTTTTTCAAGATCTTCCATTGTTAAAGGTATCGATGATCAGACAATTCAAGGTAATATGATTATTGGAAATACAAATAGCGCTCCCAGTAAAATAAGTAATACGGCGCTCCCGTTTTCGCTGTACAGTCCCTGATGGTTTGACTTCAAGCCAAACATATACTCAATCGCCTGAAAGCTTCGCGGGCAGCATGAAATTTCTTGGTAGGCCGCACGCGGCCCGCGAGCCGCAGGTTCGTCACCTCTGATCTAGACTAGACTATAGAACGGTTGTACCGTGAGCAACGCATTATATGGATTACTTTTACTGGGCCATTGGACCTCAAATTGAAAATTCCGGTTATACAACAGCCTTATGTATTTGGGAGCTCGACAGAAATTCGGGATTAACCGAGCAAAATACCAGTAGAACTTCATTGACAGAAGTTTCTTCAATTTTTGGCTCGAGGAGTAATTTGATAAATTAGTCAGAATGCAGTGTGTATAATTGTAACGTGTATTCACTAGCAATTATTGTGGTCAATTCAATTTTCGGTGGTTTCAAAATGTTTAAAAGCAGCTTATGAAATCGCAAACGAATTGTTGGGATATTTTTTTCGAATAAAATGAAGAGGGTCAAGACTGTAGTTGGTGCTTTTATCGCTTACTGGCAACAACGTTACAAAAACGAGCGAGTTTCGACGCCACTGACAAATGCACCAACTACTAAACGAGAATATCGGTCAGAGACCGAAAAGTTATCGATTGAAAGTTAGGGGATCCCCAAAACAGCGCTCTTGCTACATAGTGACACCTTGTGTCCCATCACTAATTAATTAATAACTCGCTAATTATACGACATAATTCATCCAAAATCAATAGGCTTCTGGTCCGACATATGATGAATGCACATGTAAAATCTGGAGCCGATTCAATCTTGCTTTCGTGAGATATCGCGTGCATCTAACAGACAGACAGACAAACAGACAAATACCTATCAACATACTTACCGATCAAAATCGATAAGTAATAATCGTACATAATGATATTATACAAAAAAACGAATAAAGTACCTAAGTCCTAAATATTCTCTTTTTAAATATAGAAATATTCTTTTTTAAATAATGATGTCAAAAGTAATACATTCACCTGCAAAATCGCCAATAAGACCTATAAATACTGAGAAATCTCGATCGAGATCTTTTTACTTGGAGTGTTTGGTTGTATTACGTTTAGAGTATTTGGTTGTATTAAACTAATAATATAGAATTACTCGAATAAATTGTGAAACTCAAACAACTGTATTATGGATGTGAAAAGGAACACTCACATTCATCCTGCTGTTAGTTTTTACTTCGGTATTAATACGGAGATGATAATATTAAAACTGTAGGCTGTAGAGCAGGGTCTTCCAACCCGTGGCCCGCAAAAGAGTTCCGAGTGGCCTGCGCAGTATTTTTCGAAATTGAATAAACTAAACTTAACCCGATGTCTCCCACAGAATTGACACCTCCCCTAAATATTAAGTGAATTATTCTTATAAAAATTATTCGTCGTCGTTCATACGCGCGAGAGACACGGCTAAATAAAAATTTTGAAGACATCGCTTTCAATTTACTTCGGCTATAGTAAGCACTGATATAAACGATTTGTCTATTTCAGCAAGGTGTATTTTGTGATTTTGGTTTGTTTGTGCCGGCCCTCTATATCCCAATATCGGTTCTGCTTATCACACTTGTACCAAATCTTGCGCCCTGGTTGACATCGATGTGTTTTTTTTATTTCTCGAAGGACCGCGCGTTTTGCTCAACAAAATCAAAAGCTATTGTGCGATCATTGGTCGAGGAAAATTATAAGAATAAATTTGCAACCCAAATTTACCGTAAGTCGTTATGATTAATATCTTTCGTGTAGGGTAGGCTTTGATCATCCTTATCACAACCGTAAAATAAAAAGTGTACTGTAGGCTACTTTGTTACTGGCTCCGGTATACGTTTTTTTTTTCTGTTTGTATTTTGCTATGGTGTGTATTTAATTTTTGCGTTAAACAAAACTTCTGAAATTTAGTCACTGCGTACAAATGCATGATTTCAGATATTCGCAACAGCTTTGTGCAATCCAAGCGTTTGATTCAGCGACGCGCAAATACCAACGTAAATCAGAACTGGTATATATATGTTGTATATGTTTGAGGCCCGCAATGAGTTTCGTCATGTGAAAGTGCCCCGCGGCACTAAAAAGGTTGGACATGCCTGCTGTAGACTAATGATCAATTCAATAGATCGTATTGTAAAATTCTTTTAAGAATTGGAAATAATATTATCCGTTGATCAATGTTTACATTTGACGCCAAAGATCTTCGGTTTATCGCAATATCATTAAGGGATGGGGCAAAATAAACATTACTTTAATTAACAACATATATCTGTATATTACTGTACCAGTGTAAGTTTCAAATGGTTGAAAATTGAATTTATTTCCATCCTTTCAAGGCATTCAAATTAAGGAATATACAGATATATATTGTAACTTTGTGTGTGCTGGTGGGCGGGCGCATTCTGTTTCTCGTGTTTTAAACTTTTTTAAAGGTTTTGCCCGCTCTCCAGAATTCTCCACTTTCAATTTGTGTGTATTATGGAGTTTTTCAAAATAAACTATCCATCTATTTCCATTCGTCATGAAAAATATGAAGCTTTATACTCACCAGGCCCTAGAGCCTTATAAATCCAGCTCTACGAATTGGATGCTACGATCAAAGAAAATGCATCTTCTTCCTTGTCTGCCACTCGATAACGAGATTATCACAGCGTCGGTGAGTGTTTTTTCTATATCGTAATCCCAGCCCACAACGGCAATCACGTTGTTTTAACAGTCGATTGAGACGGCAACGAGAGCGACAGTTTCGCCATTCAAATTATCCACCAATCACATAAGCCAGAAAGATCACGTGACTTTGACGTTGTCAATCTGGCATCTCTCGCACGGTCCGCCATTATCTGCCATCACAGTGACGAAGATTGACAGTCGGTTTGTTGCTTTGCTTGTCCATCAAATTGTGTTGTGTTCGACTTTTGTAGCCATCGCGGAGGCGGCATTGCTTTACAAATGGCTGTAATATGTTTGGCACACGGTTTATTTGTAAGTTGATGCGTGAAAGCCGATATTGAGCGCGAATTATGAAGAGTTATACGAAAGCTTAGCCTGTTGATGAAACAGCGAAAGATAGGCGAGAGAAAATCACGGGCGCTCGAAAACCGTTATATCAGTACATTGAGCGTTAGCGGCCATTTTCATTAAACAAGTTAGTCTAACATGCAATAAAGCGCACTACATGGATGAAACATAGCATAAACCAACTGTATAATCTTACAGCTGTACATACTGACATACATAGAGGATATATTCTATTGCTGTATTGGCTTCAAACTTTTCAAAGATTGGTCATAATATGATAAAACACTACTTGTATGTATTAATATATCCCAGCAATGTTGCATAGAAGCAGGTCCCCAAAGGAATGTTCTATAATATATAATAAGTCCATAGATCAAATAAACATCTGCAATGGCATTGTGTGTATATTCACCAGAGGTGATTGTTTTTCTGCTTGTGTTCAATTGTTTGAATACAGACTCTGTGAATGACGTATATTAGTTGGAAACAATTGTTAGTATCCCTAATTGCTTGCATACTAAAGTGCTAAAAGATATAACATATTGTTTCAATGCATTGTTTGATATCCGAACGGCTGTCAAGAAAATAATACAGTATAGCAATAAAAAATCGTTAGTTTTAATGTTGCAAATATGTCCAATTCATTGGTGATAAGGTAGCCACAGTATATAGAATGTGCAAAACATAAATCATTGTCAGATTGCACTCGTAAGGACATGCAATTACATTGTACAGCTTGAATTCAAAATGTAAAGGAAGTACCTCAGTTGTCATCTATAGACAGACAGGAAAGATATCACTGCATGTTATTCCCGCTCGTATTTAATCATTTCTTTAATGTGTGCATTTTCAATCATGATTGTTTTGCCAATCAGCATTCTAGCTAACTGGAATCTATTTTTATGGATTATAGACTAGTGGCAGGTTGGAATGTGATTATAGAATCATTCACAATTGGGATAAATATGAAATGTTTGAAATATAAATTTGTTGGTGTTTAGGATGAAGATAATATTATATTGAGCTGACCTGCATGGTTCAAAAATATTATAAAATGTATATATAATATAGAATAAACAATCCTTGTACTGGAATAAAAAAGTTTGATTATATGGTACTAAGAAAAATCTTTGAAATAAAAATTTCTACCTCTGCCTCCTGAAAATATGCTAATATGAAAAAATAATCAATTTGTAAGAATGAAACTCTCTCAGTAATGTTGCATAGAGGTGCAGTTTATGTTAGATTCACTTACTGGAAAATACCTATATATTTGCAGTGCAATTTGAAAGGAATTTTTCTCTATTTAGATCAGACGATAGACAAATTCTGCCAGATTCACTAATAAAATAATAGATCTGGCAATTGGCTGTTACTTAGCTTTTGAAACATGCTTCTGTGCTTGTCATTGCAATGGTTCCTCCAACTTTCCAAAATCATTCATGTACTGGTAAATATTGCCATACTCAGGCGACCAGTCCGAAAGAATTGGGTTAAAAAATGATTGATCTGTCTGTCGTATTGACTTACCTCACGGCGTGATAAATGTGCAAACCCATTGTGGAATATAAAATATAATAGTACTATACTAGTACTCAATATTAAAAGGGCTTGGTGTAAAAATGTTTTAAATATTCTATGTCTCATGTTCTTACCTTATACCACTGTATATACACTGTATAGCTTTTACATCATTGTGATGTAACACTGATCTCACCTCAACCCATGTCAATAGTCAAATCACCAAGTGGAATCCTTAATGATCTTATGCACAAATGACCAGAAAAATGAGCCAATATACATCTGACGAGAGGGCTCAGCATATCAAAGTAAGTAATATCATTTATTTTCATGTATTTTGCCAATGTCACTGGTTTTGCTCATCTATTTCTGTCTATGCATTTTTAACTATATTAGCATCACAGGTCCAAGGTTGCTGTTTCTAAACCCATACCAGTCTCTACAAACAGGGGGTGATAAATTCGATATAGCTTTCAGTCCTCCTAAAAAAGTAGCCCATTAGACCTTACAAATTAGTCGCTACTCCTGCAGAGCTTTTCCCCGTAGAGCAAACACTTGGAAAACTGATCTGTTTCTTACCTAGATTCACCCACCTGCCGGAATTGAATGCAAATTTTCAAAATTCAATAACTATCTTTGCCTATTGATTGTAAATTATGCAAGAAATGCTAGCTCCAAAATGTTGAATTTAATAGCAAGTACCAAGATATATTGTTCATCTCTACTTCAGGAACATGGACAAAACTCTGATGCCCCTGTACAAGATTTAGAAGATGCAATACAGATTGAAAGAGACAAAAAATTAATCAAGAAGTAAGTTATCTTCTTCAGTTGACCGACACGCTTGTCATTTCTGAAAGATGTAACAAATTTGTAACTTTTTTATTGAACTTGGTAAAGAAAGTTCTCAAAGTATATGAAAAATTTTGAATGGTAACTGCTAAACTATTACGGTAGGTCACAAGCCCCTTCACCAAGTTATGCTTAATTTTGACAATCATATTTGAACATTGTTGTTTATTTATGAATTATATTTCCAGTCATCCACTATTTGTTCTGTTGGAAATGTTGTTTGAAAAGTGTGAACAAGCAACACAAGGGGACGAGGCTCCTACTTCTTCTGCATTTGATGAAGAATTGCAAGAATTTGTGAGACAACGACAATATGAAATGACTCCAATATTAACAAATGATTCAGAGATTGATAATTTGGTAAAATAAATTTATAATTTTTTACAAGTTTTTTAGAACATTGACATATTAGTTCAATGGCTCCTAACTCAGGATCCAATGATTCACTGGGGTTCATAAGTATGGAATCAAAATGAAACAACTTGCTTTTGTGGTCTAGCTTTCATAACAGAACTTAAGAAACCATCCTGTGGGTTATTCATTTCAAAAAGTAAATTCCCAATCAATCAGGTTCAATGGAATGATTAGCACTGGTTGTTTGTGTATTTCTCATCTATCTCTCTCCACATAGTTTCTCCACAAGTTCAAATGTTGACTCCCAGCCTAAAAAATGTCAAAGTTTCAGACTCGACAGATCTAATAAAACCATAATTGCGCAATCTCCAGCAAAAATCATTAAATGAATTTGAACTATCGTTGCATCAAATGACTAGTATCTAACAGTTGGCAATTTGTCAAAAAAATTTTTGAGTAATGTGCATATATGCCTGAATGTGTTATTCCGTTGGTTTAAAATTCAGAATAAAAATATATGATACTTTGATATTTGTAATTATTTTCTTTATTAATTAACATTTCTTATTTTCAGATGATAAAAGCAATCCAAGTTTTGCGTATTCATTTATTGGAATTAGAAAAAGTGAATGAGCTCTGCAAAGATTTTTGTCATCGGTATGTGAGTTTCCCATAATAAGTAAATTCATTATTATTGCTGCAAAATATCATTTTTATTATTATATTAAAGGTATGAGGCGAATTAGTGTTTTTATATATTATACCAAAACTATACTGAAATGTAAATCTTCATTTGGCCATCTTATTTGAATATACAGAAATAAAGAGCATTGCTATATTTTACCTAACATTTGTTATCCATTCAGATATTATAAAACATATTATATGGTGGAAAAAATGTAAATGCATAGTTCTAGCACTGAGCTATTTCAATTTTGTGATAAAACAGCATCTAATTTGTCTACCATTATCGTAAAATCACCTATAATTCAGGTAATTTATATTCTCATTAGAAGGTAAATGATCCTTATAATTTGACTTTCAACTAATCGATTGACATTTTTCACTAATCCAACAACGTACTAAACTACCCACAAATCTGTAAACAGATATAATCGGCTCATTTGGTTTGTTTACGTAGAAATGTTGTTTTTCAGGTATATCACATGTTTAAAAGGTAAAATGCACAGCGAAAATCTTCTCAGATCAGACTCTGGAATTTTTGCAGATGCTCAAACATCGGTACATGGCCAAGTAAATATATTTATCTAATTTAAATAAATTGTCAATTATGCCATATTTGCATATGCTTTGAAGAGAGCAATCATTTATTTGAAAGAGAGCTATCATTTATGATTAGTATGATTATTTCTGTGAATTAGACTATATGTGTGTGGTCACAAATTATCGAGTCCGCTCTCTGCATCTTATGTTTTTGATTCGTGAATTTTACCACCAAATGTATTTTCTGTTGTTTAGTAACCTATTTCAATCTTAGTTCATTTCTACACACTAATTTACCAACTGTTGCGCAATCAACGAGTTATTGCGCAATCAACGAGTAATTTCTTATTATTTTGAGTATTTTCACATATTATGCATGATCATATTTACATTGAATATTGCTTTCAGCTCGCAAATACTCCAAATGCAAATGTCACTGTCAACTTACAAGGAGAAATAGTTTTGCAAGGTACGCTTTTTATTATTTTTATTTGAAGTGCAAAGTCTGTATTGATTTCATGAAATGAATTCGGTCAAGTCAGATTAGAATTTTTTTGAAATGTTACCTAATATGACTAATGTAATTTGGCGAAATAGTGACAGAGATAGCAATAGTACATTTAATATTTTTCTATCTACTAATTCAATTTCCAATACAGTTATTAGTGTACATATGCAAGGCTAACTATCTTATCCAGGTTTTGTCAATTTTTCATGTAGGTGGATACCAGTCTGGTGTATCGTCATCGTCTGATGGTCATTCAAATGAAAATATAGTCAACGGTTCTACACCTTTATCACAAGTAGGAGTTAATGCTCCGCCACCTGCTCCACAGGTACTTCACTAGTTTAGGAAAAATCTTTCCACTAGCAGAGAAGAAGGATTACAATCTTTAGTCACCGTTTGTGGTCTCTCCTTGGTTTGTAGTCTCTGTTTGTTTTATTAGATTATGCTTCTAAGTTCTATCTGGACAATCTTATGTTTAAATTTGAATTCTGTGCATAAACCTTTGCTTGGCTCAAGTTTGTGTTCGATACTTTTTAACTGCTGCTTTATTTTGTTTTAGGTGATTCCACCTCACATGTATCATCTTCCACATAATAATATTGAGGACGGTAACAATAGAAAATCGAAGCGAGGAGTCTTACCTAAACAAGCCACTGAAATATTGAGATCCTGGTTATTTTCACATATAGTAGTAAGTACTATGCATTTGAAGTGTTTTGCATATTCCTAATCAAGCAGAAATCTATATTGTTTTGTGTCCGTGTAATACCCTCTCACACTTGATCTAATTTATTCACATCTTTTTCAGCATCCTTACCCAACGGAAGATGAAAAGAGGACTCTTGCAGCTCAGACCAACTTAACATTATTACAAGTTAATAATTGGTGAGATATTTTAGTAGGTTTTTCAGAAGAATGACAATTGCCTATTGCTGTACACAAACCATGAGACCAATATTAATTTGGTCATTTTGAGATACATATTTGCATTGACTTACACTATCACTCTTTTATATTTTTTTCAACTTTATTGCTGAAGTTTTTGGCTATACAGTAATTGTTGACCCATGTCTGTCATTTGTATGAATGCTTATTAAGATTAACAATATGATACTGTTGTTTCAAGCTTCAACTTTGAAAATAGTCAATTGAAAATTTATAATGTTTAGGATAGTTTGCCACACTTTTTGCAACCTATATTAACGGCATGGATTTCATGATGGTAGGGCAATGTGTCGGAATATGGGCACAACTTCGTAAAATACTTTCAAGATCCGAGCTCGAACCACATTGTATTATTGACCACATTTACAGGTTTATTAATGCTCGTCGGAGAATATTACAGCCAATGCTCGATGCAAGTAATCCAAATGCAAACGTAGCCAAATCCAAAAAGAACAAACAACAAACCACGAGGCCTGGTACAACAGAACGATTTTGGCCCCATACGAACAGTGACGAAGGGTCACCCCCTCTCGTTGAAGAGGGTGACCTGCACCCAGGAACAATGATAGCTTCTGCTTCTGTTACAATGGAAAGTAGCTGAAAAACAAATGCTCAAACCACAGTCTTATATTTATATAAATATATATATACGGTGCTGAGTTGAATATTACAATTATGTGTCTGTATTCTTCCTATCAACTCTCCAGCATTCTTGTTTGTTTTTCTGTTTTAGTCAGCGTTTGCCAAAGTAGGGCTGAAGAAACCACAATCACGTGCAACTCAATATATAAATTAATTAGCCATTGACTGTATAAAAAGAGCATATTGGAAGCATTCTTGTGTTTGATTGTCACTTGATTTATCCGTACTCAAAAGGATGTGAAAAATAGTTGAATACTTCTTTGTGCTATGGACATTACGGATCGTGAACCAAAATTAAAAAAAATTACGCTTTCCATTTGATTAATTATTTTTTAAATTAGTTTTCCTGGCTGTGATTGATTATCCATCACATGTATGGAACATTATATAATTTTGGCACTATGGATTCCAATCAATAAGTATAGGAAGTGTCAGGATATATTGTAAGTTCATTCCATGAATAACATAATCTTATAGTAATGGATAATAGTATCCTTTTTAGCTTCTGTTATTATTCGGCATGCTTGAAAAAAATAGTCTCTGAATCACAATTATGTATGTTCCATATTATTACCAGTCTCAAGACTTAAAAAAGTTTAAAGCTTCATTTGGATATAATTGACAGCCTCTTTATTTCTATGAATATTAAATTAAAAGTTTTTTTAAATATTGACCAATAGTTACACTTATTGATCCAACATTTTCCGACGTGTGACCGATGCCCTCTTGTTTTAACTTACCTCATGCTGGAGTGTTTTGTTTGTTGTTCTTTTCCACTTTATTGTAATGTTACTCTTTTATTATTATTATTTTTCAAAGTTCCTTATTCATAATTGGTACAATGCTATAATTTTATGTCTTCTTTACTCAGTTATTAGTGTCCTAATGTGGCAAATGAGGCCTTTATATATTTCTTTTTTTTGCTCTGGTCTGATGAATGGTGTTTTAAAAGTTGAATTTGCAATATAAAATGCAAATATCATCTGTGTTCCACTAATTAAGTTTCGCTGTTTGACGAAAACAGGAGTTAATGAATACCTCTCAAATGTTCACTACCTAATTATTGCTGTCTTGTCCATTGACAGGGATAAAGGCAGCTTTTTTGTTCCATTTCACACAATAAAACTTTTAGGAAAGTTATATACTTCAGATAGATAGGAATTTTTGACATAAAATTTGGAATTGAGTTCTAATTCACCAGTCAATTTCTTGGCAGAAACATTTCATACACTCGTACCTTTGACATATGACTAATGTTCAAGTGAGCAGAGTTTTAATAGTTTCATAATAAACATTTTGTTGTTTTCATTTCTCGCCACGAGGGGTGATAAACAATAGTTTTCTTTTGGTTTTTGATCAATGGTTTTTCCAGACTGTATGTTTTAAGTATGGTAACTCTATTCTGTTTCTATAAATATCACTCATTTCTGCTCAAGATTTTCGTACTCTTTCGTTTTCTTGTAAAGAAATTTTTGTTGGGTTTTAGAGATATTGGGTACTTCTAACCAGCATTTTTTTTTTTATACTTTTCGTGTTTCATTTCATTTTTGCTTTGTATCTTTTAAGCCGCAATATGCTACCTGTCTGTATTCTATTTGCCACCAATTTTAAATGATACTACTGCAGTGTTTGGCCCGGTCTTTTTTTTTACTTTCTCCAAGTTCTCTTATTAAAGCCAAATCCCAAGCCATCAAATAAAATTACTGATAGAATGGTAAAAAAATAAAATTGTGAGTTACTGATGGAACTATTAATCATTAACAATATGTAGGTTCAGTATTTGTCAGTCAATTCAACAGTTTACAAACACTTCAACACTATGAAGTTCAGTTAAACTCTTCCAGAAATAAACGTTTTGCGCTTGCAAAAAGAGCTTGGCCTTACATAAAAAAAAAGTTTGTTTGCTTCTGCATGGTAACATGAATTTTGTTGCTGTTTTCTCCTTCGTTATCTTTGGGGATTCCTAGCAAAAACTGGAGTTAGATATTTACTGTCTTTTCTAACTGTATAAATACTTTTACTTGAATATAATACGGTACCGAATGTTTTTTACTGTTTGCCCTTTTGCATTGCAATAAAGCACTTGGCAACCACCGGATCTTTTACTCTTGAAGTTCATAATTTTGAGGGAACAGTCATTGTTGTTTGTAAGGCGAGAGGGTGAAATATAGGTTGATTGTTGTTGGCGAGGCGAGAGATATTGAATTCGACTGGAATATAAGTTATTACAGTTTGTGTAAGCGATCTTTGTCAGAAAAGCTGGTCAGTTCCGATTAGTTTGTATTAGCGATCTCGATTCTTTTCATATTTAGGATGTTACAGGGCTGTTTTTCTAATTGGGCACTAGTGACAGAATTTATTATAATATGAGGAAAATAGTTAATTAAGATGTGGGCAGAATATTAAATATTTGGGCAAAAGTTCTAAATGAAAGAGCATGGACAATAAGATAAAAATTAGCACCGGTATAACACTGATACTACAAGCAATAATACAATAATAATATAACTTGAATATATAAAGAATACAGTAAACCTAGTCTTTTTTTTTTGTTCATCTATTCATCAAGGAGATGAATTTTCATTCGTTCACTGAATGTTGTAAGCGAGTATTCTTTGAGTTTAATAACTAAAGCCTTGTTATTTGATGTCCTTTCGTACGTCATGTATTCGTCCTACCTTTATTCATAAGACGTTAAACAATGTTAAGATCCTTCAAATGTTAATACCACTACAATGTTTCCAGACCTTTTTCATCTTGCGGTTCACTAACAGCGAAATATTAAGAAAAATGTTTTCTGTTCTCATACCGATCTTTGAACACTCGCTCGCTAAAATTGGTTAACAGAAATTTGACATTGTGGAGGAAGTGGTATAGTATTTGATCTCCAAGTAATTCAGGGGAAATGTGAAAAAGGATGAAAGAAGACCATATTTATAGGCTCTTCAATTTTCTAACAGTTGAAATTTGGAATGGATTCGACTTCAAGCGCAATCGATAATTAAGCATTCGTTCACAATCCTGAGTTAATTTCCAGGATGCATCTCTCATCTATCTGTCGTTACGTTTTAAATAGAACTTATAATCATATTGGATGATTGTAATGAGCAATGAGGAGCTCAATAGGTAAATTATATGAGTAATTGTCAATTTCGTTTTTAATGTTTATGAAATGATCTATTCAATTTCCTCAGCACAGAAGCATCTTCTGACAAACTTCCGAAAAAAGAAAACTTTAAATACAATGATAGCAACGGCTATGTATAGGAACCCAATATGTCTAAACGTTTGTCCTTCGGTAGAACGTGGGTGTTCTATAAAATTATAGCGCTTTTCAAAATTGAAATAGGCACCAAACAAAGCCAAATTTTAATCAGAACAAGTAAAATGCCTATGTCATAGTCGCGCAGAGAAAGGGGAGTAAAAGGGAAATCACAAATACAGCACACATTAAAGTAGTGCATAATTATTCACACGTCTGTCTCAAATATTTTCATTGTCCTTTTTGAGAATCTGAGTACCCTGTGTCAAAGGTCTTCCGAATCCGACTATAGGGATAGAATGTCAAGATCCGTAAAATATTTGCCTTTGTATATGTGGCACTACACTCATTGGGGGACCGTAAATTAATATGCCTGTTTCTCATTATCCAAAGTCCATCCAAAGTCTTAGTCCGGCAGATAAGGGGACTTTTTTGGCCCAAGTTTGATTTCAGACATAAAGTTTTTTTTATTTGTGAGTATTCATCTTGGGGTCATTGCCCATCATTTCTACATGGGTGTGGAGTTTGCAGCCTTGAGCACTTTTTTTACGGCTCGATATTTGTATTAGTGTTTTTTGTCAAACCTGTGCATCATAATGACGCACAACCTGAACCATAACCTGTTACAATACTATGTTCAGGTTGGGCGCAATCTTGGTGCACAAACTACGCAAGCACCAAATTTACTAGGAAATAAAATCGATACCTTCTAGGTATTTGTTGAGCCCAGCTTTGGGTCGCGACCCATATACAGTATATGGAAATACTGTCGAAACATACGCGTAAAATAAAGAGTACTATTTCAAAATACCCGTTTTTTGTTGCAATTTACAGTACAAGCCTGCTAATGTAGTCGCCAGTGGTTCAAGTGGATATACACCCGGTGGAGAACAGTCAATTATTTGTTGGCGAGAATTGTTATGCAGCGGGATGATCACGACGACGCAGTGAAAGATAATGATATCACGAGAACAAGAATGAGAAAATTGCTACATTTTATAGAATATCCCTGGGAAAGAATGTAGTTCATTCTTATGTTCCATGCCAATGCTTTTCAAACTACCAAAGACTCTCAACACTTTCGCTTCTTCTCTTCTATAAAAATACATTGTTATTATATATTCGCATTTCCATCTGTTTGTTCGTGCTCCCAGATAACCGATCAGCGCCTCCAAGGAGGACGGGGTCCCCTTTCATGAAACCCTGTCATAAACTAAAAGAGGCGATCGTGCTTCTCTTGCCTGTTGTCATGCTGTCCCTGGAATTCAGCTACAACAAAAATTTCACGAAAACGGATTTTTAAATTTTATGATTTTAATAATATTCTCAACAATGAATGATATACGGGTGGTAAAATGCCAAGTTATTCCAACAACATGATCATGCACCTTTGACAGAGCCCCAAGAGCTCTAACTACAAATATCAAAAATGTGAGGCTAAAATAGTCACACTACAACATTGTCAAATGTGCTGTATTTACGATAGATAACAGGTTTACCAAAAAGAATTACATGCAAAATGGTAAAATAAAGATCAATTCAGCAATATCTACTTGGTGATATTCATCTGTTGATGATTTTATGTGTTTGTTTCGGAAGTTTAATAACAGAAGTAATTGTGGTTGTTGGGGATGTTTTAAAAAAGGTTGCATGGAAAAAAGTTTTCACAAAATGTCAAGGTTTGATAGTAGTAGAGAAGTAGAAAAAATAATCCCATGTTTGTTTTTTCATTTGATAACCACGCCACAGAACTTCCCCGATAAGTATACGCAGCAATTGCGAGAGGCAGAAATGCTAAGATAGGATTTCATCGCATTACAAACCAATATTAGCAATTCTTATATATATTCGCGCATTCCCAGCTGAACAGCGTGAAAAAGATTGTACCCATCTACACACTTTAAGAACTATGTCAGATGAGCGTCATATTATCGAATATCAGTAAAGGAATAGTGCAAAGGGAAAAGACATATAAGGCGGAACTTTCAGTAGTATGCAATCAAATAATCTTATTGTAGAATATATATTTAAAAACATTTCGTCACGCCAACTGCAGTCCGAAACTTTTTGTCTCTGGCTGAGCTTAGATACCAATTGGCACTCATGTAAACTGGTAAGACTGTAAGAGGCACGCGATGGAGCAGATACTAAGAGCAGATACAACCCCCAGCTGTCATTTGAGTGGGTACTGCTGTTTTTATTGCAGATGTTACTGATCTTTTTGTATTAAAGATTTACTGGCATCACCGATTTAAGGATGTTGGAAACCAACCCGCAATATTACAAAACTTACTTTCAACACGCGGTTTGAATGAATGAAAAAGCTGAAACTAGTATTCTTTAGAACAGCATACAAATTCTATGGAATGAAATCATACACAAAAGCTCGTCAAAAACCTATAGCTCAATAATCAAATGGAATTTGATGCATGTGCGCAAAAATGTGCGCGTTACCACGTACAACCGAAGCACGCAGGAATATGCGTGTGATGTACTAGTATTCAAAACGTTTGACTCAACTATGTTGGCCTTCTATCTCCACAAGGATATATTAATTTTGCCAAAGTCAATGCAGCACTGAAAGGTTGCGGTTCTTCCAAAAGAAAACACGTTACACATCTTTAGATACCAGTGGATGGTATTACATGGCCTTGTTCGGAGTGAAAGACGAGGTCAAATATTTCAATCCAATTCAACTAATAAAATATTTCCCAAGTTCCTAAGCTTAAACTAGGAAAACGAAATGCCAGATGTAGTTTGAAGAGCGCAATAGAAAGTGGCTAGATGCTGTCGGTGGATCTTGGCTTGTATTAGTGAAATAAACTACCATTTATTCTACTAAAATTGAATTTCTGACATTGTCAGGAGATTCAATGTTACTATGTATGCAAACCTAAACCATGTAGTTATGAAATAATTGTTTTTAACAAAAAGGCGCTCTTGAAGTATTTGTACCAAGATGGCGCACAACCTGAACACTGTATGGTTACCAGGTTAGGGTTCAGAATGTGCGTCATCTTGGACCGAATACTTTAAATACACTTATAAAAAAAAATTGCTCAACATTACTCCACACCCACCTGGGTATCATTGTATATGTCATATACATTATATCTAAACAATAAAAAAAAAATTTATGTCCCAAAACAATGTTAAGGCCCGATTCTGCCGGACTATCTTATCCAAAATGTATAGTTTACAAAAAACAAATTAAAATATAAACCTCACTGATAAATGGTGGCACAATACAAAATACACCCATATAATGTGCACGTAAATTAATATGTCCGTTTTTGCTTGTCTAAAGCCCTGCTTAGAGTGATATCGCGTAACGCCATATTAATATATTGTAGCCCAATACATGATCTATGGCTGGACATAAAATAACAAGTCCCTCCTTATGTGTGTGTGGTAGGGAGGCCGCTGCCCTCACTGAGTTTGTTAACGTAGTCGCAGACGCCATTACGGGTGATCAGCTCTATTTTGTTACTGTGACGTCGCATTGGCGTAATTTTTTGATGACGAAGTCAGGTGAGGGTCAGGAATATTATATGCAAAAATTGTTACGCTAAGATAAGTATAAGTTATTGAGGTAAGAAACTACATTCATAGGTGGAATTACTAGTAATCTTCGCTATTATTGGGCAAGCGTTATTTCGTGATTGTGACGTTGCAGTGACGTAATTTTTGGATGACGAAGTCAGGTGAGGGTCAGGAATCATATATACAAAAATTCTTACGCTAAGCCTAATAGAAGGTATTGAGGTATGAAACTACACCCATAGCGGACAGACAGGCGTATTTAACACGATTGCATTATGGTCGCTATTATTAGGCAAGCTCTATTTCGTTATTGTGGAGTCGCATTGACGTAATTTTTGGATGATGAAGTCAGGTGAAGGTCAGAAATATTATATGCAAAAATTGTTACGCTAAGATAATTAAAAGTTATTGAGGTAAGAAACTACATCCATAGGTGGCATTACCAGTAATCGTCGCTATTATTAGGCAAGCTCTATTTCGTTATTGTGAAGTCGCATTGACGTAATTTTTGGATGATGAAGTCAGGTGAAGGTCAGGAATCATATATACAAAAATTCTTACGCTAAGCCTAATAGAAGGTATTGAGGTATGAAACTACACCCATAGCGGACAGACAGGCGTATTTAACACGATTGCATTTTGGTCGCTATTATTAGGCAAGCTCTATTTCGTTATTGTGGAGTCGCATTGACGTAATTTTTGGATGATGAAGTCAGGTGAAGGTCAGAAATATTATATGCAAAAATTGTTACGCTAAGATAATTAAAAGTTATTGAGGTAAGAAACTACATCCATAGGTGGCATTACCAGTAATCGTCGCTATTATTAGGCAAGCTCTATTTCGTTATTGTGAAGTCGCATTGACGTAATTTTTGGATGATGAAGTCAGGTGAAGGTCAGAAATATTATATGCAAAAATTGTTACGCTAAGATAATTAAAAGTTATTGAGGTAAGAAACTACATCCATAGGTGGCATTACCAGTAATCGTCGCTATTATTAGGCAAGCTCTATTTCGTTATTGTGACGTCGTATTGACGTAATTTTTTGATGATTAAATCAGGTGAGGGTCAGGAATATTACGTGCAAAAATTGTTACGCTAAGTTAACTAGAAGTTATTGAGGTACGAAACTACACCCATACCGGACACACAGGCGTATTTATCACGATTGCATTATGGTCGCTATTATTGGGCAAGCTCGATTTCGTTATTGTGACATCGCATTGACGTAATTTTTGGATGATGAAGTCAGGTGAGGGTCAGAAATATTATATGCAAAAATTGTTACGCTAAGATAATTAAAAGTTATTGAGGTAAGAAACTACATCCATAGGTGGCATTACCAGTAATCGTCGCTATTATTAGGCAAGCTCTATTTCGTTATTGTGACGTCGTATTGACGTAATTTTTTGATGATTAAATCAGGTGAAGGTCAGGAATATTACGTGCAAAAATTGTTACGCTAAGTTAACTAGAAGTTATTGAGGTACGAAACTACACCCATACCGGACACACAGGCGTATTTATCACGATTGCATTATGGTCGCTATTATTGGGCAAGCTCGATTTCGTTATTGTGACATCGCATTGACGTAATTTTTGGATGACGAAGTCAGGTGAGGGTCAGGAATGATATATGCAAAAATTGTTACGCTAAGATAAGTATAAGTTATCGAGGTAAGAAACTACATCCATTGCGCCAAGGCAAATTAATATGTCGGTTTCTGCTGGTCTAAAGCCTTGCATAGAGTGAAAGCGTTCCACGTCCTATATATAAAATGTGGCCCAATACATGATCAGTCTCTGGATATTAAATAACAAGTCTTTATGTCTGCGGCACCTAACCTCAATCATTGCGTGAATTAAATGTTCTTTCTGTTTGTCTAAAGCCTAGCTCAGAGCGGTATCGTATATCACCCTATTAATAGATCGTAGCACAATACATGAGCTATTGCTGGACATAAAATAATAAGTCTTTATGTGTGTGGCACCCAACTTCAACCATTGCGTAAAATAACATGTATTTTCTGCTTGTCTAAAGCCTTGGTTAGAGTTGTATCGTATAACGCTCTATTTTAGATTGTAGCACGATACATGAGCTATTGCTGGACAGAAATTGGTCAGAATGGGATATCGTGAACGTTCCTTGGCGACAATTTAGTCGCCTGTGATTCTTGTTTAATTTTGAGCTCGGTACAACGACCCCGATAAGAGAGAGGTCGCTGACGTATTGAGTTTGTTGACATACTCGTAGGCGCCATTACGGGTGACCGTCGCTATACTTTGGCAAGCTGTATTTCGTTATTGTGACGTCGCAGTGACGTAATTTTTGGATGACGTCATCAGGTAGGGGTCAGGAATCATATATCCAAAAATTGTTACGCCACGCCCACTAGAAGTTATTCAGGTAAGAAAGTACATGAGACCCCTACTGTCTAAGTGCAGAAAAATACATATTCGGATACGGTACCGTACCTACTTGTTAATGGTACCATATTTTGCAATTTCCCTCTCATGCTAGACCAGGGAGCTCTGGAGGCAATTACTTCTGTACTTTCTTAAGTGGCCAGTTACAATACTGCAATACAGATACGGTACCGGTACCCGTAATAGACTTGACCTAGTTATTGGACAAAGTGGCACATTATATTTCTGTATTCCTGTATTCAGGTGCAGATAATACATGGGAATTAGGTACAGTCTATATTTTAGCCGATTATTGGTTATTTTTGAAATTTTCAACCCAAATTATATCCATAAAAAGTGACCAAAGTTACCCTAGCAGACATCTCTCAGCGGACATCTTTCTCATTTTCGGAACGGTAAAATAGCGTTGCCAGAAAACGATTTAACATGGCACTTAAATGCCGCATCGGAAAAAAGGAAAGATAGTCGCAAAGTACTTGCCAGATTTACGGCGGAATTTTGCTACACTCGGAATTACAAAACACTTATTTGTAATTTCCGATGGTCGGGCAGATTTTTAAAGTTGATATAAAAAAAGAACTTATATTGAAGTCATCCTAATCCAAGTTTTATAAAAATTATATGTTGGAAACATATAATATTACATTGTCAAACATGGCCAAAAAGAAATTTCACATTAAAATTAATAAATGTCGGCATTTTAACCCCAAATTCTGTACTTTTCGATTAGGTGCCCCACTTTTAGATAAGACATCTCAAACAAACATATTGTGAAGTCATTTCGAACCAAGTTTGAGAAAATTTGTATGTCGGGAACATATAATAATATCTTGTCAAATATGGCCGAACCATGAATTTTACATCGAAATTAATAAATATCAGTATTTCAACCCAAAAGTTTGCACTTTTCGATTATGTGCCCCACTTTTAGATTAGATATTCCAAAAGAACATACTGTGAAGTTATTTGGAACCAAGTTTCAGAAAAATTGTATGTCGGGAACATATAATAAGATCTTGTTAAACATGGCCCAAACAGGAATTTTACATCAAAATTAGTAAATATCGGCATTCTACCCAAAAATTCTGTACTATTTGATTACGTGCCCCACTTTCAGATAAGATATTTCAAAAAATCATACTGTGAAGTCATCTCGAACCAAATTCCAGAAAAATTGTACGTCGGGAACATATATTATTATCTTGTCAAACATGGCCCAAACAGGAATTTTACATCAAAATTAGTAAATATCGGCATTTTAACCAAAAATTCTGTACTATTCTCCGACCAACCGACAACTTGCTTTAAAATTTCACTTCCGGACTGACGGTATTAGCTGGGTTAAGGGCATTAGTCGCAAAATATCAGGATATTGACTGAATGAGATATTTTCTCAATTTCAAACCAGTTTTCAGTACAGCCCAGTTACAGAGTTAGGTATCCCATTCCAAGATTAACCCCCACATTAAAAGGCATCTTTTATAACAGTGAGTGCAAACCCCTTCTTTACGAGACAGACTGGGCTTACATATTGTGAAAAAGAAAAAAAATTTATCATATCATTCTAGACTAGAGTGTTCAGCGAAAAAACTCATTTTTGGTAGGTTACTCAAATCTGAATCTGCTGTCATGCCAGACACTCTTGTTTCAGAGACAGACAGAGTGTTTGTTTCATTGTACCAAATGTTGACACATTTTGGAATTGAAGAACTGCCCTACTATATTTGTTTTTCATTTAATGCTATGTACTGATGTGAGGTTGCATTGACTATTGAAAGGCTCGGCGGTGTGGCGCATCGTGCTAAGCGTTAGGAATACAGGAATGGTTATGTGCCAGAAGATTACTGGACTCCTGGGGCAGTAGGGTGGTTTATGTAACCGCTGGTCGGTTACGGCTTCCTCCACCATCAAGTTCATGCTTCCGAATTCAAATAACTGGCTAAGCAATCCCATACCCGACCTGAACTGGTAACAGGACAAGAGGCCTTGGTTCGCCGTATGATTAAGCGGTCTTATCGCCTTTCCTCTTCCTCAGGATAAATATGTAAATCCTATCCTAATTATTGTCTTTTGGTACTAGAATATTGAATCCTAGTTTTAAAGTTTTTCACCATTATAAATAAACTAAAAGACAAGATGAAGATTTTCGTTTTGATTATTGCATGCGTAGCGCTCGTGCAGGGTAACATCTGTGGGAGGCATACAGTAACAGAGGAAACTTATACAACAACTGAAAGGCGCCTGTCAGATGACACTGCCTTCATTGTGAAATTCAAGTTACAATGTAGCAGTGGAGCTCAAGGATTTCCACTGTTTGCAGAAGTTGGTGGAAAAATATATCCTGTTACCAAATCCCCAGAACAGAATATTTATCAGCTAAGTTGGGTTACAGAATCTAGTAATGCTGCAAGTGGAACCTACAAATTACGTCTCTTTGATGATGATGGAATGAATGTTCTCAGAAAAGCAATGAGAAATGAAGAAGATACTTCTGGTCTTTCGTCGCTATTTGATATTGAATTCAATCATCCTGGAAACACAAGAGATTTGTGGTTGACATCTGAAGTTGTTGGTCTCTTCGTTGCTGTCCTTATCTACTATGCAGTTTGTCGTTTGCGAAGCGAAGTTATGGATTAATTTCACATATATTCACTGTAATTGTAGTGAATTTCAAAATTGCACATTTGAAAATGCAGTCAAAATTACACTTGAGATTTATTTTGCAGTAACTTTTAATTAAAAATCATCGAGTAATCTATCAAACAATGTTAAATTTATAGTTCATTACACTTCACTTTAACACGAACTGATTTCACATTATAATTTGTCTCTTTTCAATTGTAGTTTAGAAATTGCTTAGTTTTCTAATGAAGTTAATAGATTCATGCATTTATCTGTTTAGTTTGATGAAGTCTGGTATTTTAAATTATAAGGGTGTCCCAAAATAAATGGAAAACATTATTTCGATTATCAATTTTGTGGTTGTCATTTATTTTTGGACACCAGATATCTGTCTATTCGTTGAAGCATCAAAGCTATAAAATATAAAGAATTCGACTCATTTTGTGAATTTGGAGTAAAATAAACAGTGTCTTCTAAAATGAAATTCGTGTTTTTTGGAAGAAATGTTTGTAATGTACTGTGTGAGCAATGTGCGTTTTCATTATAATATCAACTAATTTCTGAAGCTATCTATGTTGTAGTTTTCTCATTTAAATGAATATTTCAAATTTATTGATGTTGCATTTTTTTCTTGGTCGTCACCTGATGGTATTTCTACAAATTTTTTTCGAAAATTTAAATAACAGTTAATTTAACTGCTTTATTTCAATGTGCTTTTTGTTCAGATTCTATCTTATGCTAGGTCTGTAACTAGTCCCTGAATTTTAATGGCAACAGCTACAAAGAATCCTTTGAAAGAAGAGGTTCAAGATGCTGCCAATTTTGTACAAACATTTCTTGCGGCGGATAGGGAGCAACTGGATTTGTCTGAGCTTATTTCTGCAACTGGAATAAGTGAGTCAATATTTTTTGTGCCAAATTTTTTTAATTAAAAAAATCTTATAGGATTTTTAGTGTATTATTCTAGCATATGTATCAATGCTGTGAAATTCGTGGCTACTGTCTAACTTTCAGAAAATGACCTAGGCAATTGGCAAACATCTTTTTGTCTGCATAATTAAAAATGTTGTTTTTTAAATCAATTTCAGTTTCCACTGAAAATTCTGGCACTATAAGTCAATTAATTTTTCAATTATTGATTTTTCTCTCTAGTAGCCTTCTTAATTAACACAATACTTTTTCATTTTCAAGGTTCTGGAAGCATTAGCGGAACACATGATGAAGATTATCCAAATTTACGATTACCTCAACTCACAGATATTCGAAACAAACCACTGCCTCCCGAATTAGTCGAACAATTTGCACGTATCCTTTGTATATAAATTGGAAATGAATGCTGTAATTATAATGTGCTCAGCTATGTAGTGTTTCGTAAATAAGTTTTCTCGGGTGTTATCAATTCATGAATGGAGTTCATGGACTAGGAGCTTGGGCCAATAGAGTAAATTAAACGTAATTATAGCACGAATCTTGGTATTGTGAGTTTACAAAAAATTTACACTCGTTTACGGATCAAAACTCTAAGCCTTCTGTAAAAGAACTCTGACCAGTCCAGGTTGGAGAAAAGTTCGACCCGGACCTCAGCTAGAAACCATGTGAAAACCAAGGTTTGACAACAAAAATGTTGACCTTTGGTGGTACATGCAAGCGGACTTCCATTGTCTGTTTAGAATGCTAAGTTGACCTAACGATTCTTGAGTTTCTGTCAGAACTTTGGCTTCAATCATCATCATTTAAATTTTGAAATTCCCATTTCGAAAAATTAAAAATATCAACTTCTGACTAAGGGTGATTTAAAAATGCAACCTCGCCCTTGGTTGGCATGGCAAGATAGAAATCTTCTGCTTCAATCGTTCATGCTCATGATCACAGCAAGTGTAAAATAACTTTAGTGCAACAAATGGGAAGATTCCAGTCTTCAAAAACAGAGCTCTTTAAATATCCATTGCTTCTCATAACCCTGTTCAAAAAAAAACTTACCATAATGTCCATAAATATATTAAGAATTTACTGTTTTTATATATTTACCGTAAGAGGTCTGGTCTTATCTTCTGACTTTATACTTGCACTTCTCAGTAACAACAGTTTTCAATGAAATACCTCTGTGCTATATTGTATATCAATGTTATATATGAATAATATGATGATATGATTTCTTAACATCACACTATTATAAAGATATGCAATGCAATTGCATTGTTGGTATTTTTCCCGAAATAGGAAGAGCATGGTTGACTGTAGATTCTGATATATTTGTGTGGCGATATGCAGATGGAGAAGATCTAGCTTATTTTGATGGACTCTCTGAGACAATATTAAGTGTTGCACTAGTCAAACCCAAACCTGGTGAGCATTGGATATTTATTTTTTTTATTTGCGCACTTTTAGATTAAAGGAGAGTATTAAGCTTCATCAATACTCTTACTTTTTCTTTATTGTACATGAGTTGTACATGTGTGTCATTATTCTCAATTTTTGTTTGTGTTGTTGCAAAAAATTTGTTTCCTCGCCAGTCGCCACTTGAGGGACCAATCGATTTCAAATTTTCTCTGAGCCTTGTGCACCTTTTAACTCGCCCGATATTTTTCTGTTATATTTTAAAATATGGGAACACTTACATGACAATATGGGAACACTTCATGTTCATACTTTTTATATGCTTCTCTTGTATTTATCAATTAATGTTCAATATTGCAGGTATATTCAGAGATCACATCAAATATCTTCTAGTCTTGACAACACCGATGGAGATTGTTATTCTGGGAGTCAGTTTTGCAGAAGAAGGTATTGTTTAAATATAACTTTCAATTAGGAGAGTGAACGAAATCATCTTACTGCCCAGATATTGCTAGAGAGCATGTAGGTTTAAAAGGGTTTCAAACAATTTCGGGAATTTTAACCCGAAAATGAAAGTCACTCTGTCATAAAGGAAATCTCATTCATTTCTCATATACAAGACTTTTTTACATTTTTGAGTTTATTAGCATCCACTAACATTCAAGCATCTACTAGTTTGGAAGGACCATGATCTTCAGAGTCGGCTTTACCTTCCCAATTTATTACTTCTCTTTGAAAGATGGTGGACATATGTTTGAATTTGAAATTTGTAACCTTCTATGCCAGCATAGTTAGTCCAATATTCTAACCACTAGGCCGCCGCATCCAGGTCTTAGCGGATAAGATTATGTCAACATGGTCTGGAGTATATCTCAGCAATATTGAATCATGAAGAGACCTTTTTCACTGGATTATTATCTTATAGATTTTAGTTTGAATTATAGATATAAAGCTGAGTTATAATTATCGTCTAATTCTTAAATTTCTAGACGTCAACGGCGAGATGCACTTGCTACCAGATCCATTGTTCACATTAACTTCAGATAATGTTTATCTTGTTCACACTGTATGTACTGAGACTGGCAGAATTTTCACTGGCGGTAAAGATGGATGCTTGTATGAAATTGCTTATCAGGTTCAGTTTTGTATTCTGTTTAAATCAGGGTTTTCAAACTGCGGTTTATGAGCCTACAGGGGTTTCTGGAAAGAATTTTAAGGAGTACTTGGGGGCCTTTTGTGGGGTTTCGGGTCAATTGATTGATGACTTGAAGGTACACTATGAAGTACACTCAAAATGAATGTGTTTTGATCGCCAAACCTTCCAGATGTAAAATGTCACGAGCAAGGGATAATCAGAAAGGGAACAAAGTTGAGGCAGTTTTTTTTTATATTAATCGAAGCAAGAGTGAATACGAATGTGCAATACTTGTTAGTTTACAATTAATCAAAATATGCCATTTTACCCGAATTTTTCAACATTTCTTATTTTATATATTATTAAGTAGCTTTTTTGTTGGTGTTTTTACTTTGTTTTTGTATTACAGTTATACTAACAGTAGAATTCAATCAGAATTATTTTTTTTTTTCAGGCTGCTGGAGGATGGTTTGCTAGAAAATGTACAAAAATTAATCATTCCAGAAGTAAATTATCATTTCTCCTTCCAACTCTTGTCAATTCATGGCTCACAGATGATGGTGAGACTTTAATTTTATTGTTGTAATGTAATGTTTAATTTTGTAAATAAATTTTATTTTTAAATTTGTTTGATCAATCTGGAATTATCATATCAGCATATTTTCAACATTTATTGTGCTTCATATCATGTTTTTTCTTCAGCTAGAAAAGATAAACATAATATGGAAGGCTAATATAAAATAGAACTTAGAAAAATTTAATTGCAAGAAACACAGTTTTTCTGGTATTTTGATTCCTGCTGCCCATCTTTTTGAATTATCAATAATATCATTTGAACATTTATCCAACTTGTGCAAAGAGATGATTTGTTTATTAAGATGATGTCCAAGATAAATTCTTTTGTTTTATTCAGATTCTATAAGTCAAATAGTAGTTGATGATACAAGACATATTCTTTATACAAGATCGGAAAAGGGAGCTATCACTGTGAGTCGAACTAAGTTTTTTACATCCCTATTCATATTCATTACATCTAAATAAGTAGCTTCTATGATTTCATTGTCTATTTTTAAGTTTTTAAAAAAAATTTGCTCTAAAAAAAATCATGCGCACTGACTCAGTAGTTGAGTATACTAATCTCTGAACAAAGAAGTGGTCGACTGCTGAAATGCCAAGATGTACTGAAACCATGGGCATAGACGTTGGACTTGAAGCAGATTAGATTAATGCAATAGAGACAATTAGATAGGAGGTGGTTAATTCCACGTCCACATAACTGAAGTTGCTGATAAGGACTGGACTTGTGGCACACTGACAGACAGTGCGTTGATGAGAGTTAGCTCACAGGCACAGCCAACCGATTAAATCAAATTTTGATATAGTTTTCGAATTAGCTTTCTGTGCATAATAATGACACCAAGATCACTAATATGTATTATAATTTGCCTCTTTATTTGGTTGGTCAATACTCTAATTATTTCCATGACATTATTTCCTTTGTTTTCAGGTCTACGATCTTGGTGTTGATGGTTCATCCACTACATGTGTTGCACAAATGAAAATGGATTCTATTAGACTGAGAGCATCAGCAATTGCGTCCACTGTTGCACCATCTAACTTTGATCAGATAATTCACATCTCAACGATATCGAAAAGGGAATCAAGGAATATTCATCTTGTTGCTGTTTCTAGATCTGGTAAGTTGATGAATAATATGATCATATGATGAATATAGCCAAATCGAAGTCTTTAATCGCTAGTTTATTGCGCCCACATGCATTGCATTTGAATATTTTATTTTTTTTCTAATTTATGCTGTAATGTTCTATCGCTCTCTTTGTCTTGAGAATAGGTATCTTGGTTTAAGATACAGTTATTCCTCGTTATTTGTCCAAAATTGATTATTCCCTGCTGCTTTATTATGTAACAAAATCATATAAATGCTTAGTGATATTATAGAAAATAATTTTACTCGTAAGACAGAAAGCATTCTATACAGTCCCATTACTTCCTATTGCTCTTATATTTACTGTTTAATTTAAAATTTGATTCAAACAGGTGTTCGAATGTACTTTATGACAACAGCCCCTGCGCCTATATCTCCACCCCCTGCCACAAATATTAATGGAACTCCGATACAAACACCTAGCACAAATGTGGCCGACAGAAGGCCACATACCTTAGAACTTGTACATGTCAGATTACCACCTGGATATACTGCAAGCAATACAAATCACCCAATGGATGTCCACACTGCCCATCATAATGCAGGTGATGTAAACTTCATTTGGTATTTTTTCAATCATCTTGATTTCAATTGATTCTATTCCTCATCACATACTTTTGTCTCTTGTGCAGGCACTCTTCTTCTTGCATCATCACATGCAGACAATGATTCAATATGGTGCATCAGTAGAGATTCTTTCATGTTTGAGAAAATTTTAACAGAAACTCAGGTATTGTAACTATACTTATTCCTCATATATTTTGGTATTTATTGGTCAGGAGTTTATTGTAAAAAAGAGCAGTATCTCATTCCACCTAACATACAAGTTTTACCAAGTTATACGGAGTGTCCCTTAGTCTCAAAATAGTCTCAAAACAAGAGTCAATGGACATCTGAGTCTCGAAGTCGAATCAATCACTTAAGTTAGGTTAAGACTTACTGGCAGTTAGTTGTAGAGAAGTCTTTTTGAGTCACTTCAAATCTTCGACAAAGGGTGATCAGAGTGTCATGATTCGTCCGCTTTTTACTGGAACTCGTGACAAGATTTGTTTGACTTTGTCATCTGTCTTTGGAGTTTAGAGGTTCTTTTTTAAAGAATAAATAAACTTTAGAATCAAAAGTTTTATTGCAAAATAAAATTACTGTGCGGTAGATGTGTTGAAATTGTAGAAATTTGCATACCTTCATTATTCAGTCAGTGTTTTGGGCTTTGTCTCTAATTCATTCAATTGTATTTTTCAGATATCAATGCCTATTGATAGTCGTCCATGGGTAATAGTGGAAGTACCTGAGCCCCCTTCTCCTCTTTCAGTAGCGTGCTTGCCATTCGGAAGTACAGAAATACCTCCTGATCCTCCTATACAAGTTCTTCAACATTTTCAAAAACCATCAGAATACGTTGTAATCACTGCCCAGGTATATATTTATTGAAGTTCATTCTGAATATAACAAACATTCTTTCATTAGAGGTTTATTACATTCTATAATATAGATGTGCAGCTTTTTGAAAATAATTTGATGACTTTATTTTGGTATACTATATAGCAGAGATGGCGAACCTTTTTTAGTAAATGGGTCAAAATTTAGATATTTACTGCGGAAAAGAAAACTGTGGATCGTAGATATTTAACCTTAGTTTGCATCAATGAATATTTCTTGTTACATTTTTCGCAAGTTTTATAATTCTCGATGGTATAATTAATGTAGTTTTGATATTCGCGCACACAGCGCTTGTATCGGGACTGAGGCAAGCTCTGGTACTCGACTGGACGAATAATTACGATGGCAAGCGAATAAACACGATTAGGGGTCAATGGTTTGCCATCCCTGGTATATAGGTTACCCAGTTAGGAATAGAGATGAATATATGGTCCCAATGGTGATTTGAATCTTCTCTGTAAAGAGATTGTCACTGTCACGCTACCATATAGACAACTAAAGGACTGGAAATGATGTTTAATACAGTACAGGGCTATGTGGAGACGGAGTCCGGGTTTAAAATGTTGTTATTGATAGTATGGAAAATTTTCAACATGACCTCTGAGCTCTGACATAGCATATTCAAAAGTTTGATTTCATCCGGTCAAATATTCCGATAAATCAGGAAACATTGCAATTTTTGTAGTGTATTGAAAATTGAAAAAATTCATCTTCATGTTAAAATTTTCAAAATGATTTTTTTAATTTTCAGGGTTGCCATATGTTCAACAAATTGAGGCCGGTGGATCAGCTGAGGTTTCTACTTGAAACAAGACAAGATCCGGAGTCAGAAGCTGTTGCTAACTTTTTCAAACTCCACAGGGTAAGTTTTTGGGCATTTCGTATTTCAATAAAATCATGACATTTAGGATAAACTGGCAGGTGATAGTTTAGCAAATGTTTTACTAAAGCAGAATTGTTGTTTTATCTTAATATTTTATCTCGAATCCCGATCGATATAATCTCAATCCAAATATGACATCTCTGTGAACAACATTCTTTAGTGATCATGGCAAGATTCATGAATCCTAGATGATCATGCATCATCCAATTTAAATTTGTCTGAATTTTTTATTCTTTAGAACGGTGAAGCTAGTGTGGCATGTATCATATTGGCAATGTCAGGAATGGCAGCTGACAGAATACTGATCGAACTTGCAGTTGCCGCATTTCATCGACATAGTGGTGATGCTTTTTACAGATACCTGGACCAAAATCAAGGTTAGTTGGCATGGCAGTTACTTAACTTTGTGGGATATTATTAGTAAGTCTTTTTTATCTTAATTAATCATAGCCATACGTAATTGAGTCAATTTATTCAATTGTCACATTATCAATAACTTATTGTTGGTTGGTCAATAATAATGCTAAAAGAAACATCCATTGACCATTCAAACAAAGCAAACCATGTTAAGAATTTTTAAAATAGTCAAATTCATACATTTTTTTCAATTTTAAGATGTGTTCATCATATGTGGCTAGCCATTGTCAAATTTCTATGCTTAATTATCTGTGCTAATTGTTAATTTTTGTAGGCCCATCTACTCTCGGACAGAACTTGCCAACACCCCATTCTCCATACGGTGGTCATCAAGCAGCTATGTCACCTATTCCTGGACAAAGACTGCAAGATTTGTCTGTAAGAAGCCCGGGCGGATGTAAGTTTATATTAATAATTAATTATTAATTAATTGATATTTTTAATTACTAATTATTTTACAAATAATTTTTTTTTTTGATCGAAACAGACCTTTGCGGCCCCTTGTGGTGACTTGTAAGTTCACTTTTTTTATCACAGTATTCATTTTCACAACACTCCTTTTTCAGTACCTGTTATAAGCACTCCTATGCCTGGTGTTACTGCTCCAAACTTAACATTCCAACCAATGCAAAGTCCTAGGATATCTAGTCAAGCAACAAACACAGGTAACTGTTTCAATTTTTATTCAAGGTTGATGGAATCAAATGAATCTTTTTATCAAATTTAGTTGGGATTATGAAAAATTCCTATTCTCCCAACTAGTGTGGGATATAATGGGAAGTTGCTTGACTTTCCTTTCATATCTTGGCTTGAATTTTTGTTATTTGATCATCGCCTTCAGATTATAGTTATGGTACATAGTGGTTGAAGCACTAAACCCACCTCACCCGGATATGATTAAAGCTGGATAGTCAATGTCAGAGCAGTAAAACTCTACATGCTTTCTCCAAATTTGCTTATGTAGTGCTTTGTTTGGACCAATGGTAATGATACCATACATACCATTATGAATATTATTAAAAAATGTGTTTCAGAATACAGTAAATAATTTTACATATTTAGCTGCTCCAGCTGGTGTTACTTCTGAGCTATCATATTCTGACAAGTTCAAAGGCCTTTATAAGATGTTCTGTAGGATTGTGAGGCCGATCTGGGAAGGAAGGCTGATTGTGGACTATGTTGTTACTCAGGACAACCGCCAGCATACACTGGTAAGCATTGTCAAGATTTAATTTTGAAAAAATGACTGAACCCGACTGAAAAAATTTCAGCAGCCATTTGATCTCGGATTTTGCCATAAATAAACGGTTGGTGGTATTGGTAGCGAAAGCTGATAAGTCTGCTTAAGCGCATGGAAAACCTCTTTCAGATAATTATCCCCGTCAGCTTTGAACTTGCAAACCTCTGCAGGGTTATCATAAGTGTGTGATGACAAGGGATTTCCCATGTTTTGCTCGATATGCCAACAGTCGAGCCAAGTGGGTTCAGCAAAAAGGCAATTCATCTGTATTATATACGAATCTGAAGTTCAAGCACTATTTATGAAGTTTATTATGTCTTTCTAAATGCTTATATACCATCTGATTGTTTATTATTTCTATAGAACATCAATAGAACGGAAGTTGAAATCTTGACCCATATCTTGAGTGATCTTAATTCTTTCAAACATTTCATGGAAGCACACTGCCTATCAAGATTACCCCTATCTGGAGGGTAATGATATATTTGCTTGTTAAACCAACTGGTACTTCACTAATTAAAGGATTAATCTCTTCTCTTTTAGTTATTGAAGGGCGTGATGGATAATATAGTTCTCTAATTCTTTAACACAGAATTGAATCGTTCAAAATTTAAAACCTGAATCTTGATAAGAAAGTATGTATCAAAGTTTGCCATATATCATCATATTTAGTGCATCTTGCGTCATTTGTCTATCAAGAATTTTCACTTGAAATTTTTTGATCACATCTTTTAATATTCTGAATTTTTGATTCCTTAAAACTGGTATCTATAGCTTCGTGTTTTGGAAGGTGTATGAACGTCAAGATAGGAAATAAATTGCCAACTTGCAAATCCTCAAGTTAAGTCTTGATAAGAAATCAATTACTTTTACTCATTTCATTATAGTCCAGCAATGCTGCCACAACAAAGATTTGATAGCAGTGGATTACATGGTCAATCACTGATGCAGAATGCTCTCAGAGCTCAGCAAGGTATTTATCTTTTGCTCTACTCATATAATATGTAAGCATTTTCTCTTCTGAGTTTTTTTGTGGTTTTAATATACCCATATTAATGCTGTTACTTATTGCATTAAGTCCCAATTGAGAGAGGGGTTGATCAAAGGATGTACATATTTTTTCTGGGAGAAATAAAAGTCAATTGGGTCAGATGGTTTATCATATTTGAAAGTACAACTTTTTATCTGCTTTTCATTGCGCTCAGTTGTCTACTTCAAGTAGCCTACTTTTTAAACAGCAAGTCGGGAAAATAATGATTATGAATTCATTGGTTATAATGTAATCTCAAATGCACACTACTTAAATAGCCTACACTTTAAAAATTTAGCAATGGTCACGTTTCAGTAAACTTAAGAGTTGTTCTGGGGTTAAGGTTCGGAGAAAAATTCTTTGTATAAAATACTTGGATGTGGATGGTTTGAGTGATTTGTAATTGGTTATTTGCAATCCTCTCATCAGTTATCTCACAATTCAGTGATGTGATGACTTTTCTATTTTTTTTTCATCTCTTTCAGAAACTGTAATTTAAGCTCCTATTTATCTCAATTTTGTTTCATTCATTTTAGTTCAAGCTGCCCACGGTGAAGCAAAATTAATCTATGCTTTATATACACTGACGGAACACACTACTCAAGTACTGGGATTATGGAGATTCATGTGTGATCATGAGATGCACATGATATGTAAAACAATATCAAAGGTTGTTAGTTGTTATTCCATTTTTAAATTTTTAACTCTCGTATTTGTATTATAATCATTTCCTGATATGTATTTTATTTTTGAAAAGATTGATTGGTGTTGGTTATATAATTATAAATATAGTTGATTGGTTGTATAATATGCTACTCATTTAATTGTTAATACTCTCTATTTCGCATCAAAACGTGTTTCAATACGGCCATATCTGTATGGCTAACATCATTTTCAATAGTAATTTGATTCAATGTTATATATTACACAAATATACAATAATTTATCTATCAATTATACAATATGACTTAACTAATGTTATTGGCTTTTTATTGTTGATGATGGCTGTACGAATTCTTCACCAATCCTAAAAAACAGAATATATAACAACATTTGAATGAATAAATTTATAAATGGTCTTTGCTTATTCACAGGAAACATTGGCAATGTTGAAGAATGTCACATTTCAAGATTTTGTTCTGGATGGGCACCAGGTTCGTAATCTCATAGATTTCATTAAGATTTGTCAGCCTGAAACTTGGATCTAATATTATTTCTTATGGAGTACTGTGTCAGCCAATATAAAGTATATTATCAAATATCAATACATATTAAGAACCTATCTTCACACCACTGCCATTTTACTTATCGTAGTTTTTAAATTAGTAAAAAATAAAAAGTGTAGTCTGAAGTCGTTGGATCTTTTTGAGACTACAAAATCATGATGCCATAATGACTAGATCAATTTTCTTGTACTTTCACATTATATTTGTATTAGTTAGTTAAATACTTATATAAATTCAATACCTCAAATTATAGATATTATTACCGGTAAATTGAATAACAAATTTTATATGACATTTATTCATTTTCGCTCCGAACAAGGTTCTGAACAATCAGACGCCTACCCCGGGATTGCTGGTCGGACCCCCTCCCCCTTTCTAAATGTAAAAAAAGCATTTTTCTGTATCATACATAGCAATTTTTCGTATCTTGGAACGCTTTTTAGACCCTTAATACTCTCGAAAACCCATGTTTTGTTAAACTCTAACTTGTCAGTTGCAAATTTCAGACCCCCCCCCCCCCCCCCCCCTTTGCAATTTCCTGGCTATGGCCCTGGCCACTGATATCTTACGATATGTAAGGAGCTACTATTTTTGGAAGATCCAGAATCTCTTTGTTTGGAATTGTCTAACCAATTATTCGAGTGTAGCATCCATCCAACCACTTTGATAAGGGCTATTTCATTTCTCTCTCCAATGCAATGTTTTTTTCAGTTGTGTTCTGAAATGATATCAGTGATTGTGAATAGATACATTGATGATAATTCAGAAGTGGATTCTCTCAATGCTCAACTTCGACAAATATGTCCTTCGCTTTATTCCTTGGATGACGTTATTTGCTCAAGGGTGAGATTATTATGTTTTTTCGAGTTGACTTACGTATAATAAGATGTTCATATTTATCCCAGGAAAAAAGAAAATCTAGAATAAAATAACTAATTACTTTTTCATATATATGGTTCCAGAAATCATCTTGCAGATAATTTCTACCATAGGATTCAAATCTGTGAGCCCATTGCAGGATATTCACCTTTGCTGTGACAAGTTTATCTCTAACACTGAAAGCATAAAATGAATAGAAAATATAATATTTTTATTCCAACGTTATATGAAAAAATGCTTTATATTAGAATATTTTATACAAAAAGAACTTAAATTGTTCATTTTGATTTCTGAATGTTTTTATTAATTTTATTATGCAGTTGTATTGCCATATATAGGCTTCAATATCTTTTCCAAATGATAGTTGATAACTTTAATTCTCTAGCCTCATTCCAACTACCAATTTTAAATTTTTTTATAAATAAAATTATTGTGGAAATCATTTATTATCTGATCAAATAACAAACAATTACTTTCCAGTCATCAGAATTGTTGAACTCAGCGAGACAAACTGCAGGTTCAGATCAAGTAACAAAATTAGAAGAATGTCTTTCTTTGTTTCAACGTGTTGCTCATTGTGTTAATTTATCTCTCGTTTCTCAACAATTTCAAGCAGGTGATATGTCATGTTTTACATCATTTTTTATAAGAAAGTTTTCTCAAAGCTGTGTGCATCCATTGACATGAAATGAGAAAGACAAGGATATTTCCGATTTGTGTTTGCCTACCCAATTTATGGTACTCCCGTAGTATGTGTATCAGGTTAGGGTCAGGCCATAATTTTATTACGAGTTGGGGGACTGTCTGTGTTAGCCAAGTGAATATCTCCCCATACATAGGTTTCAGTCCCTTACACAACTTGATGTGAAGTATAGTTACTTCCATATTGGTACACATATTTCTCGAGCCCAATTTTTTACACCCTGGGCGAGGTACTTTGAACCTTAAATATTTTTTAAGATGCGGTACCGAATTAGTTAGCCCAACACTTTACCCACTCAGCCATAATGCCCATTCAATGTAAAATAGAACACTTTTATATGAAATATATTTGTTATCGTTTAGTTGGTTTTTACACTGGTGTTGTTGAATTATGTGCAACTGCTGCTCTGAAAAGAGACGAAAGAAACCTTGCTCTCCATTTCTATAAATCTTGTGCCGAACCTGAAGAAAATGTAGAAGGAAGAATTGCTTATGAGGCAAGGTAGGAAATAGAAAGGATCTTTAATTTTATATAGCGAAAGTTTCCAACCGGGGGGCACAGAGCAGTTGGAGGGGGGCACAATACCATTTCACCTAATGAATTGTTTCATCAGAATTGGATTTGAATCTGCCAATCAAAATAAAACTATAAATATCATTGAGATCTGCGAATTCTAACATTTGTAGTTGGATGGCATCTGCAGGCCGGACCTGTTTATTAAACTAATGTTTGTAAGCAGGGCTATGGAGAATGTGGTCATTGTTTTTATTGGATTTGGAGTGTGAGTCGTATTCCACAACTCATGCTGTCAAAAAATTTAATTCTATGAAGCCTGAATTTCATTTTGATGTTGATGGAACGAAAGTCAATATTTTAGGCATAAACTTGAAAGTATAAGTTGACTAAGAATTTTCAACAGACAATTAACTGCATACACCAAATTTTTTGGTATTGAATTGTCGTTTTCGCAGAGCTAGAAGCTGAAGTTTGAATCACAATTTTGTCAACTGGAGTCATTTTTTAAATGGTTTCTCGGGTCAATTTTTTTGACCGTGTTTATAATTTATTGCATCTTATTTGTTTCAGAGCTGAATGCTACAAAGTTATCACAGACATGATGGATGATTTAATGTTGGCGAGTGAGAGTCAACCACAGGCACCAAGTGTTCCTGTACAACTAGGCCCTCCAGCCCCCAACAAGCAAGGAGTTACAAAAAGCACTCAGAATTTGCAAGCAGAGGAAGCACAACGATATGTATGTCGTGCTGATAACAAATCTTAAACAATTCCAATAAATACACATTGACTATGTGTTCTTTATTGGGTACTAGTATGTGAAACCAAAATGGCGTGCACCGGAACATAGTATGTGTACCAGGTTAGAGTTAGGCCATAATTTCAGGTACAAATACTACGGGAGTCACTTGGCTAGTCCCCGAACTCGTAATAGAACTAAAATAAAGAAAATTGGAGTAAAATTATGGCCTAACCCTAACCTTGTACAATACTACGTTCCAGTGTCTGCCATCTTGGTTCGCATACTTCGGGAGTACCCTTTATTGAACATGACCCAATTTTGAATATATCGGGTAATCCATAGTAAATTATTCAGTTTGGGCCATTTCTGGTATATGCCACATGATTTTCCATCCCAAAATAATATTTGCAAAAGCTTGCTGGTATGAGTGCCTACTTGTTTACCCGAAAAACAAAAACTTATCTTTTATAGGCTGAAAGTTGTATGCATCTCATTATGAGATCGGAAGATGAATTACTTCACGTCACAATATATGATTGGATGTTGAGAAAAAGCCTCGCCGATAGGTTACTCAGAGTAAGTTTTTTTTTTTTCAGTTGATATTTAGCGAGTTTGTTGTTTCTGAAGTCTAAGATTTCAAATAAGGATGAAGTTTTTTTGATCAAAATATTCTCATCATAGACATTTGAAATTTTGAGTTTTGTCAGAACTTGTTTTCAAATGTCTTCAATTTTATGAAACTTTACTTTTGGGAAAATGCTTGATCTTGATGCTACAAGCTGTACTATACAGATAAGAAATGTGAAAGGCTGTAGAAAACAATCAAACCTGTATGACGTAGGATGGACTCAAAAATGTAAATGACAATGCAAACAATGAAAGCAGCGTTTTCAAATGCAATGATAAACACTGTTCAGAAGGGAATAAAATTTGAGGTCACCAATAAATCAAGTTTTGGAATTGATTTTATTAGTCCCAAAGCGGCCACTTTGCTAGGCTACTAGAATCTGGAAATAGCCCGATAGACTAAAAAAATATGGAAATATAAACATACTGACACAATCCAGAAAGTTGGTGGGTATGCAAATTGAAATTGCATGGAAAGAGACTAAAGTATTCTATTTTTCACTCAGATATCATCTCCTTACCTTGAGCAATATTTGAAGAGAGTAACATCAAATCACCCTGATGATCCTTTCTATTGTGACATCTTGTGGAAATATTATGAAAGATCTGGTGATCATGCTGCAGCAGCAAAAATTTTGATGAAACTTGCAGATAAATCTGGGTATGTTGAGCTAATCCTGATGTGCAGGTTATGTGATTGAACGGCTGGGTATTTGAATGTATTAGTGTGTGATGATATACTGTTTCAATATTAGGATAGGATTTACATACTTACCCAGAAAAGGGAAGATTGCTTAATCATATGGCGAACCATGGCCTCTCGTGCAGTTACCAGTTCATGTCGGGTGAGGGGTTAGTTAGCCAGTTATTTGTTTACGGAAGCATGGACTTGATGGTGGAAGAAGCCACAACCAACCAGGGGTTACCTGAACCATGTTACGACGGCAAGGAGTCCAGCAATCCTCTCGCACATTACTATCCCCGCATTGGATATGAACCGGCGAACCCACACAGGGTGATTAGAGGGGGAAGCATATTCCTAACGCTTGGCACAATGCACCACACCGCCGAGCACCTGTTCCCCTGTATTTAGGATGAGTCAATAATCGCTAATTTTGGTTGTTACTTTTTTAATTTCAGTAACAGTCACGATTTGACCAGAAGAGTTGAATATTTATCTCGCGCAAAAATGAATGGGAAGAGTGCAACCACTATTACAACAGCAAGTGAAGAAGGACAATTATTACATGACCTTGAAGAAAAATTAGAGGTGAAAACAGAATATTTGTAGCATGACTTCAAGTGCTAGTGGTAGCACTTTTTATTTTTAGTCTGTAACTGCCATCACCCACCGTTAGAACACAGTATTGTGTGTTGGTATATCCAGTGATTAAATTCTAAATTATAAAAACATTTCTTTTTTGTTTCGAAATCACAACAGGTTGCGATTACTGCAGCTTTCTAATGTCTGAAAACAAAAACAAAAAACACGACTGGGTTTGCAGCATCTTTTTAGAACCCCCGGAATCCCATGACAGGGTGAAACTGAAGTGCAAGATGTGTATGTAATTTAAAAAGAGAATAAATATGAAAAATAAACATAAAAAAAAATTCAAATTCTAAAAACTTTGTTTCAAATTTTTACGAAGGACAATTAAAATTGCAACCGTTAGCTCTGACATGGCAGACTACGGCCACAGGCCAAATCCGTCCTATATTGAAAACATGAATTCCACATGAAGTAATAATATTTTTATCTAGGTCGCTCAACTACAAATGCAAATATTGCAAACTTTGGAAGAACTTGGACAAACCGAAGCAGTGGCTGCTTTGAATTCACAGTTAATGGACATTACAAGGGTAAAGTTCCAACTCAAATTACATTTCTTCATAAAGTTTGGTTTGAAATTTGACTTCTGGAATTATTTCCACTTCATTACACGTTTTTATCCATATTGGAGTCGGAGTTGTATTTTCACACTTTCTGGAGTCAAAATTTTGAATTATCTGAAGTCTTTGGTCTGAATTTCATATTTCTAATGGTGATATTAAAACAAATATGTAAGTTAATTAAGTGTTCTCAATATAAATTAAAATGGCTTTTTGCATATGCCACTTAATTACAATTAATTTAACTCCTCAAATCATTTTCAGAGGCTTTCTTTAACCATGAGTGAATTTTACCAGTCTTGAATGAAAAATTTCAGAATATTTCTAACTTTAATCACTCTTCTTTTTTTCAGCTCTACAGTGATTATGCAGAACCCTTCCAGCTTGCCGAGTGTAAACTTGCCATTGTACATTGTGCTGGACATTACGATCCATCTTTGATAGATGCTCTGTGGCAGAATATACTTGACCAAGGTTAGTGTTTTTATTTATTAGTTACATTCTGTACAATTTTCCTTTTGTCATTATTACGTGGGTGGGGAAGTATGTTTAAAACGAAGGATTTCCGTAACAAATTGGATTTTCAAATCATCACTGAGTTTGGTATGATAGCTACCTGATTTTAAGGGTAGTTATAGATCCTTTTTTTTTTATTTCGAATTTGAACTCTCATATCAAAGTGCGGATTTTCTTCGGTTGGTGACATTCGAAATTGGAAAAATTAATGGCCTTTTTAAGGGATTTCTCATCTTAAGAAATTGGCCAATTCACAATATATGCATGGAAATTATTTCTCAGATTATTTTCAAAATAAAAATATTTAGTTTTGAATTTTGTTTTTAATGTTAATACAAGTTATCTATCCATGGTTCATAACTCATATTAATATTCTAATAATGACAATTTCACTCTCAAATATTATATTTGCCATAATCAGTATAAGAACAAACATATGAAAAAAATTTCTAGAAATTGCAAAAGTTCAAGATCAAATCAATGAAAACATAGTCACAGCTTTGTCAATGAAGGTTTCGCAGCTTGGAAGAAAATACAACAGTGCTATGAGATATTTTCCAGTCGGTAAGTGCAGCGTGGATAACACTAATAAAATCTTAGTCCTTCATGTTTCAAGTTTTAGATCAGAGGCTAGGAATCAATGGAGTTTTGTTCACAATGTTTGTGTTGAGTTTTGTTCATGATGTTAATATAGACCAAATATATTAACAATTCTTAATGGAATACCTCTATGAAAGGCGAGTTATACAACAAAAGGCCATACATCTGTGTTATCTAAGATATGTCTTAGTTAGCCATCCATTTTTCATTACATCATGCTTTCTTAGACCCAGTTGATAAATTCACTGCGTTTACTTGATTATAATGATATCTTGAAATAATAATATAATGATTCTTCTTAGAATTTCTGGTAAACTATCTCGAGAAAGTTTCATGTCAAAATGATTGGCCGGAAGGATGGGTTTTCACTTCTTTACTTGATGCCGGTGTGGAAATCACACATTTATTGGAATTATATCAATCAGTGCACAGACAAAAGGTAGGTGGTGGAGTTGTTTTGACATGAAGAAAACCGGAAAAAAATTCACAATAATATCCCGTATCTACTCCTAGTGGCCTGTTTAGGTAGGGCATTAGTCATCCACTAACCCAAATTTTAAGGAATTGAGTGGGCTATGCCTTACCATACTAGAAAATTAACTAATTTGAAAGTGCTGATGACATATATATATAACCTCCTCCAAAATAACAAATTATTTTATATTTTTGCTGTGGAATATCATCAACATGGTGAAAGTCTTTTTGTTGTCATGGTTACTGTGCTTGCTGTTGGAAATTATATTAAGCTATCTTTTATATTGTTAACATACATCATTTATTTTAAGCTTCCTTATTGGAGTGACCATGGAAGACCTTATCACATTCTGCGAGTAATTCGAAGAATTCTTGCTGCATTTGCTGAGAACCCATCACAGTATGTTCCTGCTCCACAAAGGTGACTCACAGTTGATAAGTTGAAATACGACTTTTCCAGGAGTATCCGAATTAATTTGTTTTTCGCATATCCACCATGCTCCTTGACTACTGCAGCAGGGTGGTTCACGTACCCATAGTTTATTTACTGCTTCTGTTATGCCATTACATTCATAGGAATCTACTGACTGATTAAGTACTTCCATACCCAACATTTTTTTAAAATTGGGGCACGTGGTCTGATAAATAATGTGATTCTTCCCGTAGATAGATTTGCTTCACATAACCCTTTTTCATTACCTGCTTTATGAGAGGCTGTTGTCTACCATATGATATCGTATTTCATCTTTTCTGAGATGAATTGAAAATTTGTTTTCTCATATCGTTATTAAGCTGTATTCGAACTTATGTTGTTCTTGGTAATGAACTTAATTTTCATTTCAGGCGGAAATTTGTTACGAACGCACTAGACATAATCGCAGTTGCTTTAGTAGAACTCCAATCAACAGTTCAATCAAGCGATCATCTCAATGATACCAAAACAAGATTCAAGAATTTACAAGCACAAATGGAACGACTTGAAACTCAAGTTGCAAGAAGATATTAATAATGTATAAGAAAATTTGCCATTAACTGCCAAATACTGAAATTTTGAAACTGTCTAGTGTGAAAATTTTTGACAGTATAATGTGTCCGCATTTATTCACTGTTTGAGAGTCGGGAGTTAACTTTAAAGTCATTTCATGTCAATAAGCATTTTTGTGTTATCAGTAACTTATTTAAAACCCCAAATTTTGGAAATATACATCTGTACCAAATATATGATGCCATAGTACGTGCCAAAAACAAGACATGCTTGAATATGGCCGAGTTCAATTTGAGTTAATGGCTCTCTCCCAACTTGAGATGTGCTGGTATCGGTATGCCCTGCATGCACAATATCGCTTCAGTGTAATTAATTATAAGTCTGTTGGCTTCCCATACGACTATCCTACGATTGTGTGTATTTGATCATATGTGGAACATTTTTTATTCTTAACTGCCTTATTGTATTTCCAGTGACCGTCTTGTTTTCTAAGCTTATGATGTTAATTCAAGTTCAACATGACTAGCATAGATACTTCCTATCATTGATTTTCTCTTGAATATTTTTCAATACAATTTTTGCAGCGAACTGATTTATATTATTGAGTTCCATAGGAGTGGTGCTTGCCAGGCAATAGCTTTGTTTTGGATATGTTAGAACAGCGTTTCCCAAACTTTCTTGGTCACAGAACACCTACGATTTTTATCTTGCCTCGCGGAACACCAGAAACTAAAAGGGTAAAATTGATGAAGAAAAATGGTGTAGTGCAGGCCTGCCCAAACTTTTTCATCTCGCGGGCCACTTTTAAGTGACGAAATTCGTTGCGGGCTGCAAACGTTTGTACCAAACATTAATACCAGCTAAGTCCTGATTTCGGTGTAGGTAAGTTACATAATAAATAAAGGGCAAGTTTATCAACATCAAATCAATCAATTTAATTACTGTTTTTTGGTTACTGAGTTAGGCTGGCAAATTATTAGAATAGCAGTTTACAATTCGAATACCTGGTAACACGAGTCGAAGACAATGTTTAAATGAGCATAATGTGCGCCACTGTTGCGGGAATATCAAGGTTAAGTGGGCCGTTTCGTAAAATTTGAAACACCAATACAAATAATTAATGAAGTAACATTACAAAGATTTCTGGGCGAATAGCCTATATATACTGATTCGTGACCATATGCGGCAATGCCATTAAGTCAATTTTATCAGAATTATTGACGGATACGCAGTGACGATATTTCCGAAATCCTATTTAATCCAAACATTTGATAAAAAATACAAACATAAAAGGACAACGAGTCCCAGGACCAGTGCCAAAGAGATTGTTGACATTTTATTTTACGCTGGCGATAAAGACGATCAAAGCAGACACGTAAGAAAACAATCAGAATGAAATTAATTCGCAAATTTAGGCTCCAAATTTATTCCTTTAATTGCGCTCAGCGTTCGTCCTCAATGATCGCACAATATCTTTCGAGTTCGTCGAACAGAACGCTAAGTTCTGCGAGAATTAAAAAAAAAAACTGACGTCGATGTCCACCAGGATGCAAGACTTGACACATATATATATATATACGTAATAATAAGAACCGGCATTTGAATGTAGATAGATGACAGGAATAATCATACCAACATCAGAAACGTAGTTAACCCTATATATTGACATATAAAATAGTAAAAACATAAAAAGTCTGCTTACAAACTTTATAAGTCGGGCCGCATGCGGCCCGCAGGTTGGGAAGCCTTGGTGTAGTGCAACGATTCCCAACGGGGTGGCGAGTTGCCCAATACGCCGCGAAAACTAACAGAACTAAAATATGATTGAATATTTTACATATCGTCACGCTAATAACCGAATTGCGTAAGTCATTTTTAGCAGTTTTGAGAAAAACGTAAAAAACTTCCTAATGATTTTGTTATGCAATTGAGAGTCAATAATTTGCCATGGTTCAATTTTTTGCTCGTAGCCGGATTTAAGTTAATTTGTATGACGCAGCTAAGTTACGTCATAATGGCGCACTGTGACTTAGGCAGAAATGTGTCTATGACTTGGTGACATACGCAATTTGCAACTTCACCATATGCACCAGTCCTGAAAACTAAACATTCCAAAAACGAATGTAATTCTTAGTATCTACAATGTCTAATCCCCAAAATAGCTAATCAGTTTCAATTAAATCAATTTTTATGTTTAAAAATATATATTTCATCAATATAACACGTTCTGCACACCCACCGAAATAGGACTAAGATTAAATATAAAGAATAAAACAGCAATGCACCCAATATAAAAGCCAACCAAGGTAAATTTGACTCGGACAGTGAATATCACAAGTGTACGTCTTCCTATACTGTAGTAAAAATTCAAATTAATACGCGCTAAGCTAGAATCCGAGATGCAAAAACTCGAAAATACTTCGCCGAGGTTATTTTGCTTTTGTGACGTCACAATAGTACTGTGGTACAAGGATAATTCATTATGACGAAACAATTGCACAAATGTGCATGTCATACTAAATCTCCATTTTTATGGGTTTCGGAATTCCTAAAATAAAATCTGAGTTAACAGACAGGTGCGCAGCATTACATGAATACCTATTTTATAAAAAACTCAAAATCGCCAAAAATGACTTACGCAATTCGGTTATTAGCGTGACGATATATATTCCGTTCATTATATTATTTTGTTGTTTCTTATTTTAAATGCTGTGTATACGTGTATATGAATCAATAAATTCATTTTAGTCGTAATTTTGATTCCTTTTTAACGGAAGACGCTCGTGGAACACTAGTGTTCCGCGGAATGCAGTTTGGGAAACGCTGTGTTAGAAGACTGCCAAGTCTAGCACCGTCTTGCGTTCTTTTTTGTTTAATGTTCACAGGAAGCAAACAAACGATGGCTATCAGTCCGAGGAAATAGTCGACTATATATCGTTCCAGAATCGCGGGCTTCGTTTAAAGATGTCGTAACCAATCAGCAGTTGCATGAGGGCGATGGAAAGCGTGTTCAAGTCGCACAGCACGATATGTGAACCGTGGACCGATTTTAATACGTTGAATAGAGATATCCTTTCAATTTAACATCGAAAAATACGTTTGTTGTAATACCTGAGCTAAGTCAGGCTCATAGTGAGGTAGGGTTCCGAGCGAACGACAACTTTTCTAACACATTATTCTTTTCAGTCGGTGTGCAACTATTTCCGATTCGTTGGTTTTTATTTGTATTATATTGTATATAAGAATTTCATAACGTCGACTAATAATAATATTTCGAAGTTTTCGACCAAGCCATAGTTTAAAAATCTTTCAAGGCAAGTAGGCAACACGGGATTTATTTTAATGGCGGCGGTAAGTGTCCCTGAGAAGAATTGCGCAAGATTGGCAAATATTAGAATTGTTTGCTACCACCATCTCTGCAATTTTGCCTATAAATAATTGAAAACTAATACCTGTACCGTGCAAGCTGGTGTCGAGTACCGTGTCGCACTACGGCGGCACTGAAGATTCCCTTTCGGTATAGTGGATTATGTAATTCGAAGAGAGCATCAAATAAAGTGTTCATGGTGACATTGTGGGCAGACCCGGTATCTAAACTTTGGGTGAGTAACAAAGCTAAATCCACAAAATATTTCGATCCATAATGAAGTATTGTTCCGAGCGATCGACAACCTTTTCTTAGCCGCGGGAAATGCAGAAATCGTAGCATTATTCTTTTCAGTCGCTATCAAACTATTTCCGATTCGTTTGATTTTTATTCGTATTATATTGCATATGAGAATTTCATTTCATAACTCTAGATTTTAAAATATAATGCCACCTGAAAGTATTTCTAAATTTTCCATCCAGGCCATACTTTAAAAATATTTCAAGGCAACACGGGATTCATTTTAATGGCGGCGGTAAGTGTCCCTGAAAAGAATTGCGAAAGATTGGCAAATATTAGAATTGTTTGCTACCACTATCTCTGCAATTTTACCTATAAATAATTGAAAACTAATACATGTACCGTGCAAACTGGTGTCGAGTACTGTGCCGCACTACGGCGGCACTGAAGATTCTCTTTCGGTAGAGTGGATTATGTAATTCGAAGAGAGCATCAAATAAAGTGTTCATGGTGACTTTTTGGGCAGACCCGGTATCTAAACTTTGGGTGAGTAACAAAGCTAAATCCACAAAATATTTCGATCCATAATGAAGTATTGTTCCGAGCGTTCGACAACCTTTTCTTAGACGCGGGAAATGCAGAAATCGTAGCATTATTCTTTTCAGTCGCTATCAAACTATTTCCGATTCGTTTGATTTTTATTCGTATTATATTGCATATGAGAATTTCATTTCATAACTCTAGATTTTAAAATATAATGCCACTTGGAAGTATTTCTAAATTTTCCATCCAAGCCATAGTTTAAAAATATTTCAAGGCAACACGGGATTTATTTTAATGGCGGCGGTAAGTGTCCCTGAAAAGAATTGCGAAAGATTGGCAAATATTAGAATTGTTTGCTACCACTATCTCTGCAATTTTGCCTATAAATAATTGAAAACTAATACCTGTACCGTGCAAACTGGTGTCGAGTTCTGTGCCGCATTACGGCGGAACTGAAGATTCTTTTGCGTAGTGTAGGTAGAACTATGTAATCCGAAGAGAGCATCAAATAAAGTGTTGATGGTGACCTTTCGTGAAGAACGCAGTTCCTAAACTTTGGGGGAGGAACAAAGCCGAATTTACAAAATTCTGTATATAAGAGTTGTCATCTTCAAAGCGAAGCATATGCGCTTCATTATTGTATTGACTCTCAACGTTTTGCTGTGTACAATTATAACGATATAGTTCCGATAAAGGAACAGTCATGTTGAATGATTTTTTCCAAATTGTTTACCGAAAATGAAAATGTATAGTAATGATTTCCGTACTCCAAATATTGTTTTCGAACTTGCCGTTTTCCGTTATGTCGTGTTGCGTTCTTTTCGAAGGAGAACCTTTTTCACATATTTGCTCTAACCTAACGTATCTTGTAACGCAAGGGTTTCTCGTATCACTAACCGAATTTCGTCAGTCATTGAAGGACGGTGCGTCAGCGAACGTTTAGATAAATATATACTGTATAAAAATATATACCTGTACCACGCAATTGGACAAGGACTTGTAATAATAATCCATCATTTTGAGTATTTAAGGCAGTTATTATGAAGTTTTCGAAATAAACTATCTGTCAGTACTGCAGTAGAGTCAGCGCTATAGCAGGATGGACGTATTATATACCTGTATTACTAGGGTACCGGTACCGGTATATTTCTGTATTTTACTATCTGATTATTGAGAGAGATGACAGCCTAGTCTGAACTATCAGAGATGCCAATACGGCTGTACGGGTACGGTACTAGAGACAGAGAGATACAGTTATGAATTTCACTCCTTACCAAAAAGACTTTTAAAAAACAGAAAAATTTCACATTACAATTCTGTTTGACGCTATTCTATCAGTTTCGCAGTAATTTCGCCTGACATCACATTTTGGTTTGGCGTTATTTTAAGGAGTCACGGCGATTACTTCGTTAGACAGCTAGACCGGGATCATTATACAGTTAATAGTAATTTTTCAATGTCAATTTATGAATATCTGAATACTGTGAGTTGCTTGTAGGCAACGGCTAAACAGCAGAACAGTGTCTCCATATTTCATCATTGGCTCTGGTAATCCAGCAATACTATTCACTGATTTATTTCAATCATAAAGCTATTACTGTATTAATATAGAGACCAAAATACTATTTGGAATTGTACTTAAAACTTCTATCTATTTTGTCTATTTTTCAAACTTCTATCTCTATTATACCATTGGCACGAAAGTTAAATCATTAAAAGAAAGTTGATATGGCCCAAAATGGAAAAGAACAAGAACAACAACGTCGACTTATGGTAGATGGACACAGTGGCGAAGACAGTGGTGGAGAAGATGCTGTTTTATATAGAACTTATGATGAAGGGGGTGGATTGTGCAAAAAGTTATTAAAGTCCAAAACTGGCAGACTTGTTTCAATGTTGATTCTTATTATAGGATACTTTTTTACTGAATTAATTGTGGGTGAGTATCATTTATTGATTTTCAATGAATTTTTATTAAATGTGGCTAGAGGCTGATAATGACTAGCATAAGAAATCAAAAATAGTATAGGTAAAATAATCGAGAATAGTTATATCTGTATGCAATTAGATATTGTACTAAAATTTTATTTTGCAATTCTATTTAGATTTGAATATCACTGTTCTAATTATTTTCTTTTCAAGATATCCATTTTTCCATTATAATTGTATTTCAGTCTGTATTGAATCATTCTGAATGTTCATGGTATAATAGAAAAGAATGACATACGACCAAAATGGTATTGATTGCGGCTTAAAAAACCACATTTCCTTTCACCATGTTAAACACTGTGTCAAAGATTTTTTTCTGACAATAAATCACAGTGAAAGAATGACATATGACCAAAATGGAATTGATTGATGACCAAATGGAAGATTTTTTGTCTTCTTTTTCTGACAATAAATCACGGTGACCTTTAACCCTATTGGCATAGAGATTTTATCTGATATTGAAATATACCTGAAATACAGAGTGGACTAATTGTTATATTTTTCATTCCAGGTCATATTACAAACAGCTTGACGCTGGTTGCCGACTCTTTTCATATGTTGTCTGATGCTTTATCATTAATAGTTGCTCTTGTAGCTGTAAGGATGAGTCGAAGAACTGCAAGAGATCCGTTCCGTCCATGGCCTTCTAAAGAGCCATATTTTAATACTTTTGGTTGGGTTCGATTTGAGGTATGTTGACAATTTATGGAGTTTGTGAATCGGGAATAACAGAATAGGGTTTTATAAAACATCAATTCTGTATACAACACATATATCAGTAGTATATGTTTGACTTGTCTATTTAATTTCTGCAATTTATCATTACAAATAAATCTGAATTAATTATAATGAATGTTTTTATAGTATAGGCTATCATACAAATTAAGCATGTAATGCTTTATTGATTTTAAAAATTGGGATTTGTTTGTTTATCAGTGGCTTATATTTGTGATTTAATTGATAATTGTAGTAGAAATCAATTTCATGATATGGATTAATTTATTATGTTTGCATATTGATGTTTACATATTTTTGTGGTCAATTATGATCAGTCAATATAGATTTTCCAACTAAGGCTGTGGACTCTAAATTCTGAGCTATTTAGAAATTGACTTTGACTCTGAGGTAATATATGAGAGAGATTTATTTTCACTAAACAACATTAACACTAACTAGTATATAAACACTGCATAGGGGTGAGTTTGCTAGATGGGTGAAGGTCATCGAGGGGTTCAACTGTTTTCAAGCATTCATGTCACAGTATTAATTGAATATAAAAAAAATATATATATAGCGATTTAGATATTGCAAATGAAAGAAATTGAAACAATTTTGACGCTCGACTACAAAAAATCAAATTTTGACAATAAAAACTTCAGTGATGCCTTACCTAATTAATTGTCAATCAAGGATGCTTAGCAAACTCGATGCTTATTGATTTTCTGTTGTGAATTCTGGTTTCGAATATCACCATTAATAAAATTCGTAATTTTCGACTTCATATTCTAAGAATATATAATTCATGTTCATTAGATCTTGGGTGCTCTCATCAACTCAACATTTCTTCTCGCACTGTGTATTTCTATAACATTGGAAGCAGTACAAAAATTTACTAAACCTGAACATGTGGATTCACCAAAGCTTGTACTTGCCGTTGGAGGAGGTAGGATACATGTTTTCAAAGTCATGTTGGAATTCTTGGGGTTATTGTTGTGATAAGAATCGGTATTCTAAGCAACATTCGATTAATCTTTCAAATTTTCTACTTGAAATTAAAAAAGTCCATAGGAGGCTATTACTTATTTTTTTAGGCCTATTATTTGAGACCCAATATTTTACCCCAAATATTTCCATTTTTACATTTGACTTTTTGTGTCCATATTATGTTTGCCTATGGCTTTCTTGTAATTACAGTCAAATATTACCAGATTTATTAACAAGCTATTCTTATTTCACAGGAGGTTTACTTATCAACATCTTTGGTTTGATCATGTTTGGATCTCATTCACATGGTCATTCGCACGATCATGGCCATGGTCATGGCCATAACAAAGATTCAGATAAGGAATCAGACACAGACTCACCAAAGAAAAAGGTTGGTATTATCGTTTTTTTAGAAGTATTTTTTAATTCAATGTTACATGTATTAAATGAAAATTTCATTTTTAGGCTGTAACTGAAGAGCAGCATCTGAACATGAGAGCAGTTTTTTTACATGTACTTGGTGATGCACTTGGTTCAGTTATTGTTATGATCAGCGCTACAGTTCTGTGGCTTGTTCCGGTAAGTAATGTGTAATATTATTTAATTTTTACATACACCTAATTTTTCTTCATCACACAAAATGATGAAATTGTTATGTTATTTTAAAGATAAAGAAAAATAGCATAATCTCTTTCCACGAAATATCGAGTAGATTTATTTTAAAGAGGTACCAAAGTTTGCTTCTAGAACAGTGATTTGTAATAGGGGTAATGAAAGTATTGTACTTTGGGTATTGTTTTATTCACTGTCTTACTGTACATGAACCATGACTTATTTTGGGACATGAGGTGGACCCATTAGTTGGAATAATAGATTGCAAATCTTGAGTAGGTAAAGATGAGAAAGTTCCTAGAAGGCTTTTTTTTTTTTTTTTCAAGTCTTAGGGGCTGGATATTTCACCTATATTTTGCTGATATTTCTAATTCACTGCACATTTCTGTATTACATTTGATACAGCTCTTTTGACATTAGTCTGACACTATTTTTGCTGACACTGCAGTCATCCTATTAGTCAGATGATCCATATATTCGAACATAGCTCTCAAGTTTCAAGATGATAAGTAATAATAAAGTATAGCTTGTTTCTCTTTCATATGACTGCAGATATGACCTCATCGTTGTGTAGGAAGTTGTTTGTGTTTTATGCTTGTAAGTGGCAGACTAATAGCAGTACTTACACATTATTTAACCAAATCCAATATCGAAGTCTACAATTCAGTCTTTTAGAATGTGTTGGGAAGGCAAGTTTTTCGATTCAATTTCTCTTTTTGAACCCTTAATGTCTTTCAATATTCCATATTATAAACTGACGGTGCTTGTCTTTGTTGCATTATGTGCATTACATATGCCGAATCCAACTTCAAACTAAAGAATTTGCTGTTCATAACGTAGTGTTATGACATGAAAGGATCTATCTATTCACTTTTGTTCTATTTCCTCTATGATGTATATGATTCAGTCATACACTTGTATGACCACCAAAAAGTTTTCATATATAGCACAAATATATTATTGCATTATACCGATATGTTCTCATACAAAAAGTTATTTCCACTTGCTGTATTAATATACTATTCGCAAAAATTCAAACATAATATCAAATTGACCAGTATCAATTGCTTTCAAGACAGAATTGGTAGTTTTTAAGGGATTCTGCAAAATTGTTAAACTATTGAATTAGTTAAATATTGACATTGCCGAATTAATTTTTGTTCGCTGGATAGGCATAGCCTTATATTTATTTGTACTTCTTCTTGAAGTTCTCCTTGAATAGCATGTATTGATTATTCGGACTAATTTGACAGACAGATCAATTAGCTCCTTGTATGACTTATCACCTTGTGCAAATTATCAACTGTGAAATGTAGGGCATGTTCCTTCTTTCTAAGTTTTAATTAAATATTTACCAGCTGTCTTTGTTTGTTATCACCCTACTCATGAACCATCTGTCTGATGTTCCTGGAAGAACTTGTTTCTTCAAGTTGTGTAAATGACTTTTATTGCTCAGCGCTTCTTATTGTTCCTATTTATGTGCTGTTTACTCGAGCAAAATAAAAATTTCACATAAAGTTTCTTTCTTTGTTTAGGCCTTTAGTAATAGTTTTAATATTTGATATGAGGAATTCAAAAGTCTTATTGCACATAAACTAAAATGTACTTTTGTAACATTTCGTCATTTTAGCTAATATTCTACTGCAAGTTGCTTAATTTTCCGCTTGGTTCCAAAAATTTATATGGAATGTGACTGAGGTAAATTTGACCTGCCTTGGAGTTAAATTTCGCAATCAATGAATTCACTTTTCTGTACTGCATAAATAGGTTATCAGTTTCATTACATGTACAAATGTTTTCCTTAAGCGCATAGCATGTTATAATGCTTTTACTATGGACAACATTGTCTGTTTGTTAGATACGAATGCAAAACAGTATAAAGTGAATTCAACACATTCGCAATTTTACCCCATGTTGTATAGTGAAATTATAAAAAAGGGGCAGGTCAATTTTAATTTTGAAATTTGTGAAGGTCTAAAGGAGAATAAATTTTGAGAGCCTCAGTTATTGCGGTAATGTGGTACATGTGAGTGTCTGTGATAAAATTTTTATCCTTTGAACATTTATTCAAATAAACTTCCCTCATTGTATATCTATTTATTATTGTGTTTATGTGTATTGGTCATGCTCATTGATGTGCTGACTGCTGACACATCACAAAATTCCTTTGTCTTGTGTGAGTGAATATGCTGACTGAGTGGCTCTGTGGTTTTACCTAAACTCAATTTCTGAGGGCGTGTGCAAATGCTATAAATTATTCATAAATTCAAAACACGATTTTTGAAATTTTCAAATAGAATTTGGTATTCTTGCGAGTCTTATAACGTTTCAGTTTTCAATATTTGTTGCAATTGCAATTTACCTTAGGTTGCTGAGCTGGCATTCTGTCAGTATAATTGGAAATTAGCATTTATTCAATTATTTGGTTTCTATTTACATCTGGATAATTTATCACTCATCCATCTTGAGCTGATAGGTTTCCTGGTTCGTTTATCTCACTACTCTTTCGCTTTGTAATTTTTCGGGAACTTTAATCTATTTCATCTTCCAAGTTTTCAAACGGAAAACAAATCATTATATGTGGGGTCATACTTCGTCTGTTTCTAACAAAACCTTATGTTTAGAGACTTCAATCATGTTATTGAATAGACATAATATATTTTGAATAGTTCAACATGGAATTTGAACAAATGTAAATTTGTAGAATTCAAATTTTTTTATTAGAAACTGTTTTAAACTATTCTTATTAAATAAAGTCAACATTTGTCATGCTGAATGTAACCAATTTTGATTGCATTCAAATATTTGATTTGTCTTGAATTTCCCTTGCTTGAAGCAAATTTTTAGAATAAAATATGGTGCATGACAAATAAAGTTTATATTTTTCACAGGCAGAAACAAACCCATGGACTTTATATATGGACCCTACGATGAGTTTAATACTTGTCTGCATCATGGTTTTCACAACAATTCCTTTATTCAAGCAATCAAGTATGATCTTACTTGAAACTGTTCCAAAACATATCAAGTTGGAATCAATCAGAAACAAGTTAGTATTTGTAAATTATATGTTTTACTAATGGAACATTTGAACATAACAAATGTATTTTTGTGAAGCTTTAATACTTTAGTCTGTGTGTTAGAAATAAAGAATGAATGTTTTTTCAATGAATGGTAGGCGAATAGCCAAACATTTTTTTTGTTCAATATTTTAAACTCAATTATGATGACAAAGCGAAACTGAAAAGATCACGGTCTTTCAAAAAGTAGTGGCACTTCCAGTAGTGGCTGCTAATACTGGGCTTCGTTTAGAGTGGAAAGCGTCAAACCTTTAGCCAAAGTGTGATGAAATAAAGTAGACAATTGGCCAACCTGAAAGATTTCAGTTCTTCCAGGAAAACAGTATCTTAATACCTATCAGTAGCTGCTTGTCTTGAGCCTTGTTTAGAGTGAAGACGTAAGAATTAAAACCATAGTCAATAATTCCATCAATAATAACTTAACTCAAGTTACTTGATTTTGGATATCTTCCTTTAAAATGAAATTTCGACACAGCAATTGAGTTGAAAATATAGCGGATATTAAAATTTTACAGAAGTCATTGAAAATTGATTTATTCAAGTGTGCAAAAATCAATATTCACATGTTTCTTTGTTTTTGTTTTAGAATCAAACAAATTGCTGGAATTCAAGCAATACACGATCTACATATCTGGCAATTAACAGGTGACAAAATAGTAGCTACAGTTCATGTGCAGTGTGCTGATGCAGAAACCTATGAAAGACTCGTGCAAAAGGTATATATCATATTATAACAAGGAATTTAATGGTTCAATTTATATTTAACGGAACGTTTTTTTATGAAGCATGGGGTTTATTCAACAAGCTTTATGCACTTTGCTGAGAAAATACAAGCATTGTTTCAATTGCCAGTCTCTAACTTGCTCCTCATATTATAGTTGCATCATAGTTGTTCAATTTTAGCAAAAAATGTTAATCCTCCGTGTGAGAATAAGATATGGTTTAGTGTTCCCGAATTGCTGACTGTAAGAAGCTTTCAGGCTCATCAGTGCATGAAAAAAACATCCACCCTTGTTGTACCCTTCAGATAAAGCAATTTGTGTAGGGTTTTTCCAAGAACTTTGCCATGAGGTAGTCTCGTGATCTTGTGAGTCCGCATTTACTGTTGCGTAATGCAGCATCACAATTCTTTTAGATGGTTACAGTAGTCTTTTACATTTCAAAGTTTGCCTGTGGCTTAGCTAAAATATAGATTCACTCCTGAATGAGTGCCTGTTAACTCAATAACACAAGCTGTAAACAAAGTGGCAGCTTACGAATATGTATTTCAATTTATTTTGACATTGCACAACTGGCTTAGATATATGTGCAATCAATATTTGCCTGAAGGCAAGAGGATAATAGTTGTTTACGCTATCTTATGAAGAGATTGGCCTATTTGCACTTGAAAGGCTTTCTAATATATATAGAAGGGAATCGTTCCAAAGGTCAAAGAGCAGCAAAACTAAACATCTTATAAAATGAAATTTAAATTGTCAAATGTTCTGTGTTCATACCATAGGTGTTTTTGATGCAGTTTTAACATGTAATGCTTCTAAACAGTTGGGAATTGGGATAAAAGTTGTTTTTCATTGTTATGAAATATTTGGCATGGTTAGGACTGGAGCCATCTTTATAGTTGCTTAGTTAGAGTTATACAAGGCATGAAATTTGGGAAGGTATTTTTGAGCGTCTTTTCAAAAAAGGAAAATTAGTTCTACTATTTTTCAGAAATTGAGCCTGCCAATTTTTTTTTGTTAAATTCTATGCTCTCCATGTCAATTTTATTATTTCTTTTCAGATTAAAGCGTCTCTTCACGATGAAGGCATACATTCGTGCACAGTTCAACCCGAATTTTCTTTTTCCGAGGACGAACTCCCTTGTCAGTTAGTGTGTGGGGAAAGTTGTATTGCTAAAACTTGCTGCCCGCCAGATAAACCAAAATTGGTAAGTTGGATTTGTTTTTAAAAATTTTCTATCATTGCTTTTATTAATTGGGTATGTCTATGATTTCAAACTATACTGTAATAAACTTTTTGAATGTTGGCAGTTTCTTTATAATGGGTTTCCCAGAGCTCAGACTCGTTTTCTTGTGGGTAATCGGAACTATGTCAAAATTGACCCAACAACTGAAATTTTAACAACTTCTCAAGACATTATTTTCAACTATGTTAGATATTCTTTTTCGGTGTTTGGCTAGCTTTTTGTCAGTTTTTAGTTGTGATTCTGAAAACCAGGTATGAATCAATGAACTCCGTGGTTATTTGGCTTCTCAGGATTTTAATCCAGTTATAGTTCTTAAAAAAGCTGGGATAGACAAGACCAAAATTAGCTATCAGTATATTTAAATAGCAAGGGGTTGAAATTTTTAATCAAAATAATAGGTATGAAACTGGTGAACTAGAATGTTAGTGAAAGTGTTGCATGTCAAAAACGATAAAGAATATTATACTAATTGATTGTAAATGCACTGCATATACCTTTAGTTGTTTTATAAGTTGCCTTTCAGTACTTTTAAGTAGAAAGGGGTTGAGCTGTTGATCAAAATGATTATTATGAGACTAGTAAGCTAGTTTGTAAGTGAAAACAGAATAAGCATCAAAAGTTCTACAATAGCCAAGTATAGGGAGAATTTTTCTGGGGCCACGGTCTGGTAAACATTCATAGATATGTCTGGATATCATATTTTTGCTGGAACCTTTTCAATATATAAATATCGCAGATCAATATGTAAGAAAAAAATCAAACGCTGAAGAATATTACTTATGTTATCAAATTCAAACATGGCAATTTATTACACTAATAACAGGAACCAAGTTTTTATTGATTGTGAATACACTGCATATAGTTGTTTTATAATGGCCTTAATAGGATTCCGTACTGCCTAAATGATTAAAATCGCAGGTATGCAAGCAAATTTTCTGCTCCATTTTAAAAGCAGAGGTTGGCTCAGTTCACTCATCCCTGATAACTGTGTCATTGTAAATCTATCAACTTGTTTGTACATTCGTGTCCCACTCATTAGTAATGAATACATGGGCAATCTTTCCTATTATTACGCAATCCGCCGCTGCGTGCGACACTCGTGTCAAAGTCTGGTGTCGTGTGCAAATAATATCTAATGTCGCGAGCCTTCACGCTTTCAACATGGCCTATTTTCATCAATCCGTCTATCGCGTTGCGTAACCGAACAAACGTGATCATTCGACAATGGTAATTATTTTGATTCGTTCCAAATTATACCCGGAATACTAACAAAACGTGCATCTGAAGGACATAATTATTTGAATGTGTACACAATGAAGATTAAATATAATAATGATAATTATATAAATTTTTTTGTATCAGTTACTGTATGTTTTGAAAAAAATTCTGTGGGTTCTACGAGATTCGTTTACTGCGTGCGATGACGCCGTCAAAAATTGCGTAATTTGAGGCGATTGCGCTTTCGCGTTAGTCGTGACGATTGTCGTGTCGGTAGTCTACAGTGAAAGATTGCATACCCGTACTACATCGTTTAGGACTACGCCACCTTCTCCTAGGGATGGGCAATATAGAATACCGAATCCGGAGGATTCGAATCCCAAAGTATTCGAATCCAACGGGATCCGATAACAGGATTCGGTTTCCGCCTTTCCGGCGCCAAGCGTCAATTTTTGTATTTCGGGTTTCTAATTTATCAATTATAGACGAGCATTTTTCTCACGTGGAAATCTCTCTCGTTTAATTAAACTTGCGTCTGCTCGCAAAGAACCCGTAAATCGGTAAACTTCAAACACTGTAATTTCAATCGGCATATTCAGGACAAGAAGTCGGCAATATAACCTCACGGCGAAGACTCGTTATTGCACCATTTTTGCGTTTTCCTTCTTTGCTATCTAGCTAGCGTTATTTGTGCCGACTCACTGGTGATATTCCGATAATCTGAATGGAACAATCTTTAATTGTTTACAGACGTGCCTTGCTTCATTTTAAATCAAATAATTTTTCGCGACCTACGAGTTTTCCAAAAAAATGATGCACCTTAACCAAAAGCCAGGCGTCAAATGTTATAACATTACTTGCGATCAAATATTATTTACTAATAATTTTAATATACCATTTTCCGAAATACAAAGTTATATCGCAAAACGCGAACATCTGTCACATTTAAATTTCACTCTCAAAAGATTACATATTTTTCGGTCCGTTTTCATCGTTCAAGATAGACGCACGTTTGATCGAGTGTCTGTAGTGTTTCAGTCGCAGATAAATTTTGAAAAAAGTTGCCGCATCTGGCGAAGATAGTGACGTATTGAATTTGAGTAGGGCTAAGTCTGGGTAGATAATGATAACATTTCTATCGTTCAAGATAGACGCACGTGTGATCGAAAGTCTTAGTATTTCAGACGGCGGCGATGAATTTTGAAAAAAGTTGCCGCATCTGGCGAAGATAGTGACGTATTGAATTTTAGTAGGGCCAAGTCTGGGTAGATAATGATATGTAACAATAATCACAGAAAATGAGTTCGTCTTTAGATGTTATTACCTAATAACTAAGTACGCAATCGCGTTTACGGGAACTTGGTTTTACCTGTCTTGCTCGCACAGAATAAAAAGTTGATTTTAATTGATAGTGGTTAAATTTAATATTTTACAACGGCGCATAGATTGCAGTCATGCAGTGGCCACACGCTGGTTCTGCATCTAATTAATTCTCAGCGGGTATGTTATAGTACACTCGACAGACTTACATTAATAATGATTTGACGCCGTTACATGTCTATTTTGTATTTAACCGCTTACTATTAAAATGCGTAACGCGGGTTAGTTTAGCTTAACATATCAGTATTTATTAGTATTCAGGGATTACATACATTTGGAACAATTGAGGGCAAAAAATATTGTAATATTCCTAAATTTTATTGTCCTGGGAACTGCCTGTTTAGTATCAAATGAAATCCAATGTTCAGGACATTTCCAAATAAATAATACATTTATAGTAAGTAATACATTGCAATTTTTTAACAACTAAATCCAGCAATGTGGAAATTCCCACTATTTGAATAAGTATGAAAATAGAATAGGATTCGATATTCTGGATTCGATTTAACTATTCTAGAATATTCTAGAATAGTAAATTATTCTACATTGCCCATCCCTACCTTCTCCATATATTTAAACATAAATGGTCAAGAGGCATCCGCAATGAGCGGTTCCGGTGACGTCATCTCACTCGTCGGCGCGATCGGGTATTCCATCACCGAACTTTCATTCGAGTGCCACAGCATTTGTGGCAAGAATTTATTAGTCAACTACTGAATTATTCGGTTATCGAGTGGTTCAACCACCGAGGTATAACTGTATTTTCGGGGCTCCCGAAGTATGCGAACCAAGATGGCGGACATCGGAATGTAATATGTGTACTAGGTTAGGGTTAGGCCATAATTTTAGGTATAAATACTACAGGAGGCTCTTGGCTAGTCTTCCAACTGATAATAGGACTAAAATAAGGAAAATTGGAAAAAAATTATCGCCTAACCCTAACCTGTTACCCATGTTACGTTCCGATGTCCGCCATCTTGGTTCGCATACTTCGGGAGCACCGTATTTTCAAATATGGAAAGCCTTATTGGTCATATTGTGAAACTAAATGTATTTTTTCTAAAATCAATAGACTGGAAAATCGAATAATAGGAATTTGAATATTTCGACTCATTTTATAAAGCTGATTGTGTAGCGTTATGACATGTACATTTCGTAACCACTGACCATGCATGGCCACGTATCTTGCTCCCGCCTACTTTTGTTAGGAATGGCTGGTTCAAGCGAATTCAACTGATTCAACCGGAGGTTTAATTTGCATTAGATAACGATACTGCCAGCTATGCAAACAAAGTAAACGGGATATTACTTGTCAGTTTGTTCAACAGACTACACTATTGCGATATATTTTTATAGTACGGCTGTTCTAAAGTAGTCGTAGTTGAGGAAATGGCCGATTTTGTTTGGATTTTCCTTGTTCATTTGAACAATTGCCTTCAATAAGCTCGCGGCGAATTTAATAAGGCTATTGAGCTAGATATTTGTCATGTCCAATTGAAGCCGGATCCGGAGTCGAAATTTTGGATCCCCGGATTTAAGGCCGGATTTCGGTCGAAGGCTTGCATAATATGTCAAGTTATCGAAATGTCACGAAATTATGGGCTTGAATCGAGTCAAAATTTTGTGGCTCACTGTCTTCACAGCACTGCTATATTTAAGAACCTTTTTAATGCCCCGTTGTTCCCATATATTTATCCCTCATTTAACTCAACGACAATCTTCACTTTCAGGACAGAAAACCTTCTGCCAATGATACAAGAGTGATGGAGCAAACGACGTTGACTATGGCACCTTCAAATATTGCGACTTCCTCTACGCTTGCCATTGTTGACGAAAACGAAGTTGTTTTATCACAAGGACAAGTAACCGAAACATCATCAGAAATTGATTTCAAACCAGAAGGAAACAACACAACCGAGAAAGGTCCATCAGCTTGAAGCGTTTACTGTGTTAAGATTTATTTTTTGTACGTCACTTAACTGACATTTTTTTGTGAGTCATCTCGTTGCGCGTCTGCCTTGGTGATACCTCAAAAATTATCAACTGCAGTATTACTACCATAGTGGAAATGAGAGTTGACGTTTTGCAGTGATTTATTTTCCCAACTTTGTACCGGCAGTCGGTTTGTAGTTCGTTTAAAAGGTATTTGCACATTAGTCCTTTCAAGTCAGGCATAGTCTGAAGATTTTCACGATCCACAATGAAATTTATTACTGTGTATTGCGACCTTTCGCCAGACTATGATGTACATATTCGCGCGTTTATTCACTGCATCAGTTGATCCCGGCATTATATTATACATTAGTTACTTTTTGTTACGTTGTACATCCCATCCAAAGCAAAATTTATCATTATACTTGTGGGGCAATCTATCAATTTCTTCGATTTTTAATTTTTTTCTACGCTGCTTGTGAAGTTACATAATATTTGTAACTAGAAAACAAAATATTAGAGCGTCATTTTTTTCCTATTTAGTAAATTGAAATAGAAGCTTGATAAATATCAAATAGTTACTTAAATTGTTTTGTGAGCAATAATTTCCAAGACGGTGATGTTACGAATTTTTACACTTCTTGCCTATATCTAACATTTGAAATCAAATATATGCCCTTTTTTGGTATCATGCTACTTATTTCAATATATCTTCATGTCCGCAACAACTGCTCGTGTTGGTGTGTTCAACTAGTTTCAGGGTGGGGTCTTTGGTGAGATAGCCAAGGAAAAGTTATAGTCAACTCCCGAATCCTGGGTTGTAAAAAATTTAAATTCGACTCCGATAATAATTTCCTAAGTCTGTGAAACTAACTTTTGCTAACAAAAATTTTAACGTATGAAGATCTCGTCTCTGTCGTCTGCCCCGATGGTTTGTTCCGTCTGAAAGGTGCTGCGTTGCAACTATATATATATGACGCAAAAATTCAGGGTCAATTATTAATTGGAGTCATACCAAGCTTTTCGAATTGTAGGTGTGTGGAAGAGTGGTTATCGTAAGCGGTTTGTTTTATAAGTAAAGTTTGAAATGAAATGAGTGATGTTAAAAAATTGGGTGAATGGGTCTTCAATTTTCAAAAATATAAATTTTATTCCGTCAACCCCTCTTCTGCCGCGAATGGTTTGTTCCGTCCCAAAGGTGTTGCGTGAAAACTCGTTCAAATATTCAGAGAAGCGTTCGTCTTCAATTTTTTTCACAAGGGCGGAGAACTCCAGTCTCAGAACCAGAACACAGGTCTCTGGCGGACACTCCTCAAGTGCCGGGAATAGGGGCCTGATTGTTTTACTCCTCCTGAAATAATCATTTTATTCGCCCTTTTCAGTTCAACTGGAAAATAGCAGTACAGATGTTTGTGTGGTAATTTGGAAGAGGTTAAGCTGACTTTCCTCGAAGTGAAAACGTTTGCACAACTACGCTTGATGGCTTACCGATGTCTCTTTCCTCTGCTTGATAAGCGCTGGCAGATTCGCAACCACTTATGAATCAGATTTTGTTGAAGATTTATCACGAGATCATGTCTGCATAAAGCGACGATGAAATAAAAACTTTTTACGTTTAACTACCTTCTTATAATATTTCTCTACAGATAACCACTTGAACTTGTCTAAACTTCGTGTATCGTATAACCTATACCTACAAAAACACAGCTTTCTGTATGCAAATTGCGCCTAAAAGCTTCATCTTAGAATTTCCAATAGTGTCTAAGCCACTGTTTCCCAACCTCTTTTGGTCGCGGACTATTTTCACACCAGGGAAAATCTTTGCGGACTCAACGTGCGTTAACTGTAAAAAACCGAACTCTGTGTAAAGTAGCAATAAAATCAAAAACAACAGAATTTTAACGAAGTGCGTTTATAATCCATATTTACAAAATTCAATCGAAACCATAGCGAGGATGCTCAATCATTGAGACATCGAGAACTGCTCGCTCTGACAAACTCGAAAGACATTATGAGATCACTGGCGACGATTCGCCGAGGAAAATTATACGAAGGAATTTGCAACTAAAATTTCCAAATAAATTCATTCTGATTTTTGTCCTTATCGATCGCCTTCGTAAAATTAAAAAATAAACAATATCTTTATGGCTGGTTCCTGAATTCGCTGTCATTTTCTGTCTGTATCGAGTCTATGTTTTTTTGTTGCCTCGAAACAAATCCCCCGAAATGTCGTTACTGCGTATTCATTGAAATCTGATAGAACTCACCTAATGGTATTTCATATTCAAATTAATATATCCGCTCGGAGAATTTTGAAATGTTACATTTTTGTTATTTGTATTGGTGATTCGAATTTTACCAAATGGCCCACTGAAAAGATGTGAAATTCATGCGATATTGGCGCACGATAAGATCATTTAAAATGTAGCAATGGTGTTAGACAAATAGATAAAAAACACAATTGAACACTCAATTTTAACGGAAGCGAAAAGTACGCGTAAACTCGTGTTTTTGTCAGAAATCTGCGAGTCCGTTGTGCAATCCAATCGTTTGATTTAGCGCGATTGACGTGCTGTGTCCAAGTCACATGTTACCAGGTATTCTAATAGTTTGCTGTTCGAATATTTTGCCCAGCCCTCCTCAGTAATCAGTAGTTATTGACTCGATTTGATTTAATGTGAATAAACTTGCCTTTCATGTTTTATGTAAATACTAACGTAAATCGTAACTTGGCTGGTACTCAAGTCTGGTGAAAACGTTTTCGCCTCGCAATGAATTTTGCGACACTGAAAAAGTTATTAAATATACAATTAATTAATTTATTCGTTGCGGACTCATTCGAAGGCTCTGCGGACTCATTTGAGACCGCGGACTCGAGTTGGGAAACACTGGTCTAAGCAAACTTATTTTTGTATTTTGGACTCATAAAATCATATCCTTGTCGCATTTCAACAGAATTCTGTTGGGATGTGGTGCTAGTAATATCCGTTTATATAGGCCGACAACGTGCCATTTGCATATTCCTCTATATCAGGGGTGGGCAAGCTGCGACCCGCGAATTAACTTTTTGCGGCCTTAGAACGTCGGATCATGCTCTGGCTGCCTCACTGCCATTTTGATGCCCTGTATATATATGAAAATAGTAAATAATAATGTAACTTGTGTTTCTATATATTATCTCAATTTATTTATTTATATCAATTTATTTATTTTTCCAGCCAGCCTCGATGATTTTTTTATTTTCCTAATTATCAACTTTTTTATTTTTTTTTTTTATGATTTTTTTTTATTTTAATTTTTTTTTTTTTTATTATTTTTATTATTTTTTTTTATAATAAACAACTTTTTTTGACTAAGACGGACGGATTTATTTTTTATTCTTTCATCCTAATTTTTCTTGTCATTTTGAGAATCTTTTTCCCATTAATTTCATTTATTTTTTGGTTCTTGTTTCCCCTTCATCTGTTTTCCTAGTTGTCTCTCTTCCTTGTTGCTTGTCAGCTCCCCCCCATTCAGGGTTTCTGGGAACTGGGCTTGCTCGTCGTCTCCTTTTCCTCCCCCTCAGGCTTCTTTCTGGTCAGTCAGGCCCGCCCGTTGTGTTTGCTGGTCCGTTCAGCCCTCTAGCATTTGGGGGGCCTGGTGACTGACTGGCCTCCCGCTCCCCATTTCTTTCGGGACCTGCCTTGTCTGCTTTCCCTTTCCTTTTTTGACCGCCTGCCTCGTCTGCCTTTCTCTCTGTTCTTTCTTGGGAACTGCTTGTTCTCGCTTGCTCGTCGCTTCCCTTTCATCCTTTGATGATCACCTTGCCTGGTTCATTTCATCTCTATCTCTGCCTTTTTCATCTCTGCTCTTTCTTGGACTGCTTGTTTTTTTCCTCCTTTCCCTTTCCTCCCTTGATCGGTCTTGCGCGCCTGCCTCGTCTGCCTTTTCATCTCTGCTCTTTCTTGGAACTGCTTGCGCTTCCCTTTCCTCCTTTGATGATCTATCTCACCTTGCCTGGTTCATTTCATCTCTATCTCTGCCTTTTTCATCTCTGCTCTTTCTTGGACTGCTTGTTTTTTTCCTCCTTTCCTCCTTTGATCGTCTTGCGCGCCTGCCTCGTCTGCCTTTTCATCTCTGCTCTTTCTTGGAACTGCTTGTTCTCGCTTGCTCGTCGCTTCCCTTTCCTCCTTTGATGATCACCTTGCCTGGTTCTCTTCTCTGCCTTTTCATCTCTGCTCTTTCTTGGACTGCTTTTTTTTTTTTTTTTGTTCTTGCTTTGCTGGTCGGCTTATCTCTGCTCTTTCTTGGACTGCTTTTTTTTTTTTTTTGTTTTGTTCTTGCTTTGCTGGTCGGCTTCCCTTTCCTCGTCATATCTCTGCTCTCCTTGGACTGCTGTTCCGGTAGCTCTCTGCTTTTTCATCCCTGCTCTTCTTGGACTCGTTGACTCCTTATCTTCTCTTCTTCACATTCCTCGTCATCTCTGCTCTTCTTGGTTATCCCTTGCTCATCTCGCTGCTTTTTCATCCCTGCTCTCTCTTGGACTGCTGTTCTCGCTTGCTCGTTGACCTCCTTTGAACTCTTTTTGACCGTGTTCTCGCTTGCTAGTTGACTTTGACCGCCTTTCAACTCTTTTGACCGCCTGCCTGCCTTGTCTGTTGCTAATTGACCTCCTTTCAACTCTTTTGACCGCCTGCCTTGTCTGCTTCTTCTCTGCTGTTTTCGCTTGCTCGTTCCCTTCGTTGGACTGACTGCTGTTCTCGCTGGTTCCTTTTTCTCCTTCTACCCACCTGCTTCGTCTGCTTTTTGTTGCTAATTGACCTCCTTTCAAACTCTTTTGACCGCCTGTCTGCTTTGTCATCCCTGCTCTTCTTCTTCTTCTCTGCTGTTCTCGCTTGCTCGTCGGCTCCTTTTATCACCTGCTTTTCTTGGGGCTGTTGCTGGTCTCGCTTGCTCTCTCCCCTCCCTCCTTCGACCGCCTGCCTGCTTGGACTGACTGCTGTTCTCGCTGGTTCTTTTTTCTCCTTCTACCGCCTGCTTCGTCTGCTTTTCATCCCTGCTCTTCTTCTTGGACTGCTGTTCTCGTTTGCTCTCTTTTTTCCTTCGACCGCTTTACATGCCTGCGCTCCCTTTTCTCTTTCGACGCTTGCTCGATGGCTCACCTCGACTTCGACTCACTCCTTCTTCTGCTTCGTTTGCTTTTCATCCCTGCTCTACTTGTACTGCTGTTCTCGCTTGCTCGATGGCTCACTTTTCTCCTTCGACGGCCTGCTTCGTCTGTTTTTCATCCCTGCTTTTCTTGGACTGCTGTTCTCGCTTGCTCGTTGGCCCTCTTTCCTCCTTCGACCGCCTGTCATGTCTGCTTGTCCATCCCTACAACTCTACCCCGCGGGGTTCGAACTCAACCTCATACCTGGCCTGATGTTTAACCATGTCTCTACGCTTCCCCTGCGCCACCGCTACTGACGAGGATGGGTTGTATAAGAATCTCACCTAATTAACGACGTCACGCCTGGCAGCCCACGGCGAGGCTAATTACCCCGAAATAATTACATTAAACTTAATGCGTTGATTCGAAGCAGATGTATTCATGCCTCATCTGAAACTATCGTGTGCGCTGCTTTAGGTATTGATTGTTTGAATATCCCGTTTTAAATTTGTAGTTAGTTTTGGTTTACTTTTTACAATAAAAATGCGGTATTTTGCAATCATGACAAGATGCATGGCATAAGATAATTCAAATGAATGAATCTGCAAACCAAATGTCTGACTGTCAGTGGAGGAAACTAAGACTGACAGACAGTTCATCAATTTGATCCTTTCTGTCTCTTGTTATGTATATATGTATGTATGTATATATTGTTTTCTTGGTTTGACACATATTTACGTTTGACAAAATGAAATAACCCCCCTCTCTCTCTCTCTCTCTCTAGTTTACCGTTTCTAAATTCATAGAACATCTCAGATTGAAATTGGCGCGGAGGTATGCTCTTTTACAGATCGAAACGATATCATACACACTAAAAGTGAAGCAAAAAACACCGTGAATTTTGTCTGAAGAGCCCCGCGACAAGTAAAACATGCTACCGCTGGCACTGAAAATGAAACGCAGAAAATTGCGTGTGCGATGTACCTTTCTTTCATTTGATACAAAGCTGAGGCCCTTCGTCAGTTACCATTCCATGTCAGGTATAGGATTGGTTAGCAGTAATTTGTTTCAGATGTATGGAATGGTTGTTTATATATATATCATTTAATTTATATATAGAATAACTATGCTTCCGAGAATGATAGCACCTTTTGTAGAAAGTCCCCGCCGACCGCCACTAAGCACTAATGAAAGAATGTGGGATTTGGGAAACAACCCTCGCCGACTACAACTGAGTTTAAGATGATCGATCTTTATGAAGAAGACCAACTAAAATGCGCTTTAAGGGAAAGGACCATTAGGTTATAGAAAAGCATTCCAATGGAAAAATACCCAATGTCAAACGAGCTTAGGATATTGTCAATGTTTGGGTCAACATACGTCTGCGAATCTGTGTTATTTACCCTAAAAACGCGAAATCAAAGCATTAGTCTTTTCTGACTGACACGCATGTTAAAGAATTGCTTCGATTAGCTACAACGACATACAAACCAAATTTAAAGAGCATCGCTCAATCCAAGGAATGCCAGAAGTTCCACTAAGTAGCATGCATATCAATAAATAGCTTGTAAATTCTGTCATAATCATGTTTGTTATAGTGACATTTACATAAAAATAGCATTCTAGCAGAGTCGAATAAAGGTAGGCTATATCTGATGCTCATGTGTATTCTTGTTTATAATGTGACTGTTTGCGTTAATAAAGTACGAAATGCGGCTCTTGGTTTCTGACTGGTTGGTCACTCCTCGAATGATTCAAATTTTGAAATCATTTCCGACCTTAACTGGATAATTACTATTTTTTATTATGAGCGGTGGCATTGGCGTCTTTCGACCGGGTTTTTCTACACATGATCCGAATGATATACTAAACTTTATAATCGTGTACAATACTCTTATTTGGCGTCTTATTCAGAAACATTTTGTTTGAAGTTTTCAAGCAAAGGACATCTTGTGGGTGTTCGTTGTATAAATTTATATGGGTTGTCGTGAGCTCGCGTTCAGGTTTTGTTATTACATTTGTTTCAATGAAGCTCTTCATGCAAACGCTTAAACATACTGTTTATACTGACATACCGGTACAGTTTCATTGTATATACTACCAAGAGCGGACCAGAAATAAATCGCATTAGATAGATGGTGTTCGCCACGGTGGACAACACTTCACTTCTTGCGGTACGTATGACACAATTGCGGGTATCGCCAACTGTTTCATTTTCATGCGGAGTCAAAGCTTACAGACATGGCAGATTCCAGTCAGAGATATCGTATTAGATATTTAACACACGATGACGATGTATCCATACCACGGAACATTATCAGTGCTGGAAATCGCGACAATTATAAAAATGCAGTGAGGAAAGTACTGTTACTGAACTGGAGATTTCAGGTATTTATCTTTCAAATTTAAATAAAGGTCTTCGTCCCACGTCGTTTCATATGCTTTGCCTTTTTTCTCAAACCTTGGCGTCATCACCAGTCTTGGCTCTTTTATTTCTAGTTATGTATGTATCATTAAATATTCAATAAGAATTTTTAGAAACGATCATTAGCTAAAACAAATCTATCGAGTCAAAATTTCTGGCAATCGCCTAGATTTTTTTTATCGTATACCAGATTTAAATCATGTATTGGAAATGTACAGGTTACGGCATTCGCAATCGGCATTTTCTTATCTCGTCTGTTTAATGGAGACGTTGTAGGAGTTGTTGTGATTTTTCTGATGATGAACATAGCGGCTCTAACCATCGGTATGTATATTTAAAAATTGATAATTGTATTAATAACAAGAAAGCTATGCTCAAATATATGAACACGTAGAGTCACATAATTTTGATGACGTCATAGCGAAAAAAAAGTAATAGCCTTCTGGAGAAAATTTTTATCTTTAACCACTGAAAATTTCAAAGCAATTGGTCCAGTATTCGAAGAGAAAAGCGACTTTTTAAAAACGTGTCAAAGAACAAGAACAAGAACAACAACAACAACAACAACATAATATTGAAACGATCGTTATGTCCACTACGTATCCAATAAACATATATCGTTGAGATAATAATATATATATATAATTATTGAGCTGTCAATGACCACCGTTTGACGGTAGCTTAGTTCATGGTAACACTACCAGTTTAACAGGTCGCCAATGAAGGAATTCCCCACACTTACGATCAATAAATATATATGAGATTCAATAAAATTAAGCTGATAATACTTTTTCTTTATAAAAATTTTTGAAACTCCTGTTTTATTTTTAATATGTTTTAGGTGTAATATTTTATAAAAGAAACTGGAAGAATGATGCGAATCATTTGGACAATGAATCTGTAGAAGATGCGATAGATCTGGAAGAATTCTGGGTAGCTGAGTTGGAAGAACCGGAAGGCTGGGAAATGGTGGGATCCATAAGCCTCGGAGAACCTGACGATGACATGAAAAAATATATTGTGAATCCTCGACGAACTTTGGAGTTGAAGGTATAGTCCTATAATCGAGGAAGATAAACGCGAATTCTGAATGTTGAAAATTTTGAGATATTCGCAAATTCATTGCTTTTTTAAAAGTTATATGAGTCATAAAGACTGACGTCATAATATTTCAATATTTTGCTGTATATTGAATAGAAACGAACATTTCTTCGTTTTAAAGATTGCAAACATGCTCATGAAGCGGCAAATGGGTAGTTAATATCATTTAATTCGACATTTTCAGAGATGGTCAATTGCACCTGGCAAGAGGGGTAAAAAACTTGGTGCACGGCTTTTGCAACATGCCACAGATTACGCATCTACAATGAAATACAGAGAAGTTGTGTGTTATTGTTGGAATGTTCAACAACGAGCTCTGAAAGTCTATAAACGAGCTGGATTTCAAAAGAAAAAAACGCTAAAATACAAATATATGTTTGGATTATTCCGATTTAACTTGTACGTTATGTCAAAAAATGTGCTGATGTGAGCAAAAATATACGATCTTGAAACATTTAATTTACGTGTGTCTGTCGATATTGATAGTGTTATCTATATACCAGTATATATATATTTACTTTAAATTCGCAAAAATGCAATTGCTTATCCAAGTCGCTGCGTACGTAGGTTTTCCACCACATAGCCTACTAGAGGGTGTTTGTGAAAACAAGCATGCTTTAGTACACACCGCTTTGTACGATACGAAAAAGCGCTCTCTCGCTAGAAAAAAATGAATTATACTAGGATTAATGTGACAAAGATTTCAAAGAAAAGATTTTGCTATACCCACGTAATAATATTAATCATGGGCATAGCCAGGGACTCTCCTTTTGAGATGTGAAAAGTTTTTTCTGTGTCATACATAGCTATATTTTGTAGACTTCAGTCCCTAGTTAAGATTCTTGAAAACCACTGTTACGGTATGACTCGGCAATTAGAAATTTCCCTTCCCTGACAATGCTCCTGATATTAATAATTTACTTTTTAAACAATAATCTCAACATTAGAATTGTGCAATCCTGAAATACGCAATCAATTCGATAATGCATTGACAATAAGCAGATTCCGAAACATGTTTAAGATAAAGATGCTCAGTAAGTACCACGTCTAACAGCTCGGTTTAGTGTTTTAGTCGAGCTCGCATTCGCCGGTAGAAGAAATTGGATTTGATTTATATAAGTATTCTTCAGTTAAATAAGTGCATGAAACGCAACCTTTTCTATCATGAACAAGGAATTTCGAATTCGCGAATTACAAAGAGAAGATCTTTCCATAGCCAGGCAAATTATCAGGAACGGACTATACGGACTTTTTCGAACGGGTTTGAAAATACTATGCTGGAAAAATCGAAATGTTCTGGTAATATAATTTCTTATTTGATCGCCAAGTACCATTACCAATTGCGATGCGTGTTAAAAAAGATGCAAGTTATTAAGTATTGATACTCTATGCCCGACAACTTAATATTACGTTTCAATTATTGAATAAAAATGTCACTAGCCTAATTGAACTTCTCCTCGAATTGTACTAACTACTCTACACGGTGATTTAATTTATCTAATGATTTCACACAGGGCATCATGACTATGATTACAGCAACATTCACTGCATTATTTGAAGGGAATATCATAATTTCTTTGATCGCCCAGATACTTTTTTTGTTTCTTGCAAGTAAGCGAAAACATATATATATACTGTATATTAATATTTTATAGATCTTGAAAGCCTTGTGGATGAAGATAAAGGAACAAACCTTTGGTCCAAGTGGTCCAAAATATAAAACATCTGCACCTCCACTTCTAGCATGGCTGTGAATAGGTTGAACTTTACCGAACGTTATATAGTCGAAACCCGCAATTTCTCTAGATTAGCCATGCCAAACATTTTTAAATTACGACCCATCAGTGTTCAGGTCAAATAATACCGACTTGTTTATAGTTAAAAAGACCTAGTTATCGTTGAAAATGTTAAATTTGGGTGTTATTGTTGAAGTCAAAAATGCTCGAGACTGGTATAGATAAATCGGTGCGATAAATATAACGTATTTCGATTTCAACCTCTATGCAGTTTTATCATGAAATGGAAATTATTTACAATATTATTACGTTTCTTTCAAGGCATTTTACAACTCATCAACGAAGTAGAACATCAGATGAACGATCTCAATGATTTTGATGAAATGGAAAACCGATACGTAAAATTTTGGGTGATGGAACATATACAAAAATATGAAACGTTTATAGTCGGGACAGTTGCTTTAAAAGCTCAAGGAGACGTCACCAATCGCCAACCAATATCAACTGTTGAATTAAAAGTAATTTGCTTTCAAAATAGTTCAATAAAATCATTTAGGTAAAATGAAACGCTAACCTGGTCGGAGATATATTACTAATTACTAAACTAATCCTAAAAATTCCTAACTTCAGTTGCGTGAAAAGTGACAAGGCCTATAAAGAATGCACAAAACCTAGATTATATGCAAATGCATGCTAACTATCATTTTCCCTGCATATAATCGTATGTTCGTTTCTGCAAAAATTTTCAAAGGGGATTCTATTGCTGAGAATCTATTCCTTGATTCCAACGAAACAATTGTTGACGTTTTTTAACGTGGTTGTTTTTGTTTCCTGAAAATACATGTCGGCGTTAAATAAAGTTACCACGGATTATGTCTGTATACAGGCAACGGAGTATCAGGCCTTCCAACCGTAATTATGCTATGATATTGAGTATGTCTCTGCAGTATTTTATTTTATAGAGAATGTCTGTATCACCAAAGTTCAGAAAAAGAGAAATGGGAAGGAAATTGCTCGCACATGCTGTAGATGAAGCTGCTGCCTTGGGCTTCAATCGGATAATACTAGATTGCACTGAGATGCAAATGCCTGCTATTTCCATGTATCGAACTCAAGGATTTATTACCACGAGAATCATAAACAAACCCCTATTATTTGTGCTTCCTGGTATAAATGTGCATTATATGGAAATGAAATTGTACAAATAAAATGATGTCCATGATTACTTGATTCGTAGTTGGGTGAATTTGTTTACGACAATGCATTCGAGTCTTAACCACTGTTGGACATGTGTTGTCTTTCCACGACCACGACACGAGACAGGAGAGTTTAGTTATTTAATTGCGCGTGGCATGCGCTGAGAACGAATTTACTCAAGTTCCAAAACAATGGCAACTTAGTACGTTCGAGACGTTCGAGACCGCTAATTCGTTCAAATCGTGGAGCCAGAACCTGCTATATATTTTAACATTAGACAGCAACTTTAGTAATTTCTCACTGTCGGATTCACCTGTGGGGAAGAAAACCAGATCTTTGCCGTTAAAAGGTTTCACCGACAACAGCGAACAAGTCGCAGTGTAACCGAGAAGAATCAATGTTCAGAGAACACACATCTTGACCTTTTGTATGGGCAAAAAAAATGTACCTATGCTTATTGTATTCTACAATTTTAGACAAAATTTCATTTTCTCAAAGAGGAGAAACATATTTTTTAATCTGCAATTTGCTTGATTATGCGAGATTAATAACTTTGGTACTGAATTTGTGATAATTTATAAGAAATTACTCGACTGATATTTTTCCAACAATCAAATTGTTCGAATATTCAGCAAAATCAGGTAATTTATGGTATTAGGAAGGTTAGATTGGACAACAACTTTTGAGGTTAATGATTTTCAACGCCCTACATCCTCTTTTGAGGCAGTTTATCCGCTGATAATTTATAAATAATTTGAAATTTTGGCAAATTGCTCATTAGTACAGTATGTTTATAGATGTTACTATGTCAGGGTTTGAACTGTGGATTTCCGTCAATTGGGCTATGCCCAACATGCTCCAGAGATAATATCCCCTTAAAAGCATGTTTCAGGCAGTATATCAATCAATGTCTATGTGCAACAGGGAAATATTTCTCAGATAATATTTTCTCACGGGATTCATAATAAAATTGATCGGCAACAATCTGTACGAACTATGGGTATACAATTTGAAAAATTGTTATGGGAAGTTTCCCATGGGCAACTCTGAGATAATGATATGATAGATTCCCATAGTACACGTTTGATTTATGGTTGATTGAACTAATGCGTGCTTAACTACTTCCCCGTATTTTTTGCCTAAAACTATATAAATGTTCTTTGTACATCTACCATTGTAGTAATTAAACGTTACTGAAAATAAAATGCATAAACCAACTTTGCAATTGTAATACATATTACGAGCAAACCAGGAAGTAACGAAATATAATTTTAATCGGAAGGAAAATTCAGAGTTTGTTAAAGTAGGATTTATGTAAATTCTCATGCTGGTCAACTGTATGAAGTTATCTACTATGAACCAAGAATTCCGAATTCGCGAATTACAAAGAGAAGATCTCTTCAAAGTCAGGAAAATTATTAGAAACGGGCTTTACGAAAATTTTTATACTCTATTGAAAATACTATGCTGGGAAAATCGGAATGTTCTGGTAATATTAATTTTTAATTGCGTAATTTCATTTCTGATGGCATTTATCAATGTAGAATTCAAAGTCATTTGCTAATGCTTCTGGTACGATAACTAAAATTAATCACAATACTTCAACTTAGCCAAACGGCACTGCTAGAAGTGTTACAAGTTACCATTCAGATATCTAAAAGTTTTATATAACATATATGTTACTGAGGCGCAGCAAGTATTTGCTAAAGGCCAATAAATATTTATTGCGGCGAGATTCAAAGCCGAACTAACAATGAACTCAGCCGGATTAACCATTCAACAATATAAGCACGTGCTTATGGCACCAAGCAAAGAGGGGCACCAAAGAAATTTTAGAGCAGAATTTTATATAGTTTATCGGTGTTTATTAAAATATTACTAGTTCACCAGACGACTCAAACTTCAAAATGTTCGATTATTTTTCGTCTTCAAGTATCATATTGAAATTCTTTATTAAAAATAAACACTGAAACTTATTTATTGGACAGGAAATGAGCCTATGAGTCGTTTTCTTATATATATATATATATATATTTTTTTTCTTTTTCTAGTATTCACCTTGTTGCTGCATTTTTGTTTTAAAAAAATTTCTTTTCCCTTCAACAATTGGACCAATGAACTATATCACTAAGCTTGCTCACGCTGCAAGTTTTTAAATTACTTAATATATATATAACAATTCGTAATAAAATGAGTGTCGCAAGAAATGTGACATAAGGAAAACACGGCGAAAATGTATTTCTTTGCCCATACACAGTGTCTGGTTTGATTTCAAGTAATATCTGTCACGAAAGAATATAATTTGTAGCGACATTAAACGCGAGATGCGCAAAATACAATTCTCGGGAATAAACTTTAAGATGACTGAAGGCTTTATATATCTTCTTTAAAAGAACGCCACTCATGCAACATAATAATAGTCTGATTGGAACGGTAAACTGTCGCTGTTTATTAAATTTAAAGTGAGTAAACTCGCGATATTTCGATCACTTTTGGGTTTTCTCGGACTTGCGGCCCGCGAGACCTCGTCAAAAGTTTTTGCGGTCTTTCAACCTTGAACCACTCTGAGGTAGACTATTAGGTACCGGTAAAATTTCAAACTACAGTTGTGACTTGTATGCTTTGGTATTTCGATTCACGTTGAGACTGGAGGCATGAATCTTTATTGTCACACTCTCTCAGGATTAGAGCTCAACCGATATATCGGCTCGATATTGCGTGTTTGCCGATATATCATATCGGCAGTAAACGTCCGATATATAGATCGGCTATAAACGCTAAAAAACCTAAAAATGTTTGTAAAAGTTGTTTTATTTACTGTTGGTTGTGATTATTTTTAATGGATAATAATACACTTATGTGGTTTATTGTTTTTATATTTAAATTACACATGAGGGGGCATCAGAGGGCTTAATCCGCCCCTGAATCAACCAAATTAGTATTTTACATAATAAACTAATTTTTTGTATAACTTTCAAACAGGGCATCATAACTATGCTTACAGTAATGATCACGGCAATATTTGACGGAAATATCCTAATTTCATTGGTGATTCAGATGCTTTTTTTGTGTTTGTTGCAAGTGAGTGACAAACATATATTAATGTTTCTGGTGGAACAACTGTATATTGTTTGAAAGATTTTGTTAATATATATATAGAAGACTTAGAAAGTTGAAGTGAACGGTTTAGAAATGAAAAAGAAAATATCAAATTGCGCAGATAAAAATCTAATAAAACTGTATTTCTTCTTCAATTACACATGTATAATTTAGAATATAAATTTGTACAGCTCGGCCATCTTAGCAAATTTGACATCAGGGTCCAATACTGTATACTTAGTGAATAGTTGGTTGTGTTTTTTAAAAGTATTTTATGGTTAAAACTTTAAATTTTGATTCTTATTGATTCGTTCAAAAAAGTTTAAGGCTAACATGAATGAGAAAGTCGAAATGTCGTATTTCAAATTTACCTTTCCATCAATTTTATTTTTGCTTTGAAATTATTTACAGCACCTTTATTTTTTTTCAAGTCTCCATGCAGTTTATCATGGAAATCCAGCTTCAGATCAACGATGTCAATGATTTTGATAAAATCCAAAAGCGATACGTTAGATTTTGGGTGATGGAACACATACAAAATTATGAAACGTTTATAGTCGGGACAGTTGCTTTGAGAACTCTACATGAAAACGTTTCTAATACTCAATCCATAGCAATTGTCGAATTAAAAGTAAGTTGCTAAAAAATCTAAATAACACTGAGAAAATTTAGTTGAAACAAAATTACAAAGTGACAGCGTCCAACGACATAATTTACCAAGTTGTATTTGATTCGTGCAATCACATGTTCTCGTTACTTATCGATCTTGATCGGTAAGTATGTTAATAGGTGTTTGTCTGTTAGTTTGTCTGTCTGTCTGTCTGTCTGTCTGTCTGTTAGATACACGCGATATCTCACGAAAGCGAGGTTGAATCCAAATTTTGCATGTGCATTCGTCATTTCTCGGACCAGAAGCCTATTGATTCTGGATGAATCACGTCGTATAATTAGCGAGTTATTCATTAATTGGTGATGGGACACGCGGTGTCGCTATTGAGTCAGAGCGAAGGACACACGCCGCTAGATCGATAAGACGGCGGCCTCCGATCGCTATCTCGTTTTGTATATTGCTATCTTGAATTATCTCTGGTATTTCTGATTAACTTCTAAACGCGAGTATGCTAGTATATTGTGTTCAATGTGATGGTGTTGCATTATTATTTTTATAGAGAATGTCAGTGTCATCAAACTTCAGAAAAAGAGGAATCGGAAGATATTTGCTCGCACATGCCGTAGATGAAGCTTCTGCATTGGGCTACAATCGAATAATACTAGATTGCACTGAGCTGCAAATGCCTGCTATTTTGATGTATCAAACTCATGGATTTATTACCACGAGAATAATCAAGTTGCCCCTGCTGTTTGTGCTCCCTGGTATTAATATGCATTATATGGAAAGGGAATTATAACAATAAATGCTGTTTCTAATGAAGAGAACATTTTTCAAATATATATACACGGAAGTAATGACTACGTCAAGGAGCCTAAATTGATATATAGAACATAATTACCTTATTGCAACGGCAAGACAAATTTAACTAAATATCGGGAATTTAGAATCGGTGAACTGGATTTGTGTGGTATTGTATTGAGACAATCATTTGATCCATGCAATATTAAATTTAGTCAGCTTAACATTTATTTTGTACTTAATCGTTCTGGAATAGCTATATAAACGGGAAAATACAAAATATGCCTCAGTTTGATGGCAATATGAGATGAAATTATTGTCCATGTCTTTAGTTTTTTTTTAATATTCGTTCGTGTTCTTAAGAGTTTATTGCATTGGTCTGCATAAAATTTATGACAGGCATGACTTGCCTCATGCGCATTGGTACCGGTCAATGGTGAAGTCGAGCACCGATAATGCCGAATAAACGATGGACCAACTGTGTCGGTCCCGCTTGATAGGATAAAAGAGTTAAGTAAAAGTAGAACAACAAAATTTTGGATAAATATTCACCCCCATAGGAGTTGAATTACAAGTAAAGGTAATAGCCCTCTGTTGCCTTCTCCTATTATTAAGTAGCATATACTGGAAAATTGCAAAAAAAGCAACTTTTTACCCACCCAAAAACAACCATTACAATAATGAGACTTTCAACAACGTTTTTTCAAATCGTTGGATATCGATCTTTTTTGACTGATTATATTTCCATATTCTCACCAAAGTTTCATGCAAGCAACAAGTAAATGTAGTAGCAGTAGGTTGCTGTCTTTGATGCTGATTTATATGTAATACAAATGTTGAATTATATTTTCCGTGATATATATGTGATATATCGTATATATTACGATTTTGCTTATGTTTCTGAATGAAGTTACAATAACCTTCTTGTCAAAATCATTCACTATTTAGATAGTCTATCTCTGCAGATGTATAAAAACAAAATAAACGTTTGTTAGCTGTTGGTTTGCATACACCAAATCACCCCTTGCAACTATATTGTCTGTCCTTATCAGCTCATATATCATGAATGCATTAAAATTGGGAAAAGTTTAATGATTTGAACACACGTATATGTATGTCGATATTAAGACTATATTAAGACTACATATCCTCAACCCAGGAGTACTCGTGATTTATGGTTTAGTATTAGGAAAATCAGACCTGTAATCGCAATCAGAAAACGAAATTAAAAACCAGATTTTCTGTGCAGACATTTGGAAGCGAGATGACATCCCGTATTGAAAAGTCAGCTCCCAGTATTGTCTGCCACCCTCCTGTGATTTCTGTATATGTATTGCAAATTAAAAGAAAATATTAAAATATTGTTTGGAAACTATTTTTCAGCACTTCATCTTTCTCCCACTTTATGCAGTTGGTCAAATTTTCATCTCCGTAAATTTGAGTGAGTAATTATATCTTTTCCATCCCTACCAATTGACCCCATCACCATAAGAAGAGTTTGTACCACCTTTATAGTATTTTCCATTAAGATTGGATAAATGGCATTTACTATACCACCATGCTCCCTTGTGGGACACAGCGCAATTTTTGCTCCAAGTGTCGTGATCCTTATCTTTTGTTGAGAATTTCATTCCGTTTTTGGGGACATGGCGTCCGTAGCATCACCAGAATAGCCACCGATACCGAGCTGATATTGCGTACTTGCACTGCCGATCTTGAAAGACCTGAGGACATTAAATATTTTAATATTGCAACAGTTCGATGAGCAAACCAAGGATTTTTCCTTTCAAAATGCAAAAGACTAAAAATCCGTGTTAAATTACAATATTGACTTGACACATCTATATATAGTTTCGCTGTCGACTGGAAAAATTTGTTGATCAATTATGAAAAGTGCATTTTGGTCAAAAATAATAAGCATTCTCTATAAATGCACAACACTATAGTATATGGTGCAAATGCAATTACGGTATAAATGTACCAAAGGAATAAAAACTCACGAGTATTTTGCGTATTTCTTGACGCCAGTCCAATCTTCTTAGGCTTTTTGTATACAAGGTGCTCAAAACGCCGTATCTGAGAACATTATAATGTTGTTTTTTACTTGAACTAAATATTGCAGGACAGAATGTTTTGAGTTGAAGCAATTCACTAATTGTTTGAAAATGCTAGAATTTATATCAATAGACTTTTCTTGTTTGGTCGGTCCGGTGACATCAGAAAATGAAAATACTTTCACTGATTATGGAAAAACTCAGTGAATTCTGTGAATGAGTCATTTCCTAATAAATTATTCACATATCCATACGGCACAGCAAAAGCTTCCATAAAATACCAAGCCAAAATTCTTCCTGTTCATCGCCGAATCCCTTCACATAGTCATTCCATGACCTGTAGAAGTCTTGACTTCCATCTTTTCTTCGTTGAAATACCCCAGAAAATTATTATTTATATTGTTAATTGTTAAATTGTGTGCGATATGGCAGCAAGACTGATCAATACTTTTCACTATTTAGATTTTAAATTTGGTCAAAAAGGCGACATCCGAACTAAAAACTCCAAAATGTAAATTATTTTCCAAAGCTAACATAACCAAATCAATAGCGGTAATTTTATAGTAGCGAGTGAGAGCTTGTTTTATGACAGAGATGATTCAGTTTAGATAATGTTGGTGATAACTGATGTTTGCTTATTTCAAACCACTGCCTTTATCCATATCGAACCGATAGGTGATTGTATATGACATTTAATGATAGGATGCGATTTTGATTGGGCGAAAATGTTAATTCATTATCTTACAAGCCATCCTCCTCCATCAGTTTTCAAATCACAAATTTCTGTCCGTTTTCCTCCTGGATATATAGCAACTATACCTCCTGTGTCGCCGGTCTTTTTTATATCTTTCATCGATACTTTACTGCAATCAGTTTGCTGGACGGACGGGACGACACGTAGTTTTGGAAAATTTCAGACATAAGTGTGATGCCTCACATAAATATGTTTAAAAACATTTCACGGAACAGTATTTATTTATAAAATATATACCGTCACGCTAATAACCGAATTGCGTAAGTCATTTTTAGCAGTTTTGAGAAAAACGTAAAAAACTTCATAATGATATTGTTATGCCATTGAGTGTCAATAATTTGCCATGGTTCAAATTTTTGATCGTGGCCGGATTTAAGTTAATTTGTATGACGCAGTTAGGTGACGTCATAATGGCGCACTGTGACTTAGGCAGAAATGTGTCTATGACTTTGGGACATACGCAATTTGTCAACCTCACTATATGAACCAGTCCTGGAAACTAAACATTCCAAAAACGAATGTAATTCTCACAGTGGCGTATCTAGGTAAAATGGCGCCCATGGCAAAGTTTGAAAATTCGCCCCCTTGATCATTGACTAACATTTTTTAACGACTGTTATTGAATTGAGATACGTGTACGTTACTATTTACGTAAAAATACGAGTTTCAATTATTTCCAATTTGATATTATTTTATTGAAACATTGTACATTGAAATATTTCGCCGTTTTTGCGCTCCTGTCCAAACGGCGCCCATGGCCCGAGCCATGGCTGCCCCACTATAGATACGCCGCTGAATTCTCAGTATCTACAATGTCTAATCTCCAAAATAGCTAATCAGTTTCAATTACATTATTTTTTAAGTGTAAAATTATATATTTCATCAATATAACACGTTCTGCACACCCTCCGAAATAAGACTAAGATTAAATATAAAGAATAAAACAGCAATGCACCCAATATAAAAGCCAACCAAGGTGAATTGGACTCGGACAGTGAATATCACAAGTGCACGTCTTCCTATACTGTAGTATAAATTCAAATTATTACGCGCTAAGCTAGAATCCAAGATGAAAAAACTCGAAAATACGTCGCCGAGGTTATTTTACCTTTGTGACGTCACAATAGTCCTGCGATAACAATGATAATTCATTATGAAGAAACAATTGCACAAATGTGCATGTCATACTAAATCTCCATTTTTATGGGTTTCGGAATTCTTAAAATAAAATCTGAGTTAACAGACAGGTGCGCAGCATTACATAAATACCTATTTTATAAAAAACTCAAAATCGTCAAAAATGACTTACGCAATTCGGTTATTAGCGTGACGATACATTACTTACCTTCTCTCAATCTGTCCACAGCAGCCTCACAACTTGCTATTTTCTTATTGAGCCGATTCTCAATATCTTTGAAACACAATTCATATACATGTTAAAATGTAAGTTAATTATATGAACGGTTCAAATTAATAAATATTAATAATGATGTAGATTTGTGCGTGTTTCGTTTTAAAATAGCTTACTCATCTGAGTATTTAGAGGATTTAGCGTAACAAACTACTTATCTTCTACATCGATTTGAATCATAGAATAACAAGAGAGCGGTGATTGAATATATGGACAGGAAAGTCAAATTGAAGTAGTTTACCGTACCTAGTCTATACAGTGCGTTGCCGTTATCAAATAACTTTCGAAATTCTTAGCACGAGCCCGCAAAATCACATTTAACCACTGAAAAGCAATTGGTTCATATAAATTAAAGAGAAAGGCGATTTTTTTCATAACATCAAGAATAAAAGGATGACTAAAAACAAGACCAACAACAAAATAACAAAACGATTTATCGGTTCATTTTGTGTCAAATAAATGTGTTTAATGTTGTCGAGAATAAATGAAATAGTGAATTGGTAAGACGAAAACATCACTGAATATATAATCCACATTCTTAAGCAATTCAAACATTGCTTTTAAATTAAGGACTAGCTATATCAACAGGAAAACTGACACTAAATTTGATGTTAGCGTAGTAACCTTACCTTGGAAGATTTTCTTTATCTTTTTATCAATAATATCATAATCGACGGCGCCAGGCGTTCCCCGAATTCTATTTTTCTTAATGCAATGATTGTTCAACTGCGTAATGTGGTCGCAAAAATTGTCCTCCGCAGCAGACAGACATGTTGCTATCAGTAAGGTCACAATTGTTTACTTGTCTAAGTTAACAAAACATCATAATTTCATTGCATTACATTGTGATGCATATTATTTTTCAAATAGAATGTGACGTAACATCTTTTTTAACCAGAGTGTGATATGATATATAAGTTGGCGTCTTTTGTGCGAAAGTGTTTTGCGGGACCATTTTTGCGAAAATGATTTTTGCAAAATGCAATTAGCGGTAACAGATTTTTGGGATAATGTAGTTTCATAAAAATGCTCTTTGGCGAGCATGCGATATGAGCAGTATGTATATTTACATTTTTACTTCGAAATATACCGGTATTTGGTAAATGCATTGAATAAAGTTTGTAATGCGACAAATGTAATATTTGGAAAAGTCCTTCTTATCGGTGTGAACGAATACGATGAAATATGATATTTGTCTGGTGTTGATTGTCTGTCTTTGTATATAAATAAATTTGGGATTTTTTTGCGTTAGCTATGGATTAGAAAAATGTGATTTTCCGCTAAAAATTCCTGTTATTAAAGCTGCCCCAATAAATAAACTATTCATAAATATATATAACATTTCTCATATACAACAACGTTGCATAATTTGCGTAATTTCTTTATATGTGCCATTTTTATTTTATTCAATAGCACACTAACACAAATGTAATTCTGTAACGTTTCGTCCAGCCGAGGTCAAACTTTTTCCCACAAACATTTTACAACTTTTCGTTCTCTTTTCACCTAAAGGAATACCACACATTCATCAAATTTGAGCTGAAAAATTAAACCACCTAAACAATTCTGGAAGCTGCCTTTGGCCTCACAACCTAAAAATATTGATAGTTTTCAATGAGCACAAATTCTTTTTATGAATCGGCGGAAAACATGTGAGCAATAAGTAAACAAATACTAACTTACGTTTGCAGTGAATTTGTTAAAATAGAGAAACATGTTTCAATAAGGCCCCGGGCACTTTGGGTGATAAAAAGTATTAGTCATTTAAGATGTTTTGAAGTTTTAGCTTAACATTTTATAACCGTGGACTATCGCATCCCATTGATCACTCTGACGATGTTTTTTTATCAACTTTTTATTGCCAAGTCCAAAAATAAACATTAATTAAGGTGACCCATAGTATGATTAAAAACACTCACGAGCATTTTATAGACAACAAGCTCAAATTTCCAAAACGTGTACGAATTTTAGCAAAGCAGACTTTATGGTTTTGATTCTCCTCAGTCCAATTTATTCATGACACGAAGTGGACCTATGAATCGTTTTGTAATTATTAGACACAAAATGGAGATAAGGATCGTTTTGTTATTTTGTTGTTGTTGTTGTTCTTGTTAGTCATTCTTTATTATTCTTGCTTTCTCCGTAACTATACTGGAACAATTGCGTTGAAATTTTCGGTAGTTAAAGATTGATGCTGTCGCTAGAAGAATATTACTTTTATTTATCTCAAATATTTATCTTACGTCATAAAAACTGCGCACCGTGTGGCGGTTCCGCGATCTCGTGATGGTCAACTCGAAGTCGGGAAGACTAGCGGTACTGTAAAAGATTTGTTACCGATACTATTTTGTTTTGGCCTTTGGGTCCATATATTTGAGCATTGCTCTCTTGTTTTTAATAGATGTATATACAACGATCTATAGATGGAAACAATCCATGCCGCCACAAACAGATGCAGGACTCTGTGCTATGTTATTGAATTAAAAAAATTATAAGCACAGATGTACAGGCACCGTACACTTTCCCGCTGATAACAAATTGAACTTACCAGGAAAAAGTCTATGTGATAAATCAATTATATACTTTTATATATGCAACTTTCATGGTAAAGCAATAGTGTCTGAAATGAATATGGGATTTTAACAGGCTTTCAAACAAGGGTTACTATTCGGAGCAAATAGAAAACAAGCACAAAGCAAATACTACACGGTTAGTTTTTGTTTGCACCGGCTCTATTAAGTTTAAGTTGTGAGAGCAACAGTTGAAGTTTATATTTAGCTTGTAATTCTTTCTGAATTGCTGATATCTTCATGAACAAAGATTTTTTTGATTGTCATATCAGAAGCTAGAGATGTGCACGAAATATTCGAAAACACAATTTGAAAAACGAATCCGTTTGATAGAGAGGAAGGATTTTCACGAAACAATAAAAATGATCAGCGACAACATGTACGGACTATGGCGACAAAATTTAAAAGATTGTTTTAGAAAGAACACAAAGGCCCAGGTATGAAAAGTCGAACCACATATTACATTACATTTCAATCAAACGTTTTAATTTTTTAAATATACTTTTTGTGAGCAACATGTCTGTGTAAAATAGCAAGGATTGCAAAATTATTCGATTGCAGCACTGCAAATTTGCATTAAGTGCCTAAGTGACCCAGCAGTCTTATATTTTTTGATTTCTCAACGCATTGCGCTGTGCGATTCACAGAGTGCATTTGTGACGTAGAAGTCACGCTTGACGTCATAAAACAAAATTCTCGTGAATTTAAATGAATGAGCCTAATTTAGATTGAATATCGGATATCGTACTTCTCAGAGGAAATGCATTATGCCACAACTTCCATTATTTGAGTAGGCCTACTGAAAAATTAAAATCGGTTGGGCTACAAATTAGGAAGGTATGCTATTATTACGCTCTCGTGCCAAAGAATTGTTTCAGGCAGACAGTAAATATCAACTTTGAAAATACTATGTTCCAGATCATTCTACCGGCTGTCACCACAGTGCTAATGATTTTGCTTGATGGAGACATCTGTACGTTTGTTTTTATCATTTTCGCTCAAGAGTCGTCGCTGGCGTTGGCATGTAAGAAAATATGAATAATATATTAAGATAATGAACTATATACCTAACTATTCATCATTTCAGACATGTTACAATTCTACATTGATATTGAAAACGAATTGAAGGACTTGAGACATATTGGAGTACATTCGAAAAAATACATTAAATTCTGGATATTGGATGGAATCATAAATAACCAAAAACGGATTTTTGGATCCGTTGCTCTTGCGACACCTGACGGCAAAGTCTACAACCCAAAAACCACAGTGTCTTTGAAGGTAAGTTATTGGACACGTAGTGGACATAACGATCGTTTCAATATTATGTTGTTGTTGTTGTTGTTGTTGTTGTTCTTGTTCTTTGACACGTTTTTAAAAAGTCGCTTTCCTCTTCGAATACTAGACCAATTGCTTTGAAATTTTCAGTGGTTAAAGATAAAAATTTTCTCCAGAAGGCTATTACTTTTTTTTTTCGCTATGATGTCATCAAAATTATGTGACTTTACGTGTCCATATATTTGAGCATAGCTCTCTTGTTGCTCATAACATTACAATGCAATTTGCTGATTCGAAGTTGATGACAATAATTTTCCAGTCGTATTATTGAAAAAATATGTTGATTTGAGTATTTAGCTTCATTACGCTAATGAATATTCGAATTTTTGTTGTGTGTCTGTGTTCAACAAACGGCACATAGGTAAGTATAGTGTCTGTAAAACTTTACACTTCAATTTCCTCATATTACTTTGCTTGAATATGAGTTGATACTATTAATAGAGTATGTATGCGTAATTTTGTTTTGTGAAAATCTTTTTAAAAAATTATAAATGTGAAAAGAGAATATAATATTTATAGTATCCTTTATGTTTTAATTTCCTGGTCGCTATGAACCTTTGTCAGAGCTCATAAATTTTGATATAACACATATATACCCATGATTATGTAATTTCTAATCATCGCATCCGTTATATCATTTATTTTGAGCAGAGATTATCTGTCACGCCAAATTTACGAAGAATGAAAATTGGTTCCAAGATGCTTGAGCATGCTCTACAGCAAGCTACAGAAATGGGATTTCAGCGTATGGTGCTTTACTGCGCAGACATGCAACCGCCAGCTATTACATTGTACAAAAGATATGGATTCAAAACATTTAAGATCATCGATGAAACATTGTTTTCCGTTCTGTCCGGGATACGTTTATTGTACATGGAAAAAGATCTACATGAAAGTTAATACATTAAAAATCTCATGTTCCTGTGTTTCGTTAAGATGGGACAAGAACTTTTCGTCAATATCCTAAAAAATGTAAAACATTCTAAACAATATGTATAAAACAGTAATACTGTACTAAGCGTTCACAATCGACTACCAAATAGTAAAAAGTGTAAATTCGATTATCTGCGCGTACGATAGAATTGCTGAGCTCCTCTCTATCGTCTCCACTTCTTTTGGTGTTTGTGCTCCCAATGAGACTTTTGATTGTTCCACTGAATCTACGATAATTCTCATTTGGTGTTGTAGCATGCACATTTCATAATATTACAAATTTTTTTCGAAGCACTTCATCAGTCTTGTCATCACTAAAATCCAGATTTTGTAGTCGAATATGATAAAACGCAAACGTGCTTGTCGTAAATTCATCACCCTTAATGACTTAAACCTGGGCTTAAATCCAAATAGCTTCTTGATAACAAGATATATGTTAATATCTCCAAATATGATATGCTGACAACGGTAAGCTGTTGTAGTATCACAACGTAGATTCTGGTAGACTTTCAAGATATAGATGTTCAGCAAATACCAAGTCTAACACGATTTATCGTTAATTAAAGTAGCTAGCGTGTGTCGAACTTTTGTTCCTCCCGCTTTACCGCGTGTCAGCGGATCCGTACAGGGACGCCATACAATGTTTATTATACTACAAAATACAGTAATACAATCCATTCCTTAAAGGCTGATTCCATAAGCCAATCTTTTCTAAATTTTTGCTGGTAGTGCATACATGTGGCATTTTGATAGGTCGATGTTTAAAGAGAGACAAATTATATATCACTTATAGACTTATCAATCGTACATCAAAATTTTCTAAATAATGAAATAATATCCATTCACATATCACAGTATTATACTCATCTTTTTATTTATTTCCCACTGAATGATATTTAGAACCTTGAAAAAATATATCTAGATTTCATAGCTAACATCTAGGCTCCAAATTTTACATCTAGATCTTGAAAAAACATCTAGAGTGACAGCCCTGGATCCGTATTCACTTCAAGGATACTGTAGCAAGAATCAAAATGTCGATATTGGCGTTTCAAAGGCTTTTATTCTGTTACGTTTCGTCTAATCAACCAGAGTCATGATTTCTCAGGCAATCAGTTTACAACAATGCTAAGAAAGAACATTCATATAGTTTATATAGAAAATGAAGAGCAGTGAGTAACGTTGTTTTAAATTACATCGGACAGATTAATTATTAAGCGGAACAAACAAGGAATGACGAGTTAGCAGTTAAACAATATCGAACAAAATAATGATGTGAAAATAGCATCGTCACGCGGTAAATGAATAGATCATTATAATTACGATTTAATTTCAAAGGAATTTACGTCCTGTTAATTTTCTATATTTATTTCAACAATATGAATGTTATTGATTGTAGTATAAATGATAACTGAATCACTCAATGCATAGTTTAGATAAAATAAATGAGGATTGCAATTGCAGCCTATTATGAACACACGAGGAAGTAACGCAGAGCGAGTTTATTAATCACATTAAAACCTAAAGTTTGTACATTGTGATTTTCAAAATGTAATCTCGATTTGGTCAACTGTGTGAAACACCAGCTCATCCCATTATGAACAAAAGATTATTTCGAATTCGCGAATTACAAAGAGAAGATCTTCCTATAGTCAGAAAAATTGTGAGAAATGGATTGTATGGACGTTTTTACGCGGGGTTGAAAATACTATTCTGGAAAAATCGGAATGTTCTGGTAATATAATTTCTTATTTTATTTAATCGCCAAGCACCATTACCAATTGAATGTTTGTTAATAGAGATTTAGATTATTAGTCATCATTTAATATTTTATTCACGATAACTTTAAATAAAGTTACAAATTCCTAAACGAATTCGGAAATATGAAATATGGCAATGAAAGCGTTACTAGTTACCCTAATCCCAAATCTTTACACACATATACTATGTTTTATATTTAAATGATGTTCTGATGGGGTAGAGACGACAGTAAATATGGGCTGAGACGGCGTTTCAAGTCTCAAATCCACAATACCAGTTAAACGAATTTATTTCTCTACTTGGTGAATTATTTTTATTTCAAAACTTCAGGTCATTATGACTATGATTACCACTATGTTTACGGCAATATTTGACGGAAACATCATAATTTCTTCGATAACTGAATTACTCTTTGTGATTATTGCAAGTAAGTGAAAACAAATTTTAAAGTTAATGATGAGTATCTATTATTATTAAACTCTTTGTGAGAAAAGATACCGTTAAGAAGTGAATTTTGAGAATGGATGAAATTAATAGTTGAGATGGGCAGTAAAAATGAAAATTCGAATACCACAAATAAAACATCCGCATTTTCACTTTTAACAAGAATGAACAAGCAAGACTTCTTAATTCCATCTCATTAGCGTCCTTGTTATTTAAATACGGAGCTGTGTTTTGGGTAAAATAAAATTATGAATGATAATTTGATTGTTGTTGTTGGAGTCAAAGACGCCCAAGACTGGTGTAAATAAACCAGTCGCAATTCAAATTCACCTTGCATTCAATTTCAACTTGGGTTTAAAAAAAATTAACAACAATATTATTGTATATGCTTCTATCAAGGTATTTTGCAATTTTTCAACACAGTCGAAAGTCAGATAAATGATCTCAACGATTTTGATGAAATCAAAAACACATACCCGAGATTTTGGGTGATAGAATTTATAGAAAATTATGATACGTTTATAGTCGGGACAGTTGCTTTGAAAACTCAAGAAGACGTTACTAATCGACAACCAATATCCACTATCAAATTAAAAGTAAGTTGCTAGATAATTCGAAACAAGGTCAAAACAAAATCATAATCAGATTGGAGATATATATTTAACTTTATTAGTTGGTCAGTAATCGGGAACAAAAAGGCCTGCAAAAAGGATAAAACATGTACCCGTCATTTCAAGGCATATACATTGCCTGATTGTCTTCGTTTTGTGCAATCACGCAAAGAAAAGTAATAGCCTTCTGGTAAAAAATCAATCTTTAACCACTGAAAATATTAAAGCCATTGTCCAAGTATTCGAAGAGAGAAGCTATTTTTAATGATAATGATGACGAATAACAAGCGTGTCCTAAAACAAAGACATTGTAAGAAAGGTAAGGTTTGTTTTTTCGTCCGGGTGTCAACGGATCGTGGAAGTACTACATCGAGTTACTCGTGGCGTCAAATTTAATACCCATTCGAAAACCGATGTTCTTTTCATTAGCTACTGGACTAAACGCTTTCGAAATATCAGATGTTGAATATAGTGTCATCCTCTAAAAAAAAAATTTACTTCCCTTTTTACATAAATCATCAGGACTTCCCGTGCTCATTGTAACACCACATATTGTTTTAAGTTGAACTACGGCGTGGTTTTTCCGATGAGCCAATTTTCCGAGCAAGTATTAAAGATAGTGAGACAAAAATAGAACAATATAACAGAGTTGAACGATGATTTAGCAAAACTTTCCACAGGTTTATTTATGTTCAATAGGCTACTGAGATGATAACGTTCATTTAGTTACAATAGCTTACTTTCATTGCATGTTGCATTAAATGTTTCGTTTTATCATCTGAAAGAGAGACCGCTTTCTTTGCGCCAGGCATCGTTATAAATATCAACTTTTTTACGGTATTCAAAACTTCGTGAAGAGCCTGAGGACTAAAAATAAAATGGCAAGTTGTTATCAAAATTACCTTGACAACGGACGTTCATTATGATTATTATAATATAAAATTAATGATATCGTGGTAAGGACATTCTCTAAAGTCTAAACTATACATTGTCAGTAATCATAATTACATACCAATCAGTTCTTATTGGTGACAGCATATTTGAACCCACGTACATTTGCACCCGTACATTTTCACCCGCAAACTGCACCCAAGACATTTGAACCTCTATACTATTGCACCCCGGACATTTGCACCCGCAGACATTTGAACCCACGAACATTTGAACCCACGTACATTTGAACCCATGTGTATATCCCATGGGTTAGGGTTAGTATGGGTTCAAATATCCGTAAACAAAAAATTTTCCATAGGTGCAATAGTATGTAGGTGCAATTGTCGTGGGTTCAAATGTTCGTGGGTTCAAATGTATGCGGGTGCAAATGTTCGGGGTCCAATAGTATAGAGGTTCAAATGTCTTGGGTGCAGTTTGCGGGTGCAAATGTACGTGGGTTCAAATGTGCTGTCACCAATAAGAACTGATTGGTATGTAATTATGATTACTGACAATGTATAGTTGGGTACAGTGGGACACTTGACAAACGTTTTTCAAAGCCTTTTGGTGGTAAGATGTGTGTCGCAAGGGAATTTTTTAGTCGCTGAATAAAAACTACATTTAGCCCTCTCTGCATTAATCCCGCAAAGTCATATGAATGTGCAGAATAAAGGGCTCAAAATATGAAAAAGAAAAAAAGTGTCCCAACCTTCCCCACTTTCCCCTACTGTAAATTCTTGCTACGAGTAACTCGGAAATTTTTGGAGGGTACCGGAAGCGTCAAAGGTAAGCATTGCTTCGCTCTGGTTAACGTGTACATATATTTGGGAATTGCTCTCTTGTTTCTGTTATTATGGTAGCCTTAAGTCAGATATATTATTAAAATCATCTCAATAATTTCAATCAGCGAAGTACAACTGTACATTGGTCTGGAACGGTTCCATTTTACAGTGCATTCAAGTACAGAATTGGGTACGCATTACCAAAATTACGTCCGAGGTGCAATCAACAGGATCAAGTGAGTGTTTTTTGTTTTAGTATATGTGCAATAACAATGCTCTTTAATCATAGCCTCATATTACACATTTTCAACTTTGCTACGTTCCTGCGTAAAAATACCAGTAAGGGTAAGTTAAAGTTTTTGTTCGACCGTATCCTATCCGAGAAAACTTTACCGGTAGCGTACTCTTAATCCGAAGTGTGTTCTTATCAGCGATTTATCATTTTGCGTTTTGCATAATTGTTCCAGACGAAAAAATATTCAAGTCTTCTTGTGATACCATATCAACTTGTGCCTTTAAAATTTTTTGCATACAGTTAGTGGTCACTTAAGACTATTTTTTTGTAATCTCTTTGACTTCAAAGTTTGTTAAAAGCGAATATATACATCTAAAAAGTGGAATGCTGTATTGAGTGCAATCCCCAAAATAAGTAGATTCAGAAGCAAGTACACCAAATACATTTGCATCATGCGGAATAATATTGAGACAAATCATATTTTTTATATTTTTAGAATCGAGTTTAATTGCAAGATGTGGATTTACTCTACTGATTAGTTACGTACACTGAAAACGTATGAAAACGAATAATAATTGAACCTGCGACAGTTTATTTGATGAATATAGTTTCTATCTTTGTGATGTTTTCAGTGAATAGAACACTCTACGTTGCAGATTCCGTAATATTCTGCAAGTCCAAAATTTCCATCGTAAGATTTGCTGAGAGACCCAATGCCGCGATTTTAGTAAAAAAAAAACGTATAATTCAAATCTCTATATCTTGCCAATGTCAAAAAACCCTGACAGAAAATTTTCTAGGATATATTGGTTCTGATTTTGCTGGGGTTGTTCATTAAATTCGATTTTGTCGAATAATCAATGTGCGTAAAAATGAACAACATTTGCCGGAGATTTTATCTTTAACTCGTACAATGTATCGAGGTCAGTCTCCTTTACTCCTGAGTCGGTGCGCATGGCCTTGCTTGCTCTTATAAAAACAAAAAGATCAATGCTCCAATATATGGACACGAAAGCCAAAATGAAATAGCATCCTAATCGTACAGTATCGGCAGACTGACGCTTTTTCTTTTTTTTTTGGAATGAAAAATAAATTCCATAGGGCATAGGGCGTGGAAGTTTTGCAATAAATCGCTGTTACGTCCATTTCGCGTCCAATGAAGTGAAATTTAAAAATTAAAATAAAAAACGATTCAAGTGAAAGTTTTTACACAAAGCGATAAGTATATACAACTTAGTCCTTCGGGCGTGGAAGTTTTGTAGTGTGATTAGGTTCTTTATTTAATTTTTGATCAATAATGTTTTATGAATTTTGAAAATGTATTTTTTTTTCTTCAAAAGCTTTAAAAAGTAATTTTATTTCTTTTATAGTAATGAACTGTAATTTTTCGCTTGACTAGAAAATGAAGTTGGTGTAAAAACTAAGGTATATATTTGCTGATAGTTATAAGGAAAAATCAAAATTTACCAATTTTTTATTGTCAGTGTAATCATTGATAAAATCTATAAATTTGTTCTATTCAAAATCAACAAGGTATCCAAAATTCCACTGTGTTTTCATTGATACTTAATCTACCTAATCTATTATCAATTCAACAAGAGAGCTACGCACTAATATATGGACACGTTAGACCAGAGCGAATCAGTCCTTACCGGTACCTTTGACGCTACCGGTACCCTCAAAAAAGTTCTGAATTTCCAGTAGCAAGAATTTTGCAGAATCAAAACGTACAGCCAGTCATGGCACTGACTAAAATCCGTGTTCCCATGGATAAAAAATAATACAGCAAAATTTTAGACGAAATATCAAATTTCATAGAATTCACGCAAAATTTTGAAATAAATAAAAGTAATAGCCTTCTAGCGAAAAAATTAATCTTTAACCACTGGAAATTTCAAAGCAATTGGTCCAGTATTCGAAGAGAAAAGCGACTTTTTAAAAACGTGTCAAAAAACAAGAACAAGAACAACAACAACAACAACATAATATTGAAACGATCGTTATGGCCACTAAACGTGTCCAATAATGTTTTTGTACTGTTAGCAATCGTCGTTTATTATTTCTCCGTTTAAGTTCAATACAGTTAAATGGTTATTATCATTATTAAAATGTTCTTAAAATTTTAGCAGTGAGATTTCATAGAATTTGTGTGGTATTTTTTGTGTCTTCTCTTTTTATCTGTATATAATTATGTTTTGTGTTCTTGGGATGAATTATAATTATGAAAACTATAAATTTTTTAAAATTATCTCTGTGTTATTTATATGAAAATCAGCAGGCTTGTCCATGGGAATGGGATTCCCATGGGATTGAATGGGACATCGCACATTTGTATTTCCCATGGGACACGTGGGACACAAAAACCGTATGATTTTGGGGGACATTATGGTAAAACATTCCGTTATGGATTTCGTGTCCATATATTTGAGCATAACTCTCTTGTTAGTTATAAAGAGCAACATATATTCAGCATTAACAACATACTTCGTGAAGGACTGATGGACACATCTATAATAGTTATGAATATAAAGTTAACAAAGTCCGTAAATTCTGTTGTTTTGCATGTCTCTTCATACATGTAGTTCTATTTAGTAACGCTAAACCTAAATGTACCAATTTTTTTTTATTGAATTTTATTCCAATGGGAATCCCATGGGATGGGATGGGACAGGCATAATTTCTATGGGATGGGAATGGGACAGAAAAATGTGTCCCATGGACAAGCCTGAATATCAGAGCTTGCTTGAAAGTCGAATCGTTTGCATAAAATACGCAGTGAGATCAAGACCGTGTTCTTCCTATATTCTCGCATGATAGCTAAAATTGATTGTTTGCATTTTTCCAAAGTATGTTTATTTCTTTTTATTTGTTTTATTTTTATTTTTTGGTATACATCCAAATCATCATGCAGACAACTCGGCCTTTCTATACAAAAATATGCTAATACATAGAGCTCCTTTTCGAAGACAACAATTCGTGCTATTGAATCACTGCTTGTTGGAAGTTTGCTTTCATATTAAACTTATATAGCAATATTTACATATATCTATGGATATAACCTTTAAAATACTGTCGCAATCTCAGCAAAAATTACAACCGAATTCAAAAAGAATTGTACGAATGTTATATGAAAGCGTGCTGTGAATAATAAAAAAAAAAGCAAATTGGGTTGAGAGCATCGAAGGAATTCCTAAAAATAGAAGAATGGCTTCTAGAAAACTCCTTACATCTTACTATAAATCTGAACTCGGAATGAAAATATTGGATCTTATAGGTTGATTCTCCTCCCGGCCTCCTCTTGAACATTCCGAATGCTTGAGACTTTGATATACATAATATATTATGCGAAAAATAATATTCTAATGCGCAGATTTTTGATACCAATGCATAGATTTATTTACTCGAAAATAGGCCACATAGGTTCAACTCAAAATGTACATTTTCCTCCACTGTCAATAGAAATGTAGTGATTGTGCAGATTCGCTATATAAATGTTTACTGACGTTTTGCTGATGTCAACAACGAACGATAAAAATTTGAAACACCATCTAAATTCTAAGATGACCATTGAAGTTTCGAAAGGATTGTTCTTGTTCGTGGTTAAAGCAGTAGGTGGAGCGTGGAACGAAAAAACTCCACCCACATTTAAGCTTAGTAGGAAATGAAATAATTGAAAGTAATGGCTACCTACGCTGCGTGAGTCATAACAACAGATATATAGTAATTATTTCAATACCTTATAAAGATTTGTAAAAATGTTCATTTTTAAACTCGTACTTTTTGTCAGGCGTATACTAGAAATTAGTGAGATGAATTTTAAGGCATTCCACCAGGCAGACTTGTTTCATATCTAGTGTTAGTCAAAATATAAGTATTCCAATATTGATTTAGATATATTTGGGTGAAGGATTTGATAGGAGAAGCTGATATATATCGCAGCCGATATATATATATTTTCATTATTGGGGGGTTGTGTTTCGAAATTTAGAGGGTGGTAAATATTTTGCCAATAGCGATGAAACTATTTGCAACTTATAAAAATGTGTTATGTATATGACAGACCATCTGCTCTACACTGATAAATATGACATTTTCTGAATATTCAAAGACAATTTTACCGAAGTTAGGTATTGAAGTCTGGCATCACATCTGGGGAATGTAGGGAAATCCCTAGGTCTGCCTATTTGGGAAGCTAAAGAAAATTTGGGAAGCTAAAGCTGCCAATGATAAAAGCTAATCAAATAAATCATATCTTATTCACTTCTAATACGAGGAAGAACAATCTACTTGCGAGCATTGATATGAGGAATACAGTCATGTTTCGCTGACGTATAATACTCACATATACGTACTGACTTACGTAATATTGATGAAATCCAAATTTCAAAATGCAAGTAGTGTGGGTACATGTCGTTTTTCAATTATTTTGACATACGTCGGTCAGTAAACATACGTTTTACGAAGAATTTAAGTATGTCAACTGTTTCAGTTGTCAATTTTCTACTAAAGTCAGTACATCATTATGTTATTCATGTAATTCTATCTTTTAATCCATCCGGTTATGGCGTTTTTCAATTATTTTGACATACGTCGATCAGTAAACATACGCAATACCATAAACTTAATGACTAACACACGGTTGACGAGGGCACAGAACAATGCGATTAATCCCCCGATACCGGAAACAATATTACATAACAACATCCCACAATTTGCACCACCATTTGCACAACAAAAATGGGTTGTGTTCTATTGTTTTACACAACAAAAATATGTTGTGTTCTATTGTTCTGCACAACAAAAACATGTTTTGTTTGACATATATATACTACTAACGGGAACGAACTTCAACTGAAAGAGAGGAGTTGAAGTTACGGTGATATACCATTTAAACGTTTTGAGACTGACGATTTTCAAAAATACTGTTGAAAAGCGTCAGCCGTTGAATTTGAACTAGCATTCTACCGTTATGTTGATGTTACACTACAGATGATTGTTTGCAATAGCTAGGTGGCAAACAAGTAAAGTGGGGTCCCTGTATCAAAAGCGACACGTGACCTCTCAAATGGTAAAGAGGGGAAATAGCGAGGGCGTTAAAATGATAATTAATATTAGTGGTTATGGTTTTACTATCTTGAGTTCATTCTTCTACTACAACAGCAATAAACAATATTCAACACGCTGTTTTAATATTGTCCTCCTACATAGGTGACACGACAAAAAATAGCATCTTCTGAAAGGATTGAAGATTGTGCAAGGTTACCCGAAACAAGTCGGTTGAAGAAGAAAGTTGCTGAAAAACCAGGACTGATAAATCAACTAACAAGATGACGACACAATAATTTAAGTTGAAGGTCAGTTGAACATTTGAATTTGGAAACGTTAAAATGATAATTATAGATGACGACTAAAATTGACTTGGAAGAGCACATCGTACCATAACACAAGCACAGTGAGAATGTTCACTTCCTCAATGTGTTTTCCTCTTCGCTTTCAATCATCGCGTCATCAGTCTGTTCAGCCGATCCATACATCGTCACAAATGTCAGACAATTGATAAGGAAGTGCTTTGACGACGCCTATTCCACATTCTTGAACACATATAAAGTAGTTCAAATCATAACAAAGACTGTTACAGTGCGCGTTCTAATATACGATATTCTAATATCTTGATATCGCGTTAGAAAAAGGGTAGACTACATGTATGTGCATACAATGAAAAAATTAGTATAAGTAGAGAAACGACATTGTGAACTCGGGATTTTAGTTTGTATGTACAAAAAGATTTGTTTTAAAACATATATATTTTTATCTGTATTTTTTTTTGTATGTCATGTTAGAAATTGAAGAATGTGCACGAATTATTTGAAAACACAATTTGAAAACAATATCCGTGTGATGGAGAGGAAGGATTTTGACGAAACAATAAAAATGATCAGCGACAACATGTACGGACTATGGCTACAAAATTTAAAAGATTGTTTTAGACAGAACATAAAGGCCCAGGTATAAAAAGTCGAACCACATATTACATTAGATCTCAAACAAACGTTTTAATTTTTTAAATATACTTTTTGTTCGCAACATGTCTGTGTAAAATAGCAAGGATTGCAAAATCATTCGATTGCAGCACTGCAAATTTGCATTAAGTACGTGGCCCAGCAGTCTTATATTTTTTGATTTCTCAACGCATTGCGCTGTGCGATTCACAGAGTGCATTTGTGACGTAGAAGTCACGCTTGACGTCATAAAACAAAATTCTCGTGAATTAAAATGAAACAGCCTAATTGAGATTGAATATCGGATATCGTACTTCTCAGAGGAAATGCATTATGCCACAACTTCCATTATTTGAGTACTGAAAAAGTGAAATCGGTTGGGCTACAAGTTAGGAAGGTAGGCTGTTTTTACGCTCCCGTGCCAAAAAATTGTTTCAGGCAGACAATAAATATCAACTTTGAAAATCCTATGTTTCAGAACATTCTACTCGCTGTCACCACAGGGCTAATGATTTTGCTTGATGGAGACATCTGTACGTTTATTTTTATCATTTTCGCTCAAGAGTCGTCGCTGGCGTTAGCATGTAAGAAAATATGAATAATATATTAAGATAATGAACTATATACCTAACTATTCATCTTTTCAGACATGTTAAAATTCTACATTGGTATTGAAAACGAACTGAAGGACTTGAGACATATTGGAGTACCTTCGAAAAAATACATTAAATTCTGGATATTAGATGGAATCATAAATAACCAAAAACAGATTGTTGCATCTGTTGCGCTTACGACAACTTGCGACAAAGATTATGATTCAACGCAAACAGTGGAATTAAAGGTGGGTTTTTGCTCATAACATTGCAATGCAATTTGCTGATTCAAATCTGATGACAATTATTTTCCAGTCGTATTATTAAAAAAATATGTTGATTCAGGTATTTGGTCACATATATACCCATGATCATGTAATTTCTAATCATCGCATCCGTTATTTCATTTATTTTGAGCAGAGATTATCTGTCACGCCTAATCTACGAAGAATGAAAATTGGCTCCAAGATGCTTGAGCATGCTCTACAGAAAGCTACAGAAATGGGATTTCAGCGTATGGTGCTTTACTGCTCAGACAGGCAACCGCCAGCTATCGAATTGTACAAAAGATATGGATTCAAAACATTTAAGATTATCGATAAAACAATGTTTTCCGTTCTGTCCGGGGTACGTTTATTGTACATGGAAAAGGATCTACATTAAAGTTAATACATTGGAAATCTCAAGTTCCTCTGTTACGTTAAGATGTGACAACATCTTTTCGTCAATATCTTAAAAAATGTAAAACATTCTAAACAATATGTATGAAACAGTAATTTTACTAAGCGTTCACAATCGACTACCAAATAGTGAAAAGTGTAAATTCGATTATCTGCACGGGCGATAGAATTGCTGTCGCTATCGTCTCCACTTCGTTTGGTGTTTGTGCTCCCAAGGAGACTTTTGATTGTTCCACTGAAAATACGATAATTCCCATTTGGTGTTGTAGCATGCACATTTCATAATATTACAATTTTTTTTTTGAAGCACTTCATCAGTCTTGTCATCACTAAAATTCAGATTTTGTAGTCGAATATGATAAAACGCAAACGTGCTTGTCGTAAATTCATCACCCTTAATGACATAAACCTAGGCTTAAATCCAAACAGCTTCTTGATAACAAGATATATGTCAATATCTTCAAATATGATATGCTGACAACGGTAAGCTGTTGTAGTATCACAAAGCAGATTCTGGAAGACTTTCAAGATATATATAGATGTTCAGCAAATACCAAGTCTAACACGGTTCATCGTTAAATGAAGCAGCTAGCGTGTGTCGAACTATTGTTCCTCCCGCTTTACCCCGTGTCAGCGGATCCGTACAGGGCCGCCATACAATGTTTATTATATTACATAATACAGTAATGCAATCTATTCCTTAAAGGCTGATTCTATAAGCCAATCTTTTCTAAATTTTTGCTGGTAGTGCATACATGTGACATTTTGATAGGTTGATGTTTAAAGAGAGACAAATTTATTGGCACTTATAGACTTAAATAACTTTATAATTTTAAAATCTTGGAGTAATCAACTCTAACAACACAAGTCACCCAAAAAAACAATACCAAGCACTGACTCATCGGACCAACGTCACCCTTTCCATTTAACGTTAATTAAAACGTCACATGTTTTCAACATGCTCAATTCGTTATTTAATTATTTTAATTACATATAGTACCGGTTCACGAATACAATATAAATGAGTTTTATCAATCGTACATCGATATTTCTAAATGATATCCATTCACATATCACAGTATTATACACATATTTTTATTTATTTCCCACTGAATGATATTTATAACCTTGATAAAATAAAATCTAGATTTCATAACTAACATCTAGGCTCCAAATTTTACATCTAGATCTTGAAAAAAACATCTAGAGTGGCAGCCCTGGATCCGTATTCACTTCAAGGATACTGTAGCGAAAATCAAAATGGCTATATTGGCGTTTCAAAGGCTTTTATTCTGTTACGTTTCGTCTAATCAACCAAAGTCATGATTTTTCAGGCAATCAGTTTATAACAATGCTAAGAAAAAATATTTATATAGTTTATATAGAAAAAAACGAACAGTGAGTAACGTTGTTTTAAATTACAGTGGACAGATTATTTAGTAAGCGGAACAAACAAGGAATGACGAGTTAGCAGTTAAACAATATCGAACAAAATGATGATGTGAAAATAGCATCGTCACGCGGTAAATGAATAGATCATTATAATTACGATTTAATTTCAAATGAATTTACGTCCTGTTAATTTTCTACATTTATTTCAACAATATGAATGTTATTGATTGTAGTATAAATGATAACTGAATCACTCAATGCATAGTTTAGATAAAATAATTGAAGATTGCAATTGCAGCCTATTATGAACAAACACACGAGGAAGTGACGCAGAGCGATTTTATTATTCACATTAAAACCTAAAGTTTGTACATTGTGATTTTCAAAATGTAATTTCGATTTGGTCAACTGTGTGAAATGCCAGCTCATCCCATTATGAACAAAAGATTATTTCGAATTCGCGAATTACAAAGAGAAGATCTTCCTATAGTCAGAAAAATTGTGAGAAATGGATTGTATGGACGTTTTTACGCGGGGTTGAGAATACTATTCTGGAAAAATCGGAATGTTCTGGTAATATAACTTCTTATTTTATTTAATCGCCAAGCACCATTACCAATTGAATGTTTGTTAATAGAGATTTAGATTATTAGTCATCATTTAATATTTTATTCACGATAACTTTAAATAAAGTCACAAATTCCTAAACGAATTCGGAAATATGAAATATGGCAATGAAAGCGTTACTAGTTACCCTAATCCCAAATCTTTACACACATATACTATGTTTTATATTTAAATGATGTTCTGATGTGGTAGAGACGACAGCAAATATTGGCGGAGGCGGCGTTTCAAGTCTCAAATCTACAATACCAGTTAAACGAATTTATTTCTCTACTTGGTGAATTATTTTTATTTCAAAACTTCAGGTCATTATGACTATGATTACTACTATGTTCACGGCAATATTTGACGGAAACATCATAATTTCTTCGATAACTGAATTACTCTTTGTGATTATTGCAAGTAAGTGAAAACAAATTTTAAAGTTAGTGATGAGGTATCGAGATGGACAGTAAAAATAAAAATTCGGATAACACAAATATAACATCCGCATTTTCACTTTTAACAAGAATGAACAAGCAAGACTTCTTAATTCTATCTCATTAGCGTCCTTGTTATTAAATACGGAGCTGTGTTTTGGGTAAAATAAAATTATGGATGAAAATTTGATTGTTGTTGTTGGAGTCAAAGATGCCCAAGTCTGGTGTAAATAAACCAGTCGCAATTCAAATTCACCTTTCATTCAATTTCAACTTGGGTTGAAAAAAAATTAACAACAATATTATTGTATATGCTTCTATCAAGGTATTTTGCAATTTATCAACACAGTCGAAAGTCAGATAAATGATCTCAATGATTTTGATGAAATCAAAAACACATACCCGAGATTTTGGGTCATGGAATTTATAGAAAATTATGATACGTTTATAGTCGGGACAGTCGCTTTGAAAACTCAAGAAGACGTTACTAATCGACAACCAATATTCACTATTAAATTAAAAGTAAGTTGCTTGAAAATTCAAACACGGTTGAAACAAAATGATAATCAGGTTGGAGCTATATATTGTCGGCTTCTATATTTTACTTTACTAGTTGGTCAGAAATCAGGACAAACAAGGCCTGCAAAAGGATAAAACACGTACCAGTCATTTTAAGGCATATACATTGCCAGTTTAGTGTACTGGATACCATGTAACAATCGTTTTTGCAAAAATGTTGCCAAAAATCTTCTCTTTTGACGGAACAATCGCTAACGCCGTTCGTAAAGTGATTGTCTTCGTTTCGTGCAATCACAGGTTTTCAAATCTAAGTGTATCAAATTATATCTGTGTACCGGCGGTACCAGAGTATCGGGCCTCATACTGCTCCGAAAATTTAAAATAAAGTTATTATACCGTTTTAAAATTTCATTTTATAGAGAATGTCTGTATCCTCAAACTTCAGAGGAAAAGGAATCGGAAGAAAATTGCTCGCACATGCCGTAGATGAAGCTTCTGCATTGAGCTACAATCGAATCATACTAGATTGCACTGAGATGCAAATGCCTGCTATTTCGATGTATTCAACTCATGGATTTATTACGACGAGAATTATTACCAAACCCCTAATGTTTGTGCTTCCTGGTATTAATATTCATAATATGGAAAAGAAATTGTAAAAGTAATGTGATGCGCGATTATATTTCCATATTTTCTGTAATCTCTAGTATATAATGTAAGTTGGTTTTCGTACGGTACCTACCGTCAGTAGTTTCAACACTCCAAAGTTAGATAACTTTTACAGCTCGAATGAAATTATTTTACCAGACTCAAATCTGTTTAAATTCTACATGAAAAATTCTTAATTTTAGTAATGATATGAAATGTTTTATCTAAAAATTAGTAATTTTATTTATTTGTAATTTCAAAGACAAAAAAAAGATAGATGCTGCTTACGGTCAAATTGCATATTCGAATTAGTGTCGCGGACTAAAGTGTCCGTGTTTATATTGTGTTTATATATTTTTTTATGTTTATAGACTGTTATGTTGACCCTTATTTAATGCTGTTTTGTCGGATTTGGACTCCGACCACTCACTACATGTGAGGCAAAAACTTTCGATCTCTTTTCTCCGGCTGCCGCGCTGGCGGTCGGTCGTGTTTTTAGTTCTTCAGTGATGTAATCTGTTATGCTGTTTTAAGTTTGATATTGGAGTTGCCGTACAATAAACAACCAATCCGGAATCCTTGAGTCTTCTGATTCATCTACAACCACGGTAGCAACATCTCCGTACCGTGACATTTGGACTACTATGAAAGATACTATTTGGAATATTGGAACTTGTTAAAATTTACTCCTCCCTTGTGTGTGCGCGACAAATTTGAGGAGTCGTATTTGCGCATTGTTTCAATTCTTAGTTTTGCATAAAGCGCACTAACGCCGTTTCGTAAAATTGGAAATGTCAAACATAGTAACAAATTATTGTGCGTAATTTTTTCCAAATTTTACCAAGGAATTATTATTTAACTATTATAATTGTCGTTATTGCAGATTTATTAAATCATTATTTGCACTCAAAATAACATTCAGGATTCACGCAATGACTCTCGAATTCACTCCTTCGTAGTCGTCTTTAACATATTTCGCCGATATGAATGCATAGTTCTCCCAGAAATATAAAACCAAATTTCGAGGTTCGCCGTTACGTAAGTATTGGTCCTTCTTATAAAAGAGGACGGACAGAAATGTAGCTCACCAACTTTAGAATGTCTAGCGTTATGGATGCATGTTGTATATGTATTAAAAATATCCAATATTCGAGAATTCACTGAAAATATTCGACTTGAAATATTCTATTTTGCCCACCCTTGCGATCGGTAATCGCGCCAGTAATCTGGCGAAATCTCGTGCTAGTTCAAATGCTGCTGGTGAAAGGGTTGAACAAAGGCAGATGAAAATATCCGTGTAGTCCGTTTCTAACAATTTTCCTGACTATTGGGAGATATTCTCTCTGTAATTCGCGAATTCGAAATTTTCTGTTCATCTTGATAGACCGAGCTAGCGTTTACCACAACTGGAGAATGCTTTTTGCAAATTCTGATGTAACAAACTTAAGGTTCCATTCAGATTCATATCGTGGTATTTGCCCAACGTCTGCATCTTAAACCTGTACCGCAATCTGCGTTGCGTCACGTTATTATCGTATTATTCGTGAGAATAATTATTATGAGCGTCTCCATAATTGTCTCTTGTTCGTGAGAGTTCAGCACGCTTTCGTTAGTCTTGTTTTCAGTGGCATATGCAGGTAATGCGAGGTGTGAAGCACATTGACGAGTTGTTGTGACTGGATACGCCGCATGCCTTTTGCTGAGCATGAGACTGATGGCGGGACAATTTTGAAAATATTATGAAATTGAAATGCGCATGCTACAACATGAGTGGACATTAATATCAATTCTCCGCCATATTTGAAGTCATGTTGTCTGTAAGCGCTAGTGATGGAGTAATCAATGTGGTATTTGTTCCCAAAGACTTCCATAAGTCCTCAATTATTATACAAAATAAAACATCTAATACTTCTTTTTGTTGTAATTGGATATAATTTGCTACCAATCGCTTTTCACTCGATAATAAGTTGGTATTTAATGAAAGCTATTATCTTCATTTTTTCAATTTTTTTGCGACCAGTGAGGATCATTCTAATTTGAGTTTTATTAAATTTAAAGAATTCAGCATCAAGTGAACTTATGTCGAAATATCTTAGCGAGAGAACTATGTATTAATACAAATTTCTCGCTTTTCCCTCTTTTGTTTAGAACTATTTTAAGAATTTAAAAAGAGATATTCAATGTTGGCTATTAACTTTAACGTAGTTGCTTCTCCATACAAAGTATCGGCACATCCGGCAAAACAGATAAGATTGTTCTATCGATAATCTTGGTTATTTCAAATCCATATTTTTTGTATAATTTTAGGGCCGGCTGTTGCCTGTCTCCGCAATAAAGCACCATACGCTGAAATCCCAGTTTTGTAGCTTGTTGTATAGCATGCTCAAGCATCCTGGAACCAATTTTCATTCTTCGTAGAATTGGCGTGACAGATAATCTCTGCTCAAAATAAATGACACATAACGAATTTGCTAGTTTGGAATGAATATTTCGGGCAATTATATCTCAGATTAATATATATCAAAATTGGCACGAAACAAAGTTACGCGCACGTCCTTGAAGGTAAAAGAAGCTTACTGTTAATGGTTAGAGTTAAGCAACATCACATGGTGCACAACGTGAAGAAATAATTCAAATATTCAGTGGTGTCAACTTATTCACTTATTCTTAAAATATGATTTTACCTTCAAAGCCACTGTTGTTTTTTGGTCGTAGACTTCACCATCAGGTGTAGCAAGAGCAACGGATCCAACAATCTGTTTTTGGTTATTTATGATTCCATCTAACACCCAGAATTTGGTATGTTTTTTCGCAACTACTCCAAAAGGCCTCAAGTCTTTCAGTTCGTTTCCAATATCCCTGTAGAATTTTAAAACGCCTGAAAAGATGAATAGTTGGTATATTATGCGTTTATATATATACATTGTAGTTTATTATCTTATATTATTTTCTTCTTACATGCCAATGCCAGCGACGATTCTTGAGCTAAGATGATAAAAATGAACGTCCAGATGTCTTCATCAAGCAAAATCATTAGCGCTGTGGTGACAGCGAGTAGAATGATCTGAAACATAGTATTTTCAACTACTCTTACTTTTGTTCATAACAACAGTTATTTAGTTTTGCAACGGCGTACATAAAGTCTTCCAGGTTAAAAAAAAAACATCTTCGATTTATGCTTTTGTGATTCTATTCCCTCCCAACACATATTGTTAAAATTTCATACCTGAGTATTTGTGTTTTTTCTAAAATAATTTTTCAAATTGTGTAGCCATAGTGCGTAGAGATTGTCGCTGATCATTTTTATTGTTTCTTCAAAATCCTTCCTCTCGATCAAACGAATATGGTTTCCAACTTGTGTTTCCAAATAATTCGTGCACATTTTCAATTTCTAATGCTACATTTAATATGAAAAAGAGACAAAGCTGACAGATAAAACATACTTGAAAACAAATCTTCCTGTGCAAATAAGTCCTAAGATCACAATGGTGTTTCTCTATTTTTACTAAATCTTTCATTGTACGTCTACCTTATTCCTAAGTCCTAACGCGATTTTTCTTTATGTGCTATGCCGTCATCAAAATTCCCGCACTTTGTGGCGGTTCCCCGAACGTCGGCGGATCTCGTTATTAGCGGAAGTGAGAAGTTCGGAGAACAGTAGACTGCGGTACCTGATCTGGTAATGCGAAGTAACTAGGATCAGTTGGTATTTTGATTTCCGTTGAAACTGAATCCCGAAGAATGGGTCATCGTCGCAGGACCTGGAAAAGCTATGACAACCCCTGTACCGTTACCCTGAGTAGTCGAGTTGTCTCTTGTTAGTTGATTTACGAGTCCTGGTTTGCCAGCAACTTTTTTCTTCAATCGACTTGCTTTGGGTCACCTCGCACAATCTTGAATCATTTCAGAAGGTGCTATTGTAACCAGTGTAGGAACTAGTTTAACATCAATAAAGAGTTTAACATCATGTTGAATATTGTTTATTGCTGTTGTAGTAGAAGAATAAACCAAGAGAGTGAAACCATAACCACTAATAAAATCATCATTTGTAACCGTCGCATTTGATACAGTGAGCACTGTTTTATTGTCCGCCACAAAGCTAATGTAAACGAAGACCACCCGTAGTGTTTTTCATCAACAGTTAATAAGTAATAAGCTAACTCAGCTAAACGACTCGTGCTCGATTCAGCGCTAAGTCGAAACAGCGGCGAAGTTGTTTTATTTGAACACTTAGCGTGTAATTACTATTAACTTTATGAGCCAATATTTTTCAAGGTGTTTTATCAGAGATAAAGAGATGTACACGAAAAGATTAAACCATATTACTAAAAACCAAATTCGTTTGTTGGAAAGAAAAGATTTCGAAGAGACAATTGATGTATTTTTTCAACTGTGGTCTTTCCCTGTTACGTCGATGATGGCGTTTGATCAAAACACATATATACATATATAGGCACAGCACAAAGTTCGACGCATCTTCACAATCCTATATTTGATCAAAATTATATTGTTCGTGATAATACGACTAGATGTGTTGCTCCAACCAATATCAAAAGGGGTGTATGCCGCACATCTGTGTTTTAGGCCAATATGGTCTTGTGCATACATCCCGTCTTCAGTATTTATAATTACTTACTCTTTTATATTGCTTTTACGAGACGAATAAACATACATACATACAACCCACCCCTCCTGCTTTGATAAAATCCTAAAATGATATTTTGAGATCTCCTATTCGCCGTAACTGGAGTGCTAATGCTTTTGCCGGGTGGAAACATTTGGTCGTTTATGTTTATCATCATGCTTCAAGGGTCGTTGTTAGCATTTGCATGTAAGAAGAAACTTATAATATAAACAACCTCGATAGATCGTATGATATGTATCTATTCATTCTTCAAAGTGCTTCAGTATTCTACAAAGATATTGCTTACGACCTGAAAAAACTAAGACATATTGACGTAGTTGCGAAAAAATATATTAAATTCTGGGTGTTAGATGGAATCATAAATAATCAGAAAAAGATTGTTGGGTCCGTTGCTCTAGCGACACCTGATGGCAAAACTTACGATACAAAATCAACAGTAGCTTTGAAGGTAATGTTATTGCTCATAGCACTGCACTTCATGTTGCTTAGGGCACGGAACTGCTGAAAAATTCTTTAAACGCAATTCAATTCCTATGATTTACCATTCTCTCCCCTCTTGAATAACCTACCTCATTGTGAGCAAAGTCTCATAAAATTTTTAACCGTAACAATTTATTACAGTATTTGATGATATAAGTAAATGTCAGACATACCGAGTGTGTTACCAATGTTAACTTGTGCAGATATATTTATTTACTCAAGGCCAATTGCCCGCGATATTTGTTCCGAAGCGTATATCTATTTAATATCCATTAACTATTTTAAGCATAGATTATCTGTCACACCAAATTTGCGAAAAACGAAAATCGCTATAAAGATGCTGGAGCATGCTTTACATCATAGGTTCTCAAAGTGCTCCGTACGGAGCCCCAGGGCTCCGCGAGAGAAACCCAGGGGCTCCGCGAGCTATTCGATTACTCTTCAAAATACTGACTCAAAATTTTGTAACTGTTCAAAGAAGCAATGACAGCTTTGATAAAATCTGACAACAATATAGTCTCGAAATATGGTAAAGATGCGGAATCAAATAATGACATTATTTATAAGCAGTGTCGCAGCCAGGATTCTTAAGAGGGAGGTGGTTTAAAATTGGAATCGGAAATTTCCGCGCAACATTCTTCGCGATTAAAAAAAGGGATAACGAGATTTCTGTTGCGTAAAATATTCAATCCATGACCAATGGAGCATTTAACGTGACTCGTCGTTATAATGTCGTTACTCGCGTTTGATTCGAGATTACTATTATGATTACTAAAATGAAAGAATACTATTCTAAAATAACATAAAATATGTCATAAACTGCCAACTATAAATAAATTGAGGTCGTATTTTTGCGATCTTGGGATTTGTCAAACTTGATTTGTTCTTTCGCACTTGAGATTATTTTTAAGCAAGATATCGCCGTTTAAAAAATCACAATGTCTGGGCAAAATACGAACAATTGAAAATTATTTTATTGCATTCAGCTCCTTCAGTAGTTTCAGAATGAAAAAAGGTACATCGCGGATCGCGCGCACAATTGATTGCGTGCGGCTGCGTCGGTAGTTTCAGAATAGGAAAAAACAGGTACATCGCGCGCACAATTGACTGTGTTTCGATTTCGCAGTTACTACGATAAAAAGCTAACATAACACCAACTTTTGTGATTTACAATGTCTATAAAAGCGTTTTCAATCTGAAGTGAGTCTGCTGAAACCTGTTGTGTCTGCTGTGATCTTTCATTTTAAGTTTTAATATTTTAGAATGCGGTTTTTCAATCAAGAAATTTGAGTTGTGGATTTACCTCTTTATTGATTATTATTTTTAGCATTTTGTCGCCGATGACTATAATATGGTAACATGTTTTTCACATTGAACTCATAATTCCCCATAAGAACAAAAAAGCAATTTTACGTCGTCATTGTGTAACAATACATGTATATGCCGAGGGAAATATTTGATTTGGGGAGAATAAACACCGGCGTAAAGATGTTTACATGCTGACGAAAAAAATCGGCGATTGTAACGAAATGAAATCGCGAACGTTATTAACGGCCTTTTATGTCTTCCAAAAATGTCAAAAGAGAAAAGATTCGACCCCTAATTTATTAATATGTTCGTCAAGTGTCAAATTTACAGCTTTAGTATGAAATTTAGATTTATTTATGAGTTGTGGTAACCCTATTAAAAAAGGTTCAGCATTTAAAATAATTAAAGTACATTTAACTTGCTCAGGAATATTAATCTGAAAGTAACAATTTTAACATTTATTTTGGGGCTCCGCGAATAATATTCAACCTTTCAAGGGCTCCGCAACATCAAAAGTTTGAGAACCCCTGCTTTACATCAAGCCAAAGAAATGGGATTTCAATATATTGTACTCTGCTGCGGAGATACTCAACTTGTTCTAAAAATATGGATTTAAAATAACAAAATTTGTGGACGTAAAAGTTCTTTCAGTTTTCTTGTCGTGTACGAATTTTTTATATGAAAAGACGACTACGTGAAAGCTAATACATCAAATAACTCTGTAGTTTATAAATATCGGGGCCAGTGAACGAACAATATTAAGATTAAAACATTAAGATTAAAAGAAGAAATTGCCAAATTATACCGTAACTGCTATAGGCAGGGGTCGGCAACCTACGGCCCGCAGGCCGGATTCGGTAATATCATCCGGTCCGCGACGCTTCACTGAATTATAGTAACAAAACAGTGGTTTTTACGATTACACTGTTTACGTAACATAATTTTTGTGAGACACGTGTAAACTAAATTATATTATAACCTAACAAGTATATACTTCGCAATTACTCGTTTAATAAGCCTACAACCTAATTATAATTAGACAAATGGCAACAAAACTCAGAAAAGTTGAGGCTAAGTGCAAAGGGTTTAATGGCGCAGGAAATATTCAAATGGAATTTTATGAAATGCTACGCAATGACTTTCTGAAAATATGCGCGGCCCGCCAATGACTTGCAGCCCTAAATTTTGGCCCGCGAGCGACAAAATGTTACCGACCGCTGAGCAAGCGGATCGGAAAACGTTGGTTTTCGAGATTCTTGATGATCTAAATGGCGCGTTTTAAGCTACGAAGGAGAATTAATCCTCCCTGCGCGTTCGAATTATTAGAAAAAACTAATATAAAACGAAATCATTCAAGAAGGAAGAAATATCTGTTAACTGTTAAGGCTCTATTCCGATGCTCAGAAAAACGCGAACAGTCAAACTGGAACACATAGTCTCACCAAACCAATAAACTGATTGTGAACTGGTTGGCAAAATATTTTTTGTAAAAGATGAAGGATTAATTGGAGAATCATTTTCGAAGACTTTTTCTGATGCTTGAAACCACGCTGTTCATCCCGAGATCGGGACAGGAATTTGATTCCCCAGCGTCACATTTTTTTACCTTTCCGCATGCGGAGCTGAACTAAAACCACGTTTTCGATTGTCTTTGCAAGAGGTATATAGATGTATATACAGGTTTCTTGGTAATTTTGGTATTGCGCGCTGCGAATTGTTTTAACTCACCGTTTTTCATCATTTTTTAGGAATTGCTGATAATTATTCCATTATATTCATAGGCAACTGGTTTACGTAATAAACGTATGGCATACGTGTGCCTGAATCTGACACTGTATAGGCGATGAAAATGGTTCCTAACCGTTAACCACAACGCTTTTCAACAGTATTAAAGTTACTGTGAAATCCATTTAAACGTGTGACAACTGACGCTTATTAACAGTACTGTTAAAAATCACCAGTCGTTAAACGTTTGAACAGCATTTCATCGTAACTTAAATTTGATAAAACTTGAAAATGTGCATAGCTGTCGAGAGTACGTTTCATAAAAGCAAAAATTTCATTTTAAAAATTCCGGAGATTTATAAAAACTATTGAAACTAGAAAAATGAGTGGAAATGCCGGGAACTTGGAATTTTTCAGGATTTCATAAACATTTAATCTAGTTTTCGTCGTTATGCAAAGTATTTGTCAATTCTCAGTCGTTTTCCCGTTATTTGTGTATATATAAACCGAAGTCCACTTTATGCAAGCGGTAAACGTCGCAAAATTATATTAAATCAAATTTTCCATAAAAATGTTTGCGTGATGAGTTATAACCCATCGTTAATAGCCAATTTGTCTTTCCTTCGACCATCTCAGTTTAGGTGCAGGTATCACAAATTGCCCCTAAATAGCTGTAATAGTCTAAAATGACACAGCCTATCAATAAATTTGAGTAACGAATGAGGAATGAACGTGAACATAGTGACATAGTCTATAAGTGCCAACTTACAAAACTAGAATATCGGTTAGAAACCGAAGACTTATCGATCGAAGGTTAGGGGTTCCCCCAAAACAGTGGTCTTACTCCATAGTGACACCGTGTGTCCCATCACTAATTAATTAATAACTCTGGCTAATGTCTGGCTAAACAAACATTCATTGGTTTTCATTTTTGATTCGTGATAATTGCAGTAGGCGATGTAACAGATATTTTGACTTTCTACTAGATAAATTTAGGTTTTTACGGATGACTTTAGGATGTAGTGTTACCGACAAACTTTTGATTCCCCCAGTTTCCGTGTGTCCGTGTCAGACGTCCGTGTCAGACGAGATGTGTGGGAGGTGTTAGGATTAGGAATACGCTTGCCATCGCACTTCTGATTACTCTGCGGGGGTTAGCATATTCGAATTCCGTGGGGGATAATTATGTACGAGTGGATAGCTGGGTTCCTTTACTTAGCTTATGAAGGACCTTTCCCCGACCTTTAATCCCCGAAAAATTCTTTTTATACTTTACCATTGCAAAATTTTCGGGGCTATTTTAAGAGTGCTTTTGCGAGTTGGCGCCTGTAAAATGGGGTATGTGTTTCAAACAATCATTATGATTCATCGCATACAACAATCTGTTTTTTAAAAGTACCGGTAAAGAATTCTTGCCTAGTCTATCAGAGCTATGTCTACACTAATTTTTTAGTACTGCGATTAAATTAAAACTCCTAGGACAGTGGTTCTTAAAGTATGGGTCGCGACCCAAACATGGGTCGCGGAAGGTTTAAAAATGGGTCGCGACAAGGTCGTCAATGCAAGGGCAATCTAAGAGGATAAGGACGAATTTTCAGCTTTCCCAATGTTTCAATTTAGCTTCTAAACTCTAGTATTTAAAAATAATGAAATAAAAAATTTCATTCACGGAAAGAACTGTCTTGAGCTCATTGTTACATCACAATTCTGATATGCCAGTCACGTGTATTATTTTTATGGGATCGATAACCATGCACGTCGCTTGTCGTTGTGTTAACCGCATGGAATGTCGTCTTAGTGGATTAAAATAACCAAAAATGGGTGTTTTTTTGGTAATGAAAATTGTAATAGACGACGCAATGAAAAAGCTCGCTTCTCGACATTAGATTATTCAATATCTAGAGAAAATGTGACTTCATCTCGAGGCACCATTTACCGCGAACGAAGCAGTGCGTGCACATGTGACGAGTAAAAAGTTGTATATTGCGAGAGATACCGATGGCCAGCTAGGATGTCGTGTTTGCGACGGACAGCGGACGCCTTTTCTGCTACAATTCGCGACAAGGCACTTGTGCGAGCGAGGATATTTGGCACTGACGGTTATCAAAACTAAGCTCGCAATCGCTTCGATACCCGTGACAACTTGCGTATTGCGTTAAGTAAAATAGAGCTGTGTATTGAAGATATAATGAAAAAGGAAATTTCAGTTTCATCAATCTCACTGAGTCAATGGACTGTTTCTAATAAATAGTTGTCTGTATTTGAGTCAAACTGTACTAACATTAAAAACACATTTTGCGTTTTTTAGGATTGGGTCGCGAGTATTCATAAAACTCAGATTTGGGTCGCGCTTGAAAAAGTTTAAGAACCACTGTCCTAGGAAGACAGAGTGATCATTGAATTATCTGATTTATATTTAAGTTTCCGAAACACAACAGAAAACTAACGAATAGAGTTCAAAAACGCGAAAATGAGGTAATGTTTACGACCACGCTTGAAAATCTGTCTGAGTGCGAAAAGTGTCTGAGCGGATGCGAAAAGGGAGCATTGTTACGTCACTTTTTGCATCTTGCTGATTGGCCAATGTCACGAAGAAAACAAGGAAGTCGATGCTCAGGGAAAGGTCCATACATTACCGTATCTTCTAGCTTGCGTTGGCAATCACTAATGGCAGTATGGAGCAACAGTAAGAAATGGATTACATCCGTCCGGGCTTGCAGCAATGGCAGAATGGGAAATTGATTTACCCTGGAACAACAAAAATTATAATGGAATACCACATTGGCCTTGAAATATAATTTGGCAAAAAAGCAATGAAAAGTTTGGCCAGTTGAGATCATCAATGGGAAATTCAAGGCTAATTATAACTTAGGCCAGACTGGATTCCATGGCAGGTGCACGCCCGAGGGCGCTAGCGCTCCGCAAAAATGCACGCGAGCGAAATCAATTTTGCACGCCGAAAATTTGCAATTGCTCACCAATGTAAATCGGTTTGAATGGTTTTAAAATCAATAATCCAGTAATATAAAGATGCCAAAATATTATAACTCCACAATTGTCGACAAATACCAGCCTGCAAGATTTGGTCTGATCGAAATATTGCGAAGCAAAAAGACCATGGACCTTTCCCCAACCTTTGACCCGTGAAAAATTCCTCTCATTGTTACGTCCTTTTTTGCATCTTGCTGATTGGCCAATGTCACGAAGTAAACAAGGAAGTCGATGTTCAGGGAAAGGTCCATATCGTGTTGAATGATAGGAAATAGGAATCCCGTGAGAATAGTTATGGACGAAAAGATCGCCTCCGCACCAATGGCCAAGTACGGCTCTGATTCAGCGTATTTTTCATACAATAATTTTACACGAATGTACTGAACAGTACCGGTATCTAAAGTTGCTCAAACACTCCCAAAATTAGTGACAAAGTATGAAAATAATGTTTGGGGTCAAAGGTCAAACGTCCATTTTGCTCTAATTTGACATATTTTTTATCCATTAATTCTAGGTAAAAACACTACCAAAATTAATGACAAAGTATGTCCATTTTGCTCTGGTTCAACGTATTTTTTATCCAATAATTTTACGCGGATGTACTGAACAGTACCGGTATCCAAAGTCGCACAAACACTCTCAAAATTAGCGACAAACTGTAGAAATAATGTTTGGGGTCAAAGGTCAAACGTCCATTTTCTCTGATTCAACGTATTTTTTATCCGATACCGGTAATTTTACGCGGATGTATTGAGAGGTATCTGATGTCAAAGTCAGTTGCACGCGAGTGCAGTTGTTTTGCACGTCGTGAGCTATAATTGCACGCCAGGAATTCTTATTTGCACGCGGGAATTTCTGATTGCACGCCCGATTTCTCGTTCAAAAAGGCCATGAAATCCAGACTGGAACTTAGGTAGACTATTACCTAACAGTCTGACAGTGTTAGATGTGCATGTCGTATGGTACCAGATTGCTGACTGGTCTAGTACAGTAGTAGGGCTTAGTTCTGTAGTTCATTACTTGCAGATCTTGTATTGCTGTATTGATACCAACAGTCTGATAGTCATATCGGGCTGAATGATTCCTACTAGTGGTTATATCGGATAGTATTGTAGTAGACCAGGTGGCCTCTGTCTTCTGTTCTGCGCCTGAATTCTGCAAGCAAACATTTACTGCCCTGGAATTCAAGAATTATTAAATTTCATGCCAGATCTGATCCTCACATCTGGGAATTTTGTCACTAAAGCTATGCATTTCTACTGGATTAGTTCATGGCTCTAAAGGCGGTGAAATTTTATATGCGACTCCCAAACTCTAATCTATGTACCAATAAAACATGGCGGATTACAGACTTTTCGTCCGACATGTCTGTATATCGCCCCTGACAGCCTGAGGCTTGTTTTTTTAACAATGATTATCTGATATTTCTAACGATTGCAGGGTTTACGACAATGTATAAAATTAAAATTTGACTGACTAAAATAGAAATTTTTGAACTCTATTTTTTTCAAAAACAAGCAAAAATAATTTTTTTTGAGTTTTTTTGCAATTCCAAAATAAATTGTGAAGCTTCAATAATTTTGGTTTTACTGTAAGGTTATCGTAAACCTTAATAATAATGGAGTGTTTTGCTTCATTCAGGAATAATATTGTTTAAAATTGCATGTTAGTAACTTCTAAGTAACTCTGAACGACATAAGATAAACTGGAGTTACATATGAGTTGAAAGGTGTCAACCTGTTTTCTTTACTTAACTTCATTGAATTCTGTACAATCGTGGTCCAGCAAACTGCTTTTTCAGTTTTTGAAATCACCTCTGCATTTACTGTGATTGCAAAACCATGCTTTCCTCGAAGATGCAGAGATCAGATATGGATACATCTGGCCATGGTCATCAGCACAGTGCAGGATTTGGAGCAACAACAAAGCCAAGTGGAACAACGGAATATGTGGTAAATAATTCATTTCAGATCAAATATCACATTTAAATTACTATTTCTCTGTCTTTTTTTTTCTATTCATATGAGACATTGCAGAATGTAAAATCTTGTTTTTTTATATTGTTATGCGCAAGAATATCAAATTGTGGCATCAGCTACTATGTTATATTTCAATGAAAAACAGATGAACACTAGTTGACTTTTAACAAAAACTGCGGTCACTGAACTGTCTTTTAAAATAATCAAAAGTTTATTGTGCATCATTCTAAATTGAACAAACGTCTTTCGTTTTTTTGATTTAGCAATGTTTTTTTATTCCTGACTAATATCAAAATTGAATTATAACACTTACTATCCTACAAAAATATTTTGTTTTTTCTAGACGTCGTCAAGAGACACTCTGAGAAGTATTGCTGTTGCTTTTGATACAACAACTACAAGATTAATGAAATTGAACAGAATGTCTTCTCTTACTGTTTTCCCTGGTCAGGTATGTATATTATTTAATTGAATTAGTTGGTCATTAAAAGGGGAAAGTATATTGGTGTTTAAGATTTTTTTCTTTACCACTCGCTACATAATAAACTGGTCGTTTTGCAAAATTTCTGTTGTTTTTGTTCTTGTGAAAAAAATTGCTTTTCTCTACAATTAATAATATTGGATCAATCAATTTCAAAAAGGCTTTGAAAGATTATTTCATTTTTCAAATCGCTCAACAGTCCCTCCCGATTCAACTGTTTTATATTAATTAAATTATTTGACATTTGCTCTTTTGCCTTTTCAGACATTATTTGTTCCATCAAATGATAGTGACACTCACTCGCCATCACCCCCAGCTGATTGTGATGAAACAAGCACAACGCCACCGAAGTCTGACAGTACTTGGGATTCCTTTACAGGAGATTTCTCATTCTTGTCTCCTTTGTCTCCATCAACATCTGCTTTGAGACCTGTGAGTTCAGTTTATATTTTGTTGAATTTTTCAGTCTCAACTCTCAATACTTATTTTCAAACGTTTTATAAAGCAGTCTTGGCTTGCATAAAATTAATTACTCAATATATGGGGCTGTAGAGCTCAGTCATATTGTCATGCTCTCAAACTCAAATTTTCCAGACCTTACATCCATTTAGTAGTATTATATAAAGCAGAAAAAATTTATAAAACAAAGCATAAAATCAAAGGGGGATTGGAAAATTTTTTTTCACTTGAGGTACTAATCAAAAGTGTGTTTTTCTGGAAATTTCTCGTTTCTAAAGTTTCTAATTTGTACAAATTGGCATATAACAAGGAATTTTGATTTGATTTTTATATTGAATTTCTGTATTTCGGTAAGCTATGTATCAGTATTTTTGTGTAAATTTTTTTTCTACTATTTTCAATTTATAAAATATGTAAAGAGCTAATAGGTTGGCGCTAAATGAATCAGACTTTTTTCTCTTTTGAGATTGTGAATTCTAATTTGGTTTGAATTCTCTGTTGCTAATATTCTGGTAGTTGGGTTAAACATGTAATGCTATATAATGTGAACTTCTAGGAGATTCAACCTTTTTATATATGAAAATACGGATACACGATCTTAAATGCCATGTTGTGTAAAGAAATTTGACATTCAACAATCTTGTTTGTTAGTTGGTCATAATTATATGGATTCTAGTTCAGCTCTATTCAAGCAATTTATTGCCTCATTACTTATTAGCTATATATATTTTCAATGTTGAACCAATAACTTGTTGACTAAGAAGGATGTTTCTTCATGGATATGACTCTTGTGAAGATAATCTATAAATATCCTGTTTTGTATTTATTGAATATCCTTTTTGCACACGCACGAGGGGAAATTTTGTGGTTTTAAGCGCTATAGATGGTCTATTTGCAATAAAATGTTACAATTTGTTTCATACGAATTCTGCAATTTTTATATCATCTCCATATCGTACCAATGTTATGTATGTGTCTTCATTATAATTCTGCAATTACTGTATGTAAATCAACATCTTTATGGGAGATTACATAAAGTAAAATCACAACTTGAGAATTCAATCGAAAATAATATTATGACACATTCTTATTTCTATAGTACTTTAACTGAACTGAACTAACCACCATAGAAAAATATATCATGGAATAATCTATAATACAAAATTTCACCCACTCTCAAGTCCACCATTGGGCCATGGCTGGGCCACAGATACATTTTTAGATGAGCCACAAACATATTGAAATTGCTCGAGTTATTGATGGAAGTAGCAATGAATAAAGATGTTGTCTTCTGTTACAGGGTGGCATTTTTCATTTTTATTATTGAGGTGAAAGCGACTATTTTAGCGGAAAGAATTTTTGGCTTTTCTAGGAATTTTTCTCTTGCATGAAAAAGGTAATATGCCACATAAATTTTGTGCGTCGAAAATGGGCCACAGAAGAAAAAAGGTTGAGAACTATTGGTTTAGCATGTTCATTTAAATTGTTTTTATCATTTTGTATAAAAAGATGCTGCTTGTTCTTGAAAAAGCAGAGTTATTGATTAAAAGTCTCCAAAAATATCAATCCTAATCTAGTTATCTACATTTACTAAAAGGTTCTGAATGAAAACCAATGCATTTGCAAAGTAGATCATTTGTTATTTTTTAAGGTACATATTTAAAGCTATCACCGACACCAAAGTAAACTCTTATCAGAATTTTTTTTTAAATATCTTGAACTCTGAATTCATTTCTTTTGGCCTGTATCGTAAATTTAGTCCATTTTTTGAATAAAAATGTTTCAAAGCTTCCACTATTAATTCATTCCAACTAATTCACATTCCTTATTTGGTTAATCTCCAATTATTCATTATATTTGAGCTATATCAGGCCTTAGTGACAGTTACTCCAAATAGTTCTATGTCACTATTTATATTCGAAAACAACATGCACATGAATACTTCACAGAGAAATTGTACTGTCTCTAATAATAATAGTCATTGAACTTTTACAAAATTTATTAATGAAAAGCACAATACAAGTTTATCCGGATTATTTCCAGGTAAATTTTAATATTCTAATTGAGTCTAATTTTGGAAAGCTACGGTGATATTTGAACGCTAACTATTTTTTTATGTCAATATAAAATCACACTCACATGTTAATTACATCACTATATTGTTAGCATATGCTGTAAAATAAAGAAACCTATTTATTGTCAAGATTTATGATGATTGTGTCATATGTCTTTAGATGGCTATTTTTTTTTTCAAATTTCCTCCGTGTCTCATTGTTTATTTCCTGACATTTTACTCTAAATTTTACAGTTTTATTTTTTATGTATAGGAACACATTTATATGATCCTTAGCCTTCATGTCCATGTTTTAGCATTACTCTATTTGAGATGGTTTTGCAATTCTTTGATTGAATGCTTTTAATATCAACCACTTTTAGTTTTCTACTTGATTGGAGCTTGCTTTCTAAATAAATTTCTTCCTTTACCGAATACGTAAAAGTTGGTAACCAGTCAATTAGGCAATCTGTATCTGAAGCAATCTGGTGATTATGATCATTCTATCCAAATTCGAAAAGGGGACATCATATTTGTTTCTCCATATTTTTGCGTACGAATGGGAATAGTTATTACTGGCATGTACTATAGTCCCATCGGCCATCATAGCCATTTGAATGGTTACTCGTCTATCATATAGACAGCAGATTTAATTAACGAGGTTATATCAAAAATTCTGCTATCTGAGTGCAGAATATATATAACACTTGTTTTCAGCGCAATCCAGTAATACTTGCATTAACTGATTTCACTCTTCGACTAACATAATATATAATAGCACATTGAATTGTGTTTTTCAGTCTAGCGTAAATTGAAAACCGCACAAAAGGCAATAGTTTACCATAATGTTATTTAGGTATCCATCTGCTTTATTTCACGGTGAGAAATATGAAATCTCAAATCCAGTGAGTTCATGAATTCTGGCTAATGATTATTGTGTCTCTGCGCTGACAAATAAATCTATTCCTGTTAGTACAAGACTGTTTTCTATTTATAGATCTGATGAAAGTGAAAATGAATTTATCTATTCTAGGATTGTTGTAGGGCAAATAAATCTGGAATTATAAACACGTTTTTGGGAATAGAAAAGCCCTTTTAATTATCTAAGCCAATATTTGTGAAAGATTTTCATATATAATGAATTGTTTTCATAGCTTCATGAATAATTTTGGTGTTGGATGAAAAATTGCATTTGTGATGCAGGATGGCTACTCTAGAAATTTATTTCAAGAATTCAATATCTTTTCAAAAAAGAACTATCGTAATTTATATTTTATAATGCAAACAAAATATTCATTTAACTAGTTTATTATTTAGTGTAAACTGAATCTTTGCAACAAACTTGTTTAATTTGGCCACCTATGTAGTTTGAGCACCACTGTGCCAATTATTTTGTTATGTTTCAACACAGTATATAGGACAGCAAATAAGTTGTGCTGTGAAAAGTTCAGAATAATGATAATAATATTTATTGAATTTCCAACTTTGGAATGTTTAATTGTTTTAAAACTGATTTCAAATTGCTTATTACCGCTAATTGATTCCTTTATTTTAAACTCTGGTTAATAAGAGACCTTTTTAGCTATTACTGTGCTTGTTTGAAAAGTGGAATATTTTTTTGACATACCTAATTATTTTATTAATTAAGTTATTTAATTAATTAATTATTCTAAGTCGTTGAAGAGCTGTGGTTCAAATCTCAAATCTGCCGCTACGCGCAGGGTGTAATCTATTGGGTAGGCAGTTCTGAATCAGGACGATTCTGGTATTTTTAAAATATAGAACATTTGGCTCTTCAGAAGTGTGTGTACCAATATGAAGATAACTAATTTTGTTTGCCTACTTTACATCAAGTTGTGTGAAGGGACTGATTACTATGAGCAGTGGGTAACTGGGTATATTCACTTGGCTAACACAGACTGATTCCGAACTCGTAATACGACTAAAATAAGAAAAATCAGAATGAAATCATGCCCAAACCCTAACTTGATACACACACTACGGGAGTAGTACGGAACATTTTTTATCTAACAGTGACTTTGTACAGAGCCTCGTTCAAAGTGAAAGGCGTGATAAGATGTTGAATTGAAAATTTAACAATTTGTTTCTTACAACATAATTTTGTAATAATTTTGGTATTTTACAGTCTTAAAGTGGTTCACAGATACCAGATTGTCAGTTTGTTAATGAATTACCATAATCAGTGTTTTATGTTTACTGTACTAGATTGCATATAGCACTATGTAATGAGTATTGTACCATATGCTACAGGTAGTCATTCTTTGAATATTGATGATGGTTGTTGTTGAAATTTTAGCAAATCGCTGTTGCTGTATAATTGCTGTAATTAGGGATTATTGGTTAGGTAACGATAATTAGAAATGCTATTGATATTAGTATACCATGCTGTACTGCAGACAGGAAATGGGTATAAATGGAATATTCAGATATTTTATCGAATGTGATAATTTACCTGGCGTTTGTGGATGCTTTTAGAAATATTATAGAAGTTAAAATCCCATTTTTCTACTGAGATATTTTTTACTCATCTGCTAGCTAGTGTCTATGCGAGCACTCTCTTAGCTATAAAGAGCTATTTAATTAGACAAAGCTGCGATATTTGCATTGGTGTCCAATTTATGTACATGAACTTGGGCTAATCAATAAATTAACAGAATTGATACTATTATGTGGCGATGCTATCATGCTTATTGAGGGTTTACCTGGAGAGGTTTAAAGATAACAGGACTAGAAAATGTTTATATCGCTGCAGTAGACCAAAATTAGCTTGTGTAATTGTGTAATTTTTGTATCTATACAGCGAAATCTAAAAATGGCATTAAGCACTTCCGGAAATCAAAACTGAAATAAGTACTTTTAATAATTTTGAAACCCAAACCAAAATGACAAAGGATTTATTAAAAAATACCTTCATCGAAAAATGTGATATATGCTACTTTGGTTTAACTGTAGTGATATGAAAATATTTAAAATTTGAAAATAATTTTTGGATTGTTTGTATGACGGTACAGTTTAAACTATTTCTGTATATCTGAAACCACAAATCGAATATTAAAAACGATGAACTTGTATCTTGGTTCCCAGTGTTTTATGTTGTCATGTAATGGGCGTGAAAACCTATGCTGTTCCTGACATGATTAATGGTCATCAATGGTGATAAATAGGATCTTGTTGCTATGACAATTTCTGTGTTTTTTGACTCAACTATTACTTGTTGCCACAATATTTCATTTCCTTTACCACTTCCCATATTGCAGCAATAATATCATAAATATTGGCTCAATATATGCTTTTCCTCTGAATATGTGATGGAGAGCATTTCTGATCACAGTATTTATACCATAGCCTGTAAATGGTGCAGTAGAAACTGTTGTTTGTGAATTTCTGCTCTTTGTTATTAAGTTTGATGTTGGTGGAGATGTTATGTGGAACGGAGTATCGTCAGTTTATCATATGAAAATGTAATGTATTTACTCGTTAGTTGAAATTTCCATAAAGTGCATCACTTGTAGTCTCTGGACAAGGCTCTTTTTGAGCAGCCATAAACATTTTGTATAATTCTGTTCAGCATAATAAGTGACTGGTGACTGCTTTGGAAGTCTAATCTAGTTTTTGTATAATTGCTGCTATTCAGTAAAATTACCGTAAAACAGTATGAAATAAAGGTAACAAAAAATCTCTGATAAAAGTTTTGTTGGTATGAAGAGGGCAAGACGATATGTTATTTTCACAAAAATGGGTGAGTCTGCTTTAATGTTTCCATTAGTAAAATATTAAGGTTTTATTAATAGTCTATAAGAGAAAGCTGCCTGTAGTTATTGTCGATCAGACTTTCATGTAGCCTATGTGAGTGATAAATAGTTGTCAAATATCTAGCCTTTGTGAAAGGGTTCACAACACATTGTTTAACACTTGTATGTTAATAAATCCCATTATTATCCTTTCAAGATCATTGTTTTTCTTGAGTCTGCTTTAGCGTTTTTTTTTATTAATATGTGCATTGTGCATACTTACAATACCGTAATCGAGTGTTATTTAAACTTTTTTTATCATGACGGCTAAATTTTTTCGCGACCGCCTTGAACTAGAATAAAAAAGTAAATTTCGATAATACAGCATTTGATATAATAATAAGATTGACAATACCTTTAATTAGACAGATGTCTTTGCATATTCTTGCACAAAAGATCGATTCTTGGCCCAATTTTGGTGATGGTGGGTCTCGGTGCTTGTTCCAAATTGGATCGATATGTTGTTTGCAGAGCCCTGCTGTAATCTATGTAAAATATAAAACTTTTTTTGGAATGTGGTTTTTGCTTGTTCTAGTGCATATTTAGAACTCTGTTTTCTTATTTTTGTTCTGATTTAATAGCTTTTTTTCACGTTTATATCGTTATTTTCGTGTGAACGTCCATGTGGAATATTGAAATTTCAAGGCTTTGTAGGTCTTTATCAACATCTAGAGTATGTGCCTCAAACCAAACCCGATGTGTTTGGAACCACATCATACATATAATTATAATACTAATTATCACTTATCATAGGGTGGTTTTGTGCTATAATTACTATGATGTTTTCCACATGGCGTGAAATGTGTAACTTTCTTTATAACAAAGTACGGCATACTTTGTTCTTTAATCAGCAGTATTATTGTCTCATGTATTGGATGCTGTCATTTGGGGTTCAGTTGTGGACTTGTGGTATAGACTGTCCCAGGGGAAGGTGAATACGTTTTGAATTGAAATTTGTTCAACTAAAAAATTTATGCTGTTAAGTGCATATTCAAGGAGATTAGATATGATAATGCTAGTTGATCAATTGTTTAATTCTATCTTCATTTGCTTCTGTTAATAGAAACTAAATAAAAACTATCTGGCTGTCTTGTTTTCAAGTTGGAATTTGCAAATTTTATTTTCATTATTTAATACATTTAAAGATTTTGATAATATTTTCAAAAATTCCTGACATGGGCTTTCTTCAAAGCAACTCTGACTTAGCAAACTACTTAGAAGTGATGAGTAATCTGTTTTGGGAAATCTATGTGTGGGTATCTTAATAGATATAGGAAATCCTGTGAAATGTTCATGTATCTATTTCCAAGAAACACTGCAATATATGAATTTAGATACGTGGGAACTGCTGTAGCGGTTCAGATTTTTTATTTGAAACTTTTGTCAGTTAATGTTATTTTGCAGTTTCATGTTGTATTTTTAATCCTGATATATTTATTTCAAACTTCCTTCTTTGCACTCATCTGTTCCCAGTTCGAAAAATGCTCTCAATTTATTTATAGGCAATTGATAATCGATTTTGTTTTGATACTGAAGTGGACCACTTGATTATGCGGTCTACCATAATACTAATATTGAAAAATAGCTTCCAGTACTACCGGTGACCTTTTTATTGATTGAAAATTCCAATAATCAATGATGTAAGGACATTTCATTACTCTATCCAGCTAATTGAACAACACCTTTCTTAATAAATCCAAATGTTGATGAAAATGCAAATTTTGAATGGATCGGATTGAACTGTGTGGTATGTTCTAAGTTGTGCCAATGGGTTGTTAATTTCTGGTATTAATCTTGTTGTTTCAACTTATTGCTGATGCTGATTTAATTACCGGTATATACTATTTGACGATGGGGTTGGCATAACAGGGTTATCGATACTTGTTAGTGCAATTGTAAAAATTATTGTTTCGTAATGAATGATTTATTATTGTGGTTGTGAACTTCTATTTCGCTAGTTGAATTTACTCATGTGAAGTGAAATTATAGTTTAAATTATTCCACATGTGACAATCAATGGTTTTCCAGTGCATAATCGTAAAATATTAAAAATGAAAATAAATTGAAATAAAAATTCTTTGGATTAAAATTCCAACTATGATTATGGCATAATATAATATCAGGTATAAGATGAGGTATTCTAAATGTATTTCTTAATAAACTCTAATCAATGTTTTATTCTTATATATTCAATAGTGAGTTACGGTAATATATCTACAAAAATTGATATTCTTGAGCATAAATGACTTCCTAGTATAAAAAATAGTCAAAGATTGTTACAATAAATAGCTCAAGTGAATATAATTATGAAATTTATAGTTGTGTATTCTGTGATAATCTCCCAATCCAACATGCGTTAGGCTACCTTTTTTGTGATATTATTTGATTTGAAGAACAGTAATATTGTTTGCATATCTTGTAAGTATGTATGAGTTCTTGTACATCCATTGCTAAGGATAACATATCTTTCTTTTTCGTTGCAAAGTTCTTTTATAAAAATCACTTTGCATGTATATTTGACAAAATTGGCTCAATGGCTTTAATCATGATTTTGCAGCAGAACTACAGATTGATTATATTTGACAGAATACTAAAAAAATCCCAATTTGATTTCTAACCCTGCAAATCATGTATACCTTCAAGGATGATCATAATATGATGTCTGTCTCACAATACTCAACGCTTTATAACCTTATAAAGCTTACAGCAGCAGACAGCTGTTTTCATGAAATAGTAAACTGGATGTATCAATATTATTAAGAATAGTCCATGTGAACTCATTAGTGGACAAGAAATGTAGGCCATCTTCTCTGCTTAATTGTTTATTGTTATTGAAAAAATACTTTAACTAGTGGACCAATTAATTTCAGACTATAACTTTTTATTTTGCCAAAATCATTTCAAGTCCTATGGGACTGCGATGATTCACCAAAAATTTTGCTTTTTTTTTTAAATTCACAAACACTTTATTTTGCAATGTCACATAAACTCTTCCAACAAACTTTTTGCTTAGTGAATAAACCATCGTACCCATACAAATGCAAGACATTCGTGCCCTTATGTTTCATCATTACCAGTACTCCTATATTTTTTCTATTGTTTGAGTAACTCATTTTGTCACCTGCTGTTAAGTTAAACAAGCTAGACTCAGCTTTTAACACTGCTTGCATTGTAACTTTTAATAGGTCGTGTTAACACTAGTTTTATATAAATACGATTCAGATATTTGAATTGATTCTATTTCTCTTTTGTTTATTTCTAGTTCAAAGATTTAGTGATGGTGTCTTCAAAAGTGGATACAACAAATTCTACAGATGCAAACAAGAATGAGGTACGAGATACGTTTTATTCCAAGCTAATGCAGGAGTTGAAGTTAATGTATTACGATCATTCAGCGTTAATGATTAATAAATACTGATTATAAAAACAGTGCTATGTTACTGCTGAATAATGAAAAGTTACAATTTACCATTTTCAAGTTCCGAGGTTTGTCGATATTAGTCAAATCAATTAATGTAAAGGTTCTTGTTAAAATAGACAAGAAAATAGCAAAATTGGAGGGTAAATTAACAAGAAACTTATGATTTGCTAAAAATAAGTAAAATACAAATTTATTAATGACATAACCGATAACCTTATAATATCAAAATCGTAATCGTTGGTATGATGGTTGCATGGTACAGAGATCTCTTTTAGGGAATTATGGGCAGCATCTATGAATGTTCGGAGCCATTTTGTTTATACAGACGAAGTATAGGTACAGTAACAAGTAATGGTTTCAATATAGAAGCCAACAAAGGCCCAATTAGTTAATTCATTCATCTGAATTTCCAAATATATCCCTTTTCAAAATATTATTAATTATTCAGACATTCCCATAACAGGTCGCAATTTAAAACATTGACGTACATAGGTTGCACAAGGCAAATATAAGAGTTACACCTTAACTTAGCCTTGAATTTGATTATTCAATTTTTTTCCAATAAAATTCACACATACAATATATCCTTTGTTGTCTGCTCTTTTTACTAGCTCTGCCTGTGACTGTGACACACCCTGTTTTTTCAGGATTTGTGAACATATTACACATAAAGTTTATTATTTTGTTTGATGGTGTGCTTCCCGAGTTTATGTGGGTATTTGATTGGTCGTCTTTTCAATCTTGAATTTTCGAAAACATCTTGAATACAAGGGTGTAATGTAACATTCATTTATTTGTTATTTCTACTGAAAACAGATTTAATATTGCCAGAATCCATATTAATGTTTCACTATATAGCCAATATTTTTGTTTATGTTGCTTTCATTTAATACATGTTGGACAAATTTTGAGGTCAATTTATATTGGATGAATATACATTTGATAGTTTTTGATCAATAAAGAATAAATTAATAGATAAAACATGGCTCTTTTATATATTTTTTTGTCAGAGATGGCCAAAATCAATTAATCTACTTTTTCGAATATGTTTTGAATATGATTTATTGAATGTATTTTAAATCGGGACATGTTTAACTGAAGACAGATAAAAGGCAATCCATATTTAATGACTGATGATGAGTTTGAATTTCGAAATGCAGGAAATTTACAAATAAACAACATTAATTTGATTGCTTTTTGAGATTATGAATTATGGGTATTCAATTTGTCTTGGGATAGCGAGTCATGCTTCTAATTTTGTCCAATCAATATAATAATATTATGCATTCAGTATCACTAGTTTGAAAACCTATGCAAAGTGTCTCATTCAAAACAATATCAATTTTTCAGGTTGACAATTACAAGAAATCAAACGGGTCTGATAAAAGAAAAGCGTTCAAGGCAAATAAACGAGATGGTGGTAAGAATCTAGTTAACTGCAATCTAGACAAACTTTTTACCCTGAACAAGGCTCAGTACCAATACCCAGTCATACATAAAAATCTACTTTTTTTCGAATATCTGAAATCATGGACATTGCCTACTTAATACATTACACCTTGGGTGAGGTGATGAGCAGAGGCGTATCCAGGATTTTTCACTGGGTGGGGGGCTCTGAACTTTCTATTTGCCAAGTTAAACCATAACAGCAAGCGAGTCGGAGGCGGGGAAACGTGGGTTCCAAGAGTTTTTGGGGTCTAAAAAGCCTTGCAAGCTATGAGAAATCGATATGTATGAACAGAAAAAAGCTTTTTTTTAGTTATAGTTCAAAATAGGGGGTTTCGATAATCAACCCCCTCTGCTACCCCCCTGGTCGTGGGTGTTTCCAATCAATACAAAGCTGATAGAATAGGTAAATCATATGTACGATATTCTCAATTGCGAGATCTTTACACATAATCCTATGTATAGGTTTCAAATTACAAAGCATTATAAGGAAATAATAGGATTATGCTGCGCTTTTTTTTTTTTATCTCGCGCTTTTTCAACCTACTTTTTAGTTCGGCATTGCCCAACTTTTATACCCTTGGTGAGTTTGTGGAATATGAACCCTAGATTTTTGTCAATTCAACTTTGTTCTGGGAAAATTCAGTTTCCATTTATTGCAAGTTGCAAAGCAGTAAATTCAACCTTTTTTTTCCTATGATTCTTTTTTTTTCAAAGGAAAAATTCTTAAATCAACCTCATCAGTTGTGTTAATAGCCCACCTGTTCCTAATGTTTATTTTTAATCTATACTTTTATCACTACTTTATTTTTATTCCTGATCGGAATTGCCAGAAGCTATGTTTTCAAAATACGAAAGCTATTTACATTTTGCCTTAGGGTGCGTTTATGAGAGATTAGTTAAGGAATTTATGTTGTATGGTTTAGTGGTATTAGGTCATTGCTGATTTATTGGAAATCACAATATTTTTTTATGTTCTCCTTTATGGGTGATATTACCAATGCCATTTTTTGTTAAAAAAAAGTTTTTCATGAAATATTGAAATTAAATTTTAGATTTATTTTGGACCATTTTGTTGCATTATTGAACGATTTTTTTCTTGTTTTTCTTTGTATCTATAATTTTTTTCATAATGTGTAAAATTTTCATACCATACATTTCATTTTTTTAATTTTTAATTGTTACAATGCCCCATAATAAGAATTTTATATTTATACCATCAAAAGAAAAGATGATGAAGTAATTATATTGCGGACCGTGGTCCCTTCTTTAGTCACCAGTTTATGTCGGTTATGACATAAACAACCATATAATAGAAATATGAAGGAGGAGAAATTGGTAACGGACAGATGATTACTTGAGCCACCCAAAGATGGTGAAGAGTCCAGCAGTCGCCTCGCACATAACTATCCTTCACATAATATGAACCACTAAGGGTAATCACTTCTTAATGCTTAGATCATTGCAGAAGCCGCTGAGGGTGCAATGACATTTTTATCAATCTGATCTTGAATCAACTCTTTACAGTTACTGTTAGAAATACATTTTGCAAATTTTAAATCAATAACTACAAATGAACTTCCACATTGCTGTGTATGAATGCACTGTTCATTCCACTTCATTTGACGTGTTTCAGCACTTTGCTTTACTAATATTGATTTTGGTTGTATTGATCATAAACCGTGTGCCAAATTCATTTCTAGATTACATACATTTTATTTTTGTTATTGACTCCTTCAATGTTTTCCTAAAATACCACATTTTCACTGCGTCAACTTTTAACTCAATTTAGAATAAATTTAACTGAAAGATTAATTTGATTTTTGTTGTCACCATTATATGAAAGTCTGTGAATAGCTCTGAATTTTTACAAGTAATACAATGTGGGATAACTGTTTAGTTTACAGTTACATAAAATACCAGGATCACTTTTTTAAAGCAATAACGGTACTTGTATTAACCGTAGGTAATAAAGCACTACTTGATCCATACATTAGGCGCATCAGTTTCTAATGTGTACAGCCAATTTTTGAGAAAAAAAGGATTTAAAGGGTGTCTTATTGTCCATAGAATATGGTACATTTTTCAATCATTTGTTAATAATCCAGATATCCATACTGCCCTCAGAACATCTAATTTCTTCAATTAAGTAAACAGTATAATATTGACTTATACCATGCACTTAAATCATCTCAGCGCTTCCTGCATACGTTGTGTATAGAATCCAGTAAGGCTTGTATTGTCTGTCAAACTTCCAACTTCAGATCACACAATAAAATAACCAAATCTATGCAACCCATCATAGTTTTTAATAATGGAAAAATAAAATATAGAACATTGAATATAAACAATTTAAAAAAAATCACCTGCATTTTCTGTAAATGCATTTTATATTCTGTTCATATGGATTGGTAGTCCTTAACAATATATTATCATTTCCTCATTTATACTTTAGTCTATATTTATTCTACATTCACATCGTGAAATTTTACCCATCAGTATGATAAAATGTTTCATATTCCAAAAAAGACCCCAAAGTAATTCCCAAAAACGGAATATCAAAAAGTAGCCGGGATGTGTGTACAAATACCCAGAAATGGCAAATTTTCTACATAACGTATATAAATTTTTTTTTATTCTGACAAATAATATTTGCTTTGTTTATAGAAGAGACTATTCCTGGTGTGAAAAGCATATGCGTTTTGTCTGATGATATCAGTCGTATAAACAAAACCTTCATATACTGCATAATTTATGTTTAGCCATTGAAAGAGAAGATCTCACTCGAAGTTTGTCTCACAACAGCACATCAGCCGATCGTCAACGTGTTATGTCAGGAGAATCTGTCGAATCGGAACCTTTTGAAGAAGGTTTTTTGAAAATGAAAGTACATTATATCACACACACAAAGGTTTGTTGATTCCTTCATATTTTGGGTTATTTGCCTGATTTTGAAATATTGAAAGGGAATCAAGCAAAGCAGTGTGCCATGACAAATACTATTAAAAAATAAAGCTACTAGATATATAGCGTTTTCGAAGTAAAGTCATGTAAGTCATTTATTAGGAAACAACTCTTGCCCCAGCTCGAGACGAACGATTATTTTGACTATGTCTCGAGATCGAGAAATATTCTATCTCCGACTCTGAGAAAACTTAATTTTGACCATAAAACTTTTGGCGTGGGCAAGCCTTTTATTAACTGTAGGGAATGCCTATTAATAGTTCCTTTTAGTTTGTATCGGAAATTTTGACTTGTTTCTACAATTAAAAGTTTTAAATTCCGACTTGTGACTCTGTGCAGCTTGACAATACTACTCAAGACCCGGGGTTTGAAAATAAGACTCAAGTTCCGAGTCTACTATATACAAAACATGTTAAACTCCGCTGGCCAAACAGCCCCAGTACAACAGCTGTATTAATTTAAAAAGATTTTGGTGGTTTATAACAGTGGTTCCCAACCGCCGGTCCGCGGACCGGGGCCGGTCCGCGAAGCTTTTTTGCCGGTCCGCAAGAAATTTTGTTGTCTTGTTGTTTTTATGCCGTTTCAATCGCTTTACCGTAGACAAAGTTGCGTTGGCTCATTACGCAGTTCTCTTCTGCCGTCATATTACGACGTCTTTCGCGACATGTTGGCGCCGTATTACCCGACATCTTGGCGCCGATCACTCACACTCTTCGCTTTTCCAGCTCCGATTCATCGCGAATGCGCTCCATCAAATCTTGCAAAATTAAGAAGCCTAAAAATCGGCACGCGTGCCTTTTCTGTCCTGCGTGCTTTTCCTGATTAATATGACCATTCATATGAAACGTGATGGATATCTCCTTGTTTAAACTAGAAAACAGTCAAGAACAGTATAATAATCCAGTAAGATATGAACTTGTTGCGACCCCACAGGTGGTCACGCGATACACGCAAAAAAAGCATGAGCCGCAGAGATCTTTTCCAGACACAGTAGGATTTTGAGCTTGTCGCCAAGTTATCGACGACTTTGTCATTGTAATGCAAATTCATTCCGTTTGAGGCGTCGATTAACTGCAGAGGGATTAATATTATGAACCCAATGAAAAAGAAAAGGCTTGATTAAAATTGTGATTCTTCTTTACAGTCCAGATTGAAAAAGAATTACTTATCACAATTTTAGATATCTCTTGATAACGAATACCCATCGCCAAATATTTGAGCAATCAAACTGTGGTCCGTCTTTTCAGCCAGTTACTGCGTTATGCGAAAAAACATTCTCATCACTCGATTCAATTAAAACCTCACTTTGATTAAAACGAGGCAAGGAAATCGGCTGCACGCGGCTGCAGAGCTACGTGTTGCAAAAACTTCTTTGCCTCGTTCGCAATCTTGTATTGGAAACGAAACAGCAGCAAAATTTTCACAGAAGTTAATTGTGCATTATTTTAATGTGAGAATTTAATGCGTGCCTTTCTCACGCATAATGGGTGCCCAGCACTGCATTTCATTACGCAAATATATGGTATTATTTTATGTTTCACTCATTTGTAATTTTTGGTCGGCACATTATTTGATAGTTATTCTTCGTGTGAAATGTTTTAAAGTGTGCTTTTTTGTCTAGAAGCATATTGAGTGCCCGACATTGCATTATAAGACGCAAATATATGTTATTCTTTTCTGTTACGGCCATTTCAATTTTTGCCGGTCCGCGAGTACATTTAATCTAATTTTACCGGTCCGCCAGGGTAGAAAGGTTGGGAACCGCTGGTTTATAATACAGAAGCTCCATAAATCTCAGTTTTTTTTTCAATTATTATCAATTTCAATAATACACTCAAAACTTTCCAACTTTTGCCATTTTGTAATTAATTTTTATGTTTTCAGGAAATGGTACAAGGAGTGATGTTGGTAACGCCAACAGCTCTTATGTTTGATCCTGAACCAGACGATCCTGTTGCTTTGAGAGATGGTTGTACTGAGTATGGCATCATGTGTCCAATGCATCTCATCAATACCATTGCTATGTATAATGATACTAGCAGGATGACACCTTCAAGGTATGTTACGAGTTGGTCAGACGAGCATTCTGCATATAACTTGTTCTCTGTAACCTGTCATCAAGGGCCCATTTTGTATGATCATTTCAAATAGCATTTCTGATTACCCATTAAACCCTATAATCTCACTCAGACTTTTTTGTAGCGAATTTTAAAATTCTTTTCAGTGGGTGTCACTAATGAGCAATTTCATATTAATATGCCGCATAATAGCGCGTGCGGATCGCCAACAATTTGTAAACAAGTTTCAATAATTTGTAAAGTTGTGCTTTAAAAGAATTAAATGCAATATCAGATTTTAATTACTTTGAAATAAACAAAATATGTGTAAACTACCAACCCTCGGGCAGAATATGATAAGTAATAAAACAGCCTTTATAGTATATTAGAGTCACCTAAATCTAAAAATCTGGACAATCGGTCACAGAGTTTATAACAGCTTTCATCTTTGAAGAAGGCCTCATGCAAGTAGTCCTCAGATATGTATTTCGAAGCTATGAAATACATTTCCTACTTGGCAGCGGGTAAAGTGTTAGTTTCATATGCTGGCCACCCCACCTCTGATTACCTTGCGTGAGTTTGCAGGTTAGAATCCTGTGAGGATAATTTTTGTGCAAGAGGATTGCTGGACTCCTTGCCACAGCGGCGTAGGGTGGTTCAAATAACCGCCGATCGGTCCATACATATCAAGTCCATACATCTGAAACAGATAATTGGTTAACTAACCCGATACCTGACATGGACTGGTAATCGGACGAGAGGCATTGGTTGGCCATATGATTAAGCCATCTATCTCCCCTTTTCCCCCTGGGTAAATATGTAAATCCTGTCCTACCCTAAAATTTGTTACATGTTGAATGTTAAATATTGGGTTGACCGAACAATGATCCTAGCGTCTTACGTGAGATCTCTAATAATATTACCCACTTATCCCCACTTTTTTGACAGCACAATGTCACCACTAGTTGAACCATCCACCGAAACCGAAACGAAAGAGATCCGATCCGACAGTCACTCATCCATGTCAAGTGACACTACTACGGAAGCGGAAGCAGAAATCAGTGATGCTATCGAGGACGATGATCTACCAGATATTCCGCTAGAAGTAGAAAATCAGGCTTCTTGTACAAACAGCAAACCAAAATCAACGTGGAGTCCTGTTCACGAAAGTACCCTATATGAAGTAAAAGGACCTGTACCTGGCTCTGCAAAAGTTGCATATTCTTCTAAATCCGAAAACAAAATAGAAACTTCAAATTCTGACAATATAAACTCTGAAGATAATAATACCTCAAATTTCTTCACCACAAATGAAGCACAACATAACACCAAAGATGAATTTAAATTGGAAAATGAATTTCCATTTCTTCATGCAGTTGTAAAGACAGTAGGAGGTGGGTATTCTAGAGTTGAATACCATTGGTGTTTTGAGATGTATGTAGTAGTTCTTCGATCAGGTTCAATCATCATCTTCTATTCATAACTTTAATCGGTCAATTTTGACCAATTGCGTCGTGGACAAAACTTCAAAAGTTATTGTCTATGATTAAGTCCATTACCATAACCTAGGCCAGGGATGGCGAACCACTGACCCGCGGGGTCACAAAGTGACCCACCGCGGTTTATTTGTGACCCGCCAAGCGAAGGCACGAATAAAATAAAATAAAATGCTATCATATCAGTGATAAAAATTGATAAAACCGGCCTTAAATTAATCCAACAATAACTAAACTATTATAATGTACCGTCAGTTGGACAGTCAGGGCTGCGATAGCTCAAACTCAAAATGTTGATTTTTGGGCCGATATGGTAATTTTCAAAACCCCTAATCTTGGACGCATGTATGCACTGTTGTATATATACCGTTATTCAGCTATTGGGCCTGACATCGTTTATGACATAACATTACAATTGATCTGTTCATTTCTCGCAACGCCTGTCTCTTTCGGAAGTGCATCTGCAGACTGTTTTAAGGGGTTAGACGAGAACTAGATGCTACTTTGCATTTTATTAGTTTCTCGCCTACAATGCCGCTGAGAAAACAAAATCTTTCAGACTTGAAATAAAAATCTAGAAATCTGATATAACAATGGGGCAGTGTAAAAGTGCTTTAATGTGGTTGGAAGCTGATCCAAAATTTTAACACTATCAAAGCGGAATTACCTCTAAACACTAGAACCGTAAAATAATTTAACGCATCATCCTAAACGTTTTTGGTAATTCATATGCGTTTTTTTCGTATTCTAATATCATAAAACCGAGTGCCATAAAAAGTCCCTGATAGAAGTGCTGCATAAGTGAAGCCCAAAACTACACCAACACCGGCTTATAAGATTTGTTTCAGAAGTTTCTTATAGATACAAACGTGAATTAAATATCTGTGACCCACTCTCTTCTGTTCCGCGATAAAATTATAATTTTTGACCCATTCATTGAAAAAGGTTTGCCATCCCTGACCTAGGCTGTAGAGTTGAAGTTTGGCTCATTTCCAGTGATATCAGGTTCAGATTCAGAGTCATTCAAACCCCCACGAGTCAATTTTTTTCTGCTTACGAGTCAATATTTTAATATTGTAATGGTGATAATTAAAGAGAAAATTTGCCAAAGAAACCCATTGATTAAGCCAAGGTTTCCCAACCGGGAAGAAATTTTGCAATTTTAAAGTTGATTTGTATTAGCTGTAGTATTATTAATATTCTGTAGTTTTTGTTATGAATACAAGGCTTATTCATGAACGCATAAACTACTTGAAATGTCCAAAAACAGGAGTGAGACTTGGGTATTTACTCCCTTAGTATGTGTACCAGGTTAGGCCATAATTTTATTCCAATTTTCCCTATTTTAGTTCTATTACAAGTTCAGGGACTGTCTGTGTTAGTCAAGTGAATATACCCCCTGTCCATAGGTTTCAGTCCCTTTATACAACTTGATGTAAAGTAGGCAAACAAAATTAGTTACCCCCATATTGGTACACACACTTCTGGAGCGCATAACACTAACTAGGATACATTAAAGATTGAACAAATAAAGTAGTTTTATGCATAAAGAGGGTGTATTAAAAAATTCGAAAATCGACAAAGGAGGGAATTTGTAAAAAAAGGCATTTTCACATTAAAAAGTGTCCACATGCAAAAGCATTTGTTACCAAAATTTCTCAGAGTTTAGATCCTGCGTTATTGAGACTCCAAACCATTTTTTTGAATGGCTCTGAATTTTTGAGTCAGATCGACATGCAATTTTTATGAATTCACAGCTCTGTCCATAACTGTAATCAGGTCTAGATATCCCACGAAACTCGACTAGAATCAAGTTGAGTAATTTTGAGCACAGATCATAGGATACATATCCTCCACCTCATGTCGTGGATAGAAGTCATTTTTTAAATACAAATTCTGTTTTCTTAGAATTCCCGTAAAAATTACATCTTAATATTTTCAGCTGAACATTGAAAATAGTTTCAGCTCAAAAGTATTCTAAGCAAAAACTTGAAAACAGATGTGATTAGTGATTTCCTAACTAAACCACCCAAATAATAATAAATTTTGGATATTTGACAAATTGAAAATTAATTATTTCATTTTTATTGCAGAATATTTACCAAGTCTTGAAGATTCAAATAAACAATCTACAAGTAGACCTAACAGGTATGTAATGTTTTACATTGTGGTAGTAGAGATTGTAATCTCATTAACATATAAACGAGAATATCGGCCAGAGACCGAAGACTTATCGATCGAAAGTTAGGGGATCCCCCAAAACACACTCTTACTCCATAGTGACACCTTGTGTCCCATCACTAATTAATTAATAACTCTGTAATTATACTACATAATTCATCCAAAATCCATAGGCGACATATGATGAATGCACATGCAAAATCTGGAGCAGATTCAATCTCGCTTTTGTGAGATATCGCGTGCATCTAACAGACAAACAGACAGACAAATACCTATCAACATACTTACCGATTAAAATCGATAAGTAATGACATATCGGAAGTCTTGATGTTGAAATTGAAAAATGCTGCCAATGTAAACTTTGATCAGTCATTGCAGATCCAAATTGAGGCCTATTTTCGACTAGTTTAATATAAACCAGGGGCATTGTAAATCCTAAACATTTATTTCACAAATTCCTGGTTTGAGAGCATAATTGGACACGCACAAGTCACAACCTTGGACCTATAACATTGTTCAGAATGTTATTTTTTCATGGATTTTATGAATTGATTTTCAATTGTGCTTCAAAACTAACTAAGGTTGTCATTTGTCCAAATGTATTGTAATTATTGAAAGATATATTTTACCCTCATTGTTTATTCCATAATAGCAGATTTAGTTTTCATCAGTCAAGTTATTTTTTTATCAATTAGTTTTTACTTCCAAAACCAAATAATCTACTTTTCAAACACTTTCAATCGCTCAAAATGATAACTTTCGAATCTAAGTAACTATGCTAAAATATTCCTAAAATCAAAAATTTGAAACATCAAATTTACAGTAATGTTCATGGACATCCAATTTACAAAATATTTTGTTATTTAATAATCCATTCATATTATTTATGTTTTGTAGCAATCACATGTTTCTATGTATTCGTGCTCGACGTCCAATGATGAAAACATTTTCAATATCAGAGGACGATGAGTTATCAACGTTATCTTGTGTAGACAAAACTGAAGATAATCGATTGCCAGAATATTGGTTTCAAGTTCCAAGGAAAAGGTTGGTAGATATGCTGTTATCTATTTATCATTATTATCAGTTATTAGTATCATTGCTTAGACTGAACTATATTCCACTGTATGTAATATACTCATTATATGATTGCATTGTTCATACCATCTAGTGTGGAACCGAGACATGAAATATCTCAGCTGTTAACAAACAACCGAAAAAAAAGTGACCTTTATGTTTGTGATATTTTGGGTGGGATCATCATAAAGATATGGTGCTTTATGTATTTTTCAGCATGAAACTCCGACCTTAGAATGTATTCAAAATTCTGTATTTGAAATGATTTTATCAGAATGTATTCAGAATACAGAAATATTCGGTTTTGGCCATTCATGTTGTTGAGTCATATCATTGAAATGATGTTCTTGGAGTTTTTTTATTTCTATATATTTCATATATATCCATTTCCAACACATTTTCCTTTCACTTGGATTGTAGTGATATGGTTGTCTCTAAATGACGCATTTCCTGGGTACTTTCAACATTTGTCTCGCATATTCAATGTGTACGATCATATTTTATAGCAGCATTGCATCGATGGTTGTCTAAGGTGTTCAAATTAAATGACAAGCGTCCTGTTTTTAATGCTATGAATAGTCTGAATTACTCTTTTTTTTTGTTCATTTGATTTAATTTTTAATGTGCCATATAACGTGATTTTGAGTGATTCAATGAACATTGTCATAAACTGCTTGTCTGGGGATATCTGGGGATTACAAAATGAAATTTTGTGGAAGTGTTATGCAAGATTTTCGACTCACTTAATATACCCCTCTCGACCAATCATGTTCTTGCAGCCTGAGAATATAAATTCTCAAACAAAAAGGCGGAGAGAAAGAAATAATTAGGCTCACGCTAATTCAATCAAATATTTATTTTAATTTTATTGCAAAATAGAATTATCTTCATAAAGCTAAATTTATCACAACGTAAGTTTTAGATTAACAAACTCAATAAATATGAACATTTACATATTTTTTGTCTATGCTCTTTCCCCGCCGCTGTGATCATTTCTCCAATGATTGGTCTCTTAGTCATATCATTATAATCTATATTAGAGTGGTCTGAAATTTTCGTTATTGCTTTTATAAATTTCCGTTTGTATTTTTCTATGACTCAATTACAGCAATAAATGTGTCGCAATGTAATTTAGGCCATGAATAATTTTATACGATTCATACTTGATCAGTTATAACCTGTAACAAAATATTCATTTCCGTGTATTACAGGTCAGATCATCTCTACGCTTTCTTTTTGCAATGGTCGCCTGAAAATAATCCGGACGATGCTGCTCTGCAACTTGGATTTATTATAATGGAAGATGAACCTTATGTTGAAGACACTACAGGTTTGTTTTTATAATTTTCTCTGGTTTCGTGGTTTCGTTCTTGACTTGGATGTTATTAATGCACTTTCACTCAGCACTTTGATTTGTGGAAACCACACTTTGTTTTTGATTAGGTAATGTATCTAATATGCATTGAGACGATTTATAACCTATTTGTAATCGCTAGAAAAAGGTTTTTCTACCATAACGTAAGATTTTTTGTAACAGAATAATTGTTGTTTCCATGGCAGGGTTGTCTTAGAATATTTCAAGTCTCAGTAAACCAATATCTGTTGGCATCTATTGCAAGGATAAACTTATATAGCTATCAGTACATCAGTGATCTACTGCAACTATTAGTACTATTTCCACTTTGACTTTAAGGCTTAATACCTTGGTTTGAGCAAATTTATATGCAATAAATATTGTATTTGTGGAATATTTCAGCTTTTAACAATATTTCCTAAAGGTAACATTTGAATTCTGATCAGTTCCATGTTGTTTCGAAAATAATGAAAACAAAAAAAGTAAAGCGAATTATGTTTGTATTCATTTATTAACAATCTTGCTTTGTCTGAGTTTTGTTTTGTCTGAAAGTGATCCAAATACACTTGCATCACCGCAGTGGAACCAGATTAGCTTTTATCACCTATTGAGAGATTGAAAGAAGCGCTTTTTTGTAATTATCAGATCGGTACAGCCAAACCTAAAAGGATTAATAGGTACAGCTTTGAAACTCAGACCAAAATAGGATATTTTGTACCCTACTGACAGAAGATAAAAAAGTCTGTTTCTGAAATATGTTACAAAATCTAATTTTGTTTTACCGTGGTCTGCAGCGACATCTAATCAAGCTTATAACCTAAATACAGTAATAATCTGACAATCCACAGGACATAGGTGGCAAGTATTCAGTAAGTAGCAGTGAATGGCTTTGTTGTATTATTTAATAAACTCTATTACTTCCTAATTCAGACAGACTTGACTAAAATTAGGTCTTGATTGTGTCATTGTACGTCAAATGACCTGAATGTATGTCCTGAACAGAGACTACTTGGTCATACATAATGAAGAGAATGTTTGCTTGATTTGTGATTGCGAAATAATCTTTATATGTAGTTTTTGATGAATATGACGCTATAAATTTGGTAACCGTATTAAATATATATGGTAATTTTGCAATACTTGAGCCTATTATTATCTTTTAAATGCTTTTTGCTGGATGAAATAATGCATTGTGCAATCCTCTCCATTCAACTGAATAGATTTCAAAACTTTCTATCAACTTTATTACCATCCTGATAATACTAGTAATAACCACATTTTGCAATACCCAGAATTGTGTAACATTCAATGTGGTATGCTAATCTGTATTGCAAAATTGGCTGTCTGGAACTCCTATGCGAATACACAAACAGTAAATTTTATTATCGGTTAAACTAGTTTTGAATAGTTTTTGTGCATTCATTTTTTTGCATTAAATTCCAGTATTGTATTAAGTTTAAGTTATATAAGTTTTGCAAGAATGGTAATTTTATTTTGCACCAGGCATGGCCATGTCTGTTTTTGCTTTAAAAAATTAGCATTCTACGTCGCTATAATAATCGATGTAATAATACCTGTGGTGAAATTTTTTTACAATCCAGTGCTCCGAGAATAATTTACTACTGAATACATTCAAAAATAACATTTTCAATTATGATATTTAGAATATTTCCTTCTTAATTTGGTTATGTTTAACATAGAATATCATATGTAGAAGACGATGTACAAGTTTGAATTAGGAAATGCAGACAAAATTAAAATAATTAGTGATATGGTTGGTTTTGTAATGTCTTACAATAGTTTTCAGAAATTGAGTAAAAGCTTTATGATCATAATGTGAGAATTCAATTGCTCAACATTTTCAAATAAAACAATTTATTATTTTGATTATAATAAAACTCAAATTTGATTATTCCTTTCATTTCGGATACCAGTGAATATTCTCCTATTTATATTTTAAAGTACGTATTATTTGGTACAATCTTGTAAAAACTCCCTATTAGTTTACAGACATCTGAACTCATCACATCGTAAATGACGCACATTATTATATGTGGCATGCTGTTCCAGACTCAAAGTCACGTAAACGAAAAATGTACGCAGTATTAGCTTACGTCTTTTTCAAGTTTATAGGTCAGCGACGTGCGATCTAATCTGCTTAGTTTGCTTTACAGATGATTCATGTTTTGCAGACAAGCAGGTCGTGCGTACGATTGCACGTCCACTTGTTATGTTCTTTATAAACTCTGTACTTTTTGCAAAACGAAAAACAAGCTAAACTTGATTGGTGATTTATTATGAAGGATTAAATTATTATTTTGTAATATGAGTTATGACTGGTATTTATGTAAATAAGTTTTCACAAACGACCTTCAACAACTTTCTAATAACCTCTAAACTATACTGATTATGTATGTAATGCATAGATTTCTATGTCAGATTTTTTCACATTAATTTCCTCAGACATGATCATTTTTAAAATATGCTAATTATCAGATTACTAAAGAAAACAAACAATAAAACATATTCTAAGCTGGCTTTAAAACAGGGTCAATGCTAATTCATCTAATTTTCAAAACAAAATCTGCGTTGTTTGAAAATATATTGTTTATTAAACTACCTATTAACTCCCGTGTTCGGATGTGAACAAATTAGAATTATGCATAATCAATATCCAAAAAAATATAATGGAAACATAAATCTGGTAATTTTAAAAATCAATGAAATTATTTAACTGTCAAAAAAAGGATTCGGGTAATGGATTACCGGCTTATTGCTGAAAAACAGGAAGTAGAAATTACCATAAATAGAACAATCCAACCATAAATGTGAATAATTATGAGGAAAGCCATGAAATAAACATTTAAATATGTTAATCTGCAATATTGATTGAGATTTATTGTTTAAAACACAATACAAGAAACGTATAATCTGAGCAATAATTATGCATACATGTTGTTATTTTTTATACACAACTGTTGCGTAATAATCATTGCATAAGGGATGTATCAACAGCCTTTACGATTCCTAATGAAGATAAAAATATTGCGTAATAATTTTTTATGTTAGAAGAGAGAATATACTGTTGTATTGAACAAAACAGTAACCTGAAGGTCTGAAATAGCATATCTTTGTTAGCGTTAGAATACACTTGCCATAGGAGTGATATATATGGTCATAAATTATTAGTGCTAGCAACTGAACGTTACGACACCTATATATCCCTCTGTCTTGAACACCTCGGTGCAAATGTTAACAACAGTGTCTTATGTGTGAAGGTTAAATTTTCGATTTTGTTAATTTTGATTTGCTTTGTATTTATCATTGGGTTTGCCATTGCAAGCAAGGATAGATAGACAGTTAGGTTTTTGGGCATGACGTGGGTTGTTATAAATTGTTTTTTGCTAGATTTTTTATTATTCCTCTAGTTGCTGTTTGAAAAGATTTTTTTTCAAAATATTGCATATAACCGTTTTCAAATGACTTTCGTTTAAAAATGAAAACTTTTTTTATAGTTTCATATTACTTTGGCCTCCCATAGCATTACTATTAATTTTTCTTTTTTTTACAGAAGTTGCACTAGTGCACAACTACACAGGTTTTATACTTTATGATTTTGGCTTGCAACAAACAAACTAAAAGATTTAATAACTTCTATTCATAATATAACCATTCAAAATCGTTTGTTTATGTATGAATTGAAAAACGAAATTAATGTTAAGAAGTTATGGGTAGTTGTATTGTTACTTATCGATCTTAACATCGGTAAGTATGTTGATAGGTATTTGTCTGTTAGATGAACGCGATATCTCACAAAGCCGAGGTTGAATCTGCTCCAAACTTTGCATGTGCATTTATCATATCTCTTTACCAGAAGCCTATTGATTTTGGATGAATTACGTCGTATAATTAGTGAGTTATCAATTAATCAGTGGTGGGACACGTGGTGTGTCATTATAGAGTCATGAATCAAAACCGTAGTTTCGATCGATAAGTCTTCGGTCTCCGACCGATATTCTCGCTGTTATATCATGCATTGTTTATTTTCGATATATCTTGAAAATTAAGATTTCTTCGCTAATTAAATTAAAGATGGGTCTTAAAACAGACTCTCGCATAATCAATAAAATTTGACTTTATCAAATATCAATTAGAAAAAAAATATACCGGTATATATATTTTTTGTATTATGCATTATACCCTTGCTGCAATAAGTTTTAGATCAATTTGTAAGCTAAACAGGTTCAGAGAATTACTTGCTCAGGCAGATCATAAGAGTTCAAATTGCAGTATTTTATATAATCAAGGGCTGTTCAGGGAAAACTGTAAAAAACAACCTCAAGGCAGAGTAAAAATCACTTGTTATTGAGTATCTGATATTCAGCTTACATCATAAACACCAATGGAGCCCTCAATAAGGAAAAATATATCCTATCTTTAAAAATTATAGAATGTAAATTAAAAAAACTTATTTTCTCCATTCAGTATCTGCCAAGTAAACAATATCTTTAAGTTGTCATCATAGCTTGTCAACATTTGAAACCTAACAGCCATAAAACATGATATAGGAAGGAAACTTTTTTTCTTCTCTCCTATTTTGGAACAAACCTGTTTGACCTCAGTAAATAATTTTAATTCTCTCCATTTGCAAGCATATGGATTTTGCTTTGCAAGCTGAATGGCTGCATTCCTATAGTCATGTACAGATTGGTAAGGATTGGTATCAATTCAAAAAAAAAAATTATAGCGAGATATCTAAATGAAAAGCAATTTCAGCTGACTTTTTAAATTTATTGGGTATCATACCTACAGATACTGAGATAATTAGCACTTGTACTTCTAACTTGTTATAATTTAAATTGTTTGTGTTAGTATTTTTAGGACTTCATTTTAAGCACAGTAATCTGATAAACGGAAAGTACTTGCTTCTTAGGTAAACAAAACATTGAAACTTGATGATGAGCTTTTTATTGTAAACAAACAAGTATAATAAATACTTTCAGGTAAACAGATAGTTGTATTATAAAGCTTGTAATTATGTAGTCCTTTCTGTGTTCTTGTTAAAGGAGTTTAAAAGTGGGATTATAGTCTTTAAATGCAATTATATCAAGGAGAGATAGGCTGCCATTGAATGCATTAAATGTACATATGGATAGTTTTCTTCATGAGTAGGCTACTGTTATGTCTAAAATTTTGTTATTCAATTTAGGCATAATATGACAGGTGATACATGTCATTGATTATACCAAATATATAATTGTTTTTAAAGTGATTAAATTGATTTTCCAGTAAGTGACAGAGCCTTCCTCAATTAAGAAAAAAGTTTCAAAAGGTGCAGTTTCAGAAAAGAAATGTGTATTGCTATAAATTAAATTGTACAAGTTGACAATTTGTGTAGTACATTAATAGGATAGTAATTGATAAGTGAAAATACTGAAATAATGCTTTCGGATGTGTTGTGGTTTTATGGAGTATAAATCAATTTCGAATATTTCAAAGGAGAGTTAACATTCCCAATGGTAAACTTTGAGCCTTTATATATACATTATAAAAAATTAGAAAAATTCTGCTATTTCATGTTAAAACCATGTCAAATACCCATTTTTTCTGCCAAAAATTTGACATAATTCTTAAACGTTTGCTAAATTAGAGGAAATAGCGCTAAAGTGCAATATTCTGCATGTTGCAATCTGAAACGATTACAAGGAAAAACATGATTGCTCCACGTGACTAATATATCCATGATACACGTGCATGATTGTAGCATATGTAAAGGAAACTTTCCTATTTCTACCTACAATCAATTCTGCGAAATCTATTTATATACAATGGCAGTCCCTGCAATTTAGAAAAATATAAAATCACAAATCTATATTTGTATTTTTAGTCAGAAATATATTAGTTGAACAAACACAATGTAGTATTGTCGTACAGAAAATGGAGAAGGATATATATGGGGAAAGAAATAATAGAGTTAACTTTTTCCAGATAGTAGTTTGAATTAACCAAATATAGATTTTTTGCAGTCACAATTTCTTAGATTGGATTAAATAATTGGAATTAATCTTCAAGAGATAAAGTTGAGGATTACTATCTTGTCATTATTGCTGATTTTATTTTGGGTTTCAAATTCAATGCATGATCATGGAATTGTTTATGATTTGATCTATTCAATCTCCCAGTGTTATTCAGGTTTATATAATCCTATAATATAGAATATAATTGTCCAAGGGTAAATCTGGTACTGAATGTATTAACAGTTAACACTATCACATGTTTGCGTATATTTAAACATAGCATATTTCAGAATTAAAATTGTATTTACTTTATTGTTAGCTTTAGTTTGAAAGCAGATGCTGATGTATATGTAGATAATGTAAATAACGTTAGTTAAAAATGAGAACTGGAATAAAGTAAGGCCTATAGTTTGCTTATGAATTTTACTGCATCGATTCATGTAACCTCAATATAAAATTTATCAGATTTTTAATATGTATACTCTTGAGCTTAAATGTTTTTGCACACAAAATATTCCTGTGAATTGTTTTTTTTTATTGAAGTTTTTGTGAAAAAACAAATTTTCCGCCAGCCAATGACCAATCAATTTCAAATTTAAAGTGCTTGAAGATGGAAGAAGCACCGAAGGCTTTTACTTTTATTGTTTAAATTTTTTCTAAGCCCTACAGGACCTTATGTTTTTAACAAAGTATTGTTTCAATTCATGGGAGCACTGTTTTGGCATTTGATTTTCTTGTCCATATATTTGAGCTTTGCTCTCTTGTTTAAAATATAATTGAGCGAAATCCGGTATCTAATTTAATATTGATCCACCCACTTACCGGTATTTCAAATTGCTGCAATTACTGGCTTTTTCAAAATAAAGGCAATAAATGATTTACCACTGTATCATTAGCAGATCAATACAGAAACCTTGAATCCAAGCTCTGCGCGAAGCAAGGTCACATAAACAATCAGAGTTAATATTAAACTTCACTCAATCTCATTTTTTAACATCTGCGCTGGTAGCGGAATATTATTCGGGCTTTATCAATTAGGCCGCTATTATGTCAACTTTTTTGTAGGACCTGCATGTCTTTACATGTCAGTTAATAAAGCAATATTAATTCTTTGGGAGTGCTAATGTGCCATTCATCACCATACTTTACTAATATTTTATTAAGATTGCCTATATTCAGCAATCTATTTTTCGATTTTCTGTTTTTAGTGTAGGTATCTATTTATTCTTGCTCTTTTTTAATACTATCTTGTTCAAGCATCCATTTGGCAACGAGCGCATACTGGTACGAAGTAGGAAGTATCCTAGTAACGCAATATTCAAATATGATGAAATTTGTGATAATCTCTACTAGCCAATTGATATTACAATCATTTCACATGCACACATCCACAGAATTTATCTATCAATTTTGGACTCAAACCATTGATTGATTATATCGGAGATTAGGCTGCATGTATATTTTATAAACGCCCCCATATGAAATATCTTTCCTTCTTTCAACAGACGGATATCTGTCAAAGGTTACTCTTGTTCTTTTTATCTCTTCATATGGACTAACAGCTTGTTATTTGCTTTATTTGTTATTTAACAGTTTCTTTTAATTTGTGTTCAATGTATAAAGAGATTGTGTCTATTGTAAATAGTTTGATAATATAGAAATATTCCTAGTAGTTTCGTGGCCATAACTAAATAACTTTCAAATGTGAATAAATAGGAATTATCGAAAGTTCAAAATTTTTTCCAGTATTCCTGAAGTATGTGCACCAAGATGTCGCACAACCAGAACCCTAACCTGGTACACAACCTGAGTTCCGGTTGTGCGCCATCTTGGTGCGCATACTTCAGGAGGTCCATTTTTTTCAATCATCCGACACGAGTGTGCGCTTGTCTGAAGACAATTTCATAATGAAAACAATAATGAAAGTATAGGGAAAATTATCTAAAATTTTTAGAATTCACAAACTCATGTTAGCTAAGGTATATTAAGTTAAAATCCATATATTTGTATACAGTTATTCATTCAATTCTTACCTGACAAATTTGAATACTCTTTTCAGAATAAAATAAACCCAATCTTTCCTTTTTTTAGTATTTTCTTATATGAAACATTAATGTAATAAAATATTAAAAGGTATAATTAGTTCAACCATAATATTGATTTATCTATTTATTGGTGTATATACCTACTTTAAGCAGAACTTTTTGCAAAACCAATCTGTGCACTTACCGGTATAAATGTCATTAACTCATAAAAGTGCTGCAATATAAACTTTCAATCTTGCACTGTTGCGCAATACTTTCTCTGTTAAACTGTTTCCACCTACAGAGTAAGGTTATAGGTTAGTTGCACGTGGCAAACATTTATAAGATAAATTAATTTATGCACAATAGGTTTAAATGCTCCATATCAAATGCCTCGGGCAAGCCAATGGCAATTTATAACCATATATAACTGGTTGTTTTAATACTTTAAATCGGTATAGGTTTTGGAACTAATGAATATAGCTGAAATTTCGAATTTTAGGAAATATATTTATAGATGAATGCCGTGTTTAGCTGTTTCTTGTGAAATTACCATTTTGCATTTAAATTGTTGTTAATGTCATATTTCATGGCACTGTATATCATAGTTTAGCTGCAAGCACTTCATTTTAGTTTTTAAATCAGAATTAATTGGCATTTTAAGTTTAAATAAACTATTTGGTTATAGACTTGATTTGCTATGGTACCTTAAAATTATTTGTATTTTTTTCCTAGATCGTTCAATTTCCAATTTGCTTTGTGTAACCATCTATCTGCATACTTGAAATAATAACTTTTAGTTGGAAAATTGCAAGCTATTATAAATGTATGTTTACAAATGTAGTGCCTTCTTCGGTTCTTGCAATTTTATAGGTTATTGCCCAAGTATATATTGTAAATGGAGCCTTGTGTTGCAGACAGTTCACAATGGCAGTTGGAAGTGCAGGAAGGCATAGATTAGGAAATTGTGTACGACAGACTATAATGAAAGCTAGTAGTAGCAAGATGACTTTTTGATCTTAATTTGAGTTATAAATATGAATGGTTAGAATTTCTATAAACTTTTTGAACAATTTTCTTAGACTATAAATATATTAAATGGTATTCAAAGTTTTTCTGAATCCTTTCATCATGTCGATTTTTCGATTCACTCCATTTTTTATGGGTAAGTTTGATGAATTTACCAGTCTGTACCTTACAGTTGTTACAAATATAAAGACTATCAATATGATGATCAAGTGTTATACTCTACTGGTAGTCAATACCTCGTTTTTTCAAGTCACTTCAACCATAACATTATATCATTGTTGTGCAGCATCTGTATGGTATTATTTTATCTGGAAACTTTTTTTTAAAAAAATTTGTTCAAGTCGGAATGAATTATTTTTCAAAATCAGATAATTTTTTGAAAAAAAAAAAAAAATTTTAGTTTAAATTTTGCATCTAAAATAATTTTGCTACACAAGTGATTCAATCAAAATGTTCTGAATCTAAATTGCTTCTAAAGGAGAATTCTAGAATACCAAGATACATTAATATAGCTTAGGTTTCCTGGTTAATTTTACTAATAAGTTTTTCTTAATTATTTTTTAGATGCGAATGACAATAAAAAAAGAATCAGATCGTTTACAAATTCATCTCTTGATTTTGTGGAAGATTTCTTCGATGAATCATACTCGTTCGAAAAAGAATGGGAGGTAAGCGTACTTTGTATTTTGCTAGTTCTTGTTTCCAATATTGCTCATGCTCAACAATTTTTATAAACTCATGTCTAAATTTGAATGAAACAAATCAAAATATTTCATTTTTAACCGTATTTTTATCAGTAATTCCTAATACAGCGGGATTACCATTAAGGTTACTTATTTTCATATTTATTTTATTTATATTGAATCGTATTGATCATAAATTAATTGGTGTGTAATTATAACAGTGAAGCATATTATTAATTGTAACAAGTAAGGTTGTAAAGCCATAAATATTACGAACCCTCAAGTTTCAGCACGGCCTCACAGGTTTCGTAATCTGTCCAAGCTTGACGCAAGTTTTAGATTTGTATTTTCATTATCTTGCGTTCAAAACCAAAAATGACTCCTTGAGGCAGACATGGCTTCGGACACGAGTTTCCAGTTTTGATCAATGTCAAAACGAACTTGTTTTATGTCTTGTGTGATACGGCATATCGGGACTTTTATGTCAGGTGCTTATAATGTATAATTGTTTTCTAGGGCAAGACACTTCAAACAGAAATAAATTAATCAAGTGTATATCCTGTTGTTATAGAATATGGTTTATACAAATTTTGTATATTTACTTTAACCCATATGTTTTCTTGAACAAATATGGTTCCGAAGTAAAATTTTATACATTTTAAAAATGAATCTCATATGATTTATATGCGATTAAACTATTATCTACAATCATTTTTATATTTGAATTGCAATAATTACTTTTTGAAAAACAAAGCACGCTTTAAAACTTAAACGTTAGCATCAAAATTTGTTATTATTACGTTCATAACACATCAATGTCATGCGACCTTGTTCAAGCAGAAACAGCTTAAAAACCGTCAAAAAGTTGATAAGTGCCATTGTGAGTTTTTCAAGTACCATTATGTCGTTCATTGTATTGTATACTTATTTAAATATCACCATAATACTGCATACTTGTGTAGATGTACGACTTATATTTAGGCTGCGTTTTTTTATGTATCTTCAGTATTTATCACAATTGTGTGTATGTGGTTATGTTGAACTGAAACCTGGAAGGTATAAATATAGGATTGGATAGTTAAAATCTGCTTATTTAAGGATCACTGTCTCGCAGAGGAAATGTATGGATAAAATGTACGAAGCATCTTACCTTGTACGGAAGTTTATTTTGCTGCATTGGCACATTTTCCTATTTTTGATGTCGGTGTTTTTCTTAATGATAAACAGACGTACACGGACAGGCCTCGTTCGGCTACTTTTTCGAATCAGATCCTGGGCTTATATTGTCGTTAGTAGTCGATTTTCGTTTTCCTTTGATACTTTTAAAGGGATTCTTAGCTGTCCATGCGATCTTTTCCACAATGTTATAGACTTTTTTGCGAAAAAAATCATGAAAAAAAACAAACAGAAAGATATAGAAGTTACGTCAGTTTCAGAAATTTTTGGGCAATATTCTAAAAATCGTAATGTTGTCCCTTTTTCTGATAAAAACGGGAGGATTCCTGGCTATGCGTTACTGGAAAGAAGAACAAGTAAACCATCAGTAAGTTTATTAGTAAATTCATTTCTTGCTAGTTTTCAAATATTTTACTCCCTTCTTGCATTCTGTTTGTGGAAATTTACCAGGTTGGTTTGCTGACGCAGGTTCGTGCGTCAGAATGTGCAAAGTGCACTTCACATTAAGATCAAAGTGCAATATAGCTACTGTACCATAGTCCAAATCATGATGTCCTATTTTATCTATCAACGATTACAAATTAATTTATATTGTTTAATGACCTTTTTCTGAGTCGTACAATATGAATAAGAATCTGTACAAGTAGCCACTGACCTGAACTTACCTGTTCATCAATTCACCCAATTTATTACACCACGGGTTAGATTTCTTCTAATTCTTATAACAAAATGCTTTTTTATATTATTTATAAGTGGAAGTCTTACCTTAGGAATTTATTGTCTCCTTGTGGTTTTGTTAGATAACGGATTTCAATATGTTTACTTCAGTAGCATTGTTTATAACCATTCCACAGCTGGTCTGTATCATTCAATTTTGCTGTTATTATTTAGTATAATAGAGTTATTGAAATCAAAGCAAAAATAGCTTTAATAAGTTTCTTTAAGTTTGCATTGGATCATGGTTTATCTTATAAAAAAAATATACGTAAGTATAGAAAATAAAACACTAACAAAAAAATTCAAATTTCACAAACCAAGCTAAAATGAAAAATTAGACTTAAGGTAAATTACGTAATGTCTAACTGTCAAAATGATTCGAATAAAATACTAAGTCAACTACATCATACATATGCAAACATACCACCATGTCACACCACTTTTTGTGTTATAAATCATCCGAAATATGCTGCCTTTTGCAATTACGTAATCATACCAAATTACTGCATGATTTATATAAAATAGAATTATATATACCGAACTTCTGCATTGATGGATCCCCTGCTTTGCTTTTTTTGAAGAAAAAAATAGAAATATCTAAGCAGGATGTTATTGAATTTAATTTACAACTTTAATGAGTTTTTATTGACAGATAAAAATCTGCTGATCTTAGATAAACTCGTTTTAACCTGATTTTAATATTATGACACACCCCTGAAATGAGGTAATTCATGAATTAATAGGATAAATGTGACTTAATAAATCTTGCTGATATATATAAGATAAGCTTGCAACATGGTTTTAAATCTATGTTAATTGTTGTTATAGTATTGGTACCGTGATTACTAGTGAGTTATGTTTATGATTGCAAAGTTCCATCACTTACTACAGTCTCCATGTTGTCAGGTAGTTTCGGAGTTTTTCGTTTTGTTTTGAGTTTTGTGTTATTTCATCCATTTATGAAAATGCAATTTGCAAACAAACAAATAGGAGTTCCTTATGTATTAGTGGCGACATGAAGAGGTCTTGTTTGAAATTTAAGATGTGCAAATGTGTCTGGAGAAACTAACTTATGATGTGATTGAAAACAGGTTCACTGGAAAATAAAACTATTTAACAAAAATACAAAGGCTATGTGCAATGTGTTTATGAATAACTTTGCTAATATGTTATTCATACATGTTAATCAAAAAAACAAGCTTATAAGCTTAATATGTCTTTGTCAAAAATGAATGTCTTATTTTTTCATTTCTGTTTGTTCTATCACAATGAAGTATTTTGTAGATGCAAATAATCTTTGAAATTGTTAGTTACATACAAATTATATTTTATGGGAAAATTGTCATAATAAAGTTTAGTTTGAGTTTTTAAAGGGAACATGAGTTTTTTGAAATTACCTGACCCTCCTATTTTCTCTTGTAAAGTATCTCACATTAACATTTTTTCCCAATTCGGTTGTTTCGGATATAAGCAATATTGGTTTAAAATTCAGGAAAATCAGTATTTTAGATAATATTTTACTTAGCTTTGTGGTGGACTTTGGACTGTGCGGCATAAACTGTAATTTTTAATCTAAATATAAAAATTCAAAGGTCATTTTGTCAGATTTTGATGTCAAATTATCCCATGTTGATATAACATAAAATAACATGTTTTCAGTGGAGTGAGGCTTACCGTAATTTTTAGAAAATAAAATTGTGAAAAAACATTTCCTGGGAATTCAAATTATGATTTTACCTAAATTCGCTTTTTCCTCCTTTTTTTGATTATCCCTCCGATCAGAAGTAGTAATCTTGGAAAGAATTGCTCATAAAGTGAAATTCCTGATAAAAATTTTCATTATGTAAATATAATTTCAGTTACAATATGGAAAAAATATGTTTAGTCCAATTTTTATCATCCGAAACTCGTCTCCTTCGGAATTTTTCACCCATCTTTTGGTAATGGAATGTATGTATGAAAAGCCTCTTTCCCTCTAATACATCTTGTTAAATTATTAGACATCTTGCGATTTTTTATTTTTATTTTGACTGTGTTAGCTTTGTTTAACGGAATATTTATCAAAACAATCTTAAGTTTTGTGAATTTCAATTAGCATCTAAGCATCTTACTGTACAGTCACACAAACATATTTCTGTAACGTTTCTTCTGACAATATTTCATCCTGAAATATGCTATATGTCTGAAGAAAGTCTGACTAAATTTTACAGAAGTATATTTTTGTTAGTGTACTACTGAACTGAATCATATAGAACAGTGGTTCTTAAAGTATGGGTCGCGACCCAAACATGGGTCGCGGAAGGTTTAAAAATGGGTCGCGACAAGGTCGTCAATGCAAGGGCAATCTAAGGGGAGAAGGACGAATTTTCAGCTTTCCCAATGTTTCAATTTAGCTTTTAAACTCTGGGATATTTGCAAATAATGAAATATAAAATTTCATTCACGGAAAGAACTGTCTTGAGCTTATTGTTACATCACAATTCTGATATGCCAGTCACGTGTATTATTTTTATGGTATCGGTAACCATGCACGTCGCTTGTCGTTGTGTCGACCGCGTGGAATGTCGTCTTAGTGGATTAAAATAACCAAAAATGGGTGTCTTTTTGGTAATGTAAATTGTAATAGACGACGCAATAAAAAAGCTCGCTTCTCGACATTAGATTATTCAATATCTCGAGAAAATGTGACTTCATCTCGAGGCACCATTTACCGCGAACGAAGCAGTGTGTGCACATTTGATGAGTAAAAAGTTGTATATTGCGAGAGATACCGAAGGCCAGCTAGGATGTCGTGTTTGCGACGGACAGCGGACGCCTTTTCTGCTACAATTCGCGACAAGGCACTTGTGCGAGCGAGGATATTTGGCACTGACGGTTATCAAAACTAAGCTCGCAATCGCCTCGATACCCGTGACAACTTGCGTATTGCGTTAAGTAAAATAGAGCTGTGTATTGAAGATATAATGAAAAGGAAATTTCAGTTTCATCAATCTCACTGAGTCAATGGACTGTTTCTAATAAATAGTTGTCTGTATTTGAGTCAAACTGTACTAACATTAAAAACACATTTTGCGTTATTTAGGATTGGGTCGCGAGTATTCATAAAACTCAGATTTGGGTCGCGCTCGAAAAAGTTTAAGAACCACTGATATAGAATAATATAACTTATTTTAGCTACAGCATTGTTTACATATCCACCAGTGCACAGGCATAAACGAGGGCCCGCATGATGCAACAATAATAATATCACAATTTTTTGTTCAGATTATCAGTATTCAAGAAGCAAAGAGAAGATCAGTTTCTACCAATGCAATAGAACTTGCAGAAGCAGATGATTCATTGGTTCCAGAACTTGAAAAACCAAGCAATTTATTGGATGATGCTATGTTGTTATCGGTGAGTGGAAAATGATGACTTTAATAATGAGAAATTTTGACTGTGGTCTCTGTAAAATTGTTGTAGTGAAATTTTTGATCTAATATTCTGTAAAATGAGAAGGCAATGCTCTCACATACGGCCACAAAAATCATATGATATTGTAGCGATATGCTATAAAAATGTGGTCCCACCAAGTAAAAAACAGACAAATTTTTTAATGAAATATCGGGTTACATGAGACCCAAAGGAAACTCTAATAAAATAGTGAAAGTAATTGCCTACTCTTTCCGTCTTTACGTTTTGGAAATATGGAATCGATTGCTGCCTTCGTTGTGGTAAAAAGCGATTCTTATTCCCAACAACAGTTATTTAATCCATATGTACACTTTGTGTGTCCAAAGAGTAGAATTTTAGATGCAATGCCTTCTGATAATGTATGTATGTATGTTTTGCAGCATGCTTTAACAAATTAAGTGAAGCGTAATTAGAGACTTCCAAATTATTTTGCCTGAAGGTATCTCAAATTAATGCTATTAAAAAATCTGTTTATAAATCTAAATTCTTATTTGGAAATGTTGACTTATTTTGAAATCTTGCAATGTCCATATGAAATAATGTGATTTTGGCCCTTTCAGCCCTTGGTCATGAAGTTTTACCCATTTGGGGTAATCGTTGTTAGGTTAGAGCAACGGTGCACAACAAAAAAGCATGAAAAAACAATGAGGCCGTCCACATACAGAATCCTATAAACAAAAAAAAAGTATAGGATTTGGCGGTTATGCTGGCGTATATTGAAGCAAAGCAGAAGCACTGCAAAAAATTCAGACGACACGATGCGTCACAATCTGGATGGTGTATTTGCTGTTGGGGAAGAAAAATCCGTTTAAAATGCGAATATCATACATTCAAGTACTACATATTCCATAATTGGGCAGACTGCACCTCGCATGGGTCAAATACGTGGTTATGACGCCATAAAAGCCCAAAAAAAATTCAACTCCCTGGAGGCCGTATTGAATACAAATAAATGCAATGTGGCCGCCAATAGCAAAAAGGTTGTGCACCCCTGGGTTAGAGTCATTTTCCTCCACACATAATGAGCCAATCTATTTCCTTTTTCAAAGAATTTTAATGTATTCATGTCCTGATGATTCTGTAATAAACAGAAAACTATGCCAAAACATCCTTTTATGTATGACTTATTATTTGAATAAGTACACCTTAACCAAAAATTTCATCTTTTTTGCTATTTTCTGTTACAGTTGTGCAAAAGTCTTCCAAACAGATGCGTAGGATACTCATGGTCACCAGTCTATACCACATACGATCATGGAACAAGTTTAAGGACACTCTACAGAAATTTATCAAATTTTGATGCTCCTGTGGTTCTCGTTGTACAAGACTCCAATGATCATGTAAATTGGGTTAATAATTAAAGATTACAATTTATTTTGACATTACCTAGTACAGATTCAAGTATTTTTACGTTACCTAGTACTAATGAACAGTTTTTTCAAGATTGTACAGAATGCTTTTCTGAAATTAACATATTCTGTTAGATATTTCAAACTAGTAATAAAGTGTTCATATAAATAAATTTGAACAAAAACCTTGGTTTCGATACATTTTTGTTTTCCAATGTAAGAATAATTTATATTAAAGTTTGGGTTTTACTCAGTTTTGAATCCTATTTGAAATAGTTTTTCGAGTGTTTATATGAGGTAGTAAACCAATGTGGTCACTCAAAACAGTGTTTCTCAAACTATGCCCTCGAAATCCCAGGCGGAACTCCAGTGGCGACGAGCAACGGCCTTCACTAGAGGTATCATTTGCGAGGGCTACGTTAATTTAAAATAGATTGACTGAGTTGGTTAATTTTTTTACTGTAATGCAAGGATTTGACTGATATTTGCAATCGACATGATTTTCAATTTTCTTTCTAATTAACATTTTTTCTCTTATTTTTAGATATTTGGAGCATTATGTTCAAATTCTCTCCACGTTAGTGACCATTATTACGGCACTGGTGAATCATTTTTATTCAAAGCATCTCCACAGTTTGAAGTTTACAAATGGACTGGAGACAACAGTTTCTTCATAAAAGGCAACACTGATTCATTTACAATAGGAGGCGGAAAGTATGTTCATTGTTTAATTGGAATAGCATTGAGTTGATTATGTTGTTAAGTTTGTATTTTTCAGTCTTTAATTAGACACGAATTGATTGATCGTTTTGATAGATATTTGTTGTTGTGAAAGAATCCATTAATTGAACTAATGGAAATTTTCCAAATATTCAAATTTTTTGCACTTGACATTTTTGAAGCCACTAAAAGGGTGTTACTTTTATTTTATTTCAAGTTTTTTGAGGTATTACGGGACCCTTTATTTCACCAAAATTTCACTGTTTTATTTTAATTTATGGGAACACTATTATCTTACATATGGGAACAATTTAAGTGACATTTCAACTTTTGTGTCAATCTTGAGCACTGGATTCTACTTTTTCAATTCGATTTATCAACTTTATCAGCTGAAATATATCCAACTCAAGGAAATTAGATACTTTTAGAAGCTCGTACTTTCTATTTCGCATCACTTATTATTTTTAGCAGTGCGTCTTCCTTGCTCAAATTACCTACTTTGTCAATATTTACAGCATGAGAAAAGTAGGTCATATGGGTTTATGTAGGCATGACTGCTTTTGGTTTGTTGATATAGTGCCCCATCCAGATTCCTTTTTCAGCTGCACAATCAAGATACCATCAATTATTATTGTTGCTGCAATCGTATTCATGCTTCGCCAGATATTGGGATTTTTGAAGATAGCTTTCAAGTGTCCTTATATCTTCACAATATAAACCTTATAAATCTACTGTAATGTCCCTTATTACCTAATGGATTATGTTTCTCTGAGTAAATTATCAATGACATTTCAAAGCAGATATTTTATAATGGAAAATGCCCTGTTATATGAGATGCTAAAACAGTTTGAATGGCTGAAAAGGAGCTGTTTGAAATTTTGATTTAATTTATAAATCCATCCTTTTTTATCATCATTTTTATTGCAATTGATGAAAGCAAAAATGTTAGCTGAAATATTTAAAAAAACGATCCCATATTAGTTATCACTTTGGAGAACCAGTTTATCTAAAGTGTGATATGTTGGGTATGCAATGCCAAACCGGGAAGTCCTTCAAAAAATAGTAATTTTTACATATGGATAATATCAGCACCTTTTTGTATAGAGCCTAGTTCAGGGCTCAATGTGTGAATGAGTACTGTATATCCGTATAGATAAAACACTTGTCATTATAAAGAAATTATTAAGTTCAAAAACATATTTTGATTTAGGTAGGCCTGTTCTTACAGCAATGTCTCCATATTCAATATTGAATGTGTTTCAAAATGTCAATTTACATTGCACGATGCTTGGTACAAAAAATTTTTGCATTTTCCTTTTTAATTTTATACCATGCCTTAACTGAATATAATTTTCTTTCTGCAGGGGAACATTCGGTCTCTGGCTGGACTCTGATTTATACCGGGGTTGTAGTCACCCGTGCGACACATTTAAAAATAAAGTTTTATCATCAGAAGAAGATTTTATAATACAAACTGTTGAGGTTTGGATGATAAAAGACATCTGAGCGTCATTCATTCGAATTTTGCTGGCGTTATTTGAATCACTGTGTTAAGCTTTCTTTTTCTGAGGCTCAACTTGAGGAATTCAGAGGGTGAGGAGCCACAGTAGCTTGTTTAGAAGAGTTGTCACGTCGAGAAGCACTCTATCATGGTTGCATAATATCTGAAGAAGATGTATCAAATTGCTTTTGAAAATATAGAAAAGCAAAATAAAAAATTGCAATAATACCTGATAGCCATTTTTGGGGGGAATAGAACTGTATAATTGCTAATTGCTCGGCGTCCCCTTGCACTTTGCCAAGGTTCGATATCATGTTAATAGCATTTTTGGTTATCGTCTTTGAAATAGAAAAAACAACACTTTTTGAAACCTTGTTTTTGTTTGAATTTTTTGACTGTGCTGTACAATTATTTGAAATTTATTCAAAATTACCACTGAAATATAAATTTTTCATCACATATTTTCATTCCGGTCACTGATTAATACAGCAATATCATCAATCTTTATGGGCAGTCAGACCAATTCCTGAGAAAATGAGAAAAAGAAACAACTGAATAAAAATTTTTGTTCTGATTCTGGAAAAAAAGATCGTAAAATTATCGAAATAGTTTTGTAATATCTCAAATCTGATGTTTGTCTGATGTATTTATTTATAAAAAAAATTGGATTAATTGCAGAAAATTTGGCTAACAGTTTGAAAATGTTCCGATTCAGAAGCTTTATTTTAGCTTTTTTCATTTCTTGAAGGCAAATATATGACAATAATATTTTTTTTGATGGCATGACAGTGTATATCTTGAATCATATTATTGATCAAATCATGTTTCAGAGAAGTCAACTAAAATGCTTGCTATGCTAAGCGCCAATACAAATAGTGATGATATTCTCCATCTTCAGGTAGGGACATCTATCTGACCACAGCCGGCCACATCGCTTGTGTTCATTCATTATTGTTATATTTTCACTGTTAATTTCAATCTGTATGTTTTTTTATTTGCTTGCTCAAAATTTTTCGGTTATCTTTGAAATTTAAAATGGCGTTTTAGGGGCTCAGAGATACACAAATAGCTTATTACCATACTTAGAATTGACCACAAATTTTCATTTATGTATGTATTCTAAATACATATGACCAAGTTCATTTAAATAGAAAAATAATATAAGTTTGTCCCATCAAATATCCAAATTTTACTCCAATTACATTCGGCATAAGTTATAACTTTGCCTTGAATGATACTCATTGAGGAGATGTACCCTGTTCACAACTGAAGACTGTTGAATCAAATTCATATTTTAGTCATATCAAGCCTTTGGTGGTCATATAACTATATGTTTTCTACATGTTCCTTTGAAATTAGTTATGTCTGTACTATTGCTTGTGATAGAATGACAATTTTTTCGCCACAACAGTTAATTTGTCCAAATTCAGAATTTCCTATACTGTCATAAGTGTATGAAGCTGACATTATTTTTATCACAAGTTCTGGTATAACAGCGATTTATTTCTAGCCTATGCACCATTTATTTGGTTGCTATGCGACTCGTTGTTTGTGAACATAAGTTCTGTAATCTATCCATTAGGGCTTTGTGTACCAAATCTCACTTACGCAAGTTGAAGTATGCATGAATGTGTTTTGAAGCAGGATCCAACCATCCCATAAAAACTTTTGTCGTTTTTGTCTCATTAGAAAAATTATTTAATTATGTTAGTTACCAACCTGGCCTCAATGGTGTGCAATTGTTGTAGTTTTCTAGAGCCTGTCAAGTCAAGCATGGGTTATATCAACTAAGTTTTACATTCATTTTTATATATGACAGTAGTTCTCATGCTCTGGAAAGGGCGCTACAGAAGTTGTGTGTACCAATATGGGGGTAACTAATTTCGTTTGCCTACTTTGCATAAGTTGTATAAAGGGACTGAAACCTAACACGAGAAGTTATGGCCTAATCTGGTACACACACTACGGAAGTTCCCTGGAAAGGGCAATTCATTATATTACCAGGTAATATAGCTAAAAGTGCAATAATTCTGCTATGAACAAACTGCAATGCAATCTCAAATGTAAAGCTGCATATTAGCCTGGTAGTATTCTCTATAATTTGTTATGCGTTATGTCACATTCTTACTTTACTTTTTCTAATAAAGCTTCATCTATATGCTTTATTTATAGGTCACACCATCAAAAATTAGCCATAGCATAGATCTCCAGATTTTTAAATGTGCCATTCTATGTCTTTTACTCAATTTTTTTCGAAGCATATTCCGAATATGGTTATCCCACTTGTAGGACTTGTCACATGCAAAATGACCAGTATGATATTTGCTGATTGGAGAATATTAATAATTCTGATGCAAATGATCATAAAGTGTCATGATATTAATAAGCATTAACTCTTCAACAATTGGCAATATTTTACACGTTTCGCAAATGTGTTTTACTTGAATGGAAAATGCCCCAAGCCATTTTATGTTCATAAATGCTGTCATAATTACCATCACCCTTGACTGTTTTGGCCAGTCCTGATAGCAGAATATATTCATATGAAATGCATGCATTATTTTTGACTTGTTATTATCTTACTACTCTACTGTCTATGTTGGTGTTCCTGGTTGTTCATTTTGTATATAATAAAAAAATGAAAAACACCTTTTTCGACCATAATGTTATGAAGAAAAGTCCTAGATTGGATTTGAGTTGATACATCTCCACACCACTATAATAAGAGAAAAATTCATTCACGTAGGATTAGGATAGGATTCACCTATTTATCCCGGGGGAGAGGAAAGTCGATAAGACGGCTTAATCATATGGCGAGCCACTGCCCCTCGTCCGGTCCTGATTAGTTGGCCAGTTATTTGTTTTCGGAAGCATGGACTTGATGGTGGAGGAAACCGAAACCGACCAGCGGTTACGTGAACCACATAATCTACCAATTGCAAATGTGAGTAATTACCGGGGAAAAAAATTAATAAAGACGATTCTCCCTGTCGATTCCTCAGCTCAAAGATTTTCGTCTTATCATCTGCCCGCTAAAAATAACATATAGTACAGTAGGTCGGGTTAAATCGGACACCCGGGGTATGATGGTCAGTCAAAATAAAATCCTAACATCGACACCTTGCGCTTTTTCGTGGCTCAAACTCATCGCGTGAAAGAGCGACATCATGCGAACAACGACAGAACCAAGATTTTACATTTCATCAATCATCATTTTATTCGTCAGCACAAAATAAACGTATCATAGGAAGAAAAAAAAACATTTCAAACACAATATGAACTTGACTTAAGCTGTGTGACAGGAGTCGCGAGAGACCTCATAAGGTCTTCAGGCAGCGACACCTTAAAAGCTCGCTGATTCAGGTTAGTGAGCACAAAAAATTAATGAGACACCAAAACACTTCAAAAAATATTATAAGAAAAAAAGCAAAACAAAATATTAAAAAATATGTTTCATGTTTCAGGCTCGACAACTTGCAAGGCGGTGCTTTTTGGGGAAAGGGTGTTTCTGTTGGGACAGAAAAACGTCAAATTATAGAGTCCCATGGTGACGGAGAATAATTTTAGCCGGAAAAGTCTGCGAACTCGGTTCTATTTTGTTTATTTGTTGGAAGTAGTTGCATTAGATCGAATAAATTCTTTAGCAGACTGCCAGTACTTATTTTTGGGTTGGAAGGGTCACTTAAGAGGTAGGGTCGATTTTGGATGGGGGAGGTGGGAGGATTTTTTCAATATAGTTTGTTGGGAATGTCAATGGGCCGTCGTCATCGAAACTTATAAATAATTATTTTTTGGTACCAAGTACCTTTTTACAACAAAGATCAAAAGCACACTCATCGCCATATTTATACTGGGTCTCTTAGAAGTTAGGCCCGGCGTAAAATTTCATCTTACCCCGTCCAATTTTTTTTCCATATGCGTATAAAATACGCCCAAGGTTATGCCGAGAAATTACAAATTAAAAACTTCTAGAGGTAGTCCGTGTAAAGAAGATATAAAAATTGCAGTTGAAAAAGTGCAAACTAAATTTTAAATTTCTAGTTTTCCTAAAACTGTTCAAACTCTTTTGAAAATTGCCCTGGTATGTCCTTTATGGGGTAAAACGGACATACTTTTTAATATGCAAGAAAAGTGATCTGTTTAAAAAAAAATTAGGAGACATAATCCTGGGCCATCTAGGCGTTGACCGAAGTCTTATGAGTCATGACCGAAATCTTAGACACCATCAAGTTTATTTTGGTGTGTGTCCGTCTTGCTCACAAAGTGTCTAACTTACCCCGATATTTTTTTAGCTGAAAATCGGGCGTAAATTCCGATTCGTTGTTCTGGCAACAATGTGCAAATGTGGCAAGATAGCTGGAGGGTGGGTGCATAAATCAAACGTAGAACGAATGCAGCTGCGACATTATTTGAAGAGTTATTCAAAATAACTTTTTAGTGGGTCCGACTTCCCCCGACCTACTATAGATGTGTATTTCAAGCGACCACTTAGCTGTGACATCATGCACTCCGGTATATATAATATGTGCATCAATTTGTTGCAATGGCATGTTTATCTCAAACAAGCTCGAGTGCATGCAAAATGTATCGTCAATATTATGCGTAACGAACGATTTCAGAGTTGGTACGTAAAGCAGAAAAAAACTATTATTTAATATCAAGTTTTCAATGCGTCCGGAAGGATACACACAAAGTCTCCTCGATTTGTTTGCAAAGACTCTATCGTCGAAAATCAGAAATCATATCACGAGCTGTTCGATTTCAAAGAAATACGATAAATGTTTTTTTTTTTTGCATTTTGTGTTAATTATTTTCAGATTCCATTCCTATTATCAAATCCACATACCTATTTACTGCAAATAATGATACCAGATTCATTGCGTAGTTTCGCATCGACGATTTGTTAATGGATTGAGTATAGTATACTCGGTGGTAGATTAGTGTGTTTGTTCCGTCATAATTAGTAGTTAGCACTATGGTATGAAAACAGGAAATCCGACCGTACTTTCGAGGTTACTTCACAGCTGTCTGCGCTTCCTTCCACTCGATTTATATATGATTATGTTATGAAAAGGTAAACGTTAATTTATTTCTTCAAGCGAAAGGTATTAGCGGATTCCGAGAACGTCAGTATTTGCGTACGGGCGTAATCTCATCGTACCGCGTTATAAGAAGTGACGCTGGAGGAACGGACCAATCAAATGAGTACGTTTTCGTGGCAATTTCAAAACAAGCGGACGCGACGCGCTGTGAACGCTCGAGTGCGTAGTAACAAAAATGCTAATAAACAAAGGAAATAAAAGATGTAACGTTCGGGACGCGTTCTGAAAAATTAAAAAGACATTGTGAGACACTAGGATATCAGGTCCCACAGGATTTAGCTATTTTAATGTTAGCGGGAGAGCAAGAAAAGTCTAGATCAAATTGTGTTTTGCGACGGATGTAATCTGGCAATCGATTATCGATATCCAACGAGTTGTAGAAGAAATAATGGTTATAGAAAAGCGCGGGACGGTTCTTTGCGCTCAATACTGCAATACCAGAATTGATGATGAGCTGCATAGATTTGCCTGTAGCTGTAGGGATGGTTGTTACTTTTATCAGTGGAATGCTTATCAGATTGAGCCTTTGAAAGTGGCTTTAAGTATACGATAAACTTGAAACTATAAAACGTCCATTAACTATCAATACCAACTGCAATAGACTGCAAGATAGTGAGACAGTAATTATAATTAAATTCTTTAAATATTAGACTGTTTGAAAGTACAAATACGGTGGAGCTGTGGCCACTTTAATATTCTAGCTGAACCAGTATTACTTTTTTTGTTGTTTGTGATGAATTTTGGAAAGGTTTCGTAATCAAAACTTTCAGTATTTCTAATGATCTGAATGATTAAAAAATTAACAGTATTCTAGTAATAGGGCAATACCGGTATTGGATTCAAGGATTTGAATAAAATATAGACTAAATTCTGAAAAAAAACTTAAATTGTAGGCCTATGTCTGTATGTACAGATGTAGGATAAGCATAACAACAGTTTTGTGTCCAAATTTTTCTTTCGTCTCATTGATCAGTTGATTAGCACATACATCTTCCTGTCTTCTAAGTTACAGTAGCAAAAAAGGCACAAGTTTTGGTACATAACTTTTGGACTTAACATTCAGACATTGCAATTACAGACTTTTTGCAGTATTGTACCTTACTTACTGACTTACCAGCTACGGTACATTTACACACGTTCTGACATTGGATTACTTATTATTAATAAATGTATTATCATTTGACAACTTATCAATGATACTGAAAATGGCCAAATGCAAATCCTAACTGCAGAACTGTATTAAAATCTTGAAGTATATTGTAATTTTCTGTTGTCGGTGACCTTTCAGCCTTCACACTGCTGCACTGTCACAAGAATGTTTGAATCCTTTATCCAGTTATCTGATGTGTTTAATTATTGGGCCAACAGGCCACTGGAGGTTTCACTTTTTGTTGCAAAAATGTTTTATTCATTTTAATTTTTATTATACTGATGTGATTTTCACGCATTATTTCAGTATTTAAAACTACATAAAGTGAAACTACTTACAAGTTTTTAAAATTGATTGGTGCTTGAAGAAGATTGAAGATAAGTGCAAGTTGAAATTTCAAAATCACTCTGGATTATTGTGAAATAACATTGAGAAGGTCATCATGGAAGCTCGTCTAGCGCAGCACATATGTTTTAAAACTCACAAAGAAAAAAGGTATGCATATTATCACACATTGTATGCATTTATATATTACATTTTTAAACTTACCTTTATGGTATTAAATCACCATAGATGATAGTCACCAAGTTTATTAGCAGAACTTATTTTAATTCAGTTTTTCTACTGAGTTAATAAATAAACATATTTTTTAAATTTTTAGGACCAAGCATTCAACAAGCAGCATTGAAGACAACACAAAAGAAAAGAGTGCTAATAAACCAATTTTCAAAATACACGACACAGACATAAATAATAGAAGTATTTCTCCTCATCACTATGTATCACCTATGGCCAGTATATCGGCAAAATCATTTCTTTTGCCTCCGAGAATGGACAACAGGAATCGATTAACAAGCACACCGAATCAAGAACAACTTCAGTTATCAGATGGAATAAAAATTCAAAATGATGCTGCTTTTGATTTTTCACCACTCGCTTGTGAGAGGACGAGTCACAATGATGATGTAAGTTCCCGCAAAATGTACAACTTATAAACGTTATCTGAATGTCAAAAGCAATTGAAATATTTATATACATTATCAATATATTGTAGGTGCAAACTTGGCAATATATTTGTTTCTATAAGTTTCTTCAGTAAGTCTAATTCCCTGAATTAAGAACTCTCACGACCTCGATTACATGAGTGGCACATGTTTATGTTCAACATGATTATTCGACTCCTTGAAACTTTAAGAGCAGTTCATATAACCACTAGTCGGTGATAGGTCACAGCTTTTTTAACATCAAGTCCATGCATGCATCTGAAATTACTGCTTTACTATTTTAATACCGACATGGATTGGTAGGCAGACAAGACACACCATGGTTCGCCATATAATTGAGGGCTTCCTTCTGGTTTAAATATGAAAGAGTTGTTTTATGAAAGTCATAATACTAATTAGCATTATCACTGCGCTTGGTTACCAACCATCATATCTGGATTGTGTTTTACTATAACTGTATAATGATTTTTTTTGATTAAAGTTTGTGTTAATTTTTCAGGGACTTCATATGGATGACATCAAGAGTGTTTTATTCCCAACTTTACATCCGAAGTCAAACAATATGGACATGGAAGACAGTATAACTGAGATGGAACAGTCATGCAGCTCTGAAATGAATCCAATATTTCCACATATTGCAAAGCCGGCAGTGCATCAGAATCCCAACACATCAATCGAAGTCACAAAGCCTGTTTTTCCCAACTTTTTTGGTCATTCTCCATCAAAGCGATTACCTATAGAATGTGAAAAATCAGTTCAAGATAGTGGTTTTGATTCTGTTGCGAACAGTATCAATAGCATGACATCTAGTTTTCCAGAGAGTTTAAATTTTGGAAAGGATTCTGCTTTACAAATTTCTCCTCTGAAGCGTAGAGCGAACGATGATGAAATTTCAACAATTTCAGTCGAAAGTCCTATGAAGAGACTTGCTTTCATGTCACTTGCCAACAATGATGATAGTGGCATAAAAACTCCATCAAAATCAATAACAGAACCCTTGTTAAACGAGCCTGGCTCATCTTTCCTAAATTCACCTGTCATATGTAAAAATGGCTATGGGAGTGAAGTGCCTGGGCCGGTGTTTCCAAATGCCATAGATTCTTGCTTTCCCAAAAAGCAACTTTTTAATGAAACATCTGAAAATACTGGTAAAAATGTGTTGGATGATTTTGAATTTGCCAAACCATCACTCGTATTCCGACGACCGGTGAAAAAAACCTTGGAAATAAAATCTGAGAGATTTACAAGAAAACCTACAACAGCTAATCTTGATCCAATTACGGAGAGCAAACAGGGACAAGAATTTTTTGATATTGTCAACGAGCTTGCAAATCGAAACATGCAACATATCATAGCAAAAATTTTCTCTCATATTCGAAAGAAAGATATTCTAAGGTAAGCTGCGTTGTTTTTGGCTAATGCTCTTGATTTTATAAAGTTTAGGTAAATTTTTGCACAAACGGAACTTGATTAATTGGCATTGGAACTTTGATGTAAAATTGAATTTATGCTTGGTAAATTTGATTCTGCCTGGAATAAAGTACATGTACTACCCTCTGCAGAAACATGCTCACATACATGCAGCTATTCTACCATCACTTAAGATTTAAATTTTGTGTTAAAAAAATTTGGGGATGTGTGAGAGTGGATGCAGTGTATATTATATTTTGTCTGCATACCCGTGTATACAATTTATCATTTGTATTGAAATTCATAGGCAAAGCATGCTATTTGAAACCATAAATATATATTTTAAAATCAGTCCCTTTAAATTAATGCCGGAAGTGTGTGTACTCTTCATCCTAAATTTATCTTGTAAGGAAATATTGTGAAATTAAATTACTCTCATTCATTTCTTCATTAAAAGCAACCTTTTTCAACTTCTCAGGTGCAGTTATGTTTCTCAATCCTGGTCTGAAATCAGTAGAAACAACTCTTTCCTTCGCAAACAAATTAAGTCATTGAAAAATCAATACCAAAAAGATGAATTTACCAGAGGATCAGAAAACATAACTGCAAAGAAAGCGGAACAAAATGCACTTCTCAAATCTCCAGCTAAAATTGGATCAAAAAGAAATTTAACATCTGGAAGATATGCTTTGTGCAACTTGCAAGAACGAGGTATTAAATTATAACTAGCCTTCCACTTTACTAATACAAGAAAATATGATTTGCTACGTAATCTCTGTAATTTCAATGTGTGTTTTTTACAGTGAGAAAATCTCCTAGGAAACCAGTCATCATGCCGACAACACCAAGTGGTAAAAATCGCTATGTTTGTGCTGAAACTAAATTTGAGCATACGCAACGTGTGAAACGTACTTTGGAATTTGAGGAATCTGTCATGACGTGCCCCAAATGTTCCTGGACTGCCAAGGTATATACCAATTATCAGCTTTATTTTGTAAATACTGTGCCTAATAAACTTAGATGATATAGCTACTTATGCCATTACTTAGTTACTTTTCATAAAACCGAATTTACATATCATTATCACATTATTGCATGTGTTGAACCTAACACACAAGTAAATATGATTGTACTGTACTCTAGGCTTCTTTCAGCTTAAACGTCAACGAAGTGTCTCAAAACAGCACAATTCAAAAAAAGACTAGCAAAACATGCCGTTAAAGAACTAACTGTATAAGTCAGATGGTTCAAATGCCAGGACTGTATAACTCATTGCTAGATTAGATTTTATGGCACAAATCACTGCAGTATGTAAAACGGAAATTAGTGTTTTTTTATTATCATGACTCGACTTCAGCAAGCTATCGCTCTAAATAAGCAGTCCAAATCTATCAGGTACATCTGTAACCCCGACCTGAACAGGTAATAACTGATAAGAGACCGGGCCTCTTCTGGTCATATTCCCAATTTGGGACCAGAGAAATGGGGATATTGTGAAATATCCTATCTTTCTTTATAGCCCACAGAACTACCTTGGGTGGCCTTCAACATTTTTTTGCTTCAATTTTGCATTGATGTTATGTATTTCAAAATTACAGATTTATGCTGGTGGCCAGAACAAGGCTCAATGTTACAGAGCTGAATGTGGATATAGGTTCTGTGTCCAATGCAAGAAGGAATATCACTGGCCTAAGCCGTGCAAAATTAGAAGCCCAGTGTCCCCCACACTCGAACCAACTGCAAAATCAGTAAAAGCTGCGAGCAAAAAGAGTAAAGGTCGATTGAAAAAAAGACTTTTGATGTGATTTATACAAGGTGTACACACCACTGTGATTGTTTTATATATGGGTACTAATGGAGAACGGCAGTCATGAATTAAACCGTCCAGCATGCAATTCTGACTGGTCCTCAATTTATCGTACGGATGCTTGAAAATTTCTCCTCTCTACATGACAGACATATTGTGCCTAACATAATTCGTTTGTGAGACGTTTTATGCCTAAATTTGATGCGTATTGCATTGACCTTCGTACCCTGAAACTTCTATAGTCTCGTTATAATTATTTTACCTCTGTGCTTTTAGCCATACATGAAGTAGTTACTTGATTTCCTCATTTCTTCCTAATGATAACTATAAAGTGTTTGTCAGCGGATTTTTCTGAACTTTTCTTGCTTATTCTATCCTACAGACATTATTTGTGCCGTCTCCCGCAGAGAAATTTATATTCTATCCATGATTTAGGAGTTTGCCTTAATGCTAGTTGTTTTTATCTTATCAAAAGTTGCAATAAAAGAGTATATGAACATGACTTGGTTGATATGTTGATGTGAGACAGATAAAGCCACTGAGTTTTTCCTTGAAGCTTAGTGGAATTTATCATGATGGAACTTGATTTGGTCAGCTTAGTGAAAGTTACCATGGGCCTAATTTGCACAAAAACTCTCTAATAAGGTTGGAATAAAGTTTCTGACTTACACAGGATCGGTGCTTGTCAACGATTTCCGAAATAGTACAGGTACACCCTTTTTGATTTCCCTCAAAGTCTGCTGATATACATACCCAAGTCAAATATCCATTTATACTCGGCCAAAAACAGTGTTGAGACGATACAAATGTTTAAACCGACAAACATAGTCATTAATTACCCAATTTTATTACTTATCGATCTTAAGATCGGTAAGTATATTGATAGGTATTTGTCTGTATGTATGTCTGTGTGTCTGTTAGATGCACGCGATATCTCTCGAAAGCGAGATTGAATCTGCTCCAGATTTTGCATGTGCCTTCATCTTATCTCAGACCAGAAGCCTATTGATTTTTGGCGAATTATGTCGTATAATTTGCGAGTTATCAATCAATTATTGATATAGTGATCTAGATTTTTGTAAAGCGAGAGAATTTGAGACCCGCCGAGTGTGTGTGTGCGATGCGCAGTGCGCAAGTTACAAGAGCGGATGAATCGAAACTGCAGTTTCTGTTTTGGGGATCCCCTAACTATCGATCGATAAGTCTTTGGTTTCCAACCGATATTCTCGTTTTAATGTTGATAATGATTAAAGTTGATGTACAAATCGAGGTAATGCCCCATTCATTTATGTATCTACATCCCTAATTGAGTTTCTTTTTTATGGGAGCAGAAAACCTTAGCTCGGAAAGTAGGCATTCAGACGAGAACTTATTTTGCAAGACTGTAGTACTCTGGAACTAGTCGTGCCCTTCCCTCCAGAATTGTAGGTAAATTGTTGAACTATGCCTTTCTACCAAATATATGTTTAATTATTGTGTTAGCTTCTATTATCAATAATGATTGACACACGTCCGCATAAATGCATACATACACTCTGTATTTTATGGATACACAATTATATAAATTAATAAATATAAATAAACATACATGACATTATTATAGAAAAACTTCGCTAACAACTTAGATTAATAGTTCAATAAGTACATGTTTATTAATAATTGAATCCAAAAGGAATAAAGTACAAATGTAAAGCAATATAAATTATAAAATTAATATTATTCCTTCCATCTGAAAAAGGAACTTCATCAGTGATTTTCAAAACGTAATACAGTATATAAAAGTACAGAAATCATGCGGCTTAATCATCCCTTGTTTGAGTTTATTAATAAAAACTCGTAGTGCGGAAAAAAGGGTTGTTAATATTGGTCCTAATAGAGCGGATTGCAGTAATGGTGACAAGCTCCACTTTGGTATATTATTGACTTATACAACAGCGGGAAAAATGGTTGGATAAATCAATGCATAAGGCAAAACATTATACAGACAAATTGGAAATGCACAACGACAGTCAATAAACATTTGATATATAAAACATACCCTTTTATATTAATAATCTCTTAAGTAATATTAAAACAAACTTTGCATGCTACAATCGGTTAAATTTTAAAGGTAAAAATGATAGAAAAATTGAATTAATTACTCATCTAAGATAGGTATATCATTATTGCATTTTTCATTGAAAGGAATTCAAGCAAAATGTGAAGCAATTATGAGGCTGTGTACGAGACAAACTATTCATTTATTAAAGTAGGCTTCAATAAAACTAACCAAATATAATATAAGCCAGTGAACTTGGAGAAAAGACTGCAATACTATTCAAAAGTGCATAACTTGAAGTGCAGAGGTTGGTGTGGAAGATAATCACAATAGTTGAATGAAAAAAAAAATAGATTGCTTAAAAATATATTATTTAGCAAAAAAGTCTTGGCATAAATTACTATAAAATTCCTTTTCTTTTTCTATTGAATGTTCATTCTGAACCATTTGAAAAGCATTCTCTATGATCAAACTTCTTAGTCCAGGGTTCTCAATAAGTTTTTCAGTTTGTTTCATAAAATCTTCACATGTTTGATATAGAAGTCCAGTTTTGTTATCTTCTACAAGAGATCTGTTACCTGAATTATCTCTGGCTATAACAGGTATTTTATTTGCCATGGACTCTAGTACTGCAGATGCCATTCCCTCGCTATAAGAAGAGTTTATTGACGCAAATATAAAAGAAGAATGCATAAGTATCTTCAGCTCTTCTCGTGGCAAAGCAGAAGAATATAAAATAGGGAATGAGTCAGGTTCGCCAAACCAATCAAAAATATCGTCCAATGATTTAGCTTTAAATTGAGTACTTTGTTTGGCCGTAAAATCATTCTGAGTCCAGTTATCTTTAAGTGATGCCAAAAGATTGAAAAATGAATCTGCATATTCAAGATCAATTACAGGACCAATAATAAGGAGCTTTAAATTTAAATGTTGATTATTTTTGCACCATTTCATCCATGCCTCCAACAGAAAGATTGGGTCTTTTACAGGCCGAATACCAGTTACCATCAAGAACCCATATAAGTTATGGTTTCCATTATCTGTGAACATGTTAGAATTGAAATCAACGTTATGAAGGGCTTTAGGTTCCACATTGACTAGTTCAACTGCTTGAGGTTGGACAAATATATTCAACTGAGGCACAAGTTGCGAAGCTGTTCTCCTCAGATCTTCGGTAAAAGCGACAGCAAATTTAGCATTTAATAAAATTTCTTTCACATCCAAGCATTTTTCTTCGTCCAAAATATCAGCATTGAGATCAGTTCCACCAAATATAATTCCATATGGGACACTTAATGGATGTTTTGAGCATTTTTCACAGCTGCATAGTAAAATCTTGGCACTTTTGTAAGCGTGAAGAAACAAAATACAATCTATTCCATTTTTTGCCACAAAATTTTTCAACTGCACCCGGGTACATTTTGCATTTTGGGAAATGATAACATCAACGCTACATGTTATACACACTGAATTACTCGATGCCAAATGTTTTTGTATTCTTTGAACAGTGCAAGCATTACCAGATACAGAAGATATTGAAGTAGGAGAGATAATAAGGATCTTCATATTGAGTATACAAATACACCATGGTTTCTACAGCTCTATATGGTAGGTACAGGACTATATATTTCATTACATTAAATATTTCTTCAGTTGCCCCATCCAGTACTCTTTGTCTGCGTGTGTTCCAAAGTTGTTAGGCTCAGCCTGAATTCAAAGCTGCTGACACACGGCCTGGCAGTTGGCCAGTTGACAGGAAATGGGTCCTATCCTCTTGCAGTCCTGGCTTTCGGAACTCTACGCGGATGTACGTGTACCGAAGCCAGTAATCGTGGCAACGTAAACAGCACAGAAATAAAAACCGGTATAGAATCAGACCTCTGACAATCGGAACACACCCACAACACGCCCAGTCCAGGAAATCCGATCAGGGTTGCTCAATGACTGACGTTTCCTCGCTATGTTAGACCATAGATGACTTCACGTAAAGGCATCGATGGTTAGACGCCAAGCCGTGCTGAAAGCTGATAGAACAGCAGGGGAGCGAGCAGTAACATAAACTAAAGGGCGCAACAGAGTCGAACAACTAGACAGATAGATTAATAATTCTGTTTTCCTTGTTTCGTATAGTATAATTGGTCCATCCTGTGTTATAGCCAACGACTAACATACCGGTTATAGCACTGTATTTTACCGGATTTCTGTTTGACAACCTTTTCACCATTATTTGACTACTATTTCACCAACTTTTGTCTCAACAATAAACATCTTTGGACAATCATTTCGAACTTTGGAAGAACAGAATCGCGTCATCAAAAATAAAGTGCCTATACAATCTATTTATTCCAATGGCCCTAACGACCTTGCATCGCCATCGTATGGTGCTGAGCCGTTATACTGGTATCGGGACGAAAATTCGTGGTTCATCATATGATTAGTAAGCCGACTTTTTAAATGTAGTGGACCACTTGTTGTTGAACACGATGTGGACAATAACACACGTTGTGTGGATCGTTTCAATATTATGTTGTTGTTCTTTGCTATGACTTCATCAAAATTATGTGGTGCCACGTGTCAGCAAAACTTTTTTGTTATTAAGATAGTATTCCGCGTTGAAATAATGGGTCACAGATGGCATTATAATATCGATCTATTACGAGAGGCATACACCTACACTCAGTGGTGGGATTCAATTTTTTTGTCAGCCGGTTTCATCACAAAAGTCATATTTTTCACCCGGTTCTATAACAAAAAATCATTGACAGTAACCAGTAATGCTAACCGGTTCGCGGATCTTTTGAAATTCCATGAGACGGTTCTATAGAACCGCGGTGCGAACCGACTGAATCCCACTACTGCCTACAATCATTACCAGGCGTTTAAAGTTGGGTTTCTCACTAAAGTCACAAACTGCATGGACCCAAACTCTCAACTTCAGGCTTGCGTTTCAAGTTGTTGACTTCTTCAACCGGTCGAAATCATTAAATGACAGCAGAGGATAAAGAAATCAACCAGGCACGCGGAACTTTGCGGTCGGCGCATTGTTACTTCGATGGGCGTACTTGACATTTGATCAAATTCGGGCAAAAAATACAATTCCAGGGGATTTCGTCTTTTCTTATGTGTAAGAGGTAATGAATTATCATGGTCTACTTACTTTTGGATAAAAAATTTGATTTAGAATAGAAAACGGAGAGGTAATCGACAACAAATTTTTTAACCATCGGGATAAAAATAGGAAGTTAGTCCGAAGTACCCGTGTACAAACTAGTGGTGTATCGGTATCGGCTAAATGAAGACCTCTATTTCCGATATATTTAACTTTTTTATATGATCCAGAACGTTTTTTAAAAAAAAGGTTGGAATACTGATGTTTAAATTATTTTTTGCATTGAGTGAGCTATGAGCCATACACGTCCCCAACCCCGCGAGTAGAAACGGGAATTGGATTCTAAACTGTTCTTAGCTATTTATCATTCAAACGCTCAACTAATCTGGTTATTTTCGCGGCCAAATTTTTATATTGACATTTTTAATAGTAATTATGAAGAAATATATCAATCGAATATCAGTGGATTTTCTGATGTGTAAAATACAAAATATGTAGTTACATTGGCACAAAATCTTGCGCACGTAACTCAAAGAATCAATTTGATATATTATTCATATATTTCACCACCCTGATAGCCAAACCTTGTGAGCAGGGATGGTCATAACCATTGACTATTTCGAATACCTTTAGTCCATCGATATCGGTAAGCTAAATTCCTACACAATTATATCTCTTTACACAAGTATTAAATATTGTGATTCTATTAATTTTAAATTTGTTTAATACACAATTTCCTCATAGATTTATTGCCTTGGCCGTCCGGACTGTCTCGAAATATACGAGAATATTTGTAAAATATTATAAAATAGTAAAATCAAAAACATCATCGACGTGTTATAGGTATTTCTTGTCGGCGCTGATTGAAATCCTTTCATGTCGGCTGTAGTAATTTATTTGTTGCGACGCACGATTACGATAAACCACAAAATATATGTCAAATATTTTCAATTAAAACGTGGATGCGGCGCTAAGATCTGTTATATTCGATATTCTTAGAAACACATAAAACGATATTCGAAGGTCGCGATACTAATATTTAAATTCGAATTGGACATCCCTGCCTATGAGTTTTCTAATTTAACACCAAGATTACTAGCGTCAGTACACAATGCATCTAATTAAATCAACGCATCAGAATCCCGAACATCAATTTCTTATGATGTATTATCGGTGTTTTAGTTGGTATCGGTATCGGCGGCAAAAGTTGGTATCGATACATCTCTAGTACCAACGTGACGCTAAGAATCCACAGAAGCGATGTGTCAGAACACTCACAATCCTAGCCTGTGAATTTTTTCTCGAAAAGATTCATCAAAAGATAACAGTCTTTGTCTAACACTATCGGCGTTTATAGATATCGGCATTTCTAATGGTAAAACCATGTCTCACAATCGGAAAGTTATGAACGGTTTTGATAATTTTGTTTGTTCAGGTAAACATTCGATGCTTTTATTCAACATTTGAAAATAGGTTGAAGAGGTCAAAGATTTTATATCGGATAAGGACAAGGATTCGCATCACAATAATATAGTACTGTACAAAACAAGAACTTTCAGATTATCTGTATGAAATTCAACTTTTTTTTCGAAATTTTCTTTGAAGTAATGACTGTTGTTTCTTGAATAAAACTCGACAGAATTGACATAATTAGACATTTTCACGTAACTTAACGACGATATTCCGCGCATTAAAAGGCCGAATAAACTTCATATTGCTATTATTTTACGGCCAAATTAGACAATCAATTACCCGGAAAAATTCGGGCGTAAAATAACGCAACGTAAAACTAAACGTAATAAAGCTGACGGAATATTTTTTGCTAGATTCGTTATACGGAAGGACGTAGCTTTGTGGGTTCTACAAAGATGCACATCAGCGAATATTAGTTAATAAGACAATAACTTCACTTCAGTTTTTATGAGAAAATAAAAATGACGCACGACGTAAAAACGTAGGTTACAAAAATAACGCTTGGTTCAAACGAAAGTGGATTTTGTGAGTGAAGAGTTGTTTACCGCCAGTTATCCAAAGCTTAAAATCACATAGAATGTCTACTCTAAGGCTACTGAGAGTTTTATAAAGATGCGGATATCAGATTCAGAAAGATAGATTGCATTTGTAGGTAAAGCGATCTTCCTTTCAGTCTGATGAAATTTAGGGCTGCAAAATGAATTTTACCTTCAACATGTTGGTCAAATAATTAATACTAAGCAAATCTGTTTATTTGGTGCCATTATTCGTTTTGTACTTCATATTTGGTGTTGAAATTGGATAGCAGGATTGCGATCACGTGTTTCTTTGCAACTTTTGAACGCCAAATTATATTCCGTGAAAATCATGCACTTCTCAATATGATGTCATAGCGTTTGACATAGATTGTGATTTAGAAGTGTATAAATTGTGCAGTGTAACTCAAAAATATTGGTCCACACCCAAAATACAGGTTCACGGAGGTATTCGTAAACCAGATATTTCTGTGATCGTCGAGTCGATCTCGGTATAATAAAAATGACGACTGTTCCGTAATGAGCTTGACACTTTGGTGAAATTGTTCAACGGCATACCCTAGATTCCTAGAAGACACTAGGTGTTTACACACAACGTCGGCAGAAGTTAAAGAATGGGTTTCCTAGCTTCCAAGTTTGAGTTCTGATTATAGCAAATCGATTCTAAATTAAACTTTCCTAATCCACAAATAAAATATCGAATAGATTTCATTAATCTTATCTTGTTAACAAATTAGAAGTGGAAACACTTAGATAATTCTATTCGCTATTTGCAACATGTCCCAAGAGAATTAAGGTAGAATACAAATTTCTAAACGACCATTATCATCGATCTATCTAACACAAACTTTAGTTTTTGAATCGGGAATATAAATTAAGTATTTCAGTTACTTGAATTCGGAATAAAAATAAGTTAGTTTTTCACCACGGTATTACGGCTTATTGGTGACAGTATTCTGTCTTGTGATCGTCAAAGGAAGGGTATGGCAACTACACTTACAACGAGGTTGTTTAGGTCTAGGGAGAAAAATTTTTCGTGGTCCAGGATTTACGTGTATGCAAATTTTCTGCGGCCGAACAATATATGTGCTGTATAACAACTGCGAATTTTCCCTCGAAAAAGTTCCATCAAGAGGAAACAGTCGTCGTCTAACAACATCGAATTTCATAGATATCGTCATATCTAATGTTAAAACCATGTCTCACACTCAGAAAGTTATGAACGGTTTTGATAATTTTGTTTGTTCACATTCGATGCTTTTAAGGAACATTTGAAAATAGGTTTAAGAGGCCAAAGATGTTTATATCGGATAACGACAAGGATCCGCTTTACAATAAAATAGTTCTATCCAAAACAAGAACCTTCGGATTATTTGTGTAGAATTGAATTTTCAATTTTCTTCAAACTACTGTTTCCTCAACAATAAACTCGGTGGAATTGAAATAATTAGACATTTTCACAAAGCGTAACTTAACGACAATATTCTGCGCATTAAGGCCAAATAAACTTCATATTTTTATTATTTCACGGCCAAATTAGACAATCAATAACTCGGAAAAGTTCGTGCGTAAAATAACACAACGTAAATAAAACTTAACCTGAAAAAGCGACAGAATATTATGCTTTATTAGATTGAATATATGGAAGAACGTAGCTTTGTGGGTTCTACGAAGATCCACATCAGCGAATATTAGTCAATTAGACAATAACGTGACTTCAGTTTTTATGAGAAAATAAAAATGACGCACTACGTAAAAACGTAGGTTACCAAAATAACACTTGGTTTAAACGAAAGTGGGTTTTGGGAGTAAAGAGTTGTTTACCCAACGCTTTAAATCATATGGAATGCGTACACAAAAGGCTACTGAGAGTTTTATAAGGATGCGGATATCAGATTCAGGAAGATAGATTACAGTTGTAGGTAAAATGATTGTCTGATAAAATTTAGGGTGAAAGATAAATTTTAACTTCGAGATACTGGTCAAATCTGTTTATTTGGTTCCATTATTCGATTTGTTCATCAAATCTGGTGTGGTGAATTTGGATAGCGGGATTACGATCACACGTTGATATGCACGGTGTAATAGAAACTTTGAGCGAATTAGGTATATTCCGTAAACAATTCTCAATATAATGTCATAGACTTATATGAATTGTGCAATGTAACACAAAATTGTGAGTCCAGACTCAAAATACACTGTCACTTATGCCTTCGTAAACCAGATATTTTTGTGATCGTCGGTCGAGTCGATATCGGTAAAATGAAAATCACGACTATTGCGTGATGTGATGGTCTTGAAACTTCATTGGTAAAATAAATTGTTCACCGGCAATGCCTGGAAAGTACACTCGATGTTTACACTGTTTCTAGTTAATCAGAAGTTTGAGGATAGTTCTGATTACAGAAAAATCGATTCTAAATTAAACATGTTTCTAATCCACACGTAAAACACTCAATGAATTTCATCAATCCTATCTTGTTAATAATTAGAAGAGAAATCACTTGGGTAATTTTATTCGCTATTTGCGAATAAATGTCCCCGAGAGAATACAGGTGGAATACAAATTCGTTAAACGACGATTAACATCGATCTATCTCACATAAATTTTAGTCTTTGAATCGGGAATGTAAATTAGGTATTTAGATTACTTTAATTGGGAATAAAAATACAGTAAGTTAGTTTTGCACCACGGTATTAGTGGCGACATTAGTCTGTCTTGGGGGGATAATGCAACTACATTTACAAAGGACGAAACAGGCATTTCGTATTGACTTAGCGTCCTCGTGTAACAGATCCCATTCACACGTGTAACTTGAATCAAGGTATTTGACTTCCTCAAGACATCGGTCTTGGATAATTAGCTGACAATCGCCGATCAAGCTTAAATAGCACAAGAAAGCGTTTGTGGTTATAAAAGCGCATTGTCGCTTGAGCGTTCGTACTTGAAATTTGATCAAATGCAGACGAAGCAGAATAGCGTGGGGAATTTTGTCTTTTTTGCATTGCATTTAATTAACAAAGTTGAGTGAATAATTAACTAGGCCTCCATCTTGAAATAGACTATTACACAAGACAAAATAAGAAAACACGATTTCTATAAGGACACAGGAGCGATAAGGTATGGTCAGCGGTTGGATTAATCATGTAGATAAAGCAGGCATTGAGCTCGATTTCACGCTATATAAAATCTCAGACAAATTACTTATGAAAGCGCAATTAATGGCTGCTGATTCCGATCCTTGAAATTAGCAGGCCCAGTAAGAATATAGTGTCAACACACATATTTTGGCTAATGATATATTTATTTAACTTTGTCATTTCCGCGTCTTTTCTATTTATTTTTGTTATTCCATTTCCAAGTGACTTGGGAACAGATGCCTCAAGTATTCCTTATGTGACGCATTCCTACTTGAAATCACTCGACGCCGCGGGTGACCAGTCATGAGAATTGTTGGTTTCCTTGACTCGAAGAAAAATTCCATTCGATTTTTGTGGTTATGAAGACAGCTGGATATATTCTGGGAAACTAACGTTACAAAAATTATTCCGGATGTTGGCTATCGTTGATTTCTGATGCGTTCTCAAATATTGTATTGTGAAAACCTGTAGAATGTTTTTTCTCGACTAAATTTCCAAGTAGCGGCATAGAAGAATCTCAATTCATTTACAGATTTAAGTTAATATCGCGGCAAAATATCGGCAATCGGAATAAAACGGCCGTTGAGTAGTAAAACTCTGTTATCGTATTCAGCAAAGACTACAACGTTTGTTCAAATGCACTACTTCTAAAATTTTGTATGTAGTATTTATGGTCAGCTTGTGAGGTCCGATACAATTGATAACATTTTGAATGATCGACAATACGGAGGTATGAACAAGATTCATTTCCATAATATTTTAAAAACTGGGGTTTTCGAACTTTTTCTGATAAGAAAGTATTCCTGGAATGCGAATGTTTTGAATAAATTAATCAATTCGAAATAAGCTGGCTTAGTCCAAAAAATAAAGCTCGCTTTAGATTGAGGTATTCAATAATTCACTCAGGGTAGAATTATAGGCGGAAAGCCAAGTTTTAAATGTAAAATCTATATAGGACAATAATGACAACCCTATATTGTGTCACAGTCACAGAAAAGCTTCACGGCCCGTTGCATTTATATACTTGGGTGGACGTTTTTTAGTCACACGTTACTCACAATATTACATTTGCGATTGAAATCATTATTTGTTGTTTTGATAACCGGGAAAGATTTACCGATTCGCCCAAGTTTTCTTATAAAGGTAATTGCCCGATAAGCCTAACATACCAGATGCCCGTATCTTAGTACAATTCATATTGGGTCCATGAATTGGATAGCGCTTTTAACTACTAGATCTGAAGTCTCAAAGTTGGAGTTTTCCGGCGTCTTTGTTCCCAAAGATAACAAAACTAACACACAATTTCAGTTAGTAATAAAAATTTTAATTTATAGTTTTTCTAATTATTTTTGGAACGCCCCTTCAACCATCACGATTGATTTTTATTTAAATAAATCAGATTTTGATTGCAACGATTTTCTTACTTTGTTGTGGAAACCAAATTCTGTTTGGGGTCCAACCTACCTGTCTTTGTAATCGGATCGTCGCACTTTGGACCCCGAAATTGAAAAATGCAGTATTATCTAGATCTCTCCTCAAAAAATTTTGAAATCATGACGAATAGGTATGACGTCACTGGGTGAGGTGTTGCGAATGTTTTCGCAATTTCTCCTTGTTTTGTCACAATTCTAGTCGGGCGTTGAGCGAGTTGTACTCTTTGTATTTTCTCTCGTTTTCATATGTTGTATATTTTTTCGTTTTTCTAACTTCTATAAAAAGGGTTGTAATTTTCGACTGCGAATCCGTTTAAAATTACGATTTCAAAAAAGAAGACGACGATTTGGTGCGAAAAAACAAGGGAGGGGTAAAGTCAGCCACTGTGAAATAACCTATTACTGTACTGTATTGAAGCCAGATAATGGCATGGCATGTATTCGAGAAGCTTTTAGAGGGAGTCGCAAATTATTCAACTTTTATTGGAAAACTATGGATTACTTTTTTCTTCATTTTCAGGTAAATATAAATATGTTTGAAAGAATAATTTATGCTAGTTTTGTTCTTAAAATCATATGAAGGTCCATACTCTTTTTCAAATGTACAAATGAGTGGGATTTCATAAATAAATTCTCATAGATAATGAAGTGTTAGTATTATATTAGGTAATACTTATTTTTAATCGATATTTCACCTAATTTATTTCAGAATTATTATGGTTGCAAGTGTAGGAGACACCGTTTACAGCGATGAACAGTCACAGTTTATATGTAATACTTTACAACCTGGTTGTACTAATGTTTGTTTCAATAGGTTTTCTCCGATTTCACAAATCAGGTAAGAGCCTTATTTTTATTCAAGTTCAACGATTCGCAACTGTACATTGTAAATAGGTTTAATCTTTGTAGATAATTAGTTTATTCAGTTCCATTCAAAACTTAATTATCGTCATGATATAGTTATATGGCTATTAAATTTGTGATGTTTTAGTTCAATAATATATTTACAAAACAGTTTTTAAACATTTGAAATTTGTTCAATATTTTGCAATATAACTAAATTATCTATCTGTAACTGTAATATTGTCTGTTTATTTATCGTTATTGTTCACTTGTAATTCCATTATTTATTTTCACGATATGAATGAAATAAGAAACATGGAAAGTAGATATAAGACGCACATTGCGCTCAGTCTTGTAAATTTTTTCAAAAAAGTTTCCAAATTCGGCCATAAGAACCCAAAAATGTTCATTTGAACAGAGGAAGAAGGAAGTAATATGGGCGGGGAATTCAAAATCTTTCACCGGTGTCTCGAGAAACCTTGAACGTGACTTTTACCATCCCAATTGCCAAATTCATGATGCACGTTCGTTCGAATATGATCCAATGATAAATCGCATTATTTAAGTGTGTTCCAACGTAGGCCACATGTTGACAAAACAATTTTACCTCTTCTCTCTTTATTCACAAATAGGAATGAATCTAAACTCTTTAAATAAATATTTTATTGTTCAGATTTTGGGCGGTACAAATTCTTTTCGTTGGAATGCCCAGCGTGATATTTATTGTTTTCGCCATGCATAAAATGTCAAGCCTATCTCACCAAGAACAAGAAGACCAAAATCATGCTTCACGTCGAGACGGACGCTATGGTAAAAAATCGGTGTTGACACATCTTCGTATTCATGAGTAAACGTATAGTTATCAGTACAAGACACTGGGAATGTGTTGAATAACCGAAAGCGTTGAATAACAGGAGTTCGTCCAAATTTTACCCAAGTCATGGACCATGACGAACAACTTTAATATATAATATATGTGTGTATTGAGTTACTTTCCCTATAGGCCACTCTTTCGCAAAGGTGCATATTCTTGTTCTGGAACTTGCATGGAATATGATAGAAAATAGTGGACCCTGAACGGCGTCCCCCGTCCCCGAGTAATGAAAAGTAAGATTTTTCCAAATATTTATGCTTTTTATAAATAGTTCTGAATTCTAAAAAAGTAAAACTGCAGTTTACTTATAAAAACCGTAATTTCCATACAACCCCAGAACCTACGTAAGGGTGAGGCCCGTGTCAGCTGACGTCATTCAATGTCATATTTTTATGATTTCAGAAGGAAGTCAGAGTGTTGATTACGATCACAAAGCACGAAGAAGGCGAGGAAATGAAAATACGAGCGAAAAAAGTGTTGAAGCGAGAGGCAGCAACCAAACGAGTCTCCCACAGTATGATGACGTCGCAAATGGGAAACAGCGACCTGGTACGAAATTTTTTTTTTCTTTACGGATCAGGACAACATGTCTGGAATCCGATTTTGCAACATGAAACTTTCTAAATGAATTAAGTACGCGGTTTGGCAGGCGAGTGCCAACGTTGAGGTACCTCATTTCAAAACAATTCCCGCGCTTGTCAGATTCAAGAATTCAAATCATATAAAATGTGAAAAATCCGTTTCCGAACGTCATATAATTATGAGTCTTAGAGTTGCCACACCGGTACTTAAAGTATGTGTCATGTTAGTCTTTGAAAAACGTAATAAGTACTTTTAGTAGTAGACGTACATTACTTCTAAATATGGCTTGAAGTCGAAATTTACTCGTAATTCAGTTTAGCGTACAGTGTACTATGCTGTAATGCAAAAAAACTTAATGGCATAAATATATTGTCGAATAATGGGGGTTCGCAAAAGACGCGATTATGATAAGAGAAGTTGTCAACTAACTATCTTTTTGCCGGGCGTAGATAAGACGCAATTTATCATTTCACCGGCGGTTTACCTTGACTGGAGTCCGGTGAAAGGAATATAAGTTTCCAATGATAATTTTCGATAAATTATGATTAACGAAGATGCATTAGAGGTGGTACACCGCAACTGACATCTTGTGCATTGACCCATAAACTACTTACCGGGGCTATCCGTCATTAGTGAACCACAATTTCACTCTTAGTACTCCTCCACGTGGCATGGATTCAGATAATGCACGTCGGTACGTTGCGCTTCCAGTGTTTTGGCGGGAACGGAAATGCAATCGAACGGAATGTTAGACACGTTTCCACACGCGGTGAAGTTGATTTGAGAAAAACGGAGGATTAAAGAAACTACGAGTTCTTTGTTGCCATGAAATTAAGTAGTCTATTGAAAGTCCCACGCGTCCGTTTAAGAGGGAACGGTAAAGATGAAGCTACACTTTCCTACGGCAATTCTACGCATTTACGCTTAAAATTCCGCTTATGCTGGTTTTGCAAAATGTCAATTTTTTACGTTAATTTCGTCCATTTTATGACTTTAGAAGAGGGGTGTCCCCATTTGATGTTACAGGGACAAACGGATGGAATTCGACCCTTTTACCAGTATCACGTTTGATAACAATTACTTTATGCGTGGCGATCTAAAACTACTACTAATCAGGTTTGGTATGTCAAATAATTGTATACACAAACCTATTAGTTTGTACAAGACTCACACGCCCAAAATATTTTTGCCAATATTTCCATAAGACAAGTTGCGGATCATATGTCTACCTACGAATCATGTGGTGGCTTGGAATCCCGCGTATTCAATCAACCGTAGTATCTAATCCGAAATTATATTATAAATTATCCGTATCGGAAAAAGGCCCCGCGATCTTACGCCATAATAAGGATAATTATGGTCGTAGTGAGTGGGTCATTATATGAAAGGGTCTTATAGTGCGCTCAGATTTGATAGAGGAGAACCGTGCATATGAACACTTTCGTTGTGTATTCTATTTTGAGACATATAAGGTTTTGTGGTTTGACATATATTAAAAGTTCCAGCTCCACCCACACGCTTATACATGCGAAAAACCTTTTACTCCCAAGTCCCAAACAGTGGTTCTTCAAACCCCATTCAATTACGCACCGCTGGAGCACGCATAAGTTTGTTGTCTGTTGGGTTTGTCAAAACAGTTTCACGCAAATACGTTCTACGGTGACGTTACTGTTAGTATCAAAATTGTTTGTGAGGTTACAACTGATGACTAAACTCACTAGCGCTGAAACTAAAAACATCGAAATCGTGTAAAAATGTTTCATATGAAACGTGTCTCGATTTCTAATCTTCGCACTTACAATCAAATAAGGAAATTGAAAAAAACTCGATTAGTTTTCCCACAAAATACTTCTAACAAACTACTTTTAATATAAGAAATAAACCAAATTTCACAGAGAATTTAAAATAACGTTGAAATGACCTAAAATGTGAACAAGATCCGCCGTTGGGGCTCAAACAATATTTTGGGCATGGATGGGTATTTCAAACTTTTTTTGAATCAAATAAAAATATTGTAACAAAAATCGATCAGTTTCCTAACAAAATACTTCCAGTATATGATAAAATAACGTAAATTTCACAAAAATCGGAAAAATCGTTAAATTGATCCAAAATTTGAACAAGATAAGCTATGGGACTCGAACACTATTTTGAGCATGATGGGATATTTTAAACATCTTTTCAATCAAATAGGGGGATTACAAACAAAAACTCGATCAGTATCCTAACAAAATACTTGCAATGTAACGAAATAACATAAATTCCCCAAAATTTGAAAATATTTTGGGCATAAATGGATATTTTAAACATCTTCACAATCAAATATTGAAATTGGAAAAAACTCGATCCGTATTCTAACAAAATACTTTTAATACGACGAAATTACGTAAATTTAAAAAAATTCTTCGCCCTGATTAGGAAATAGGGTTGCCGGATAGTTCTGGAAGGTAATATGTGATTGATTGTAATGATTCAACCGTGTTCAGATGAGTTTAGGCTCAGAAAATGCGATTATTCAATGATCTAATTGTCGGAGAATTCACGCATCGATAGAACTAAAAAGGAGAAACGAGTTGTGGATTTCGTCATGTTATGCTTCGTCGGGTAGGCTGATTTTCATTCTGAAATCGTCTGTGAGGCGAGTTGCTGCCGACTACCCCACTAGTAGTTACAACTTTGGAATCAGTGCATGAAATTGATCACACATTACTCATTCAAAATTCTGTCATATTCACTTGGATATCTGATCCCTTTAGGGCAGGGTTAAGTTTCCATTTCTACTCTGGTGCTCGAATCCCTTTTATGTTGTTAAAATATGCTTGGCCACCTGCTGAAAATCAGTTATGCGTAGAGAAAGAGCCCTTGAAATTTTTCTGAAATATGCGATAAAGCAAATTATGCAGAGAAAAGTTTTTGATTCATTTTGGAACACACATGATCTCTAAAACGAATCCGCTCACATATTTTCCCATTGTCAATTTTATGAAATGATAAAGAAGTTTGAAATTTGAGCTAGTCGAATGCAATTCTGCTGTCTTTAGTACCGTACGCGTACTTTTTATTGTGCTATCGTTTAAAAATATGCCCGAACGAATAATAATAGTTAAAGATATATTATACACATTCATGTATTTTGATTCTCGATATATTAACCTTTTGCAAAAGACAAACGCTCGTGGACACTTGTTATCGATGACAACTATGCTATAAGAATAATGTATGATAAAATAATTTATGCATATTTTCACAAAGGAAATTGATAGTGTGTTCAGTGTACAGTGTTCGCATTCTATAGTCTACACTTATCAAGCGCACGGTAATACATGTCAGGCATATCCATGATACGTTGCAATTTTAATATAGTCTACTGCACATTGTATTCAACTAATGAAATTTGAAAGACGATATTTTGATTTTTAATACTTTTAATCTCACAGCTAATGGAGTTGTCAAGATGAAAGATCCCAGAAAGAGTTCTTCTAATCACAGTAAAGAAAGTGTTTATACAGACAAAAGATTGGCTGCTCAAGTTATTACTATGCCAGGGGAAGAAAAGTAAGTTTTTATTATTATCGAAAACGGGTTAATTACACTTTGATATAAATATTAGCAGAATAAATATTACTAATTTTTGGAATTCCATCGATAAGATTTCAATTCTTGTTAGAATTTACAATTCATAAAATAAAACGTCTTGTTAGGGAGATGAATCTGGGTTCGAAATTTAAGTGTGTGAACTCGTTTACTCGCACATTTTCAACATTTCGAATCAATTAACTGTTTACCACGACTTGTACTAGTTAAACGTCTGTATTTATGGGTAAATTCAACAAATGAACAACTAAATGGGTTGTCAAACAAACTTTGGAAAAGCTCATTTAGGCCTAATGGAAAACATCGTCATTTATTTGTTTAATAAATGGTAATGGTAATCAATACATGTGTTAAAACCGAAAACTGACCTTTATCTGATGTTTTATCTATACCCAACACGTAAGTGTCTTAAGTTGGAATTTGCCCTTTTTGACTTTATAAAAGTTAAGACTTTGCGCCATTTTTACGCAAAACTACTTCAGTTTTGGCGCATCAAACGAAAAAAAACACACGAAATTGAAGAATTTGTTTTTGTTTTTGAAATCAAAACACGTCTGTTTCCTAACATGGTAAATTTTGAACCTTACCAATCCCACCATCTGTGTTGACAGGAAGAAGGTGCGGATGAAAACTGTTTATAACAAAGATGGAAAATCTGAAGTCGTTAAAACACCATCGATAGCTCGAGCATATTTCGCTCAAACTATTATCACAACATGTATCGAAGGCCTATTTCTAGTTTTACAAGTAAGTGGATAGTTGAAGTTCTGTACTAATAAGTCAACTTGTAAAATTTATTGGCATTGATGAATAATTTGATGTAACTTCTTTTTACTAAGTAAAAGCAGATATAAGTAATGAAGAAACAAGTCCATTTTAAAGTTTAATAATTATCTCCTATAAACTGAAATAACGAACAACTTGGAACAAATATTTCTCCCATTGTAGATTATGAAATGTCGAAGGATCAATAGGTAGCAAGGATATGATTTAAGATGGAGAAAATATATCCAATGCGTTTGAACCCTTCCCTAATCATTCATATCACTTTTCCAGGAATGATCTCATTTTATAGCGAGTTTAGGTAAAAATAGGCGCGCTTATGTCCTAAAAGGCGGTTTTGATTTTATTCACCCATGCGAAAAGCGACACGCTCGACTGCAACGTCGCAAAATACAGTTTATCAGACATTTCCGCCTAGATTAGGCTCGATACGTAAATAAATCCCGCATCAAACACCCAATTTTTTTCAGGCCCCGAGTGTCGTCTGGTCTATTTCACGTTGCCATGAACAGGATATAGCATCGTGAAAGGAGACGATAAAAGTTTTAAATTATAAAACGACGCAACTCAATGGCCCGTAAATAAACTGTTTATATCTTAAAATTAGCTTTTCTAACGCTTTCTTTTTGTTTCAGTATAACATGTATGCTTTCCAAGTTCACGAATTATACGAATGCGAAGGTGATCCGTGCCCAAAACAAGTGGATTGTTACGTATCAAGGCCCCAGGTATGTCACGAAGTTGAAATAGAAACTAAATAAACGAAATAGAGCAACCTTTGCTTTGATGTCAGGTCTTTTTTTTTGGACAAAATTAAGCCTATGGAACCTTTTGTTAAATTGTTGTTATTGGTATCGCTTTTCTCCGCAACTGGTGTACGAAGCATTTTCAGTACTTGACGTCGGAATAAGTCAGTAGTTACTTGTATTTAAATCAAATTTATGAGTTCTGTGAGATCGTTATTTCGCCAAAAATTTAGTTTCTTTTTTCCTCATGACAATCGCAACAAATCTTTATGCTAATGACGTCATGTGCTCTTCTAGTTCATATATTTGAGCATTGCTTTTTATTATTAGTTCTTTTGGCATCTCCTATTCTGACATGCTGCATTTATTCACTTGCTGTTATTTCAGACGACTATGCTAATAAAAGGTGAAGTTTTCACTAATAAAACAAAAGAGACAATGTTATATCCTGGCTCAAATCCCTACTTGTTTTACACTTTCTACGATCCCTAAACCTATGCGACTGCAGCCTATACGTCATAATTGAAAGTTTTAATATAGCAATTATCATAATTATATCCTTATGTCGTCCCATCAAAATAATGTCTTTCGATTCGAAATGCTTATTTCAGTCCTTTTGTTAACAGGAAAAGACGCTTTTTCTTTTATTCATGTATGCAATGACGTCTTTATCAATATTAATCAATGTGGTTGAACTACTACATTTGATAAGAAAATACGTTTGTGGATCAAACAACACAAAAGGTGGCAGCTCAATGAAAAGACTCATGGGATATCACAGGTGAAATATTCATACAATGAGGCTTAGTTTTACTGTGAATGTGTATATAAAACATATATAGGCTACAATAGAATGCTTTCGCACGCATTTTACTTTGATGGGTAATTTTACTATAGAAACATGTTGTAAAATTGAATGTCAGATTTACACTTTATGCTAATTAATTATTAATTGTCACTTAATATACGATCAGATTGCGACAAATTCTAACTTTAGTGTTATTCTGGCTTGAAGCTAACATCATTAGGCAGTGATCTCGTAAATGGAATATTTTGGTCGGAAGTATTTCTGTAATATATATAAGCAATAGTTACAACTAGGGCCGAATTAAGTAGAAGCCCTATCGAAATAGGAATGAATTATAATTTATAACACTATCAACTCAAATACATTTTCCCAATTTTTCTTTCAATTTCTCACCAATCTTTGAAGAAGATAAATAGAGATGATTAGAAAATCAATTGGATAGGAAAAATTTTTCCTTTGGGGTCAGTAGACGGCGCTCCGGAAGTATTCGTACCAAGATGACGCCCAACCTGCACAACATACTATGTTCAGGTTGTGCGCCATCTTGGTACGAACACTTCGGGAGCACCCAGTAGAGTGGACTAACGAAAATAAAAGAATGAAATCTGTTCTTTATCACTGCCGGACGTATTGTTTACTGACCACGACACCAACTGACCTCTAATTTTATGTAGTTATAAAAGTTCATCCATATCTCTATATTGTGTTGTGAATGATTTATATACACTCTTATATAAATAAATATAATAATAATAAATAAATTTTACAAATTATTTTAGGCCACATCATGGAACAAGACGCCGAAGAAGACGATACAGTTCCCGGTATGTTCCGGGAGGAGCATATCCATCGTTGGGGCCGTTTCCACGAACGCACGAAAATTCATTCAGTGACCTCAGTGGGAGCGATTCAATGGACAGTGATTACAGATATTACAGCAAGTGAACAAAAAACTTCAAAATATCCGGTTTATACAAAAATATTCTTTTTTTTAATTTTTTTTTGCAGTATATCGTCATTATTATTATATTTTTGTACATGATGTTCCACAATGTGCCTTTTCTTCAATATCATGCAGTTTATTGCATATGTTATTTATTTGTATTTAAATGTTTTATTGATGTCATTTTCTTTTCATACTACGCAGCATGTCTTCCAACATGCAATTTATTTTGACACCATGACTATAACATCTGTTCCAAATCATACTCCAAAATCAATTATAAAAATTTATAAAGCCACTAGACATCGAAATTACTTCCAATTGATCATTACCTAATGTATTTTCGTATGGTCTGAGAGTAAAACAAAATTAATGATCCATACCGTTTTCCTAATTTACAAATCGAGTTATTTATGTTTCATATACAAATGAAAAGCTAAGTGGAAGTCTGTTCATTAGCAACATCATATATGATTAATATTAACAATCTCTAATTTAAAACAATCATGAAATACCGATTATCATTTTGTATATATTGTATATTTATTCCTCTGCTTTTTTATTTTATGTGCAATTTCAACGTTACAAAAACTTTGTGCAGTAGTACAACTATGAAATATTGTCTTAAACTTTTCAATTGAATTATACTAGAAAATCAAATTTCACCATATTAAAAAAAACAAAATCAAAATACTAGAACAAATGGCATTTTTTCTTCAATTAGCATGCATTATATCAATCCCGTATATTTCTTCATTCCATTCTAGTACTGTCACTATTATCATTTTTTTTGTTCTTTGCTGCTATATATATCGTTAAGTTTATTTTTGTTTCGTCATATTTTGCCATCTTATCTACAGTTAGATTGATGTACTCGAACAAATACGCTTTTGCCATTGCTTGCTTGTATTAAATTTAATTTTTGTCAACCAACGTAGGAGTCAAATTCCAATTTCGCCACTGTTCTCAAAATTTACATTCTTTTTATTACAATATATTCGCCGATATATCGTCTGTGTTCATGTAGGCTATTGACTGAGTATGCCGTTTTTAAGAGGAGTTAGGAACTGTCTGCGGTTTTCTGGCATCTTCAGTCATTTTGCTTATTCCAAATATTCAACCACTTGGCGTTAAAAAGTACCGTCAGCTAATTTTCGCCTAATCTATTCAATCTTTTGAGGTCGTCTTCTGATTAAATCAGGACTCTCCCAGTGACAAAGCTAGGAGTACACAGTTTGGTTTACACCAAATATGACAAATATCTGTCGAAACTGTGAAGGCGAGTTGATGCTTGAAAATTCGGATGAACGAAAAAGTGTGTGCTATATTTTCAATTGTTACGTCATCATAAGTAGTTTTGGTTGGTCATTGCTGCGGATATAATAGAGGAAGTAAACGCCAAGGTAATCATTCATTTTGAATGACCTTTAATCACTAGGCAACTTACCCGTGATGTCACAATGTTATAATAATCACGTTAGGCTAAATGGGTTACCGTAGTTACCAGTGGATATTTAGCTGCATTTCCAATCCCTTCGCTATCTGCGTGTTGCGATATTTCGTAGTTTGATAAGAAGGTTGGGCTAGCGATGCGTTTATGAATCCAAAGTGAAGGAGAATTATATTATCCTAGGGCTTTTTGTTTTATGACATCTCTAGGTTACTTCAGTAAACTATGTTAACCGACTGTTTCGAACTGCTCATTTTCTATTATAATATTACGCAGCGTCTTCAACTTTTAGTTAAAGTTAGGTTAAGTACGACCGATAACTGCAAAAAGATGGGTTCTAATTGTTGCAAATTCATGAAAATAAGAAGGCGAAGAGATGACCTTAAGAAAAGCGATAAAAGTCACAGAAAATCAAGAATAGATAAAAGTCTGTTGTCGGAGCAAAAATATATCAAATTTGTGTGCTGAAAAAACTGCAGTTTCAGATACGAATAAAAAAGTTTACGTCGAACCAAGACGGAATAAAAACATACGCCAATGTCAAATCTCACTTCTGTAAGTGTCTTTGTCAATATTTATTAGATAATAAGAGCGCAGTAAGATTATTGGAAAAAACTAGTACTATTTTGGGATAAAGTGATTTATTTTTCCTTCATAAAATTTTACATGAATTGGATGAATTTTTTTGTAATTAATACATTAACTGTCATCGTTCCTTTTCAGAAAAAGTTTTAAAATACAAGATATGGTTTTTTATTAACTGATATTTTTAAGAAATATTTAATTGTAGTTTCATTTATGAATATGCTATTGTTAATGTCATGATAACAAATAGTTGTTCTGCTTCAATTTATTTTGATCTTAATTCTCAAAATATTTTATTTGTTTTAACTATATCACAATATTACTACCCACAATATTAAAATATCACAATACTATCCAAACCACACAATACACAGAAACGACTTCTATGGACATACCCACCCACACACCCTGTCCAATATATATATATAGACATTTTTGATAGTGGTGAATGGTGATATTCAAGCTGTTGGAAATCAAGGTGCAGCTCTGATATAACGTTGGATATTTATATGCCTGGAGAAAAAATTCACGGTCTATTCATCTATTTCTGATCGGAAAACGCAACTGAGGTTTTCTAGCTGCGGCTTTGGATCTGTCGTGTGGTGGGGCATTGAGTGAATACAACAAAATATTTTCATGCTTAACTGATGCCTTTGGTATCCGAAGACAATGCAGTTGTATTTAAATCGTCTTTTTGCAATGAAACTAAACTTATCTTCGCGTGAAAGTTCACATTTTTCTATCATAAATACTCATTTTATTCACGGACCAACAGTGTGAAAAATCTTTTGAATGATTTCAATTTTAGAATTTGGCGTTTCGAGACATTTCTACTGGGTCAAATATTGACGACTTCTGTATAGCACGAGGACTTATTCGTTCATAACAATTCCTAAATCTAGACATTAAAAATGTTCTATTGCATTCAAGGAATTTATTATTGCAATTGTATAAAACTATTTGAATTGACCACGGAGATTATGTAATATATTGATTATATTTTAGAACCGGGGCTTTCGCGGATGCAAATTGGGTGTTGGAGTCGGATTTTGAGAAGCATCTAAGAAGGCGTATAGAGTGAGTGTTTATTTATATATTTTATGCAACACGTTGGGCTGAAAGTAAAACTCAATCAAAGGCTATTTTTACTCTTTATTATCCAGAATACGAGCAGCAATACAAAACGCACGAATTCATATGTCCATGTTGGCCACGACAGTGGCTACATCAGCGGTAAATTATCTTCCGAATAACTTCTCTCAAGTTTTTCGTGAACTAGTTGCAGAAAGGATGTACGGATATGTAAGTTTTCAGATTTTGTTATAATAATATCATGTAAATATTATCTGTATTTGCTAAAACTAGGATATTTGTGCTGACAGCGGTATTTGAATTTTTACATAATTAAGGGTGAAAGTGTACAAGCGATTTTTTTGTGTTTACCTATATCAGTTTAACGTCGTTTTAAATTGTGACGATTAATTGAAATAAATTTATTTGTTGTAGAATACACAGATTAAAAGTGAGGGCTTCGCCGATATTTTACATACGGTGTCAAGATTAGCTTTGAATAATTTCAATGAAAGGATAACGTCCAATCAATCGGAGGTAGTTTAAGCTGTTTCATGAGATTTATTCTGTACTACGGCATTTCGTGTCAATTCTGAAACATGTTTCTTCTATGTTTTTATTAACTTCGATTTTCTGTGTTCAGCAAACAATTGAAAGAAGTTCAGGCTCGAAAATGGGTGTTGTGGAACAGACAACCGAAAGAGTTCAATCTCAGCATATCGAGGTTGTAATCTAGTTTCAAAAATGATGAAACAATATTCCGATTTTCTTTAATCATTTTTATTTTATTTTTTCAGAAATCAAATAAGAGCGAAGAACTAACGTAAGTGAAATATGTTATTGATAAGCATTCTTTTTGATAATTCTAATTTTTTCAATTTTTACATGTAGACAGGGGCCTAGACCTCGCCTGAAAAATAGGAATTTTAAATTGAATATTCTTTGACAGTTTAATATAATCCCGACTTTATCTGAATGCAAAATATTAAATTTACAAATAAATTTTTAGCGAACTTGAAAAACTTCGAGCGGAGAATGCATCATTGAGAGAAAAGAATGAAGTAAGTCATCAATTATTCAATCTTAACATTTGTTAAAAAATGAAATTAGCCTACATTTCAATGTAAACACTGTTTTATAGAAACTTCGAGAAAAGTTATGGTCAGTTTCCGACGAATTGGCGAAATATTCAAAGGTTAGTAATATACGTATTATTGTTTTTCCATTTTATCAGAACGTGTTGCATAACAAGTTGTCGTTTTCTCAATGAAAACAACCATTGTTGTTGGATTACTCACCAAATTTTAATAAAGCGCGTCAAATGAAAAAGCCTATCAACTAACAGTTGTTAGATTCAGGGAAAATTGATATTGAATATTTATTGTTATATTATCATAGCGTGGACAAAGAAAACATGCAATTCAAAATGAGGAACATCAGGGAATCCCAGACAATAGCAATGAAAAAAGATGTAAAAATGTTGGCAGAAATTTTGCCGTAGCTAAATCGAAACAGCACTATGGAAATATTAAGCACGTGACAAACAGGTAAGTTACACAATAAAGAAAGAAGATTAATTTAGTAGCGATTATCAGATATTCTCTTTGATTTCCCAGTAAATCTAGTGTTAGCTTCAAACCATGTTCTTGGTCTGTAAAAATAATCTAAAATGATTTCGCTTAATTCGTGTGACACTAATCGAATTTTCTACATAAAATTTCAGGTTTTTTGATCAACGCCGGGAAAAGAACATCAATGTTAGTATTATTGAATATTCTTCACGTTGAACAAATTCTATGAAGTCGTTTATTTAGCAATTGGCAGAATATTTTCTATTGTTCTACGTGGATTTTTTGCCCGAGCATGTAAAGATATATAATGTCAAAAAAATTGAACGTCTTGAAGATAATAGCATTGACTTCATAATTACGCTTCAAGTTATTATTTAATATGTTTACGTTATGTCCAGCCATTAAAAATGCCATTGGAAAAGAATGCTTCATACTAAAAAGTTATAACAAAACATTCAATTTTTCATTTATTTATTTAGAATTGCTCAAGAAAAAGCGTAAACACATACGAAAGAAAATACCCAGGTTTTGCTTCGGAATACCGAGGAGAGTTCGAAACGAAATTAGTAAGTATGTTGTATTGTGATAATAATATAGGTCTCATAATTTGACTTGTGGAAATATCGTCACGTTGACACGAATTGAATTGCACGTACCTGCGAACAATTATGAGTTCCTAAACTTTATATTTAACTGATTAGACTTAATGGTCATTTTATCATTATTATTTCAATTTATTATTTTGTTTTGTATATTTTGTTGTTACAGCTTCATGCGATTACTCGAGGAGAAGTTGACAAAATACCGTTTGATGAAATTAAATACGGTGAGTTTTATTAATATCTTCTTGATTGCTATCTCTATAAAGAAATTAGGATTATGGCAAGTCAATCCTCGGTACTGCAGGCACAGCGGACTTCAAAGTTGTATTCATAAAGAGGTGCACGTATATCTCAGTAATTTGGGCCCAAATTCCAATGCATGTGTCTGTCGTGTTAGTATGATTAGTTTTTTAAGCGCATTGCGCACATTATATTTCACATGCTGTACTTAAATGAATTTTGGAACTCTTGTTGAAAATTTAAGTTTTTTTACTTTTTAGGTTATCACAACATCAGATGGCCCGGGATTGTTTGTTCGCGTCTTCACCGATTATTTCCTATTCGCAATAATATCGATTTTATTTTAATTATTTCTATTTGTATATTTCTCTCATATATATATATTTTATAATTTTAAAATATATTTTTTTTATTCACAATATTATCTTCATTCTAATCATATATATTTGTATAATTATTTGAAAAAATATGTTATACCTCTATTGTATTAAATAAAAATATATCAATAATTCTTAGTTCATTTTAGAGTATGGTCCTTCGGACATGGTATTTGCTCTATATCGCGAACACATAGTTGATATTTAGACATTTTATAGAATGTTCACACTTGAGCTGGGTGGATACCAAGCAGAGTTTCATAATAGAGTTTTCACACAGTCCGCATTTTTCCATTTCACAATTTTTTGACCGAAAATAGTTTCGAAGGAGGTGAACAGAAAAGTCTCAACGACGCATAAAAACAATACGGACTGCAGTGACACACGTGAAAAAACGGGATCAATCAGATTTCTGGCTTGTGATAATAACGCAGGAGTTAAGTTTAGGAAATAAAGTGATAAACACAAACACATATGTTAGCCAGGACAATATAAATCTTACATTGTCGGCAAAACCAATCTAAATTGTCATGGGGGAACATTTAGAATTTTCATGATTATAGCTGTTAGATCGTTGCTTGCCATAAATAGCTATATAATTTATATATAAGAAGCTGTTGTGTTTCAGAAGCACAGAGGATCACCCTGTTGGACTCCATCTGATTGTTTTTTAGCTGGTAAAGATCCAAACTACAGAACAGAATTTATTACTGCGAAATATAGACAGGTTTATTAATAATGAAGAAAATGTTGCAACTATATAAATTAGCACAGTATTTGTTAGAATTTGAGTAAAATATATTCACAATGGCAGTAATTGTTGAGTAGGAATGTCAAGAATAATATCCTCGTCTGGTGCGCATCTGAAAAAACAAATTTTCATATGTTTACTCATAAAAACTCTTTCTACAAGTCGTCACTAAAGCTTAGATTCGGAGATTGGCAAAGTCTGCCTAGTTTACTGCAGCTGCGTTCGAATGATACAGGAATGAGATGTTTTGTACTCATGCGAAACATTTGTTTGTCAGGCTGATTCAAACCTCAACACAGAAGTATCTGGCAATCATGTAAACCTTTGTCTTGTCCTCTTTTACAGCATGAAATATTTTTATTTCAATAAAAACTCACATTTTCTTTGGCAAAAAGGCTTCCGGAAAAACGAACGGTCGTACATAAGATTGTGGGGCTCTTTTCAATTCTTTAATTTCTTTTTTCAACCCATAAATTTCATCTTCACAATCTAGGACACCCTGCAATCAAGGAACAATCAGGAATTTCAAATGTTTTTTCTACATTGAATGATTTTTAGTCCGATTTCCAAAAATAAATGCAAACCAGACATCATTAAACAATTCATGCTCAACAAAGTGAAAACACTTTTATGAAATAACCTTATCAAGCAATGAAACTAGGAAGAACGGGAAGTTTTCTTGTGAGGGGAAAACTAAAATCAGTTTTGTGCCCCTCCTCCAACTGCTCTGTGGCCCCCTTGAAGGGCCACGGACCCCCTGTTGGAAACTGCTGCTCTATAGAATTAAATTTGGATATATACGAATCGTAACATCCCGATTTGAATTTCGATTCGAAACTTAAATCCCTAGATGCCACAAATGCCAAGCCAATCAATAATAACTGCTATTTCATGAGTATTCCAAAGACACTCAGACCTTTATAATTGGGCCTTCAAAAATTTAACAATGTGGTTGAAGAATTCTCACAATTTACTAGGTATTTACTACCAAAAAATAGAATAGGATATTTTAAATTCGATTCAAGTATTCTAGAATAGTAAATTATTCTGAATTGCCCATTCCTACTCCTACCCTTCTTTGTTCTTCAATTTCAAGCTTTAAAACTGTATTATGCCAGGCCATGTGTTGCAATCCGGCCGGTACCATCTTTACAAAAGCAGTCTCTGCAGCACTTTCCATTATATCCTTTATTCTCGTCTCCCTACTATTACGTAACTTGACGCTTTCGCCTGCAGTTATTCGTTCCAACTCATGACGTTCATTCTGATAAATTAAAATATCAATGGTGAGACTGGGATGAGGTAAGACATTCTCAGTGCTCAAAAAACAAATATTTTTACATACCTTTTGCTCTTGCGCAACATTAACAACACTTTTTCTTAATTTTGATATTTGCATGGATTTAACTGGATATTCCTTGTCTTTGTAAGTCCTTAATACCTGTAAAAATATCAGCATTAGGTTCAATTTTGACTGTTTGAATGGACCCGGAATCATTCAGCATTCAGTTCGGATCTTATTCTCAATTTTGGAGCATTAGCCTCCCTTAACTGATACGAAAAGATCTATGATGCTGTAATAAACAATGCGAATAGTGCTGTCTTGATTAGTGGATAAATATGCGCCGAGGGCATAAATCCTGCATTAAGAATATTCAATTTTTGTAGTTACTCAGTTTTTCATGAATCGCTGTTTTGTTAACTCTTTAACCTGTTTTGAGCCACTGAAATTTATTTACGATATCCCTCCAATGCAGCATTCATACCCAATTTTAACCGCCCTGGGTGAGATAATGGGAATGTGATTTGAACCTGAGATTTTTAGCCTGCAATGCAAACATAGTTATCTCAATAAGTTTACCTGCAAATCTTGTTGAAGATCTTTGAGTTGCGTGTCAAGATTTAAAACCTCATTTTCCAAATCTAAAAAATTTGTTGATAATATTTTTATGAGGTCATACAGAAACAAATAAAAAAGTTTGTTGGCATGTATGCAGACAAACCTAAACACGAGACCTGACTTGAGAGATACCGCCTTGAGACTATATATTGCATATTTTTGTATGATTATTTATTGGAGTTTCTTGAATAAACAAAATTTCATTCGCATACAAATAATCGCACTCACTGGATCTCTCGTCACTGAGCTGTTCTGACGTAATATCCAAATCTCGTTGGGCTTGTATTTCATCTTCAATATGAGCTCTTCGAAGAGCTTTTGAAGCACCGCTGTACTCTTCATATTTTTCAAGCAATTGAGTAACAGTTTTATGTGCATTGGATGAAACTTTGTCAATTTCAGCTTGTAATGATTGATTTTGTTTTGATAGTAAATCACACAATTCTCTAAAGAAATTTTTCACAAAAAAATAGTTTTTATAAAGAGACAAAAGCGCTTATGGTTCCCAACTTTTTACGATATATTTCATCATATATTTCATTTCATATGGGATCTCTTTATTTTTCCCTCAATATGCATACCAATTCTGTTTGTTATTTGTTCAATCATCAAAGAATCCTTATTTAGTTTTACACGCAAATTGCGCTATGTCTTCTGCACATTTTGAATAGTTTATGATTCGTGTATGAAGATATATTATAATAATAGTAACTAGAGTAACAGTCTTGATCAGGGGTGGGCAAGTTTTTGGACCAGGGGCCAAAAATTCTGCCCATCTAGAACGACGGGACATGTAAGTGTGACGTAAAAAGTTAATATTTGCAGTGTTACAAAAGCAAAAGTGGAAAACAATAAGCCTCGTGCCGAAACATAATTTAATCACAGTCTCAACAAATTCTTCAAATCAACAAATTCATCAAATTTTGGTTTCAGTTTGATTGTGGTAGCATCAGGCGGGCCAAATTGATTTACCCAACAAGCCGGATTTGGCCCGTGGGCCGTAGTTTGCTCATGTCAGGTCTTGACCTACACCAAACAAAGAACTATTTCCTCCTGAAAACAACAACATTTCTTTCTGGAGCCGATTATGAAACACCTACTTATATAAATGGACTGAACAAAACTGAATTGCGAATGTCTGAGCTCTGTTCATCTTGCCTTATTTGAATCGAAGAATCAATAAAATTACTGATACCTATACTGGTGCACTGATTTTTTCTTGGCATCAATTTGTAACGTCAGGATTGCAATTCTCTCTTTGCTCTCTATTTCAGCAGTATGATCAACAGGAGTCAGTCGTTTATTCCATGGATGCAAACATAACGAAGAACAACTTGTTCCACTCACACCTGGATTGTTTGAAAAAGCTAGTAAAAGGCACGATTTGTATTGTATCAAACTTCAAAGTTATACAAAAATATCATAATATTTGGTCTTGTAAGAATTAGCAGCTAGTTAAAGATGGGTGCAAAGATTGGGCCTAATATTTCATATGTACCATACTCGAAATGTGTAAATGAAGAGCTGTGTGTACATTATGTATTACATTATTTATTATAGTGTCTGTACCAGAGCAAATACCCTCATAAATTTTATTTTATCGAGTCATATGATTATTTCATGTCATAGGATAATACTATACTATTCCTCATCCGTCTTAATTTTTCAAGTGTTCTGTGACACATATAATCTGTAGGCTATAAAAAGACCTCACTGAATGCTTACAGCTATGTTCACCTGATGCAACTACACTAAAAACCTACCAGTAGAGACGGTATAAGTTTCTGAGGCAGAAATACTATCAGTTCTGCTTCTATATCTCGCTAAAGTTCTGTCTTGTATTTCTGCAATCGATCCTGTAATGCTGAGTTTTTCTATCAAACTATAAAGCGACATCGTTTCTCATCAATCTTCTGTCTGACAACAAATTTCTCAAATTTGTTTGTAATTTCTGGCAAAATTGAACATAAATAATATTACTAATGAAGTAACAAATAAACTTGCAATTATAATCTATGCCAAGAATGCTGATATTGAATCGGCCACCTTTACTTTGATTGGCGTACAAGCATTTTCTGCCAATTTACATCTAGAATTCTTACTTAGAGCTTGCAAATCAATTTTTATTGGTGTAAACAAATCAATATGTTCCCAACTTGCTTATAACGAGTAACTAACAGCATTGAATAGACAGTTGGACAATGAAGAAAATAACTATTTTCATTTGTGATGAAAAATAAATAATTACTAGTGACTGGTATTACTAAATCCCAAACTAATAACTTTTCTTCAAACCCTGCTCTCACCCAGGCTTATTAATTTCATTACAACTTGAAAATTGTCACTGAAAACACAATTTTTTGTGTCCCACATTTCTAATTTTGTATCTACATAAGTAATTTACGGTAGTGAACGTAGCCTATATATTTTACCAGTCAATGGCCTCGGTAACGAAGTTTTCTTTGGCTTTGTCTTGACAACAGTTTTCTGGGGTGGGAGTAATGGTGGCTGAGGTAATGGCACTCTTTGCCACTGTGAATAATCCTGAACAAATTAAATAAAACAAGTAAATATATGAAGCACATTGGCATAAAAAGTATTAAATGAAACTGATTTGAGGCAGAATGGTTATATTTAAATATTTTAAATATTCAATTCAAATTGTATATTATTAAGTTATTTATTATTTTTTGCTAGAGATGCAAAAAACACTATCTGACTATGCGTGGGTGATGGGTATAACGTTATAACTTAAACCGTTATAGTACGGGAAATACATAGTCTATTTATCCATGTCCAAAGAAAAGCCGATAAGACGGCTTAATCATATTGCGAACCACATCTGAATGATTTTTTAAGTAGTATGGTATGCAAGTTTAACAATACCAGCGGACAATACCTTGAATTCGACAGACAGTTTTCCTTCCAATGCTCTGATAATTTCCGCTTGAATCTCTTCTGGTGTCTTTGTAAATCTACTGACAGCAGCTCGCCCCCAGTTAGAAGCAAGCTGCTCAGAAACAGGCATATTCAGTGGCATTTTAATTCTTGATTCCTCAAAATCTACTCAATCGCGTTATGGTTTCCATAGTTACTATAAACCGGAAATGAACTTTGAACCATATCGTGCTCTTTGGTAAATCAGCTCAGATAACGCTACATAACAGAACATAAACATAGTAAGACATGGAATAAAAATATGGTAGAATAATTTTGACCTATGATTATAATTCAATCCTAATCTTGTGCTTTATGATGCAACTTAATTTGGAATCTATGTCACAAGCAATATTTTATGCGGGCATGGCGAATACCGGATCGTACAGTTTGCATATTAGGTGCAAATAAAAGTATTTTTCCACGACAACAACAACAAAACTAGAAACAACAACAGTCCGACAACTCCAAATCACACAATACGGAGTAAAATTACTTGGAAGGTATAACATGTAAAGTTACGTATGGACAACTTACTTATCATATATAAAACAACACTTACTCACCCTTTTATCATGAATAGTCACTCAAAAATGCAATGTCACCGCTAACCGAGAAGATGGTGTCATTTTTTGTTCAGATATGATATCATAAAATGTTGAGTTACCGAAATTTTGGCCGCGGTAGATCAACGGTCCGGCAACCCACGTGACTGCATGTTGTTTGGTGATTTACCATGTGAGTTCTCGGCAGATTCGCCTTTTTCACAGTTTTAGTATAAGTTGGTTCTTTGTATAGTTTTCGTAGATTCTTCTACGTTTATGCGAGATAATGCTCTAATGCAGTCATACTTCTTATGTGTACTGCAAGATATAAAATATGGTTAGAACGTAATGCAGTTATTTTGAAAATGTTAATTCAAGTCTAAATAGTGTCATAACAAGAATTAGAAAATCCCTTTTAGCAAGGAGAAATATAGAACAACTTAGACATAATCCTAGTTTCATAAAAGAACTAGACATAATTTGTAAGAATCTATGACTAATTGTATAAATTTTTATTTTTCTGCTATAAATTAAAAACATATAAATTAATGTATATTTACTGATAAACATGGGAAACTTTATCTGGAATCAACAATGGAATAATATGAATTGCTGGATAATACTGAATGATGTTTACGAATATATTTGTTTATTATATGTAACTATGTTCTATGATTATTATTTTTTCATCATTTATTTATTTTTACAAAACTGTTATGAATCCACAACGTGGACCTTTAAAAAAAAAAAAAAAAAAGAGATAATGCGCTAAAAAGTCATTTTCGAGATTTCTTGATCTTTGATATGAATACGCTGATATAAAAAACTATAAAATTGAGGTTCATTCGTTACGACTGTATGAGCACAAGGCATCGTGCTGGAATATAAGTTAATTTCGACTCCATAATCCTGTAATCAGCATAACAATAAAATGATTGGTGAAAATAAATAAATAAAAACTGCTTATGAAATCAGGAGAGCAAACAAACCTTAGATAAGGTTTAAAACGTACAGAATTTATATAAGATGGAAGGAATATAGTCAGATAGTTGGAGTCAATTACCAAAAATAAGTTATATTAAGACTAATGCATTTTATAGATCTCTATCAACTTATTTTGAGGTATTTATATTACAATTCAGTAATCTGTGGCAAGTTTATTTTTGAAGATGTAAAAATGAGGCAGTTAGTCACATTTTGGTGTGCACCAGTCTGCCATTGTAATACTGTAATGAATATTTTTTGACATAAATAATGGCAAGGACCAAAAATCCAATCTCATAATGTTTGGATAAGTCAGATGCTTTAATTTAACTAATGAATTTAAACAAAATATCTTCATCAGATGTTTTTTGTGATGTCACATTACTGTCTTTTTATTCAATGCCTAATTATATTCTCAGTCATGTCTACTAAAGAAATAATAACCCTTCAGTTTGGGCATTATGCAAACTTCGTTGGTACACACTGGTGGAATATACAGGAGTCATCATTTCAATATAGTAATTCTGCTACAGGTGGTGAAAAGGAAGAAATAGATCATGATGTTTTATTTCGAGAAGGTGAAACAGCAAGGGGTGCAATAACATTTACTCCTCGACTTGTCCTGGCCGAATTAAAAGGTGGATTAGGCAGCCTGAAATCCAGTAGTGTTCTTTACGATGAAAACGAAATGGAAAATCTCATGGCAATTGCTTGGCATGGTGATGTCGATGTCCACGAACAATCTTGCGAACCTAAAAATCAATTTTTGATGGATCTTGATAACGATCAATATCTTGAAATGCCAAAAATAAATGGAAAAAATGATGCAAAATCGAATCACCATAAACCATATGAACTAGAAAAGGATGTTAAAGTGTGGTCTGATTATTTGAGAACATATCTTCATCCAAAATCAATGATGATAATAAATGAATACAGCCATAAATCAGAAAATGATTCTTTCGATTTATGGACGAAAGGTACAAATATGAAAAAAACTCTTGAAATAATTGAAGAAAAAATCAGATTTTATGCTGAAGAATGTGATCAGATGCAGGGTTTTCACATCCTCGCTGACTCGTACAATGGTTTCGCTGGACTAACATCCTCTGCTTTACAATACCTACATGACGAATTCTCATCCAAGCAATTGATTACTTTTCCTTTATTTCCAACAGAGTTTCATGAAGACTCGAAAACAAAATCATTAAAAAGAAACTTGAACAAAGCTTTGTCTTTGCCAATATTTATGGAGCATTCCTCTTTAGTATGTCCTTTATCATTATGTTTAGAAAGTTTTCCTGATATAACAAGTCGTAGCATTCCCCACTTAATCTATGATGCGAATTTAAACTATCACACGAGTGCAATATTAGCCTCAGCACTTGATACTGCGACACTGCCTCACAGATTAAAGGGAAACAGTGGAATATATCTAAACCAGTTTTGTGATAATATCACATCAGCTTCAAAAAATTTAGCGTCCATGTCAATTTCGATGCCATTCCCATTACTTTCTTCCACCAGAACTTGGCTCGACCAAGATTTTTTGACATTGTCTGAATTTTTGAATAGTCATCTCGAAAAAGATCCATGGAACCTTATTAGTCAAGGTTTTGATGCGGGATGTTCATCACAATCTATAGTTGATGAAGTATATTCTCAAAGTTTAACACTTCGTGGACTACCTAGCAACAAACTTATGTCTTATTCTGTTCCTAATTGTGGTGTGTTTTCACAATGTTCAACACAAGATGATCTGCTTAATTTCTATTTGAGCAAAAGGTTTTATGGTTGCCAGAACTCAGTATTTTCATTGTCAGAGGCAATGAATACTACAGCACCGTTCCCACAGTTTTTTGACAAGAGGGTCACATACAACGGTCTTTTGACTAATATTGGTTCAAATCCAACGTTCCAACCTTGGCAGCAACAAAGGGCTGACCGATCTGCCATAAGACTTGAACACAGCAGAAATGGGGATTGCTCTGGAGGTGCGGAATTAACCAATGGCCATACAAATGGCTGTGATAAATCTGGCTCCAGTTCTCATGTTGAATCTATTCCAGTATTAACAAATATACAGTGTTCTTCAAAGGCCGTTAACGTTCTGAAATCATCTGCCTTATGTCTAAAGCAGGCTAGAACAAGGCATTTCTCTTTCCATCTAATGGAAACTGAAAACCTAGAAACTGTCATTGAAAACTTATGTACATTACAGGATGAATATAAAACACATGGACAAATTACAGATGAAAGTGATTCTGATGGCGATTTATAGTTTATCGTGTTGTACATTGCATTTTCTGCCAACTAATTATGAAAATAACTCCAAATTGGGCATGTTGTAATGATTTAATCCGTATTCGTATGAATTGAAACTCTATTTGTATATGCGGACTGCGGTACTATAATTAATACGTATTTGACTATGTAAAATTTGCACGATGTAGAAAACGCTTACAATAATTAATAAAGCGATGTCAATGACAGATATCCACAATAAATCTTTAGTTTTCAAGTTATAAATTGGAATGTGGGACATATTATCTCCCCTTCATTATCATTAATACTAAATCAAATTTGAATCTCACTGTGTACTTGTATCTAGAGTTCATTTTCGTACAATTTCATTCAGTTGCTGTACATTGTTCAATAAAATCATCGCCTTTTGTATAAAACTGCTTTGTTCCAGTTGTCATGTTATCATTTCTACTCAGTTTCTGCTTAAAAGTGATTTTTACAAGGGAATGGAAACGCGTTTTACAAGACTCACGCTTAGCATGACATCAATTTAAAAACAGATTCTAGCAAGTTCTCTAAATGTGTCAAAGTTATTATGCATTGATGAGATTCACAGCTAATTTTGATATGGAAAAAGTTTACTAAGCCCCAGAATCTAACAAAGACTGGCTCGTCCAATCCGCACTGTCCAGTTTTTAGATATGTGGCAAGCCTCACAGCACGCTTTCAAGCCTGACGATGAATTCCGCAGCTGCTTCAAAATCACAACCCAAATGCATACACAACAGAGAATACGTTTCTTTTTATTTAATATGAAACATTCAATTAAATCGTATTATAATAAACAAATCGAAATAATTTGGCAATGAGTAAAAGTTGTGACAATATGCATAAGCTGCTGGTGGAAGTCTATGAATACAAATTTTTTTTAACATCTGACCAGTAAAAATCAAACGAGGTCATATGAACGAGCAAACGCTACACAGACACGATAGCGTTCTTGATTCCGGAGTAGCAAATTTGAACGACGAAACAGCAGTGTCATGGAGTTGAAAAACAAAATGGCAATCCCATTACCTACCCGCACTGATGCAGTTTTAATTTGTATTCAATGATCATTTTAAACTATTAATTCTTTGGCATGACGGCAACACACGCAGGATGATTGTATGCATACAATAATACATTACAATGATCTGTACAACTTGATACGAAAACTTTTTCAAAAATCAAATTTATAACACTGGAAAGATCTCAGTAAAGTATCATCTCTTTTAACACCTTAATCGACAAAAAAATCTGAATCCTAAATGACAATACCTATATAGTTAAGGGGAACATTGTTTTATAACGAGTAATACACAAAAAAGTGATTCAACAAAAACACAATTTCAGCTCCTTATAAACAACAAGGAACATGATTAGAGGGTTTGATTTATTTTTCAAAAAAATGTTATATCAACCATACAAATGATCCAAATCACCATTTTCACAGTGAAATCATGATCTATGTTGAATTTTATACGGTGAAATTTAGTAGATCAATATTTTGCTGTAATACAGTTAATTGACATGTTCGAGTTGAATTTTCGAACTGTCCAAAGCCCAAATTTCGAATTGGAAGTCAGAATTTCATACTTTCTATGATAATGGAAGTCAAATTTTTCACTTCAGAGTCTAATTAATTTTACAAATGATATTAACAGTCTATTATTAAATTGGCTCTCATACACCAATGTTTTTTATCGGAAATTTCGTTTTCACTGAGTTTTGAGCTAAGTCCAGTCAAAAGTTTTTTTTCAATTGTCATTTTTCTCAAAATCACATCAGGGGTTGATTGTAAATTTTCCTCGACATACCTTCTTTACCTAATTAGTAAAAGAACATCTATGCCATATATTTGTACCAGTTGACTACGACTGCAGAAATTTGACAAACAGCCATTCCAAGAAATTTTTTAAATCTGTGGAAGAGTAATATATACTTTAAAAGTAAAAGAAAGAAAAAAATCTGGTACGTGAAGTACATAAAAAGTGCCGAAAGATGATAAAGAGAATGTAAAAAAAAATCAATTATAATATTTTACAAAAAATAGGCTTTTGAATTTAGCATTAGCAGAAAACATTTCAACTTAAAGCAAATATACATTGTAATTAATAGAAGGCACAAGAACAAGTTTTGAAACTTAGTAAGTGTTGGCACACGGATTCCAGAGACAAGCGATAACTGAGCATTTACCCTGAGAAACCCATGCGAATTTGCTTCAATGCCGATTCCACAAAACAGTAATGGTCTAATACTCCACTCCACATTAATTAGCACAGTATCGATTATTTAAAATAAAAACGTTGACAGTGTGAGTTTTACGCACCTTTAGGACATTATTATTATATGAAATGGGTGCCAATACATAATTAAATTGGGCCGTAACGAAGCAGCTTTATGGCACTCCCAAGAACTTGAAATTCCGCATTAATAAAGCTAAACAATCCTTCATTCAGACCGACTAGTAATCCCAAATTTTAATAAAATTGTGTTCATAAATGGAATTCAGACAAATGGAACATCGGCCCCAAATTGTTGAAACTGAAAAGCCAGTGAAAAAACAGTCAATTCATTAGAATCAAAATCATTCCTTATGTTACAAGTTTTTAAAACCAATTTGGCTTACATTGAATCGATGTAAAATAGTCATATTTTGAATAAACAAATTTAGCAATGGGAAGACAGGACCAACTTGTGTTTGCGGAAGTTACAGAGTTTTCTCACTTATTGTTGTACTTCGTCACATTTTCTTCGAGTCAGGAAGAAGAGTTGATGATCCTTGCTGGACCGCATTTTCCGCTTGTTGTTGTAGGTTTTCAGGATCTGTTAATATCGAAGTTGTTGTTCCTAGTTCCTCTAATGAATTCACCACACCTATAATTGAATGTAAATTTATTTTAAAATGCTGAACATGAAATGAAAACTGAAATCATACAATTTGAAAAAATTTTCGTGTGGAAAGCTTCATTTTCCAACTTGAAGTGAAAGAATTTTTATTAATAAGAGCGCAGTATTTCATAACAAAGCTGTCTTAAAAAAATCCCGGGTTTTGGACTACTAAAAAGCTTAAAACCAACTAAGAACTGTGAATGTGCATCTTACTTATTTCCTACAATTATATTTTTATGTCAGTGCGGTGAGTGCGCTATTAATTCAAGTATAAACTAATACTAAACTATAAAAATGTTTGGTGAATGTATGGAATCAGGCCTCCCATCAAGTTTTTTCATCTACCCTATGCCATCTGTTTAGTAATGTCACAGATGTCAATATTACTTAAATCAGTAACGGAGCATCGCAGTACCCTTCGCATTTAAGGGGTCACCTATAGCTATACCGATGCTCATTGACCAGGGGCGTGCAACAGGCGACCCGCGGACCACAACCCTGACCCAAAGCCATTTAGTGTGGCCCTCGTCAACACTCACGATTTTTCCCCATCAAGAATAAAATCCTAATCCGATTTCTGCTTCCTAATGAATTTCTGCTTAAGAATGCGCTCACATGGGTAAAATACATAAGGTTTTTCACTCTTGTCGCTGCATTAAATCTTTTAGTTTTGTTTAGCCAATTATTTTCTCTTGTCAGCTGACTGATGAATATTTGAGTTTTCAGTTAAGTGTTGCTTGCTACAACTTCCGTCAAAGCTGATGGTAACGAACTATGCAAGAACTCAAAATTTTGAGTGTCCCGCCAAATATCAAATAAAATTTTGCATTGTGAAAATTTTCAGAAAAACTAAATTTTTTGTGTTGCTTAACTAGATATCTGAAGTTGGATATATGAACCACTGACAAAAAATGTTGCACACTCGTGTCATAGACAACTCTACTGAGTGAGTGTGAGTAAATTCTCTCTTATTTATAACTGTTACATACCTTTTCTTAACATTGGTAAAGAACAACTTTTGTCGAGCCACATCACGCAAGATCTACATAATTCGTCTAAACTTGCTACAGAAACTGTCTGATCATACGAAGCAAACCATGGCTGTATAATCATGCTGAATATAAAAAATTTCCAATCCTGGAGAGTGCGATCCCGAATCCACTCATCAAAAACTATCTGCATTCTGTCTCCGCGATGTCTCGATACCGGTGCACCCGTAGCTGGAAGCTGTTGTTGGAAGTTACTAAAAATATACGAATTTTGTTGGAAAGATTATAAAATAAATTTAACACCAAAAAAATGCATCAACACCAAACAAAACAAAAAAAACTGATTTTTTCAAAGCAGGATCACCAGAATACGCTCGAAAGTAAAGAAAATTCCCTTAGAAGAAGTAACAAGACCAATTGCATGGTGACAGCTATAAAACTTATATATTAAGATCATGTTGAGACCACAGTAAGATGTCATTTGCTGTGAAATTGTAAGCAACTCAGCTAAATAGAAATACTTTCAGAAATTTAGACTATGGGATCAAATTTGAAAAAAATTTGGAAATTGCAATCCATAAAATCCCTAACATGCTATTTTATGTGAACTAAAGCATTCCAAAATATTTAATTCAGAAAACTGTGGAAAAATCAGATTTGAACTAATTTTTGATGGTATGATTCAATTCCCAACTCTTTTCGATAAATTTCCGCCATTGCCTATTTCCCATCTGTTTATTCCTCCCTCACAAAACATAATCTTTGTTTAATATTTAATAAATTCTTATTTTGTGTTTGAATAGTTTATAATTGCCCATAAATGTGTATGAAATAAAGCTGAATAACTAAACGATATTGGTAAAAGAGATGATATAAACTAAGAAAATTTCTTCCTGAGGAGGGATTCCTAGACGTTGGAATATTAGAAAGATAATTCCATGATAGTTATTGAAACTAAACTTATGATAACGATACAGTCAAATTAGACAACAATTAATCAAACCTAATATCTTCATTGAGAGATTCAATCCTCTGCTTTAATTGCTCAATCTCAGTCGTTGTTTGTTGACGAGCCGATTTCAACAGTTTGATGTGATTGCAAGATTTATTCAAAAGTACCGCTTTGCTCACCTGCTAAGCAGTAAAGTAAAAGCAATAATGTCAAATGTCGATATTTTGCAATACGAGAGAGCGATGCTCAAATATATGGACACCGAAGCAAAAACAAAGTAGTATGGGTACACGATCTGTCACAGTAGTACCAGTATCGCAGTCTTCGCGACTAACGTGAACGCGGAATCGCCACGCAGTGTAGAATTTTTGATGAAATCATCGCACACAAAAAATGAATCCCATAGAGCAGAATCCCACAGAAATTTTTAAAATAAATAAAAGTAAGCCTTTTAGCAAAAAATACGATCGCTTCAAAGGCCGAAGCCACATAGTCAGATATAGTTAAGAACAAAGAATTCCCACATTTTCTTACTTTTTGTGAAGGATGATTGCTAATTTCTGGTAAAATCTCTTGAAGCTTATCACATAAAGCTTTAATGTTGCATCTACGTTTCTGTTCAGCAGTGAAATGATGAGAACGCTGAAACATTGTAAGAAAAGTCATTTTTACTTGATCTTTCATACAGTGAGAACCTAAGCTGGGTATACTCGACATTGAAATGGTTGATTCCCTAGTACAGGGATCTTCAAACTGAAGGGTTCCAAACCCCGAGTGGGTCGCGAAAGGACCCAATAGAGGTCGCGTTAAAATCTTTTTTAACACTCGATCAAATTTGAAAGCTTTGGAACCGGTACTGAGACCTGCTTAATAGCTTAAATGAGCTAAGATTGGATCTTTTGTGTGATAATATGCAAGCACATCAGTGATCAGTCTCATTGAAAGCATTGTCAGTTTTATTTTTTTAAAACTTCGGTAATATTAAATTGTATTTCAGTTCCATCGAGGGGAGCACAAAAAATTTAGCCGTGGCAAGTGAACTGGGATCTTTGAAGAACATTGCCCTAGTACCCATTATTGAATAAATAATATCATACCTGATCACTACTCGTACTACTGGCAGTTGATGATGCTGGACTTGTAACTGAAGCATAGGATGATTTCTAAACAAAACAAAAATAGTTTTTATATTTCCTCTTGGGTAGACAAACATACATCAAAATATTCCCCCCTCTGATCACCCTGCATGGGTTCGCAAGTTCAAAAGCCGTGGAGGATAATCATATGCAAGAGGATTGGTGGGCTCCTCACGTCGGTTATGGCTTACTGGCTACCTAATCTCATATCCGACATGAATTGGCAACCGGACGAAATGCCTTGGTTCGCCATATTATTAAATCATATTATCAATTTCTCTCCTCCCTGCGATGAATATGTGAATCCTATCTTCTATGACAATCTGCTAGTGTGTTAAAATCCCAAATCTGTTTTACAGACAATTTTAAATCATTTGCATATGCATGCATTTGCATTGTATAACGGGCATGTTTCGTCCTCGACAATACAATCGAATATACAATTCATTACAATGAAAAAGAGCGAATAAATTGTGACAACTCACTTCCAACACACTTGCAAAATCTTCTTTGGGTTGATCACCTGAACATAACAGCAATATTAGTTAAACAGATAATTTCCAAATTATACAGTTATTTTGAATACTGCTCTTTGTGATATTGTCATTCCTGTTACACTACTGTCAGGGCCAATACTGTCATCTCATTTGTTCAATTTCTTTTTAAAAATATGCAATTCTTTCAAATCAAACCACACAAACCAGTATAAAAAAATAAAATAAAAAAATATTTTTTACCTAAAATAAAAAAAAGGTCACTGGCTAGCATTGTTACATCTGAAGATCAGTTAAGTTCAGTTTGAAAAAATGGAACTATTTGAGCAAGAATAAGAAGCAGATTTGTGGCAAAATTTGGTGATTGAGACACCAATGCATCATCCAATCGGACTGTTTTTTTATGGAGTCAGAATTGGCAACTTAATCGTATGAATCGATCAAACAATTTAGCGATGGAAATAGAAAAAATACTGACTTTCATTAGTATCCATCGTTGTAATTTGATGTTGCCATTTGTTGTTGCTCAATTGTGACGCCCAATTCCTAATGTTGTCTTCTTTCTCTACAGAATTACCGCCTTTTTGGGCTTGGTTACTGAGAGCTTTGATGAACGGTCTTTTCATTACTTCTTTTACATTAGTTGATGATGGTGTTGTTGATTGATTTGTAGTATTGAGATTAATTCTAACAGCATCCTGAGGTATAGATTGATGTTGTTGTTGTGGCACCACTGCTCTCTGTGCAGCAGCCATTAAAACAGAATTTTGAAAAGTGTTGAAATTTGCAGCCTGTAAAGTAAAAATTTTTCATGAAATTATTATTCAAACTGGTCAGCGACTCATTAAATCTTACGGATTTGAACAGAGAGCTGTATTCTTTCAAAATAAATAGACACAGCCCCAAATTTGTTCCTTGGCTTGACAATGGGGCACATCGTTAGGAGCGACGATGTGGCACATCCTGAGCGTTAGGAATGGGCTCGCCACCACACCTGCGTTGGTTCGCAGGTCGAATCTCATGCGAGGATGGTTATGTGTGTGAGAATCGCTGGACTCCTCGCAGTCGTAGGATGGTTTATGAAACTTCTGGTCGGTTTCGGCTTCCTCTGCCATCAAGTACGTGCGAAAACAAATAACTGGCTAACTAATCGCATACCAAAGATGGACTGGTAACCGGACGAGAGGCCGTGGTTTGCCATATAATCAAGATGTCTTCCCAGCTTTCCTCTCTTCGGGATAAATTCTTATTCTATTCATAGGACTATGAGTCAAGAAAACTGCTCTTGCACTCATACCTGTTCTTGCACTCTTTTTAGTTGATCTTCTCTTATTTGAACATTTTGTGTCACAACCATATTCACAGGAACTTGTAATGACGACTGAGTTGCTTGAGTCTGTTGCTTGGGAGCAGCTTGATACTGTGCACCTGGATAAATAAATTAGTCTTGTACTTAAATAGTAGAATGAATGTTTTCCCAAGCATATATTTCCTTGTGGATTTTGTGAAATTGTTCGGACAGTTTTGGCGCCTGGACAGATATGTAAGCATTTCCGTAAATGAGTTAGTCATTATGTCTTTTGAGGAGGTTAGCCCAGTTGCAACAATCAAAAATAAGTCCTGAAATCGTTGCGATAGACTAGGCTAAAATTAGCTATCAGTACTTATAAGCGTCACATGGTGAAATACTTTGAATGAAAATGATGGTTTTTGACATGTAAACCAGTTTTGTAGAAACCAACACTCAAAAAATAAGTTCAAACAATTTGCAATATAATTCGTTGCACCTTATTATGGTGTGTAAAATTTTTTATCTTTATATAACAGCCAATGTATATAAAAAAATTTGCAACGGACCTGCTGTTAATAGCTGTGTTAACAATGTTTTATGTTGTATTGGTATATGCTGAGAACTTGCACTTGTCGAAGAAGGCTGCTTCACAACGATATTGTCCCACATATTATTTTCCGCCAATAATTGTTTCTTCTGTGGTGGTTGCTCAAAATGACCTATAAAAGTGGAGAAATAAAGAATTTTTGGGGCTCCCTAAGTATGCGAACAAGATGGCGGACATCGGAACGTAACATGGGTAACACGTTAGGGTTAGGTGAAAATTTCTTTCCAATTTTCATTATTTTAGTCCTATTATCAGTTCGTAGACTAGCCAAGAGCCTCCAGTAGTATTTATACCTAAAATTATGGTCTGACCCTAACCTAGTACACATATTACATTCCGATGTCCACCATCTTGGTTCGCATACTTCGGGAGCCCCGAATTTTTTTTTCTGAAGCGAGATATAATGCTCAAAACGTCAACTTTTCGAAGAAAACATTTCGACTTATTCATAAAATTAACAATTTGCTATACTGAATATAACTTATTCTCGCCTTTCGCTCTGAACAAAGATCTTACAATATGGTTACTATTTGGGATCAGAATTTTTCCAGTCCGCATTGCCTTCCCATTTAAAATCTGCAACACCAACACAGTCAAGTCTAACATTTCAATTACTCAAATGCATTCATCTATCTATCATCTATCATCATTACTGGTGATAACATATGAAGAACATTAAAGAGTCATTTTGTTCTGCAGTGCCCTCAAAGCTCAAAGCATATATATATTTACAAGTCCTTTTTCCAGGTCTGTTCTAAACTATATAGTACCATCACCAAAGCAGCACCCGCACACAAACATGTAAACAAATAATAATTACTAAGTGAAAACAAGCAATGGACCAATGATTACAAGTGTCTGGTAAAGTAAGCAAACCAAAACATTCACAGCTATAAAGAAATTTTAAAAAACATTCTCCCATTCTCAAAAGTTTGAAGATATTCTCAAACCATAATAACTTCATAATATTTTGACTAAAATACCTTGACTTGCAAGTGCTCTTTGTATTGAAACTGGAACAATTAATGCTGGTACTTGGCTCAAGTTCTGATTGGCATTTTCCTTTCGATTCGTTGAATTAGAATTAATAACATGTTGATTTGTTGAACTGTTCATATTGTCTATAATGATATCTGTTGTTAGGACAGGTGTGTTCTGAAACAGAAATTGGTAATGCTGAATAATAAAAAGCGCTTCTTCAGTATTGTTAGCTAAAAAGAAGAAATGAAACCAAAAACCAATTTCTAATCATAGGAAACTTAAGGCCCTTTTACATTATCTGTTGAAAAAACTTATTAAAATAAATAATTCTTGTGCTTCGAATTCGATTTTTGAAAGTCTGAAAATTATCAACTCTCAGGAGGTTTGGGAATAAGACCTCGTCTCTGACTCCAATATCAATAAAATTGTGCCAAATTCTGACTCAACAACCCCTGACTTATACGTAAACAGAATTATAGAGTATATTCTAAATCAGGGATTCCCAAGCTTTTTCCAGGACGACCCCAAATATAACTTTCAATCGTCCAGTGCGACCCCAAGTCAATACATATATTTTTCATGAAACTTTAAAGCTTCTTTCACTAGACTTTTGAGTTTGGTCATGTGGTGGTATTAAGTAAAATAAGCTAAAACCAAACAGTAATGTCACAACAAGCCCCTACATTTTCTATAGCAAAAGCATAGAGCGATGCTTATGGGCCTGTTTTACAGTAAGCCATGGTACAAACTGCTAAATTTAACATTGTTTGTCAAATCTTGGATGATTTGTACATCCATCCTCTACCATACCTCAACGACCCCACGATCTGTTCACGACCCTACCTACTTATTGTAGTGATATTGCATATATTATGTTATATTAATTCAGTGCCTAAGTTCATGACCTTTCATGCCGTTATTATCTTGCTCTGGCCTGCCCCCAGTGTATAACATGTATAACGTTTTCTGATTCGTGAAGTAAACACAGTACTCTGAAACAACGAGTTTTATTCTGATAATATTCTACACTCCGGTATAGAAATCAAGGGTAGAGATATTATTACACTTATCACTCCGACTCAATTTGGGGTCGCGACCCCTGGTTTGGGAACCCCTGTTCTAGATGGATAGGTTTTGAAAAAAACTGTTAGAGGGAACATGTAAAGTATAATTACCGAGTAAAAAAGGTTAAATAAATAATTGAAGGGTTACCCAAACTAACTGCCTAACTGGACCAAATTATCTAGTATTTCTGATACAGAGTTTATAGTTCATAGCATACGGTATAGTGATAGTTTTATAGCCTAGGGAATGTGTTGAATGATTCTCAACATCAAGTTTAAAAAAGTAAAAAAAGAGAATAAATACAAACCAGCTGAGGTGGCCTTCGAACTTGCATTTGATTTGTTTGTTCTTGTTGTTGTTGTGAGACTGTGTAATTTGCCATTTGTTGATTCATTACGGCATGCTGAAGTGTCGTCGGAGTAAAAGCAGTTTTAGGATGGTGTTGCGATTGTAACTGATTACTGCCCACTTGTGGCGAAACCGACTGAAAGTTTATTTGCATCGGAACTTCTGTTCCGTTGATTTGTTGCTGATGGTGTTGTACAGCCATAGGAGTAACGACGTTTTGTGCTTGTACAGTAACACTTGCATTATTATGAGACTTGTTCATAGATCGTCGTCTCGGCGCTTTTTTCTGTGGAGGTGGCATCGCCGTTTGAATTTTTGTTTGGGTTTGATATTGTGGTTGTATCTGGGTAGATTGTTGTTGTTGTTGTTGGTGTGGATGATGGTTTTGATGTTGAGAACGTGCCATAATGACTTGTGATATTGTCGGCGTATTTTGTTGTTGTTTGGATATCAACATTGGGGAAGTTGCAGCTGAAAGAAATGGCATAACTATAAGTTGGATTACAGAAGAGTAAATACCATGTCTTTGTGATACTGGTTTTCTTTTTAGTTTCAACGGGGTTGGCCAGCGTGGATAGTTGGTTGCAACGAGTAAATTATACTTTCTGGTGGCAAATTTTCTACATTATAACATTAGGCAATCTAAAAAACTTGGATTTTGTGCTCTAACCATATTATGGTTCACCAAAGTAAATCCAAATTAGCTTATCTACCTTTTTTAAGATATTGAGGAAATCACATTTTTGTAAGTTTTGCAATTTTGTAACAGCCAAACCATAAGTGGACATATGGCACAACCTAGAAACAAAACTAAAACAGGTACAGATTTAAATGAGTGCCTGACTCACCACACAGCAATAATTAATCTCAGTTAACTGCCGGCAAAATATCTAACTAATTTCAGAGGTAAAAAGACCATAGACAAGTCATTACAACACATTTTCATAATAATTCACTTCTTTAAAGACAATATATAAATAAGGGTACAAACGAATGGCCTTTTTAGAATTATGTCTTTTAAAACCTATATTAAAGAAATAACAGAAATGTTATAAAGAAAACATATATATTCAACTTACGTAAAGCAGCATTAGAGAACTGAGGAACTATGTTGTTTATTTGTGTCAGCATTGGATCCGAGACACCAAAATTCACGTTGTGATGTTGTTGAACTTGCATTTGTTGCGGTTGTTCTTCGTGATGTGTTCGCATTTGAATTTGCTGTTGAACAATGTTACTTGCTTCGCTGACAGTTAACTATACAAATAATAAAAAAGATGTCTGGTTGACATATCATACAATAAGCCAGCATGCTAAAAGAAAGATAGATTGTCTCACAATTCAATGGAAAAATTTTTGATAAAAAAATTTACGGTTTCCATAAGAAAACGACCAGACTTGATGTGATTATGAGTTGACACGATTTACCATACTGAGCTGATATCTTCTGTCTATTGTTAATACGATTGATATAATATACAACATAGGGTTGAAATATTTATATATTTATAATAACCAACTCCCAATAGTTACTGCAACATAGGATCGTTATTTGATATAGAAAAAAACACATTAGCAACTTACAGCATTCGGATCATGACAGACTGTTGCTCTTTGCACGAGTTCTTCTAACGTAGCTTCCTGCAAATTTAATCATCAACAATATTAAGTTATATAAATATTGCTAAAGAGAAATCTGCTATCAATTACCGAATCAAGACGAAGCAATCTAGTAGATCATGAAAAATAACAAATTGGTAACAAAAACCTATTCAGACTCGAAAGCTTATTTTGTGCTTATAGTTTACGTAAATTTGGGACGTCTGCTTTCAATTAGTTGCTTGGCAGTGTGGCGTAGCGTTAGGATTAAGCTTGCTACCGCAGCTATGATTACCCGGCAGGGTTTGGCAAGTTTGAATCCCATGGGGAGCCAATTATGTTAATAAGATTGCTTGACATTTCTTTCAACAACAACATCATAATACCAAAATGACCTATAGGTCCACTTGTCCAAAAATTAAGCGATTAAAGAACAACAATGGTGTCCACCTGTATTCCGTGATCAGACAAATCGTGACTCGTTATCATTGTATTTGAAAAATCATGATTCGGCATAGAAGGTTGTTGAGAATTGTTGCCAGAATAAAACAAACTGACATTGTTAGTTCCATTGACTGCAGGAGATTTTCTGCTTGGAGTGAAGATATCTGAAACAGTATGAATACCTTGTTATTCTATGTAATGTGCACCAAATTTTTACAGTAATTGAATGAAATTTCCTATTGCGATACATGGTTGAATAGACAAGTTGAATCAAAATGTACAGCGAAATGAGCAGGGAAAAATTCTCCTAACTGCGAGGACTGTTAGAAACAACACAAATATATAAATACAGTACTACTTGATGTTCCTTTAACAAATATTTGCACGTAAAAATACAGATTGTATTTGTTTGTATGAGAAGCAAATCCATATATCAGTTGACAGTTGGTATAAAAGGTAATGATGTCTTGGTACATCGTACTCTCGACTTTAATTAATATTCAAATGATATGTATGGTAAGTGTGCAGTTAAAATGCTCAAGTGTTTGTCCTTTGCAAAGTTTTATTGCCTATGGTTGTAAAAAATTTAATACTTAAATATGAGCTTATGAATGTGGGAGTGTAAGTGTGGTAACGTTGACAAATCCCTGTGTTGATAAAATAGACAAACTAAACAATCCCATATTTATAAGAAATTTATTTTATTCATAATACATCAATCTGCATTGTACACACAAGGCAAGAGAGTCTCCTTTGCTTCCGAGTGTATGTGACTTTGCTTTGGTTTGAATATTATTCCAATCTTTAATTTGATAATTATTTCGTATAAAAAATTTGCCTGATAATTTCAGAATAACGATAAAAGTGAGTTTAGCACATTTCTGATTTTTGTTCAAAAATGAAGATTATCATAACAATGCACTTTCTACAAATTTGTCATCATTATAACATGTCATAACTAAAATATATCTCCATTTTGTTGCAAAATGGATCCGTTTTGATCAGTGGAAACACTTTCAATCATGTTTGTTCCTGAAGCAAGATCTTGGGCCTTCAATTTATAAAGAATTGTAAGCAATTACAACAAGTTAGGAGCTATACATAGATTAATCCCTATATAGAGTCTCTGATTACCCTGCAGCGATGGTAGGTTCGAAGCCCAAGGGAAAATTATGTGTGATATGATTACTAGACTCCTCGTCACTGCAGGGTGGTCCACGCACCTGCTGGCCGGTTACGGCTTCCTCCACCATCAAGTCCATTCATCTGAAAAATCTAGCTAGCTAGCTAAGCCCATCCCAACATGGACTGGTAACCGGCAAATGGTCGTGGTTCACTATATCATCAAGGCGTCTTATCGGCTTTTCGCTCTAAGAGACAAATATGTGAATCCTATCCTACTCAAAACCAGTGCCAAACCATCCGGATACCGGCACCAAAAACTAACTGACTGGCAACATATTCAAGTTTCTAATCTCCAAGAATGACTTATTATAAAATGGGTCGTAGATCAAAACCAGATTGTCAAAAATCGAGCGAATACAATCTAATCTGCAGTTTATTACTGCAATGATTAACTCAATGTAATCAAATTACCTTGTAAAGCATCGAGCGGATCTATAAAATCATCAAACGTTGGTTGGAGTTGTAACAATCCAGGTTGCATCATGTCAGAGTTGGTTGCATGTTGAGCTGTTGATTTGAGAAAAAGATATTTTCACGATTTTAAAATCGAGTTTCCTATCATTTCTTTACAATATGCTCAGATGTAATACACCATTATGGGAAACCAAGGAGGAATAGAGAAAAAAAAATGATTTGTAGAAAAATCTTACTATACATAAATTTACTATAGCTGACAAACAGAAGATACCTTTCAAATAAATGCTTTGGCGACCACTATCATGTAGATTTCCCCAAGCGCAAAAGTAATCAAAATGAATTCAATAAGGAAATTCATATAACATTAACAACATGGATCTTTTCAGATCCAAATAATATTAATGAAGCGCAGAAAATTAATGATCAATAATTAATGAGTCAATATTCATGAATCAGCTATTTTCAAAGAAACAGAAACCCCACGAAAAAGCAAAACAACTTAAACTGACCTATTTCTCTTGGATTCGGGAATTGAAAAGGCTGAGATAACCTGCTGAATAATCTATCAGTAAGGTCCATGAACATTGAATCATCCTGTTTTGAAATAATATCCATCATATTTGTCTCCGGTGTAGCAGGAGACTGGTGTGAAACCCACTAGAAAATGAAAACAAAATATGCTATGAAATAAAAAATCTATAACAAAATGAATACATCATATCAGAATATTTAATATCAGCCACATTTACTTTTAAATTAAAATTGAAAATAACAGGTTTGCTATTTGACTTTTATTTGTGGCGTGGCGTGCGGCGGTCTGGTTGTTAATGAAAAAAACTGCTCAACTGGGAAGATATGGCTTCTTCCGAAATGAAGTACCTCCAACCATATCAGTAGTAGAGCCAAACAACATATATTTACTTTTTTAAATATGTCGCATCGAACGGAGAAAAACTGGTTTCTATCCAATGGATAATAGACTATACTAGAAGGTGGATGCCAACAACTGTAATCTAATCAATAATGTATAGGAATACTTCAAATCATGGCAGAAGAGTACGATTCCAATAAATAAAAGCCAATATTGTCTGTGAAGACGTGACAATCGATAACCTATACCAGTAATCTAAAAAGAGAAGCTGTGTGCTGTTTGTTTCAAACTTGGGAATGTACGCCAATTTTTTTCCAAAAATCATTTTTTGTTAATTAAATCTAACAATACATACGAAATTAGAATCTCTCAAATTATTGAGACTGCTAAATTTTTATTTTTTTATGCAAATTGATAACGTTTGAATCGATAATTATTTCTAACCATAATTACAATAAATATAAAAATTTTAGTCTTAACCTGATACACAGACAATTACTCACCGTAAGGCCAGGATGATCGGACTGATGAAGCTGATGGGAAAAAAAATTACAATTTTTGATGAATTAATTAGAAGAGAGTGATTGGAAAATTATTCGATCATTTTTAATTAACGGTATGTCAAATCACATTTATCAAAAATAATGGGTAAGTAGGTCTTGAGTGAAATTACTGTAAATACATAACACAAGTCATGCTTGATACATAGTTAAATACAGAATTTACCAATGATGTATTCCTCCATATAGGTTAGCATGATCATACCAGTCACAGAGGATAACACTGTGACCAACCATATTATTTGTATTTCAATATCTAATTTGGGTAAATTAACATAAAGCGAAGTAACGAAGACCAACTTCAAATAACCCAGTATTCCGAATACATTCTGAAATAACGTTTTCAGATATGCAATATTGAATATAATTATTTTAACTGGGTTACTTTAAACAATGAACACAAAAAGTCATTGAATATTCAAATAATAATGTCCTACATCTTGTCAGAGTGCCATATTTACTTTTTTCAAATATTGGCCAGTGTTTACAATTTACAAATCCGATTCCCAACTTAAAACTTTTTTACATGGACACTCTCTCAATGAAATGAGCTAGAAGCATAAAGTTCAAATATGGATCGAGTTAAATTGTATATTTATCTTCATCATATAAATGGGCTATGCCTGCATAGTTACATGTTTAATCCACTTTGCAAGTCATTCAAATTATCGATAGTTCAAGTTAGTGACATTGACAGTACAGAAACCCCACTATTTACATTTTCATGTTATTTATTAACAGGAAAACACAATATAGAAGCGCTGTACGATAATGATCATGCGTTCGAAAACATGTTGATTGCATTACATCACAACCATTCGCAGTTCCTACCATCATAAAATTCCCATTTTCTACTTTGATAATAAAATCATTTTAATACAGGGCAAAGTCGCAGGATTTTTTTTATAAAGCACATTCAGATTTAACGATGATCAAAGATGGCGTTTGTGAAAATTTCTGACTGTTAAATTTTCTGCTCCCAAGAATATTGGGAGTTTTTGTAGAAAATTTATGATTTTACAGCATAATGGATCAGAAAATCAATGCTAATAGCAACCAGAGTTGTCTGAAAAATTCTGTCCAACACACACATCGGATTCAATAATATTCGTAAGCACTGTTTCTGAAAATTTGAGACATGGAATTTGGTATATATAAGAGAAAATAATACTTTTAGCAGTAAAGTGAATAGTCAGTTTTGGAATAATACATCACTATACAGCAGACCGAGATAACTAAAATTGAAATGGATCCAATAGCAACGAATTTAGAATACTTAATAATTAAAATATGAATATTAGTGATCAAATTAGGAAATATTATCTAAACACTGCTAATGGTGTATTCAATCAAAAGTTTCTATGAATTGAAGATTCCGTAATTACTGTATTTAATAATCATCATTTGGCAATCAGCATGGAAATTCCATATGCACACTGTTACATAATCAGACTCTGTTACAGCCAGGGATGGCCAATATCGAATAGTTCACTATTTCGAATACATTCGAAATTATTTTTTTCAAATATGAAATTTCGAATACTTCGAAAATAAAATCCACTAATTGAAGCTCATCTAAATGTATGTAGGAATTTCCATATAATGTGCAATGGAATAACTGCTATCTACAAGTTAAACCTAGCTATATTACCAGGCATTTCATATTTGCAGATTATTGTAGTATATATTTTATATACCACGACTAATGTTAAAAGAATTAAATTAATACGGCAATAGTGGTATCGATGATGGATTTGAATATTTGCGTAACACAAAATCATCTTAGTAAAACGCCCATACTTTTAAATACCAACCATTATCCGAATTATTTGCCAAAAAGTGGGATAAAGTATGAGTTATTTTACCGACTTGTGACAACTTTTTCGTGAGTACAAAAATACGAATCAAAAATTAATTATATTCGGGAACTTTACCACACATTTTAAGTCCGCAGATCGCCGTTGTATGTTTGAGTAATAATACTTTTATTATTTTATAAATATGAAAATAGGAATCAAAAACTATTTATAATTGGGTAGTTTACCACACATTCGAAGTCCACAGATCGCCGTTGTATTTTGTAAATACGAAAATAGGAATCAAAAGTTAATATTAATCGCGAGTTTGCCACATAATTTATGTCCACAGATTGCCGTGATATTGTGCCGAATATATTTAGTTTTTGATTCTTATTTTACGAAAAATTGTCACAAGACGGAAAAAAAATTTATACTTTATCCTCGCTGTTGGGAACTAATTTGGATAATGGTTGCCATTGGTTTGTATTTAAAAGTATGGACTTTTTACTAGGATGATTTTGTGCTGCGCAAAATATTCGAATCCATGACCGATACCACTATTTAAAATGCCTGACCGTGTTAATTTAATTCTATTATCACAACTCAAATGTTGGTAAATCGGGCAGTTCACCACACATTTTAAGGCCACAGATCGCCGTTGCATTTTAGAATTATAATAGTTTTATTATTTTGTAAATACGAATCCGAAATTAATTATAATTGGGCAGTTTACCACGTATTTCATGTCCACAAATACCGTGGTATTTGGTATTAATACTTCCATTATTTTATCAATATAAAAATGGGAATCAATATTTAATAATATCGGTCAGTTTACCACACGTTTTATGTCCACAGATTGTCGATACAACCATGAGTTACATTGAACAGAATTAAATTAATACGGCATGACATTTTAAATGCTGGTACCAGTCATTGATTGGATTATTTTGCGCAACAAAAGATCATCCTGGTAAAGGATCGATACTTTTAACTATCGTTATCAGAATTATTATGACTTGTTTTTCCAACTTGTGACAATTTATTGGATATCGTAACAATGACGGCTATAAATACCGTATTTCCCGGCTAATAAGTCCACAAGGCAAATAGGACGATGTCTATTTTTAGCACTCAAAAAAGTTTTTTTCCATACAGGCCTCCAATGGGACGGGTAGAAAAATTGTGTCCCTGTTGTTCAGTTATGCTGATATGCGCTAATAATTTTATATGTTTAGAACCAGATCAAGTTAGTTTGGTAGAATCGATTCTACCAAACTAACTATTTTTAACAATTGAGCGCTAAATTTAAGTTGTAAAACGGCAATCATTTTGGACAACCTATTAACCTGAATGTTGAAATAAATTTGGAATGTGATAAGTAATACACTGTACGTCCACGGGTTATTTCAAAGCTGTGTTTTCCTGTCCCTGTCGTGTTCTGCTGAATCGGCAAAACGAAGGGGTCACAAATCACTTTCTCGGTGGCCGTGTTTCTCATATTAAGGTAACCATAACCGGTCTGCGATTAAATATCTCGATTGGCAGACCCTAAGACCCAAATATTAAGTTACACAAATCATGCTTATGAAGACTCATGCGAATAAAAACAGACCACATAGAACTACATACTTTCTCAATTAGACGCCCCCCTAGAAAAGCGACTTATTGCCGGGAAATACGGTAATTGTCAATTTTTCGACGTAATGGAAATGAATTTGTAAATTAAAAGCCTCGTAAACGAATGTCGGCAATGTCCAGCCACGCAAACGTGCAAATGAGTCGCAACACTATGCGACGTACGGTCGCACAGAATATAAACAATCAAAGTGCCGATCGTCATTACAATACGTGAGACAGCGTAAAAAGTCGTTTGAAGATTCCCATAAAACGAAACACCACGATTACGGCGAAAAGTGGCTACTATTCGGAATTATTCGAAAAACAGCCGAAAAGGTATTCGAATACTTTGATATTCGAATACATTCGAATATTCGATTCGTTTCGCACAACCCTGGTTACAGCTCATACCAATCACCAGTATAGTAGATATCATTTAAAATTGAAAGAAAATTTCCAAATTACAATCGTCAAATTGAAACATGCAAACCATGTATGCAACTAATGACACAGTTTAAAATGCAACAACTACCTTATCCATGAAGAAAGCTCTCCATTTCTTGTATTCTGCGACAACAGTTTCAATTCTCCGTTTCCAATATTTTCCTTCCATTACAACAGCCTGAAAATATTTATTGAACTTATTAATGAAGCATAGCACAACCTTTTCACACAAAGGTATTCTGTATTATCGCCAATGTCAAGTTTAACCAATTTTATATGTATTTGATATGTTTTGAACATCCTATTGTCAAAATGATCTATGTTTTGAAAGTACAGTATTTGAATAGAAAAAATGCAAATAATGCAAAAAAATATAGCCCAGTATTGACAAATGTAGGTCAGATCTTTTTTATATGACTCATTCATATTATTTGCTTCAATCAAGGACCTGTACGAGCATCCCAAGATGGGATAAAACAGAGCCACTATTTAGGGACCGGTGTCTTTCCAAACTGGCATTGCTTAGCCAAGTTATTACACACAGTGAGGTAGGTGGTGGGTGTAGGATTTGAACCTGAACCTGAAATACCAAAACAATTCAGTCTAACGCTTCAATTTCCATCTTTTTTTAATTTTTTAATATAATATTATCACTGTAAAAATTACCCTAAATTCAATAAACAATAGCAATATTTTAGGTTTTCTATGCACCCCTACTAATGAAAAGCTAAATACATTCATCAAAAAGTAGGATGATGGTGAAATGCAGCCAACTTTGCGTAAATATGAAAAAAAGTGATTGATTTTCGGTTGAGTGACTTTACGTTGAACTCAAGTGAGGAGAAAGAGCGAAATGTTACACTTACAAACACTGGGTTATATAACTAACTACGTCAGTTATGCCGCAATAAGCAAACAGCGTTTGTTAAATATTTGCAGAATGTAGGGTGGACTGATTATCTTTCGAACGTGGCATGGTTCATGTTTTCCGCATGGTCTTTATTAAACAAATAATGATTCGCAAAAGTTGCATCTTTCAACTAATCAAGATATATATATATACCATATATTCCGCAGGAATTAGGAAAAATAGGAAAAGACCACTCAAAGTTCTCAAAAAAACTTTAAATTGGAAAGTTTCAATTGATCATAATCAAATTTTCTACAGAGTTTCTCAAGCTTTTAAAGTCAAATTGCATTTACTTTCTATAATACAAATCAGGTCGCATTAGAAAATTATCTTCATTACCATAGTTACATTTAATTCCAATAAAAAAGATTTATGATTATAATGTGATATATTGGTATGAGCTACCAGAGAATTTATCCACATAAACAATTTTAGTGCTGGCTCAGTGCTGAGCGGTATACCGTATATAAGAATTTGATCATTTTATTTTAGAGGCTGCACAAGGGCAGATTAAAGTGATTTCCAAAATGGATTGGTATTTCGCAAGCGCATAGGACATTTCAGCAAGAAGCCACATAATTATTTTACATCTTAGAAATGACGTGATAGGACCTATCACTCGAGTACAGTCAGTCTCCTGTTACATATAAGATGAATTAATATAAATGAACTTAGAGATATTAACTTTCAAATATGTCTTACTTACCCAATACTTTGACATGACCACGAAGTCGCCAACGACCTCTATTGGGTCAGGTAATATATAAACATTATCAAAGAGAGCAAACAATGGGCGTGCAAAGTTAACTAAGAAGGCGTACAGTGCAAACATGGAAAAAAGGAGAAAAAAACAATCCTGCAAACATGCCGGCAGTAAACTAGCAAACAATTAAGACAAATGTATTAAATATGTCAGATGTAATCAAATCAAATATTAGGTTACGAAGGCTTTCATTCATAATAATTTAGACTTGATGTCATTGTCATTATCTTTTATAGCATCCCTAATGCACTTTCAAAAGACTAGATTCTATCCATATATTCTGTAATATGATACTGTGAGTCTGCGATAACAATAGGTTTAGAATATATTTATATTTACAGGATGGTTATCTCCATTATACATACCTCTGGCTTTGAATGTGAATCACAGTCAGATTCATTATCAAGTGGTGTCGCAAACTGAACGAATGATATTTTGCTGCGTCTTTTTCTCATGATATCTGCAAACAAATATTAGTGATGAAATATTGGAGTTGTTTTGTTTTTCGAAAAAACTAGGGAGCCTAAAGTCTGATAAAACCTCCTAAAACTCTATTTTGGTTGACACTCATTAAAGTCCCAAAAATACACAAACACAAAATCCAAACATCAAGTGGAATTATTATGAGTAGTTTGATTGACAAGTCAGGTTTTTCCAAAATATCTTTGGATAAATGATTTTAATAGAATATTAAATGAAAAACATATGAAAGGCATCTTCGTCTCATTCAGTTAAATTTTATTTCCACAAAGAGGATATATACAGCCTAATTTGAACAAATTTTTAGAGCAGTATCTCATCATTTTTCTAAACCAAAACGAATCTACACTGACTGGTCCAAAAGTTTTGTAAAAGAAAGAAAGGAGCATTAGGTTGGGAACAAATCAACCAAATAGCTTCAGATCATATTTCATTATCTAAAAACGAATCTACACTGACTGGTCCAAAAGTTTTGTAAAAGAAAGAAAGGAGCATTAGGTTGGGAACAAATCAACCAAATAGCTTCAGAATGTTCAGATCATATTTCATTATTTGAATGTTTAATTGAATATACATTTCATTGGTAACGCAAGTTCAAATCTGAGCAAATATGATGTGAGATCCAAATTTGAACAACCAAGAAAAAGCATATTGATAGGACTAAAACTACAAGAATGGCTTTGAAAAAAAAATTGTAAAATCATTTCTAAATAAATGTAACTGGGGTTGTTTTTGAATATTCAATTTACTTGCTCAATGCGAAATATGTGTAACACTCAATAGTCAATTTAGCAAACATTGTTAATGGCTGCATTATGAATCTTTTAGAATTTATCCGCTCTTGAAAGAGATTCACATAAATTTATGTTAATCTCTTTCAAGTGCGAATAAATTTAAAAAAACACGTTTAATTCCTATTTGCAAAAGGTTGCCTATTGAGTACTCTGCTAAGATGAGCAATCTTGAGAAAAACAAAATAAAAAACCATGCTTGGAAATATAAAAAGAACAATGAGGTAATAATGGGTGGCAACTTATGCACTACTGAACACGTGTAGACATAAGCAAAACATGATGCAATTTGTGATAATGCTGATTTCAGAAGTAATACGTAATTATATTACAATTTACAAAACATACCAGTTGGCATTAGAGTAGTTGCAGGATTGCACAACTTCCAATCTAAACCGCAGACACCACAAAACAACATGTTTTGTATAAGTAAGAAAACATGCAATATATAACATGGCCATGGATGTCAGTAGATGCATCTATGGCTAGAAAGTTGTGTTACAGTAATTTTAATAACAAAATTTAAAAAAAATGTGACCTTTGCTCCGAATTGGGTGGTTAACAATAATAACGAGTTCTGGTTCCGTAATAATTAATCCAAGTAAAAGAGAATACAATGTGGTGGTAATCATGGCCTTAAGGCACAGACAAAATCTGACGTGACAAAACTACCAAGCTGAGAGTTCATTCTCGAAACTAAAATATTAACCAATACTAAAGGAACTATCATGGTGTTTTTAGGATTGTTTAAAATTAAACAGTTTTTTTTTAAATATGGTATTTCTTTTTCTGTAAATATGTAAATATGGTATTTCTAACGAGCTTCACTGTAGTACTATTCCATTGCTGAGTGGAAAATCAATAACATGTAGGTAAAAGAACAAACTCATTTGAATGTAAACTCAGACGAACTTGTGTTTGATGCAGCTGTTATGCCAGCACTCCCATGAAAAACATCCATCAAAAACAATTCAATAATTACACAAATGAATTTTGAAAGAATATTCAAAAACTATTTGCTTGCTTAAATATCTCTCAATATAAGATTGTATATTTTCAAAAATACGCAACCTCATATCTATTGTTTACTCTATAAACAATGTGAATTGTGAGAAACTGCTTGTTTATTCTTCTTTTTATCTATGTGATAAACCTTTATGGCCATTTACTTTTATTTTCAAATTTTATGCAACTCAGCTAGTTTATCACATAAAATTGTCCTGTATAACGAGCAAATGGAAAAGAACTGAAACTATCAAACTAGAAAATGATATAAAACGACAGAAGCCATTGTCATTGTCGTGAAATTAGGAGAAGGAATCTCATAAACCAGTTTTCAAAACAAAATTGAACCAATTTGAAACTGATCGTAATAATATGAATGTTAGCTGTAAAAACTTTTAAGTGATGCCACACCCCCTGCAGCTATTGGTCAATCATTATCGAAAGTTTATATCGATAACAAAGATTCTGCAGACTGGTGATTGTAGCTCATAATGACGAGTTGATACTAATTTCCCAATGATAATAAGTACATAATTTTTTATGCTTTATCAATAGATTATTCTAATGAACCTAACACATCGGTATACATTGTGTTATAGGTATACATTGTGTTATAATAAAATGTTTGGAATAAAGTCTGAAATACATTATATAATTTGTGTCAATGACTCCTTACTTCTGCTGCACAACACATGTTGGCGATGTTGCAGAAATTTTTTGTTAAAAATTAAAAGCTTAGCAGAATTTTGCTGCAGGACATAACATAATGTATGTAGTATTTATATCCACAAAAGAAGGCTGAAATAAACAACCATCTCAACAAAATATGTAATTTTGGCAATAAATTTAAGTATTTCTAATTCATGTATACTGATATATGATTTCAAGGTGCATAAAGACAACGCAACTGAAACTTTGTGCATCTTTTTACGAGCTACAAATTAGTATTAAGCAAATTTATATCTTACATTGAATGTGCCATGTTCTCCATATAGCATTATTCAATCGAATCTTATCTTTCACAGAGAGACGTAAACCTTTAAAATTCTTCCATTTCGGTGAAACAACTTTCCCTCTGTAATCAAAAAAAGTGGAAATAAAAGCAAGGTAAGTCCCAACATTTTAATTTCTTGTTACAAATTTGTTCATTAAATAGACCTGAATGTTTGCTTTATAAGTTAATCAGATGGACACTTTAGTTTCAGAAAGAATGAAGCTTATTCAAAAACACTGAATTATATTTGAAAAAAATTTATATCATAGAATCTGGTCTACTAGCAGATGACTATTATTTCAGCCATATTCCACATTTTATATTAGAATTTGAGATCCGATCTCAAAATGGAATAGAAGTCTGATATTGCACTCACCCTCTATATGCCAATGACATACATTCAAATAATCTTGATAGTGACGCATCAATAGTAATTTGATTTGTTGAACGATGTCCAAACTGATAGGTATTCTACAAATATTTACAATAAGATAATTAAGGCATCGATACAAAAAGTCTATAGGCCTACTTATCATTGAAAATACCTTCCACTACTAAAATGAAATTTTGAAAATAAATACAGAAAGTAGATCAATGCTGAAATCTTGTTTAAAAATTTGTTTTTGATTAATTTTTATTACATATCCAATAGGTATTACTGTTATAGCAGACAAACATAATTGCTGCCATGTCCAATACTTTTTTGAGCATAAAATAGAAACAATATTACTGAAGGTTTCCATATCCTGTTTTTCCAACCTACATCAACTGTGGATTGGCTTAGCTTCAAATAATCAAATTTATTAATACTGTATAATAAAATTTCCCAGATTTTTGCCCAGATTTCCTGTTAGCTTTTAATATGTACATTGACAAAATCACTTTTCTCCAATTATGGTTCATAACTACGGTAATTAGAATATAATAATTATAAGTCAGGAATTATAATTGTGAATATTATCACATAATATTATTCAACCTTATTTTTAACACAAACATCTTTATCTAGCATTCAGTCAAAATACGAGAATTTTAAAAAATTTACTGTTAGAACCGATAAAGAAGCTGTTTATACCTGTGTTTCCTTCCGAACATCCGAAAAATCATATCCTTCACGTATTCTGATAGCTTGATCATGATGTACCGGAGAATCTCTGTCGTGGGGAACGTCATCATCAACATCATCTTGATCTGCTACAGATGATATCATAAAATGTCCTGAGTGGATTACTTCTCCATTGCTCTCAGCTTTGAATAAAAATAAATTCCATTATTTAAATTAAAATAATTTTAGCAAATTCAATTTCAAAATTATTCATTTATTAATAATTCATATTCAATGTCAATTGTGATTAAATTTGAGGATAAAAAAAAATTAAATATATTGTAATTGTATTTTTATATTGAAGTTTGATCGATTTTAATATTAATATTTTTAAAGCTAATGGTGTGGATTTGACTACATTCTAATTCTGTACATATGTTAATAGTATAATTAGTAATATGTGATTAGTTTATTGCTATATTTTTCTATTATGCAGTGAAAATATTAATCTGACGAGTGCAAAATAACAGCTAAGCAATTACCGTATATGAATTAAAAACACTATTTTGGAATACCATAATCACAATTTATTTTAGATTATTATTTTTTACAATGAGTTGTAAAAACTGATCTAGCATCAGATATCATATTGATTCACATATATCATGGTACCTATATTACGCTCTTGAACCAAAAGTTAACTTTACATATTCAGTTTCTCCAATTCCATATAAGCATCTAAAATTTTGTTTCATCATTTTCATCTGATACCAGTGGTTAGATTTCATCATTGGCAAGTTTAGTGATAAAATGCACTTTCCATTTTTACTTCCATTATAATTTACACTCGACTGTTGGGTGTTTTTCTTCCTTAACTTATTTAGCATAGGATACGATTTACATATTTATAAGACGACTTTATCATATGGCGAACCACAGCCATGACTGGATTAATGGATTAGGCTAGTTAGTATAACAGGAGTACAGATGCATGGACTTGATAGTATAGGAAGCCATAACCGACCAACTGATTACATGAACCACACTACTGCGAGGAGGAGTCCAGCAATACTCTCGCACCAACCTGCAAACCCACGCAGGGTAATCAGAGGTGCGCATGCATCGTAACTTATCATATTGCAATATCTTATACCATAACATAAATCCAGCAGCTTTGCTATGACAATCCACAAATAAAATGTAATCAAACCTTTACGCTCCCTCAAATTCATTTGTGAGCGGCGAGCAATCATACCCTCCATCTTGAAGTAATACCGAGAAGAGTGTTATCTGATAATGTTTTCACAAAGAGAGTTCTTTTCCAGTATTTGCCAAATGTATTATGTTAATCCATATCGATTCAATATTGTGTTTAGTACGCTTGTTTACATCCAACATAGTGTCCAATAATCCAAGTAAAAATCTTATGTTCTATGTTACAAATTCACAGTTTCTCAATATTAATTAGTGGTATATTAGAATATCATTTGTAAGTATGTGCATTTGAATGCATAAAATGATAGTAACATCTGAAATATGGCAACAGTTTAGCATGGAAATTAGAAATATTCTGTTCAAACCCTTTGCACTGTTGCATACCACCTCTCAAAATGTGTAATAAATTGCGTAAGCATACAAGCAGATTCTGATTATCTAGTATATCTAATTAATCTAAAGTAGAGTCTGGTTGGTCAAAGCCTCATTAGGTATTAAATGCCTAAAAGATTTGGAATCCTACTACAGTACTATCAGACTATAGTCTGATAGTTAACCAGATCCCAATCATAAATTGCAATGCACTATACACTGCACTGGGTACCTACAGACCTATGTTACTTGCACGGAATATATATGTCATGATGCAACATATTAACAAAATTATCAATTTCACCACGAAGGCAGAAGTCACAATCACTCATACAGTCATAGAGCTTGCCAAAGTATACCTAAGATCGCCGGAATGGCATCGGCGCCGACGATAAAGAACTCGCATATCGGGATCGTTACGGCAAGAAAACGAGAGAAATAGCTTGCTATATTTCGGGTGATCTTCTGTGCGTCTTGGATGACAGTTGGTATGGTTCGAAGGGCTCTGTTACGTCACTGTGACGTTACAATGACGTAATTTTTGGATGGCGCAGTCAGGTGGGGGTTAGGATTAACATATGCAAAAATTGTTATGCTACGCCCACTAGTAGTGCTTCAGGTACGAAACTACACTAGACCCTAGTCAGCCAATCATGTTGCCTTGCATTTTTAAAAATATCATCATCTTTTATAGAGTTCCCGTGATGATGATAAAAAAAATTACTGTCATTGATCGTGTTTCGTCAGACTCGACTTGACACCAGCTTAATAAATAGGGAACACATTGACCGTATTTCGCTGTGATTTTGAGGCAATTTTCGTCTGTTATCTGTATACAGCGCACTATCTGACTCCAGCCTTATTCAATATGAATCGACCGTATTTTGTCATCGCTGATTTGACACGCATCGACCGTATTTAGCAATCCCTAATTGTACACCCGAATACTGCAATACGGTATGACTTTTCTGCGCCTGCTCATCAAACTCCTCGCCGCCATGGGGTGGTTCACGTAACCGCTGGCCGGTTACGGCTTCCCCCGCCATCAATTCCATGCATCTGAATTTTTGGCAAACTTGTGCCATATCCAACATGGACTGGTAACCGACTGTGGTTTGCCATATAATTAAGTCGTCTTATCTCCCCCGGGACAACCCGAACTCAACCTAATACAAGAAACACGAGAACAAAAATGCAAGCGCGGCGGCACGTTTAACAGCTTATTTCAGTTATATGTGTGATTTGTGACCGGGTGCTAACCTCACTCATCACTCTTTGTCTTTGGACATGCTATGTACACATGAATTGTTCTGTTATTGGGTTGTTGTTAGGATTCTTTTACTCATTCTTGTTAGTGGGGATACAACTGTAGCTTTACGCTTTTGTACCGTCGTTTTCCCGTCCCAACCCCCCACGCAAAATATGATCACAAAGATTAAAATCAAGAAAATATAGGTGATATCGCCTATTATAATTAAAAAAATGATATGAAGCAATCACAGTTGTTGCACATTTAACCACTGAAGTCAGTTCAAGAGACGTCGTTTTGTAGCAGTAAAAAATGCAATCGTTTTACCGTTATAAAAATGAACGCGTATTGGCGAACTTTCTGAATGAATACCATAGTTTGTGTTTGCAATGTTATAAAGAGACATATACGTAGCCTACTACCAAGCTGAAGATGTACAAAATTCTGGTCATTTCTTTTAATCCTGACGAAACTGGGTTTGCTTTTTTATTTCTTCGCTTGTTTGTATCTCAGGGTCGCGAACGGAAGTAGGGGAAGGTGGGGCACGTTGGGACATGGGGCACAGTGGAAAATCAGCTCTCACACTAATACCATATTCGGAATCCGGTCCGCGGTTTGATGTTTCAATCCGCCCTTCGGTGAGTTACAACGTCCCCGCAAACGGACAGCGGACGGGTAAGAGCGACGCAAGCTATGAGGTGAAATTGGTTTTGGGGGGTTGAAACTAAAATTTCACCGGTCCAGTTTTTTCTTTTTTCTAACTTAGCCTTTCCAACGTGACAAATCACCTTCTAATATCTTTCAGCTATAGTCCACTGTGAAATATTTAAAACGTTGGCGAGTGGATGGATGCGTTGTATTTTTATGTAACATTATGGTATCTTTCGACTCATGGTCCAATATGAAATATATTCGAGAATCAAAAATATTTCCATATTTAGATTTGGATTAGAAAATAATTTAATTTGTAAGCGAATTTTTTGGTAAAATATCTGAAATATTTCGGTTGAACATTGATTTTAAAAATCTTAAATCTTCAAATTTGAGGTCTCCCTGTTCTTTAGACGATTATGCTGATTGATTGCTTATTTTTAAGGGCATACTTCGTTGAATTTTAATAGAATGACCCATTGTGCCCCAGGGTCTGTCCGAATGTGCCCCACAGTGTGTGGGTACAGTGGGACACTTGAAAAACGTTTTTCAAAGCATTTTGGTGGTAAGATGTGTGTCGCAAAGGAATTTCTTAGTCGCTGAATAAAAACTACATTTACCCCTCTCTGCATTAATCCCGCAAAGTCATATGAATGTGCAGAATAAAGGGCTCAAAATATGAAAAAGAAAAAAGTGTCCCAACCTTCTTCACTTTCCCCTATGTGGATGTGGAGTCAGGGCAATGGTTCAGATTAGAACATAAGCGTGTAACACAGTGATTTCCCTACACTCCCCTATAGGGGGTGAACACCTAATCCTAAAATTTCACTCTCCGCGGTCCGCGTAACGGCTTGAAATGGCCCGCCGAACTTAAGTGAAATGGTTGAATTTTAACTGCAAATAAATACTAATACGTTTAACACTTTTTGTGTTTACCTTTCGCGTTTTAGATACCGTCAATTGTTACACCATTATCACAGTTTAAGCACGAGTATTTCGTAACTATTCAATTACACCGATATCTTTTGTATACGTACCAGCATTAGGATTACATACAACAGTATTTTAGGTATCAGCGGTATTAAGAAAGCTTGAAGATGTCACAAAACGGAAACTAGACACAAAAAAAAGACGTTTTTTAGATGAATGGCAGCGTTCCTATTTTTTTATTGAATAGAATCAAACTTCAGCGATTTGTCTTCTTGGCCAACAAAATATTCCAGTTCTGAAGGAATACAACATTAGCCGTCATTAACAGAAGAAGCATTCTTCAGATTATGATCAGTTGACGCGGGTATTTCAAAATTTAATTCATTGCTAAATTCATACAAACGTCAAACAAAAATGTTCAAAAAAATGTCAAATAAAAGTGAATTTACGTTATTGGCCAGTTATATTGTAGCTCGCGACATCGCTAAAAAGAATCGCCCGTGTGTTGAAGAGGAATTTTTCCGCGAATATATGCTGCAAGTTTTGGAAGTCATTTCTCCTGATATAAAAAGTAAGTTTTCCGGAATCAGTCTTTCTAACTCAAAAATCTTTTGGGATATCTTTTTTTATCAATGTAGTGGAAAATACTGTACCAAAGAATAAGGCTCCGATGACAAACCGCTTACAACAATATCCACCTTATCATGATTGTCTACATTTTCATCAATTTCGTCCAACACTGTTGTTGATCATAATTCGTCCAAGATCGATCTGTTTATAATAATAAAAAGTTAACAAGCGTTTTCTAAGTACAATATTAACAAATGTACTTTTTTAACCAAACTGTTGTTTGTTTGTACTGATATCTTTATTTTCGATAACGATTTGATGACAAATTCGTACACAAATTCTCAGATTGTGGTTCGACTGTTTAAAGTCCAACAGTGATAACAAAATTCAAAATATCCCGGTTGCGAATAATCCGTGATAATTTGGGGTTGAATGGCGGATAAATGGCTTGATACGTTGTTTTATTATCGCAAAGCTGATAGTGTCAACATCTCTGTACATATCTGGTGTTTCACGTGTCGCACTTGTTTTCATTATACCGTTATCATTGAAGTGCTTTCGTTTCGAGGCCAAAAAATGTTTATCTTGAGAAATTTTGCATGCGCGGGAATTTTCAGCGTTTAGTTTTATTGAAAATCAAGCTTTGACTACAGATACACACTTTATTTCCTTTTGATTCTGGAATTGGCCTAATAATCACAGGAAATGGTTACAAAGACCCCGCCATTTGTATCGAAATAGACGATAGAACGTACGAGTAATCGAAGTTGGTTTGCTTTCTTTGTATCTAATAAATTTAAGACCTAGCTGATAGACGTTGATAAGATAATAATATTTTATTACCCGATAAAAACTCAGCCCGAGATAGCAATGCAGTTCTAACATTTCTATATCGGAAATAACAATAAAAGTTTTAACTCATTTAATTATCAAAGTGATTAAAAAAGATAAAATCGCTCACATCTACGAAAAATTCCGAATTGCAGAGTTATATTCCACATGACAAATTTTTCTAACGTATTTCTTGGGTACTTTTTACAAATATTTCGCGATTTTTCTAATGCGATTCTACTTTTTACTCGATATCAAATAGGTGAAAAAATAACCAATTGATCATTAAACGAAATTGGTAAATGCTTGTTTCTATTTGGAATATCCTTATTAGGTAATAATCAGTTTAGCTGTAAAACTGGCTTGCATTAGACCCAAAAACTGACCAAGATAAGTTCAATGTTCATAGGTGAATGTATTCATTTTAAAATTTCTGTGCGTAATAAATCACTACAAAATCTGGGGTGTCTCAAAAATGTTGTGTGCCACTGGTTCCATTGGGAAGTGGGACACGACATTTTCGAGGCACCGGAGGTTAACGTGGTATTTAGTTTCGTGTAGGTGGAACTGTTTGAGTTTTTTGAATTTTCCCTGAAATATAGTTAAACAGCACTGTTGGTGGCTAGTATTTATTCAGTGCGTCAAAACTTTGTTTCATACAAAAGCTTGTAAAACCAGACATTTAACGAATTGACTTTCTTCAATAAGGA